TCAGCCTTATGGCGCCTCTACTGCAAAACGCCTCGCAGCAGGAGGAGCCGCGACAGGATCTCCCCAGGCCCTACAAGTGCCCTCTCTGCGACAAGGCCTTTCACCGTCTGGAGCACCAGACTCGCCATATCCGCACCCACACTGGAGAGAAGCCCCATGCCTGCACTTTCCCCGGCTGCACAAAACGTTTTTCTCGCTCAGACGAACTCACCCGGTATGTCGCACCACTGCCCACATGCCACCTTGTCCAATGCTAACACTTCACAGACACTCGAGGATACACAACAACCCCAACTCACGGCGGGGCAAGGGCCAGTCACACGCTGCTGCCCACCAGGCTGCTGTTGCTGCCGTCCAAGCTGGCCTCATGGAGCCCGGAGGTGGCCTTAGCCACATGATGCCTCCTCCGTCAAAGCCAATTTCACGTAGCGCCCCAGGCTCGCAACTTGGCTCTCCCAACGTTTCGCCTCCCCACTCGTTCTCAAACTACTCTCCGAGCATGGGCAACGATTTGGCTGCCTACCACACGGGCGGCTTCAATAGCAACAGCAACAGTCCCAACGGCCTATCTCGCCCCATGGACTTGCTTGCAGACGCAGCGTCAAGACTAGAGCAGCGCCCGGGCCACTTCTCCCACTCAAGTAGACATCACATTACGAGCGGCTACCACCCGTACGCTAGTCGTCTGCCCGGTCTTTCCCAGTATGCCTACTCGTCGCAGCCAATGTCAAGGTCTCACTCGCACGAGGACGACGACCCTTACACACACCGAATGACGAAAAAGTCAAGACCGGGCTCGCCGAACTCGACTGCCCCGCCATCGCCCACGTTTTCCCACGATTCTTGCAGCCCCACGCCTGACCACACTCCCCTTGCAACCCCCGCACACTCACCAAGATTACGCCCGCATGGCTTCAATGACCTCCAGCTACCCCATTTGCGTCATCTGAGCCTCAACCAAAATTTTGTGCCTGCACTCGCGCCAATGGAGCCGTCGACAGAACGGGAACAACCCTACGTGCCTAGCCAGTCATCTGGCCTGCGCATCGGTGATATCATCTCGAAACCCGAGGGTGCCCAACGCAAATTGCCGGTTCCGCAAGTCCCCAAGGTGGCCGTACAAGACCTCCTGAACGGCCCTAGCAACAGCGGCTTCTCGTCCGGCAACTCATCGACGACGGCCTCCATGGTCGGCGAAGATCTCTCGCACCGCAACTAGTTCGACACCCTACTCCACCAGCATTGCATCGGCGTTTTGTTTTGTCAGCATTTTCGCATTTCGTCATTCTCCACGTTAGCGAGCGATGAGTTTAGACACGGACACATGTACGAGGGTGGGTGTCTTCGGCATATCACGATTTCATTATTACACGGCTTGCCCCCCACCACAGATAGACTTCTTTCCTTATACCTGTTTTGTCGGATCCAATACCCCGCGAAGCCGCATCTGGCAAATCGCAATCTTGTATATGTTCCACTTGTCCTTGATCATCAGGCCCGGACTGTTGCGAGGGAAGCGCCAGCTTATCTGCAGTTGAGCGTTGATTAGACAGCTTTCCCTCTGCTTAGCGCTTAATTGAAACCCCAATCCACACTTACTTGAGTCACACGTGTCGTTGAGTTTGCAATTACGAGATGGTTATGCTATGGATAGAGAAATTGTTGGCATGCGTGACGTGATTTGGTACCCCGGTCGTGCAAGCAACGAGAATCATTCGCAGGGAACCAGGTATAGGCGCATATGCGATCCCAAGCCCCTGGGAACTCTCGGCCTATTCTTCGTCTCCATACTATCAACCACTGCACTTTGTCTCTCTTCCCCGCAGATAAGTTTTGCTTGGTAGACCAACAAAAATGTTTACGAGACGCATCATTCGACCATGACACAAGCATGATTAGTCCTTGTCCGCATTCCGCTGTCTGGTACCACGCACACTTTGGCTGCGGGGGGTGTCCGTCTCACCTTCAAAGCGAAGATGCGGTGAGAGGGATAGTGAATCCACCCACACACAACACACACACGGCCATCACGACGACATGTCTCGGTGAATCACGTCTTGTGTGACCACACCTGGGCAGCTGGCCTGCTATTCCTGTCTCATTGCACATTGCGTACGATAAGCCCCCGCCAGCCCATCCAGCACACCAAGCGGCACCAGCGCTAGCCAAACGATGACACAAGGGCCCTGAGTTGCAATTTTGCGGAGAGGGCGGAACAAGGAAGGAGTCAGAGTGTGGAGAAAGTGGCACACGCAGCAAACAGTGGCGCTGCTTTTTGCTTTGGTGGTTACAGTTCCGAAACCGGATGGGGCAGTACATTTAACTGGGTGGATGGAACGACGTTTCCAATTTCCGAGCGCCTCTGGCTGAGCGCTATCCATGGATCCTTGCTGAGAAGTTGCTTATCTCTTTGTCCTCACCCCCCCTTTCCCCCCCTCATTGCATTCGCCATGTCCGCCGGGAGCCGACGGTCCTCTTTGCTACACGACGCGATTCGATGACTTGGCCGATACGCCACAGCGACTGGCCAGTTTGCTTTTTGTCGGGCTTGCAAGCGCGAAACTGGCTACAACCTACCCATCGCTTGTTTCTCAAATTTCTCCCGCCGGCTGTATTGGCAGGATGATCTTGGGTGCTGCTGGGCATGCACCCCGGACTGGAGCGCAGCAGTGCAACTTACTACTCCACAACGCGTAACCCGTGTTATGACGATCTCAACTTTCTGCATGTGCGAATCGGCAGGTCTGGCGGCATCGTCTCCGCGCTGCCTACCTAGGTACTATGTGAAGCGCTAGGTATTTGCGGCGTTTGATCACTGTCGGCCCGGCAGGCGCGAAGCGAAACGCACGCAAATACCGACGTATTTTGTATACGATGTACATCATCATGTTTTGTGATGTAGCTACATGTGAGCGGCCGAACGGTAATACCGAAACACGATAAGCCCTTGCGCTGCAATCAAAGGCGGTTTGCATCGTCTCAGCATATCTAGTATTATTCCTTGTTGCCATGACTGACTGGCTGCTCATGCGGGCACAAAGAAAGTTCTCGCCGGTACTCAACGCCAATCTGCTCACGTACCTGAGCATCGTGGCCCCCCCCCCCCCTCTAGACGTCCGTCTAGTGCCCACTTGGCAGATCCTGCCCCTCATTTGGGTCATCCGAAAGTGCAGAGATAACGCATAGCAAAGAGAATATGCCTATCTCCGTCCCCACCACAGTGTCTCAGCTGACGGAGCATCTCAAGTCAGCCGTGCAACTACGACGCCAACTTAGTCTTTCAGACCACCCCACGCCAACATGACCTGCGGAGTAAAGACTAATTCTTACCAAGCCATTCCGCCCCTTGCTTGCTGACTCGGCATCCCCGTACAGCAAAGGGCGTCTAGCGAGCTTCTAGAGCCGCGCATCCAGGCCGCGAATCCATCCTTTGTACCAAAATTGCTTGCTTGTGGGGTCTCCACTCTCCACACTTGGGGCGAGCGGACCTGCCTGACAAGGAAATGGCGGCGGATGAGGCTGTCGCCGGCGAGTCAAGTAGTCAAACCAAGGCGGATCTGTCGCCAAAAGCGCTCGCGTCGAGGGCTCAAAGTATTGCCGGAAAAAATGCACCAGTCAGGGTCGTGGACGGCGCATCGTGGTCCAATCACGTTGGCGCGTGTGCTTCCTCATCAGGCAGAGGTGCCGCCTATCGTGATAACATCTAGCATAGTCGTATGCTTCATCAGACCCTACCAAGCACTATATCGCAACTTGCATACTCTCGGATCCGACGCGGCTGAAAGGGACATTTCGATGAATGCACAGACCGTGCTCTCCATCTAATTTACGCAGTTCACGCAGGGGAAGTTGGATTCAACGCCTATATGGAGCAGACTTGATCCGTTCTTGCATCGGGTCAGCCACCAGATCGAATGTTCGTCGTATGTTCTTCTGCACGGCAGTCATCCTTGAGACTATTTCTCCGCTATCATAATATCCAACATATACTTTTCAAAGTACTTGTTGAGTTGCACCGCATACGAGCCCGCAGGATCTGGTACAACAGACATCATTCCATCCCAATCCAATACGGCCTGCCCGTCCGTCCGTCCGTACCGGGCTGGTGGTTTCCTTTGCCCAAGCGACGGTCGACCAGGTCCACGCCTCAATCTATTTCGCAGATCAAGTCGTGTCTAGACGGCAATATAAGAGATGCTTGTCAGGGCCCTGCGCAAGGGCGCTGCAACGATGCTTTGCAGCTTTGACCGTTAGTTCACAAGCGGTCCAACGGTCTTTTCACATGCCAAAAAAAGGAACTGAGAACACTCTTCCCGCGATGAGAGACGAGAGTCAGGGCCTTTTCCCATCACCGGCACGGCTCTATTCTCGCTTGGACGATATCTGGTCTGCTGCCACTGGCTAAACTCCAAATTTGGTAATCCGCCCCAGCACCTAATTCTACCGAAAACCAAGCCGCGCTGCAAGGAACGCGACACTGGTGTGCATTGTGTGTATCAGCAATCGCAAGTTTCTAGTAAAGTTACGATCGCAACGACTCGACGATGACGCAGTTGACAAGCCATCTAACGGCTTTTCACATGGCCACAAGCTTGGTGTCCAAATACCTTGTTTTGACAGCTGTCCTCTTGATCCAGCCCGGTCTAGTCCAGCTTATGCGCGTCAACATGGCGCAAGATAGATTTTCACTTGGGCAATGTCAAGCGACCGCGCATTGCAGCTATGAAAAAGCTACATTACCTTCGGAGCCGACCGAGTCATGCTCTCCAGACGCTTATCTGCACTATCTTCCGCCGCATAAACGCGCAACGATACGTATACTTTTAATTTCGACCGGTTATTCATCCGTACAAGGCTGTAGATACGCGACAGACAGTCTGTTTTATCTGTCTGAAGTGGAGCATAGAGCACGTCGATTAAATTGATGTCTTGGCCTGCTTACGGGCGGCTAACCTTGCAACAGGCTCCCCACGCTACGAGATTATGTTAATGAAGGGACCTCAGAGAAGATATATCCTGGTATTACTGTACCAAGGTATTTTTGGCATGGCATATGCCTGTTAGTGATCCGACCGTCTCCGGCGGGGTACGGTGATACCTTAATACAATGACGCTCTGTGACATGTCAACGCGATACTAGATGCTAATATACGCCGACTTGACGTAGCCAACGAGAAACCACCAAGAAGGCGCAAAGGGCTACGGATATTACATGTTTTTGTTGAGAAGACCCGTGTACCTTGGATGCACGTCAGAAGGTAATCATCCATCTTACTGTATACACCTCGGACCTCGAACCACCGGTCAAGCAAAGCCAAACGCACGGCTCAAACCCAGCACCAACAGCATCAGCAACCGACAAGCCATCCGGCATGTGAAACTCGCAAAAAGAGCAATAACCGTCCACCAATTGCCGCATACAACCCCCACGAAAAGTACCACAAGTCATGTCACTCCAGGCCCAGGCCCAAGCCCATGGTCCAAATCAAGCAACACATCCTCCACACACCAACACCGCCAAAGCAACAGCCACTTTATTTCCCCAGACGCACACACACACACTACTTACAGAAAAAACATTCCTAGCCGCTGAGCCGCAAACCCAGGACGGGCATCGCTCGCGCATTGATCCCCCCTTTTCCCTTTTCCCTTTTCTTGTTCTGCCGCACTACTACGCTCCTGCGGTATCTCGGCCCGGCATAACAAACAACGAAAGACACGAGGGCTCGCCGCCACACCCACCCGGACACAAGACAAGGCCGAGCCGACCGGATGAAGTCGTGCCTAGGCGTATTGCCGTTTGGCGGCTTTTTTATGTTGACTTGGCCCGAGGTACGTACTCTGCCGGTACAAACGAGATACGAGGTACCCTTAACCTACCGGTAGGTAAAACTTAAGATTTCGTTCCCGTACTGCCGTGTGTTCTGCTCCCAGTCATTTTCACATGTTAATGTTCCGGCACACGAATATACGTGTGTATAGTACATACGGTTTTAGTTACCGGAGTAGTAGTGCGTGCGGGGATTACGTCTGGCTTTCATTCGACACGTGATACGTATGGGATACGACAGCGACGACAGTAAGCGGTAGTCACATGACATGTCATCATCCAGCAGCTAGCTCATCCTTCGTATTCCGCTCGTTTTTCTCCTTAGCTAAGCTCGTCCACACGATGCCAAATCCGCCCCCGTATCTACATACTCGATCTGCCGTTCTCTCCACCGGAATTCGGGCTACATGTGATTCCCGAGTCCCCTTGCCTTTGCTAAATTTAGTCGGCATGGCTGGTTGGCTGGCTGACACGAGCAACATATGTATCCGTAGCCGCGCCACCACCCCGTCGTCTTCGTCAATTGTCTTTGTATTTGTATTTGTGTTTGTGGGGCAGCAGCATAAATATAAAAAAAGAAAATACAGTAAGCAGCCTCACTCCCATTCTTATCCGCATGCGCATTCGTATCGATCGGAAGATGACAGCAAAAAAAAAAGAAGAAGAAAAGTCAGCCGAGAAGCAAGAGTAAAGGATTACATACTACAAAACTGTGGGGTTAAGAATGGACCGCCCGACCGACCAACCGCCCGACCGACGAACATGGATATGCCTGGTACCGGTATACTTACCTACCCTACCCTACGCTACATACGTATTTTGTTTGCTTATGCTCCGGTCGGTCGTGCATGGACCAGAGCAGAAAAGAACATGACAAACAACAACTACAAAACCAACACGACTATGTCACTATCGTCTGTGCAAAGCATATGTGTGTGTGTGGAGATGAATGCCAATATCCCCGTATTTCCGATTTTTTCCGATTTTTTTTCCATGCCCGTGTTGAATTCAGCTGTTTTTTTTTCAAGGATGATGACGCGCTGGATTGAGGATACGCAGGGCAAAAGGTAGGGCGATGACAAATTATGGGGTATGGATGGGGGGGACCTTGTAGCGGGTTGGGGTAGGGTAGGGGATGGACCTTGTAAGGTGAGTAGGTTTTGCGGGCTTGGTGTGTGGCGGCTTTCATGACTAGTGTAGTCTTGTGTATACACATATGGTTTCCAAATGAAGTGAATCATTCTGTTGTACGACCATTGCTCGTGCTTCGTGTTCTGCTTCTACTTTCCGCAATGAGAAAGGAGTGCGTAGTCACTGTTCTGCCGTGCTTGATCCCGTGTGATTGGATGCAGTCATCGTCGATGACCGAGCATGGTCACGGCACCCTTTCAGGAGTTTGATGTATTACCCACAACCACTAATCGTTGTGCGTTCACAAGCTTGACTATTCAAACGACAAGACTACGCGCGTACAGAAGCGATTATTCAGACAACTTTGTCTTTGTCACTTCGTGGAAAGAAGATATCACACAAGATAAACTCGTGACTAACGACCGTACCTCACCCCCTCATCACCCCCTAGCCTCGTTCACATACCCGGGCCGCCGTTACTGAGCCGCCGAAAACCCCAAACCATACGCACGACACATGCCCTTCCCAGTCCTTCGGCGACTGAATCAGCCCACAGCCAACCTGGCGTCGTACACCACCAACATGCGATCCAATATCACGATCCCCACATCAAGCACTCCAGAGCTTGAAGATCTTAGGTCAGGCGCGGCTCGGCCCCGGGTGTACTAAACAAGTCATCCGTGCCTTCGCACATGTCCGTCTCCTTCGGGAAGAGATGAACGGTAGCGAGCGGGATTCCTCCTTCCCCAGTGCGTTTGCGGAGAAGCGTGGGGAATAGCGACATTGCAGACTTCGTGTTTGGTACAATGACCTTCTGTCTTGGGCCCACAGCGAGCCGCTGCTTTGTTGGCGGAGCCGACGCTATGCGCCCAAGGTTCAGGGGTTTCCTCCTTGAGAACCTGTTGGGTATGTAGAAGGTTTCGATCCTCATCCACCCCCTCGTGTAGTTCAAGTGGCGGAATAGCGGTGAAGAAGGAGGACCTAGATTTTGTTATTGTACGCGCTCTTCCCGACGAGAGGGTGTCTTGGACATGCGCCCCCGGTATGCAGTCCGCGTGGCAAGGCGGCAGTCCGCCCACGGGGCTGTGAAGCCTATTGCGCCTCTGTGGGGTCGCGAGGCATAATTGTGCGAGTGGCTGATTATGCTAATCGCAATGCCGGTCTCTTATCAGAGTCAGCTGGCCTGATGGTGGTGCCCATTCATCTGCGACGAGTACGTTTGCTCGTATTTCCCCCACGCCCAGGCCAGCCATCAACCCCGCAGGCCCCAGATTCGCGGAGTAAGAAAGGCATATGTCCAGGAATGTACTGAGTTTTGCCGGTGAGAACCCAGGGCTGTGGGTCGGGGGTGCTTCCCCGACCCCTGCGTAAGTTTAGTGTGCACCAGAGGCCTAGACGTGACGCATGCACGTGCAGAAGTTCACTCTTCTTGTATTTGCTTTTGTTCGCTTCTCGGATTGGAATACCGCTAGCGTGACGAGACAAGGTCCAAAACAATGCATGCGGCATGCGATAAATAAGGTATAACGCTGTGCCCGTTTGCCACCGGGAGAATAAGCATATGCCTTGGCTAGATCGTGAAATAAGAAGAGTATTGGACCGTGAGGTTGGAACGAATTTCGTTGCTGATGTCAGAGCGCTTGGTGTCTGCAGCGGGATTGTGCGGAGACAAGGTGTGGGTGGGTGATCATTCCGGGGTGATGCGTGCCTAATCCCCACACGGCTGAATACTGAAACCTGTGCCGTGGGCCGTGGGTGCCCTGTTTTATCGGTGTGGATGCAAGATCCGTATCTCAATTGGAAGTTTCATTAGCTAGGGCCCTCGGACGAGAGATGAAGAGCAGCATACGAGCACGAGCTTACACCAGACGTAAGCACTGCGCTGCACTGCTCCTCTGATAAGCTCCGGTGTACCGGCATGGCTTGGAACCAGGTCGAATAGCCAGGCCCAGTCTTGGTATCAATCACGAAGAATCATTCAAGTTTTACGATCAAACCGTGGAAGTTCGTGTTACCTTCTTCTTGTGGCCATCTGCGACAACATCCAGGCGAGTTCCTGCATCGTTTTCATCCTCGAGGGGTGCTTCATCAATCAACAGCCCCTCAGTGGCGACTTCATCATCTTCAATCCAGCCGTAGAGCTCGTCGGACTTCGGCTCTTCGGGAGCATTCTCATCCACCTCGGCAAAGTGTCGTTTAAGCGGCCTGGCATGTGTTGGGACAAGCAGAGAAGTTACATCATCCGCGGCTATGGACATTTCGCAAAGGCCAGTCTGAATCACGTCAGCGAGAGATGACCATAGCGGATATTCGAGTGCATCTGCTTAGATGAAGGGTCCTTAGATGATGATCTACTCACGTTTTCAATGGTGAAGGGCACCACATTGCCCACACTCCCTTCATCTGCAAGGGATACGCCATTGGCCTTGACAAGGCCAACGAATCTGGCTCTTTGCAATTTATCAGCGTCCAACTTTTCGCTGGCCTTTCCGAGTCGAAGCCAGTCTCGGAAGAGCACCAGGCGGGTGGAAACGCCATTCTCCCATTCAACCCCTGCCATTGCCGGTACCAACAATGCACGCGAGGCCCCTCTTATGCGTGTGATGGTCTGGCTTGTGACAAGCAGCGCGATGTCGTGCACTGCTGCAAACTTGGTGAATGTCGCAATCAGCTCGTTGATAATGGCGAATCTGCGTCCTGCAGCCCATCGTGATTGTTCTGTCTTGTTCCTCGCAGTGCGATCATCTACATTGCGGGGGTATGCGTTATCGACCAGGGTCGCGAGAGAGTCAACCACCACCAAGCTGGTGTTTTGTGGGAGAAAAGCAGCGGGCGGATGTACAAAGAGTGCCAAGAGGTGGGCAAGTGTTGGCAAAGCCATGTAGTGAAAGTGGCCGCGTACTCGATCTGGAGCTTTATCGGACGGTGAGTCTGGATCGGGTTCATCTTGGTGTTCAAGCTTGCCGGCGTATGAGGGTTGAATCTTGTCGGCGTATGAAGTGAGTATCTCCTCAACGCGGTGTTTGACCAACGGCGCACAGGCAGCATCTGCACACAATTAGCCCTCGTCTTCAGCACTAATGGAGTGTTGATCCCGAGTGCAACACTTGTACATACCAACCCATATTACTTGTTGCCCCTCGCGCAGTGCGGAGACTGCGGCCTGTATCCTTGATTCCCTCAGTCACGGTATTTCTGGGCAAGCTGCAATGCGGTCACATTTACCCAAATGCTGTCTTTCCGACACCTGACGGGCCGAAGACCTCAGTCACCTTGCCTCGAGTATATCCGCCTGATACATCGTGGCCCGGAAGGCTCAGCGGTGAAAGGACCTTGTCAAGCTGCGTGATGCCAGTTGATACGGTGCGGGCTCCGCGGGCATGAAGCTTCTGGAGAGCCTGAGAGGCGGAGACAGTGGGCAGTCTATCTACGGCTATATTAGCATTACAGCCAGGTTGAGGCATGTGCAATGGCTCACGCGACGTGGGGGAAGGTTGTGCCTCTTCGCTGGTCATGATGTATTGGAGGCAACTCCGCAGGATTCAGCGGGTCAATTCGGAAGCACAGTGGTCTCGTGATCTCGCGTGTATGCACATTACGTTTCGCGTTTCTCTTCAGTCGTCGTGACGCGTTGTGGTAAAGGCAAACAGCTGTGGAGAAGTCGTGTGTGGTAACGCTCAAACTGATGCGCTCATGGCACGATGTCACGCGCACAGGCGAACCGCGGCACATGACTCGCATACTTCTTCACCTCTTCGTGTTTCCTTCAGCACATTATGTCTGGAAACGTTGATTCCATAGTACCAGTGATCTGTTCTTTCACTCCTGAATAACACACCTGCCTCCTATGTGTTAGCGCCAACAGAATTCGCTGGGCGTGGAACTTGGCATGTGTTCGCGATAAGAGCCGCATTTTCATCTAGACCTCTGAACTGAACACGCGACAATTTCTCTCTCTCGCAGGACGTCTTTGCCTCATCAACATGGCGGACAACGCTTTCGAGCACATGTACATTACAGCTGCGAGGCTACTTTCGGATGCAGGCATTGACATCGCACCTCAGACCCTCCTCATTACGGCATTGGCAGCCATCTCCCCGTTCATAATATTGATTGTCATCGCTGTCGCGCAATCTCCAAAGGCACTACCTCCTCCAGCTGGATGTCGGAAACTTGGGCTCCAAGGAACTACTTATTTTGAGGACCAGTACTCGAAGAAGTATGCCAAAGGCGGCGACCCCACTCCGGCTAAGCCATGGACCGTGAAAGCGCTTTTTGTGTACCCTTTGAAGTCCGCTGCTCCAATCGAGCTGGATAAGAGCAAAATTCTTCTTACAGGCCTAAAGTACGACCGTCAGTTCACTCTAGCACAGCAAGTCACGAGCCTGCCATCAATGGACGGAAAAGTCACAAGCGAATGGCATTTCATGACCCAACGAAAGTTCCCCCGTCTTGCTAAAGTTGAGACCGAGATTTGGGTACCAGATCCATCGGCCAGAGATTACAAAGAAGATGGAGAGTGGGTGAAAAGTGATGGTTGTTTGGTCATTCGATTCCCCTTCTCTCCTGACACCGACTTTTCCATGGAAGGCCTTTTGAACTACGGCAAGATTCTAGCAGCAAGGCTTAGCCGAAAGCCAGAACCGATGCTTGAGTTTATGGTACCTTTCAACCCGCCACAGGAGAGAATCAAAAGCAAGGGATACAGGAGCGAGGTTCTGCGTATCTGGAAGGACAACCCAGTTGCGCTGAATATGAGCTCTGAAATTGATCGTGAGGTTTTTGAGAAGTTGAGATATACTCTTGGAGCCGCGAATCCGATTGCTCTGTTCAGAATTGATACCAATGCGTACCGGGAAGTTCATAAGTGCGCCCCGAAGAAGTATGAAGTGGGTTTTCAGACCGTCATTGGAATGCAGGATTCAGTATGTGCAGCCTTTACCAGCATGTTTTAAGTCGCTAACAAAAGGCAGTACCCTATTCACATCATCAATATGGCCTCTATCCACGACGTAGCGTCCAAACTTCCCACTGGCAAACCGGAACCCGAACACATCTGGCAGCGCCGACACACGCTCCTCGATGCTCTACGCTTCCGCGCAAATATCTATATAACTGGACCTCCTGCCTTTGCCGAAGACGACTGGAAGAAGGCAAAGCTGACCTCGTCCGATTCCTCGTCGCTAAAGCTCCACATTTCGTGTCGTTCGACGCGCTGCAAATTGCCCAACGTTGATCCTAAGACTGCTGTAGCCGATCGAAATGAGCCCCTGACTACTTTGAGAAACTACAGGGTTATTGATGCAGGAAGTAAGAATGCGTGTCTGGGTATGCAGGTTACGCCTTTAGAGGAGGGGTCTGTTGCTGTGGGGGATCAGATTGAAGTGCTAGAGACTGGAGAGCATCTCTTTATCGGGGGAGAGGGGCCGAAAGTTGACGGCTAAGATACGGAAATAGAGGATTGGGGTAATAAATCGAATCCACCGCCTGATTCATACAGGTCAAGCCATGTGATACGCCTCTGAGCGTAAGCGACCTATGTGCAGTAGGGTAGCGAAATCAAGTGGACTAGAACATATTTTTTGTATCCAGTGGCTGTAATAGAAAGAGCACTCCAGTGCAAAGTTGCGCGTCCCGGTTCGAGATGCCTGCAATCGATCATGATGGACTGGAGAAACGAAGTGGCTGCTGCACGATCTTTGCTCTTTCCAGTTCCTGTTGTACAAATTTTCAGCCGCGAAGGGTGTTTTACCTATAAAACACAACAACATAGCGGTGCAAGCTTCGCCAGAGGCATTTGGAAAGTGTGAGGACGACATGGAGAGCTGAAAGCGGGAAGTAGATTGGCGTGGCCCCATACAGTCAGCCACCCACAAACACGCCTCGAAAATAACACCACAGGCCGCAGCGACGACATTTAGCACGCTGCTTTCGTTCCTGCGCTCCTCGAAGCTTGGCCCCCAGCCAGTGATTTCCGGGGTCGCTCCTGCTTCTCTGCACGACCTCACACATCCTTGGTGTCTTGGCATCAGCCTTAAACCACCATTACGGCTGATTCTGCGTCTTTCTTTTTCTCAGCTCGGCTGTACGTTAGTGTAAACGCCAATTTTGACTGTCGCATAGCCATTTTAGGTGTAAACACACAGAAGGCTGCAGATAGTCTCGACTAGGTCAAGTCAGCTGGAGTCTTGGATGTTCGAACCAGGCTGATACTCCCAACACGACTTTCATCCTCAGTCTCGTAATCGACGTTAGTTCAGCATGGATGGAGTATCTTTCGCCGCAAGTGTGATCGCTATCATACATGTCACTGTGGAGTTAGCAGTACTGATCAAAGAGGTTGCCGACGGCGTCAGTGTTGTGGAAGCGACGCTCGCGGACCTTCTCAGCGATGTAGATAGCTTTCAGCGAGTGCTCGAGTCTCTTAAGGAGACGATGGAAAATAGCGAAATCAATGCGGATCCGCATACCACAGGATATGTGGGTAGCCACTGGAGGAACCTCGCCCGCTCGTTGGACGATGGTGCGGGCGCTTTACAGAAGCTGCACATACTGTTAGACGGTATCAATAAGACGACATCGGTCTTCGGCGCCGCGCGGAAGCAGTTTAAGTTGAAGAGCGCTACTTGGCAAATATCCCGGTACAGAGAACAGATCCAATCGTCAAACACTGCACTTCAGTTGTCGCTCAGTACAATCATTCTGTACGTTAGACTTTCAGTGCCCGTCTCATGGCTCTTAATGCCAAAAATTTGCTGATCAAACACCTAGCTGGAATCAGGTGGCCTTCCAGAAAACTACCACAGACATACATGAGCATATTGTCCCGACACTGGATAAACTCTACGATGAATTCCGCACATTCGGCAATTTCCTGAACAAAAAGATAGAGAAGCTTCAGGAAACGGTTGCGAATCAATCTGATCCGGACGACTATGACCTTACATATATGACCAACTTGAGGGACTGCGTCAGCTCCGCCGCCGACGTCGTGTCGACCGCTTCAACGATACGTAACCCGAACACGGAAGATGATGTTTCGGTGAGATGTAACTCTCCTTTTGTAGGACTGTTCCACAAAGAAGAGCCGGAACCCTTGTTGCGTTGGATGCGTTCGAACACTGTGTACAAATTTGAGGACGTAGATACACCATTTCCCCTTCGACCAGATACTCGTACTGGACAGATCCCGCCGTCTGATAGCCACATCAGGATCGAGATCGAGATCGATATAATAAGGTCGCTTTTGACAGAGGGGAAAATGTTCAAAAAAGAGGGTAACCTAGAGAGTGCAGTTCGACGTTTCTGGAACTGCTTAGAGCGGCTGTCAGCCCACACCAGCGATGGCTCTTTCCGTGCGGAACAACTTGTACTCTCCTGTGGAGTGACAAAGATTGAGATCCTCGACCTTCTCATTGACTCTTATTATCTCTCACGTTCATGGAGCAACGCGAAAGCAGTCATAGTGGATAAACTATTGGTGGTAGAGCGATGTTCAGGTCAAAAGAACGAAGTCTACCTAAGAGACAGCATGAAGCTAGCAGCGCTTATGATGAACGACCGCGAATTTGAGCAGGCGCACTGTCAAGCCCGAATAGCGCTGGTAGGCTTCAAGAATCTGGGCGAAGCTGGATGCGAAGGATATGAAGATTGCCTACGATTTCTGATTCGACTGTGTCAGCACGAAAACGAAATCGAGGGAGAAGACGCTTACTTTGCACTCCTTGCAAGTCATAAAAGAGAGATTCGGCATTCTCTATGCCGACCTAAGGTCATACCTTTATCATTCAATGGCCCCAGTCTCCGACCAGATTACAAGTCGAGTCCAAAAGTTACTGTTGGGTCCACAACTGCAGCTACGCCATATGAACTCTTAGATAGACCAAGTCGACCGCCACTGAACAAGAAGCGTAGCTCTCGGTTTGAAAGACCCCATTTCCGAGACACAGATCAGATCAATATCTTGCAGGGAAGGGCTGGAGCCCAACAAGATTACGAGAAGTGGTTCGGTGATGTCAGGTTCCAACCCAAATCTTGCGAACTACCGGTATTTTCACTCGCGAGCAACTCCAGCCATAGCAAACGCTTCAGGAATATAGGAGATGAACAGTCACCATCTAGAAGGCAAGATTATAGTTCTTTACCGCAAAAAGAGACTCGACCAATTGCCAACCTATCAAACGCGACTATCCCCGACATCACAGTATCCATGGATGGTGTTGGCTCCACTGGGCGTACGGATGCTTCTGGAGCGCTAGTACACGGGATGAACCCAAGCGCCTCCACCATACGGCGAAGCATATCCGATTCGCATCTTCATACTGCCCAGTTACAAGACCAAGGCTTTGTGCGGGAGAGGTCAGCGAAGTCGTACTCTTCATTGCGGGTTACAAAGCCGGTTCAACACGCTTCCGCCAGAGGTTCATCCTCGGATACAAATAGGGATCTAGGCAACGGTCAGCCTGGCAGAACCACCAGAAGACGTCATGGCGACATACATTCAACTGAACTATCCAACGATACGAACTGTACTTGCTCACACGAGGTATCAGCCATTGGTACTTCACCATGCCCTACATGCCTGGCGCTCATGTCTCAGCTCTCAGAAGATGATTCGCTCATGGATAGCAAGAGTCTGGGGGCTCTCCATCCAGCCCAGGGTGTCTGGGCATGTATCAGTTGCAAGTCCAGCACTATTCAATACTTGGGTGAGCATGTATGTCGTTCATGCTCAGCAAAAAGGGTGAACGCTTGTCCCAGCTCGCTCAATAACTTCAAACGCAGTTTTCTCGATTCTCACCACACTCTTTTGCCACCTAGAAATCCGGCTACTTTAGCTGCTAGTCTGAGCAGTCCCTCCATACGCCGAAAAGCGCTATTGCTTGGAGACACCTTGTGCGGTAAAACACACATGGCGAGCATGTGGAGCGAGAATAAAATTCTAGACGAAGATACGCCCCTAACGAACACCTTTGTAACATCGACGACGGTAGATGGCCGTGAGATAGAGCTTGTCACATGGGATACCAGAAGCTTGGACATGTACGAGAGCTTGCGTCGCCTGTCGTATGAGGGAACGCACATCGTGTTAATCTGCTTTGACATCACCGACCCAGATTCGTTTGACAACATTGAGGAAATGGTACGTTGGCAATCTACTAAATCAAACGACTACATCATTATAAATTCTGACAGCATCAAACAGTGGAACCCAGAGGTTAACCAATACCTCCAAGATGTACCCAAAGTTCTCGTTGGCTGCAAAATGGATCTACGAAATAGCGAGACAGCGCTCGCTGGTTTGCGTCTCCGAAACCTCATGCCAGTCTCTCCATATGCTGTAGGTATCACCATACTCCTCATAATTCACGAAACTGACATCGTACACAGGCAGATAAACTTGCAATCAAGATACAAGCACTGGCCTACTTTGAAACATCGGCTGTGAAGAACCAAGGCCTCACGGAGCTCTTCGACTACGTCGCAGATGCTGCAGCAAAACTAGCACCAAAGCGCAGATCTGGAGCTATCAGAAGAGTCTTGTCGAGAGGTCAGATCAATTTGAAATTCCTGTATTGAGAGACAGTAAGGGAAGTCTTGAAAGCTACGATGCAGCCAGTCTTCCGAGCGTATGTAATTACAGAATCGTGCACAGAGGACAAGACAGCCAGGATTAATGATGGGGATATGTAAGAAGTGCGATATTTTTATAATTTAGTGTATCTGGAGACCATAGAATAACGCTCGTCGGTAGTTTCTGTTCTCCCCTCTCTTTCCACCGCTCGAAACATGAGCTTCTTCCAACTTTATTTTTGACATCATTTTTGCACCTATTTTTAATTAAATAATTCAGCTTTTCAGAATAGAAGCACAGAAAATCACAGTGTTCATGCCGTGCCCTGCTCCTCGGTCTTTTTTGGGAGAAACGGGAGACACACCATCAAATAAGCTTTCCGTTCATTTTAACCAGCATTCCAAAGCCGGTGTGATAAAGAGAAAAAGAAACCAAGACCCCCATAGTTTTATACACCCCACGTACAAACAGCCCACAGATAGCAAGCTTGCACAACGATTTTGAATCTCCCAGACATAGACCTCCCTCAGTTGGATTTTGGTACCCGCATATATGTCTTATTAGACCATTTTTTCGACATCAACCCTCTCATACACAACTTTCAAGAATCTCATCATGCCAATGGTCAGCCCTTTTTTTCAAGAACAAAGAACGGGAAAGCAGAAACCATTGGGGAAGGCATCTGCGTCTTTCGGAAAACGGAGAACGCAGAAAACATCCTTGGAGTCTCTATGCGATCTTTGAGAAAACAGGACACACTCATCCTACCTTTAAAGTTCAAGTTTATTTAGAAAAGAGGGTGGACGCACACAACATTAACGGCTTTTTCCTAGTAGTTTAAGAAAACCAGGCCACACGCATGTATCGAAGATCCTTTTTGTTAAATTCAGAAAAGAGAGGGAACGCACACACACACCATGTCCTTTCTTTCTGAAGCTTTTGAAGAAAACAGGACATAGCTACAGATCCCGACCTTTTTAGTTTCGACCCCAGACAAGGGAAGTGTTGTAAAGGAGTGATGGAGGAGCCAACACGGTAGGCTTTTATATAGCACGTCCATGGCTGTTTGCATCGGACACGAGGGCTCATGTACCCATGTGCTGGATGTAATGATATTTTACGCGCCCTCAAAGCATTTTTTTTGAATTTTGAAGCTCAGGAAAGCAGAAAGCCCTCATGCGGCGAATGATATGCCCTTTTAGCCTCCTCGTGATGCCCTTTTTGTTGTATGACTTTTTTCATGTTTCCAGTATTTTTCAGCCACACCACTCTCTCGCCGTTATCGACAACTGCTTCACTTGTTTTTGGAAGTCTCGAGCAACCCCACTCTCCCCTCGTCATCGGATCCTTCTTTCTCTGATTTCAGTATTTTTCAGGTACATCGCTCTCCTGTCGTCATCAGACTTTTCCTTAACCGCTTTTTGAAATTCTCAAACCACACCACTCTCCCCCGCTCATCAGTGTGATTCCTGCATGTTTCTAAACCCTCTCAGCCACCAAACGACTCGAAATGCATTTAGAACCACCACCACCACAACAGCAGCAGGAAAAAACATATCTTCCTCTTGAACGGTTGATTTTAGTGTAATTTCAGAACCCCCCCCCCCCCCCCCCCCCCCATGTGTCATTTCTTTCAGTTTTTGGAACGGGGGAGACACGACAACATCACATGTTGACAAAGGCTTTTTTTATTTAGAAGAATACGGATAGAAGGAAGAATGTAGAAGGAAGAATGTAGAAGGACGAGAGAAAGTGCCACGCCGAGTATATTTTTATATGTCCATCTCCATTTCTCCCCATGTGGGATATCGAAGCACGTTTTTAGAATGAGCGGGGGCATGTATACGCCAGCCCTCCTCCCATCGCCGTTTTCCGAGCTAGTTTTTTCCGTGAAAAGCCAGAATTTTAGGTAAAAAAGGTGCTGGAAACATACATCTATCTCTTTGAGTCCGTTTTAAGAACGCACAGAAAAAGAACAGGAAAGAACCACAAAAGTACAAGGGAAGGATTTTGAAAGCCCGGGACATTTCCAAATTTTGGGTGAGTTTCAGGAGGAAAAAGAGAGGAAAGACATCGCTTCGATGTCGTGCGATTTTTAAAAAAAAATTCGAGAGAATAAAGTAGTGTTTATGAAGGAAAGGAAAGAGGGAGAGAGGACAAGCAGTGAGCAGTATTTATATACCCGTGCCAAGCAAACGAAAAAGCAAACACACATCAATCACATCGACATCAAAAACCTACACTCATGTCACGTCACGTCACCTCATCACTTTATCACATAACCCGTACACCCCGCAAATTTTGGAAAAAAAAATAAAAAACTCCGGCACATTTTCATTTCGATTACTGTCAATAAGCTACCCAATACCCCACCCTACCCAACCCTACCCTCTCCACCCAGACATAGAGAGAGAGACGCCACCACTAAACGCCATCCTCATCATCCAACCAACCAAAAATAAAACCCGGGTATGATGCAAAAGAACAAACACACCCCAGTCTCCCTCATCTCCTTCAGCATCAATCCGTCATCCCATCTCCCATACCAAAAAGCTAGAAGAAAAAAAGGCGAAAATGAGATTCGTTCCAATCAAGGTATTAACTACAAGTCATTAACACCAGCGTCGTCGTCGTCGTCAATTCTCCGACGCGCTGCTGTGGGTGGGGTCCCGGCCAAAGCCCAAGGGGAAACAAAGTCGAAAAGAGAAACAAGAATGAGGTATATTGCATGGGAAAAACATGCATGTTCAACGAATTTGCTGGGAATAGAGTTTGGGGAAGAGATGCATATGTAAGGAGTACTTGGCTGACCATGTGTGACGATGTGAGCTAGACCAAGAGAAGGTGGTGAGCTGGAGTTGGATCGGAGAGGCGATGTGGGTGATGAGGATACTGGGGCTGGTCGATGTTGACAGTAGTTAGATCCAACACTTCCGATGTGGCCCGCACAACATCCGTCTCGACTTCCTGAGCCCCAATGTCAGCTTGGGAGAAGCTCCACTGGGGTACACACGTGCGGGGGTTTGGATGGTATCGGAAGGTGAGTGAGGGAAGTCGGGTCTGGTCGCTACAAGTGCCTCATCAGACGTGCAGTTGCCCTCAAGAAGAATTGATAGAGAGTCGGGAGATGCACCACGTCTTGCTGGCTCTGGTGGAATAGGCAGAGACTGGCGACCACTGTCGAGTCGATTAGATGGCACCTCCATACCCGTGATGATATCGTCCCAAGTTGACGTATTTGCCCCCACTCGTAATTCTCCCGGGACCATGATGCCCAGCCCCACTCTACCTCTCTGGCTACTCGTGCCGAAACCAGTTCTTTTTCTCGCGCAAACACGAGATGTCAGCACACGGCCAACTCAAGCACTCAGAACATCTAGTGGTAACGCGGAGGAGTCCCTTGGCCGTTGGGCACACCGTTAGGTTGGAACTCCATCTCGCGCTTCATCATGTCGAGAGTTGAGGGGAAGTATGGCTCGACGCCATAAGTCTTGAGGTAGCTGGCTGTCTTCTCGATGCGCTTGATCTCGCGCTTGACGTCCCAGCCCTCGCCCTCGCCAAAGCGACGCTGCACCACGTCGACCATGGTCTCGTCGAGCCTGTTGTAGAAGTCGCGGCGTGCTGCAATGTCGCCGGCATCGGCGCTATCGATACCGCCGTGCGAGTTGAGGTTGCCGCCGAGCTTCAGGATGAGATCGAAGGCATAGCGGGGTCCCGACGGCAGCAGCGTCAGGCGCTGGATATCGGGCAGGAACTTGAGCATGGCGGAGGCAAAGTGCGACGAGGAAATAGAGTCGTTGAGGTCGTCCTGAAGACGGTGCAGGTCGAAGTTGACAATGGTGATCTTGCGGTCGAGCTGCGCGTTGAGAGTGGGGGCAGCGTCAGCAGTTGTCGTGTCCATGATCTTTGCGATGGAAGCAGGCACGTCTATGGCTGTCAGTATGTCGTCGGAAGAGGGCGGAGGAGAATTGACTCACCAGGTCGCAGCCCCCGCTTGTCAATCCAGTTGTGCACTTCTGCGCGCTGCTGCTCAAGCTGATCTACCCATGCCTGCATGTCGGCAAGCTGGCTCTCGAGCTGCTCAATCTTCTCCTGGTAGGGCTGCACGGCCTGGTTGAAGGCGGCAGTAATCAGATCGGGCATGCCCATGCCGATGGGGTTGGTGTTGCCGGTAGGCGGAACTGCCTGGGTCCTGATGGGCATGGCGTTGTGTTGTGGTGGAGGGTTCTGAGCGAAGACCGGCTCCTGGGGTTGCTGTTGGCGGGGATACATATCTTGGTCCTCGGTGGGTGAAAGCGGTTGGCTGTGGTGGGACTCCTTGCGACTCGATTCCGGGCGCTTATCTACGTAATCGTCGAACGACTGTGAGCGAGGATTCGGCTCGTTTTCGACGTAACTGTTTGCCCTACTTCGTCGATTCTTGAAGAACATTATGCAAAAGAAACAGGCTGCGGCGCAGAGTAAAGGTCGGTGTGGTTATAAGCTGGCTACGGGCGGGAAGCGAGATAGCGCCGGCTGCAAAGTGAATGGTTGGGTATTTGACGGCCTGAGATTCGCAGAAAATGTGCGAGGTTGACTTGTTCTAGGCGGTGGCTGGGATCCAATTCCCGGAAACGAAACAGTTAGCGATAATGAGCGCCACGTTGCACACACACCGCGCAGTTGTACAAAAGGTATTGTATCTGCCACGGACCAAGGGTAAACAATACGGTGGGAAGCTAACGAGGTGCCCGAGGACATGTGCAGACTTTGGTTGTCGTGCTGGCAAGCTCCCTCAAGCGTTGGGTGCGACCATTATAGACTGCAGCAGCCACCCCCCGCTAGTTGTGGACCCGGCCGCCCGCTACCAGCCGCCTCCCAGCCTCAACCCCCCAGTCTATACTGCAATTGTCACTCGCCCGTTGTCGAGTCTTGAGCCGACAACCGGATTGACCACAAGACACCACGCAACGGATTGAATCAGCCACATGAGCCAGCACATTGAGCGTCATCCGACACCCTTCTTCCCCTTTATCACCTTTGTTGCCCGGCAACGCCACATTACCTCAACAGGACCCATGCCTCTTATCAACGTCATGTTAATGCGCACACCACCTAATGCATGCAATGCCCTGCCGTTGCACTACCAGCTATCTGGCTGAACCATACTTTTTCTTCCCTTTTAATATCATTATTAACATTATCTGACGTCGAAGCATCCAACAACATCGAAATAGTTCTAAATAACAACTCGTCGCTTTCTCATTGGATGTCCCCACTGATTTCTGTACATGGTTTAGTTGTTGCATATCTTTATGGTCCTATTTCCATCAGAATTGTGGTATCCGCTTCTAAAGTGACATACGAAGGTGAGTCTTCTGTCATCGCTACCTGGCTGCTAACCATTTCCGTCCCCATACACATTATCGTCGTCTGGAGAAGACAGCAGAAACTACAGTTGAGGCATTTGTATTAAACCTAAAGATTCACAGACATGTAGCCGAGGTGATGTCGATACAGACACTATTCAACATAGTATCAGAAAAAAGGAACTTTCCAACGAGACAACCCCAGTTCAAATTACACAAGCTCGGACTGTCCTACTCATTGCTTTTATCTAAACCCTACAAACCCACACATACCCCTCCCCTTACTCCACCTTCCTCTCACCCACCTTCCCCGCACCGACTTTTTTCTTCCCCCCAAACTCAACCCCCCGAATCGTCCACTCACTGTAAATCTCCAATCCACTAACAAACACGCCCAACAAACTGGCAATAACAAAATGACTGATCGTCGTCCCAATATCCAACCAACTGCCCTCATCCTTGACCATGTAAAAGAAGCTCAACGTCATAACATCGCTAACCGCCATGACTACCATGAAAAGCGCAGACGGCGCAACACCCAGTCGTCTATTCAAGAGACCAAAGTTGGCCGAGAGGGCGGCAAAAGGCGCCATGAGTTTAAGCATGAGGAGCGCGCCTTGGGAGAAAGGGTCAAAGATGGGGATCAGGCGGTAGACGGCGTCGAGGGAGAAGGAAGATACAGAGGCGATGTTTGAGGCCGAGAAGAAGGCGGATTGGATGAAGAAGATGAAGAAGAGGGCGATGCGTGCGTCGCCTAGTGTTAGTGATCTATATTCTCCTTGCTGAAGCGAGCCAAGTCGATCAGATGCAGCGTCCATGGTAGGTTTGGCGGGGTTCGTTGCGATATCTTTCGCTGTTGATGACGACGCATCGCTGCTCTTGGTGTGTACGTAGACTTGATGCTCGAGGCGCATCCAGCTGAAGAGGCACATACAGAAGGCGAAGTAGAATAGACCTTCGTATGATATGGAGAGAATGATAAAGGTCGGTGCAAATTGCAAAAATATGACCACTAGTCGATGGACGTAATGACTGTTGGGGTACAAGCCGTGTAGTTGTGGGACGAACAGAGAGGTTAGCAACGTGGCTCGTCCAACCGTGAGCACGCCTAGTGGTATGCCCTCGCGTGCTTGGATGTAACTGATGCTACTCTTAGTCACGATCATAGATAGGAGTACAAGGCCGAGTTGGATGCTGAGGATGATGCGCGACTTGTCGTTGAGCTCGTGTTCGGCAAGCTCAGCTTCAGATTTGGAATCTCCGAGGATGCTCTTCTCGAAGAGTAGGTAGATGGCACCGACTCCAAACATCAGTATTCCTCCAAGGAGACTGTCAATGGTTAGTATCTAGGCAGAAGGGAAGAATAATCGTTCTTACATCAGGCGCACATCCTCAGCTTTGTTGGCTGGTAGCAACGTAAAAGCGCTCATGGCAATACATGACAAAGTCCAGGTGGCAACGGTTCCTACGTTCTTCTTGACAAAATCTAGGCCATAGACCGCTGGCCAGAATGTCGCCATAAGATAGCATACTGTATAAATCTCTCTGATAAAGTAGCTTTGAACCTATTCGATAGTCAGCACAGGCACATGATGCTTTTAACGCCATTACGTACCAGAGCCTCAAGAAGACCGAAGAAGCCAAGCGTCGCGAAGACAAGCATTGCTACGTCAGCGCCAGAGCTGAGCTGACCAAACAGTCTCTTCCCACCCTTGATCAGTGACAACCTCTGAGCATAGACCTCTTCCCAGAAAAGGACCGGAAAGAAAGCATAGGCATAGTAGAAAATCGGGGAACGCTGTTTCAAGAGAATCCCGTAGAGTGCTACAAGCACTGATGAGAAAACTACCATGCTCGCTGGCGTCCTCTGTGCCGGAACATGTTCAGTAAGTACATGGGAGTCGATGACTGTTGTAATGGCGAACACAATCCAGCCCACGTAGCCCGCGGTGACCAATGTCCTTAGGAATAGCCAGTCGTATGTCTGCAAGTATCGGAGTCCGCGGAGTCCGAGGTCTATGAGCTCATGAGTCTGGCGAATAGCTTCCTCTGCGTCCCCCTTGTTGATTGCTGCCTGTATCTCCGCCACGCGATGTTCGACCGAGTGTGCCTCGTCACCAAGACCGGAGAAGGGCGTGTACCGTAACTGGGTGGACATTTTCGCCTCCTCCTTGACATGATACATTTCCAGTATCTCCTTGGCATTGGCGAGAAGAGCTTCGGCCTTGGATTTGGGGTCGGTGTCCAGGTAGGAGAGGGGCAGGACTCCGACTGAATTGGTAGGAAAGTCTAAGCCTACAAGATAGGCCATAAGAGCTGCTACGTCAGCCTGAGCAACGTCGTGTCGTTCGATCTCGTCCAAGTTCCAGTCAGACGAGAATTCGGTATGACCTCGTGCGATACCAGATTTGTTCTTGGACGGTGCGGCGACACCAGCACCCCATGCAATCAAGGGTGTGCGCGTGTTATCTGGATGACCGTCTCCATGGCTGCCCCAATCGCTCATACCGTGGTCTGCCGTAAACACAAACGACGTTTTGTCGTCGCCGTAGAAGTCTTCAATGAGACGAGTGATCTCTTGCACGCCGCGATCGACAATTTGGATATTGTGCAGATACTGCCAGGAATAGGGACGATGCGCATGGCCAGTAGTATCCAATCCCAGCAAATGCAAGAAGAAGACATTCTTCTCCTGCCGCAGCTCTGCGTCCAAAGTCGCATTCGTCTTTGCATCCGCGAACAGCTTCGCAACACGCTCAAAGACCCATTCGTCCAGCATCCAGGCATTTTTGGAATAGTCTTCCTCTTCGGCACCATAGCAGTATGCATCGACTCTTCCAGGCACCGCACCAGTCTCGAACATGGGAAGAATGTCCGGGCTGCCCCAACTCCATGTATGCCTGCTTCGATTGAAGACACTGTCAAAGTTGACCGGGTTCAGCTTCCAACCGGTTGTGACGGCAGAGACATCCTCGTATAAACCTGCGATGAGCGCAACATGTCCAGGGCGTGATTCGGTAGGGACACGAGTGTGAGAGACGCCAAAAGTGCCATGTTCTAGGACGCGAGATCGGAGGAATGGAGCGAGTGGACGCGGTATACTCGAGTTGTCCGCCAAAGGGGTCGGGGGGTTTGGATCAGGGTTTGGAAACGATTGGAACGCTTTGTCTGCGCGCAGCCCATCGCCTGCAATGCCATTAGCCTACAACCAACTGCGCATATTTTGGCACCTTACCGACGAACAAGACCAGTCGTTTTGCAGGAGCTTCTTGTGTCTGCACTCGGTGCTCGCGCATGCCATGGACGACAGGACTTTTGAAATAAATGTCGAAAATCTGTTCAAATCGTCAGATCAGGAGGTGACGGCCCCCAAGGGCAAAAAGAGGGTTCCAAAGGGTCCATTGCATCTGCTGGACTTACCGAAAATATGTACACCAGGTGGAACACCACCGCGATCAGTAAAAACCTATAGCGACCGAATTGCGCCATTATGAAAGAGTGTGAAGAAAGCGGATTGCGCCCTGAGGACACGGTGTGATGCGACGCGACGCTGCTCCTCAGTAAGTACTCCAATGGCCTACCGCGTACACCTGCCAAGACATTTTCAATCCATGCCAATACGACAAGCAATCCAGCCCGGGGGGGCGCTCTAGACTTATAGGGTTTCAGTCACTGGATTTAAACCCTACTTGCAAAAGAGCAGGGCGCTTGATTACACAATTGGGGTCCCTGAAGTGAGTATGTATTCTGTGGTCGCAAGTTGGTTACCCGAATAGGAAATACCGAGCTCAAGCTCCGCAACTTCCCGCACCGCCCAAAACATTTGCATTTGCACCAGCTTGTTGTTAATGCACTTGATTGCTATGGAATTCTCCGCCCCGACAAAGTCTTAATCAATGTATCAAAAGACCGGTGCTCCTTGTCTCATCCATCTCATGTCGTGGTCCCGCCTACTCTTCAACATTGAAGTTGGCGCCCTCTCTCAGACCCTCAACAACCAACTCATGGCCTTCTACGCGTTGGTAGATATCCTTGATATCGTCTGTGTGCATGTCAGTCTTGCCATATTTGCATCAGCTTCGCAGAACTTACCCGTAGTCGTCTCAAAGTGGCTGGTGGCATCATAGCTCTTCGACAAGAAGATGTTGTCGTTGGCACCGCTCTCGAGTGGCTCGTAAAGTGGAATTGCTGGGCCCATGAACTTCTCCTCGATCTTTCCGAGACGGTCGAGACCTGGCTGGAGCTCAAGGTGGTGGTTGCTGTCACCTTCGGCAATGGTGGAGACAATGGCGATGTAGTAGCCCTTGGGGCATACGTTGTGCGCCGACGAAACGACAGCGACGTAGATGTCTAGGTAACGTATTAGTGCCAGATCTGCAAACTGGAGACATTGCGCTTACCGTGCTTGCGGCCAACCTGAGACTGGGGGATGATCAGCTGCAGAGAATCCGCATCGCCGGTGTTAGGGATTGGGTGGTTAAGAATGCAAATGGCCTTGAGCAAATGTCCGGTAACTCGGACCTTGCCAGGGAAGTACGAGGGGTCTGCGAGAATCTTGCCCGCCTTGGTCTCGAACTTCATGCCCTCACCAGCATCGTCCTTCTCCTTCATGGTTGCCTTGATGCCGACAACCTTGTTACCATCGTATAGGAATTCGTCAACATCGGTGTTCAGCATGTAGGTACCGCCGTAGATGGCAGAGAGACGAGCAAAGCCCTGGGGAAGCTCTCCGAGACCGTAAAGGGGGTAGATGTAGGGCGACTTTCCGTACCGCGCCATGGAGTTGACGTAGAGCCGGATGCGCTGAATGGCCTCATTCGCCTGCCCCTGTTGCGTGATGTAGTCGTCGGTAGGGTATAGAGCCATGGAGTGACCAACGAAGTCGCGGGTGGTGGCCTCGAGGCCGAACTTGTCGTAGACATCTTTCATGGTGCATGTCTTTACGTCAAGGCCTTTGTCAGATGTTAGTCATTGCCAGTCCCAAGTCGACAGTGCGTATAGAATGCCTACCCTTGTGTGTCGCTGGGTCATCCAGATTGTATCCACCAACCCACTCTAGGAAGTTCTTTGCGCGGCGCTTCTCAAAGAGACCCATGAGGGGAGACTTTAGCGCCTCGGTGGTATCTGAGGGAACCTTTGCCACGGTCGCCTTGGCGCCATCGCCCTGTTGTACAAAGCTGCCTGCAATCTGCTTGAACTCGAGGTACTTGGTGACGTCGGTGGACACGAGGATGTTGGTGAGTTCACCGTTGGACATGAGGAGCTTGGGCACCAGGTCGATGTTCCAGTCATTTACGCGGCCGTACTTCTTCCACGGCTCACCCTCGGTCTGGCCATATCGCTTGAATAGCTACGTTGTTGGTCAGCGTTGTGTTGGAATATCTGCATGACGTGCTTTGCAACTTACTGCCTCGATGTTGAGTGATGCTGCCTCACTGCGTCATGTTAGTATGTTGAGCTCTCCCGGCTTGAGCCATATCCATCAAGACCACGTACCCGCCATAGTGGTCGTTGCGGTCGATGTGAAGCACTTTCTTGCCCTTGACACTAAGGACACTGCAAGAAAGTCAGTAGGGGCGCAGATGGACTTGTTGATCGAGTCTCTGTATTACCCTGAAAGCACGCATTCGGTGAGACCTGGGTATGATTAGCTTCGGCAATGGGTGGCATCGAGGTGGGGTAAAAGCAGCCCACCTGTTCCCAGGACCACGACGTCGTACTCTGGTGCGATTTCGTCCATGGCTGTATAATGGTAGTTGTGTAATGGAGGAGTTTGAGGAATGCGGGAGAAAGTTGTCCGCTAGGAAGCGCGTGGACAGGACCTCTTAGGGCGGTGAGATGGATGTGGGGTTGTAGCTCTTTGGGAAGCGCCTCGCCAATTTGGTCGACGTGTCTATGCTAGCATTACTTTCATAACTTATCGCGTTTTGGCATATGCTAGACTAGTGCGATTCACCATTTCATCGTCTTCATGGCTTGCTAGGAGTGCTACCTGCAGCTTGCTACAATATCTACCTGGGCTATCCTGTCACTTCAAATGTACGCGTCCTGTACCCCACGAGCGCACACAACCCGCCATCCTAGATGCGACATAATGTACAATACGTATATGAAGGTGCGGCCGTGCATGCTCTCCATTGCGGCGTGAACACCGCGCTTATACCGTACAGTAAACACCCACTTTATGCATAGTTGGTCTTGTCCTTTGGCCGTGCTTCTGCTGATGTGATATCGTTCGGGCCAGATTCGACTATAGCCTCTTGCTGAGCGTCCTGTGCTGCCTCGTCTTCCTCTAGCGGGTCCTGCAAACATGTCAGCATGCATCGAGCTTCGTTGATGAGTGCAACGTACATATGGCACCTGCGTGTACTGTGGCCCATCAGTCTTCTGAAGATCAATTTCAGGGTCATTCTGCGCCAGTGCAAAAGCTTCTTGGTACGCCTTGTGTCGCTCGGCCAAGGTGTCGAGGATTGCCTTCATCGTCTCCTGCACCGTCTGGTCGCGATTCGCATTCTCCACATCTCCGTAGCCAGCATTGATACGTTTGCGCTCAATCTTCTCCGTCGCAAGCCGGTTCCGCTCCTTTACACATATCCACCACAGCTGGTGTAGTGAGTCCCAGTCATGAGCGCGCAGCTCGCCCACGGTCCACGCTCTCCCTGTATCTCAGTCAGCCCTCAGCCTGGAAATCAAGTGACGAATCGCCGCGAACCGTGTTCCTGTTCGGTTATTGGTGTCTGCAGAAGCTGCTTGTCCTTGAAGAAATCCCAAAGTCCGTGGTCTGGGGTGCCCGTCACCTTCTCCTCGACCTTGACGGGCTTCGGTAGTTTCTGCTTCTCAAAGTCCTTCTTCTTAACTGACAGCGTTTGTCTAGCGCGTAGGCCAGTGGCCCTGACAGCCGAGTTTCCCCTGTCCTTGTTGTTGTCTCTCTTCCATCGTGCGGGCGAAGTGGAGAAGCATGCTCGCGGGGCATTGCGCGCCAATTGGACTGATGGGACAAGGAAAGCAAAAAGAGCATCCGAGTGTGTTGTCACCGCTACATTGGGCCGTAAGAGTCGTGAGGAGGATGTGGTAGCCATGTCGTGCGTGTGGGCTGTGCCTGCCACTGCAGAAGGCTGAGCCGACGCCGACGAAAGTTGCGCGGAAAGTGCGACCGGGGTCCGAAGACTAGTGGGGAGCAACCTACCCCGTCAGCCCTAGACTATGCCCCAGCTGGGAACCCACCGCCCTTGGCTGCGTAGTATAAAGAGAAGCCAGCTCCGCCCCTCTTCTGTTCCTCACCAAACTTCGCGCTCTTCACCCCGTGTTGGGCGCCCTCAGATAGTTTCCAATTTCACTTGACGATTTCTTCGATTTCACCGGCGGGTATCAGGACCCGCTCTACAACATCTCGACATGCAGTATACCACACTCACCATGCGACTCGCCTCAAGCTACAACGTCCGCATGTTCTGGCAACCATCTCAACGCGGAGTCTTCGTCAAGCCACCCTGGAAGTCAGGCAATTAACTGGGATTTCGCGCTTTCATATTCAACCGCTGACAACAGCGGTCCTCTGCTTGATTCCACCTCGCTGCTTCCTACTTCTTCCTCGGCCGCCTTGACTAGTGCTCTGCTTGCACCGGACCCTTCCTTTCACATGACCGTGGATTGGCAACTCTTTCCTACTTTAGACTCACAATATCTGGACCATGACACACAACTGCTTCCTGGCGACTCCACTCCCCTCACTCTCGCCGAGGCACATACAAACATGTTTGCCGTGTCGTCTGGCACGGGAATCACAAACAATATGAATACGTCTGTGCCAATGATGAGAGGTAAGCACAATCCTGATAATGAACCAACAACAATCTAATCGACGCAGACTTCTCCCACTCCGCTTCTTCCTCCACAAGTCCCAAGGACCGGAGCTCGTCATCTCCTGAGCACTCTTATTCTTCCAAATTGTCATCTACAAAGGACAGCCCCCTAGCACCTGAACCTTCCTTTCGCGTTGAAAAGCGTAAAGCCAATACGCTCGCTGCCCGTCGCTACCGCCAAAAGCGTGTCGATCAAATGAGCACTCTCGAAACCGAACTCAAGCAAGTCAAAGCCGAACGAGATGAGCTCAAAGTCCGCAACGCCAGGCTCGAAGGCGAGGTGGAGACGCTTCGTGCTCTGCTTTGCGCTAAGAAGTAAACATGTGCTAAACTGTCAGCACCTGACAGCTTCTCTTGTCTCTTTCGAGTTTCAACTGGGTCATCCTCTCAGACGATGTCGGAATTAGAACGATCATGGCACGGTAGTGCTCATTTCGGCAAAATGGGTGTTGTAATCTCAGGAGGGGCTTGCATGGAAACGGTCATGGGCACTCACACGCTCGGTCAGGTCATGTTGAAGCATCTCGATATGTGTTTCACGAATGCTACATAATTTACTACATGTCTATCTACTTATACCAGTGTTGCTTCTACATCATCTTCATTCATTGTGAGAAATGGTACATCAGTATGAGTGCATATATGCTCACCAGCTCAACTCAGAATGAGTCGAAGTGATGGAAGTGAGGTGTGCACGGTCGGGCCTCGATATAGCGGCAGTATTCACGTCCATCACCTTCGACTATGCACCAACTTACGGAAAGGGATCGTTGCGTTTGTCGCCATCTTTCAAACAATCCATCGTTTCCATCATCCCCAAGTCCAAATTGAGGTAATGCATGATATCGGACCACGCGAGTGACGCTGGTGTTCCAAAACAAAGTTCACAGCCTACTAGCTGCCGCTCGGCTATCCAATCAAAGGCTACGCCGGTGAGTCATTCTCGCTCACTATGTGTGCGAGGCTTAGCCTTCTTTTACGCCTTGCGTCCTCATGCCCTCGCATTGTCAGCTTGCAGACGTGAAGAGCCTGTTGTGGAGTCGAATAATTCGCGCAATGGCGCAGCCGACTACTGACTACCGACTACTGACTACTTTCTAGTCATGGTCTTTCGCGTGCAGTTGCCCGACATTCTTGCCGCTACTCCCAAAACCAGCAATCGCAGCAATCAAGCCCACCACTATGGGAAACTCAATTCGCGTTACGATGACAGGCGCCTCGCTAACTTTGATTTCTGTAATTCCAACTGTTAGCTCCCGTCATTTCGTGTTGGCGTTTGGTCATCGCGGCAGTTCGTTGCGCCACAAACACTACCTCCCTTCTTACTACACATCAGTCTTATATGATCCTGTTCTCTTACCGGAGAAATCCAGTCCAAATTTTCTAGAATCCTACTTCTTCAAGTCTCTCGATTTGAGTGTTCCTCTATTCATGCACGTTACTCTTGCATTGTTGACTGATGGGCAATCGCCTGGGGAGGCACAGCAAGAACAACGTGGCTGGGTCTTCCCGGATCTGCACTTTACTTTTAGCTACCGGAACGACATGAACCCCGTTATGGGCGCCAAAGGCCAAAAGATCAGTCAGCTATCGCCTCAGATCGTCGTCGTTGAGCAGCGTGCAACGCGTGTTTCAGCCTGGGGTACCTCAGACACTCACCACACCGGCAGGGACCCCGGCTTTGAACCGGCTTGATCCTTCTCGTGGATGTTCTGCTGCCGAGCCGATCACTTTATGCAAGCCTTTTACTGTCCAGCTGCATCCACTTGGTGGCATAGTCTACTCTGTTCACAGTTAGCAGCTGTTTGGACTTTTGCACGCATTGCCTCAATAGCCAAGTATGGGCTTGAGATACACTCCGTCTAAGCTTTTGAGCCGCAGCCCCGACGTAGCCCAGTTTCGTTCTTTCCTCACATGGCGGCATGGTCCCGTCAGGCCCGATTCGATAATTCCACTGCCGAGGGGTATACAATGGTTTCTAAACCTAGCATCTTTCGCGTGTCATAAACCCCCTTCCATGCGATGGACCAATCGCAGATGCCGGTCCTGTATTGTGGTTCACTGCACGTCGAGCCATGAGGTCGCTCCTCGGGCATAATGGTCACGACTGGGGTAGCCATTGCGCCTCTGCACACTCAGGATGCACGACACACTGCATGGAACATAACCTTCCGCCCGTGTAAACCTGGAGAACCTTAAGGCACACTACCCTTATTCATAATCGAACGCTTAGGCCCATCTTTCATGTTCACTGTTTGCCCCCCATCCGTGTTCTTCTGTTGTTGCCCGGGCACACAGTTCCACCGGTCGTGTTCTCGAATCGGGATCAATTGATTTGCATCTTCGCATTGAACAATTACAAACAATTACACAATGTATTTTCGACCAGGCTTTGTGGTGGTAGTCGTTGGGGCGATACTGACCACAATGTCGACGGTCATCGTAGGACTACGGTAAGTTTATCTGTCACTGAACCCACTCAACAAGTACTAATCTACTCCATTAGATACTACTGCCGCTACTACCTCATGGGCAAAGTTACTGCGAGCGACCATCTCATGTTTGTCGCTCTCGTAAGTAAAGCGTTCCTCCACGTGAAATTGAGCTGACAAGACCCAGGTCTGCACTTGGGGAAATTTCGTTGTCAACTATTATCAAGACGTTACGAGCAGCGGCTATCGATCTAGTTACCTTAGACGACCAGTACGTCAACCGAATCTCATTCTGAGCTGATCAAACTAACACAAGGCCTAGGATAAGCGACCCTTGATTGAAGGAAAGGTGCTCGGCACGCTTATATCTTGGTGGATCTACCGTTTGAGCTACAACTTAGCTCTTGGCTTCGTAAAGCTCAGCATCCTCTTCTTCTACCGAACAATCGCCTCAAACCGCACCTTCCGTCGCCTCGTCTATGCGACCATGGCAATTGTCGTCATGTACACCATCGGTGCCGTCATCGCCGCCATACTTCAGTGCGAAAACCCATCGGACGCTTGGTCTCCTGCCAATTACTTTGCTACATTCGACAAGTTCGACCCGAACCGCCGCCAGCCCAAATGTTACGATCCCGTCAAGCTATGGGCGTTCTCTGCAGCTGCCAACCTCTTGAGCGATGTCATCATTCTCCTGCTTCCCCTTCCGGCTTTACTCAGTCTTCGCATTCCTATGAGCAAGCGCTTAGCGCTTATCGGTGTCTTTTCGGTAGGCCTATTGGCCATTGTTGCATCTTCTATACGCGTATGGGTCATGGCGCTGTGGGCCGAGTCACCATCGAACTCTGCTCGCTACGGAAACGACCTGCTCCTATGGGGCCAGGTCGAAACCAACAGCGGCATCATTTCAGCATCAGTACCCTTCCTTCGCCTTCTGTTCCGCGACAGGCAAGTCGAGGAAAGAGGCACAGTACAAAAGAAGATATCAGCTACCCCAGCAACACCAGTTGAGCTTGAAGCCCAGACTCCGCCCAAAGTAATCGACCAGGGTGAATGGCCAGTCCAGGGCGAAAAGCCAGTGGGATATCCAGTGGCGAAGCAGCCAGTGAAAATGAGACGTCCTAACTGGGGCCCTTTCATCACAGTACCACAAGAGTTGAATCCCCGTACTGGTAGCACACAGCAGGAGTCTGCACTCGAGCCAGTGCATGAGCCACGTATGAATATATGAGAGTCTGGAGGTGTTTGAAAGTCGAAGTGGTAGTATAACTGTAATGTCTAAGTTCGTGTTTGGAGGTGGGCTTGTGGACAAGTGACAGAGGGTGGCTTCAGCAGTAGCTGGTCTACTGCGCCGTCACTTGTCAACGATACCCATAGTAAGTCAAGATACTCCTACATGTCAACTTGGATCATTCCACTGACTTTTGCCAGAAAACCTAGTGATGATTAGTAGATTTGAGATGGGGTTTGATAATGTGTCCTCGCAGCGATGATGTGGAGTGGGCTTCAGCAGCACAACGCGCCAAGAGCATGCCTTGGCGTATATATGCACTTGTATTCCTACCGTATGATTTTTTACGAATAGTATATATTCGCCTTGCTTAGAGGTGGACATGGCTTCTGTTTTGCTACGACCGTGTGGCGCTTTCTGAGGCATGTGTTGAACGAGGCTGACGGGACTTTGCTTGGCCGAGCAAGTGATACGTCCCGTGTAATGGATACCCCCAAGCCTCATGAGGTGATTTTCTTGTGTAATTACAACCCAAAACTCTTCAGCGACGCATTTGCCAAGACGGTATAAGCCTATGGCAAAACATCGTACAGAAATTGTTGCATGATAGTGATGTTGTCAGAAGGATCGTGATGTTAGTGTGCCAAGATGTCAGTCACCATGACCCCTTGGTGACCAACATGGTACACTGGAGCGTAGTTACATGGAGTCATCTGCTGGCTTGTAACGCTATGAGAGTTGCACACATATTTGTAACCGGAATATAGCGGTGGCTCACGTTACATTACCTTTTTAAGGTGGTGCAAGACACAAGCGGGGCCTATGAAGCTACCACGCTAGGCAAGTCATGCATGCACGGGTGCGGATCGCTTCCCCATGATTCGTAGCAGTCTACTGCTACGGGCTAGAGCATACATGCTAGGTGAAAGAGGTCACGTACACACTCACCTTCACCGCATCCACCTGTCGTGCTAGTAGCTACAAGGTTGTCTGTTTATCGCAGCACACGCGTCTAATCGTAAATCCCCCACATGCCGGCATCGGTACCAGCCACAGCTGCTCTAGCTTAATGCTGAACACCAACGTGGCTCCCTCCCGTTTCGTCAAGCTATTCTTCGCCGCAGTCGCTCTCTTCATTGCAACGACAGCCGTCCTGGCTTCCATTCGAATCGGCGGGCGCTACCCCTCAATTCTGCAATACGTCAAACCTCGTCCCCTGCAGAGTCCTTTGTATACACAACCGTTTCGACCCCTCACCAACTCCAGCATGGCGCCTTCGAAATACAAGTCGCCGCCGCAGCTGCCGCCCAAGTTCACGGCTACCCGCCAGAGCTTGATTGACGATGCGAAGAGGCTGGTATGTTGAAGCTTTCCCCCTTCTTCCGCATAGATCCGCCGCTGACACGGCCTAGATCGAGAGATCCCGAAGTGTTCAAGATGCAGTTGTTCGAGACGTCAAGCCCGAAAGCGCCACCTTTGCCAATGCTATCCTTCCAATTGCCCGCGATGACAACAAAATGGCCATTGAATCCCATGTTCTTGGCTTCTACAACGCCGTTTCCACGAGCAAGGACCTGCGCGATGCATCCAGCGAGGTGGAGCAGATGCTTGACGACTTTGGCATCGAGTCATCCATGCGCGAGGATGTCTTCAACCTCGTCGATGCTGTGTTGAAGAAGGACGAGCAACTGGACCCAGAGTCTCGGCGCTTGCTGGAGAAGGACCATAAGACCTTCATTCGTAATGGGCTTAGTCTGCCTGCGGGTCCAAAGAGGAACAGATTCAAGGAAATCAAGCAGCGACTGAGCACAATTGGCATCGCTTTCCAGAAGAACCTTAATGAGGAGAACGGGGGCTTGTGGTTTACACCAGAGGAGTTGCACGGTGTACCGGAGGATGTCCTTTCGGGTCTGAAGAAGGGTGAGGGCGAAAACGAGGGCAAGATCTTCTTGACCTTCAAGTATCCCGATCTCTTCCCAACGCTGAAATACGCTACCAACCCGGAGACGCGGATGAAGTTGTCTGTTGCAAACGAGAACAAGTGCAACGACAACGTAGCCCTGTTCAGGGAGGCCGTCCTCCTCCGCGATGAGGCAGCCCGTATCCTTGGCTATGATAACCATGCCCAGTTCAGGATCGAAGATAAGATGGCGAAGACTCCTAAGACGGTAAACGACTTCCTTGGTGATTTGCGCACCAAACTCGCGCCGGGCGGAAAGAAGGAGATCAAGAAATTGATCGAGTTGAAGAAGCAGGACGTGGCAGCAAATGGGTTGACGGGCCCATTGTCTGAAGACTACTATCTGTGGGACCACAGATACTACGACCGCTTGATGCTGGAGAAGGACTACCAGTTGGACCACCAGGTCATCGCTGAGTACTTCCCTCTGCAGCCCACCATCGAGGGTATGCTGAAGATCTTTGAGGAGCTCTTTGGCCTGGTCTTTATAAGCATTGCTGGCGAGGAAGAAAGGGCGGCCCTTGCAGATGGCGGCAAGGGTTCGGACATTGTCTGGCACGAGGATGTGCAAGTCTTCAGCGTTTGGGACGACGAGGGCGAAGGTGCTGGCTTTGTCGGCTACCTCTATCTTGATCTCCACCCGCGAGGTACGTAATCACACCATCAACAGGCGAATAGTGGGAGTTTGTCACGTGTCGAGTGCGCCATTCCCGATCGGGATAGTACTTGGTCACATGACACGACGTTCACTAACTGCATCCCCTCCCTTTGTAAAGATTTGCTAACATTTCCAAAGAGGGCAAGTACGGCCACGCCGCAAACTTCAACCTCCAGCCTGGCTACATTGACGAGAATGGCAAGAGAAGATATCCCGCTACGGCGCTGGTGTGCAATTTCTCGAAGCCAACGAAGAAGAAGCCATCATTGTTGAAGCACGACGAAGTCGTTACCTTGTTCCACGAACTAGGCCACGGTATTCATGACCTAGTTTCCCGAACAACCTACTCTCGTTTCCACGGCACCAACACTGTTCGTGACTTTGTCGAGGCACCATCGCAAATGCTGGAGAACTGGTGCTGGACTCCATCTCAACTTCGCGCTCTATCGCACCACTACTCTTACCTCTCCGCCGACTACGAGAAGGAGTATCTTGAGTCATCGGGTGCCGATAAGAAGCCATCCGAGAAGATTCCCGGATCGCTGGTAGCCAAGTTGATCTCGACCAAGCACGTCAACGATGCTCTGTTCAACCTGAGGCAGCTGCACTTTGGTACTTTCGACATGACTGTCCACGAGCCTGCTAGTCACGAGGAGCTGGAGAAGATGGACATCACTGAGAAGTACAACTCTTTGAGACACGAAATCAGTCAGCTCAAGGGCCCTGAATCATTGGAGGGCGAGAAGAAGGGTGACTGGCACTGGGGTAACGGTCAGGCTACATTCGGCCACTTGATCGGTGGTTATGACGCTGGGTATGACGAATTCCACCTCTTTACAGTGGGATTCTTGCTAACAATCACAGTTACTACGGCTACCTCTCATCCCAAGTCTACTCCACAGACATGTTCTACTCCGTCTTCAAATCCGACCCCATGAACGGAAAGGAAGGCAGGCGATACCGCCACACCGTCCTCGAGCGCGGTGGCTCAAAGGAGGAAATGGACATCCTAGAGGAGTTCCTCGGCCGCAAACCTCAAACCGATGCCTTCTACAAGGAACTTGGCATTTCTCAGTAGAACGAGAGCAATGTGCGGGTGTCGGAGTCTTGGAAACGCGAAGACTGGGAGCGTGGCTTCATCGTGGATGCGGATATCATGGGAAATGACTGGTGGTGGACTGAAGACGTGGATCAGGATGAGTATTGCAGTCAGCGCTCCATCGCCCAGGTACGGATGGATGGGTGGAGTAAAGATCTTGCAAGGTAGTTTAGGCATGCTGTTCATGATGCTGACGGTTGGGTGGATACTGGGACGTGGTGAAGCTCGACTCTTGTGTCTGGGTGTGGTATAGACGCCAGCGTAGGGAGTATTGCTAATGCACTATCAATAAACAAATCCGGTTTGAATAAGAAATCCGCGTTTCTTCAGATACTCGGTATGTGAAAGTCACTCCCACCTTCCTTCCGTTTCCCTCGTATCTGCCAAACATCCTCATCCTTTAAAGATGACTGTATTTGGCAAAGTATAACAAGACTCACTTATTCCCATTATCATTTCCTTGCCTTCAAAAAGCATATCACGAAGCATTCGAATCACTCCAGGCAAAGAACATGATTTTAACGTTGAATAAATTCATATCCCCTTCCCTACCACCACCATGACCATCTATCCAACATCTACCCTTCCACACCCCACAAACCCATTCACACCCTCCCCTTCCCCCGACTCGGACTATCCATCCAATTCTGCGTAAACCCATCCTCGTCATCATCCTGATCCACATCCCCCAGATCAATGCCCGTAACACCATCTACATCATCATCGTCATCATCACCATCAGGTTCCTTCCCCGGCGTCCACACGGGACTAGTAGCAATACGGGGTCTACTTTTAAACACGCGGTCGTAATCCACTTCATCACTGAACAATTGTTCCGTGGGAGTACGTTCAATATTATCTGCGTCATCGTCGTCGTCGTCGCCTAGGTTCTCCATGGATCTGCGAGTGCGGGGAGTGGTGCCGAATTGGTTTACAGGAAACAAGCTCGAACGGCTAGTTTTGCGTGTTTGATTATTTGCTTGGTCGGGGCGGGGGTGGTTGGATTGTTGGGTGGCGAGCATGCTGAGGCGTGTGCGTTCGAGGAGGGTGGCTTGTCGGTCGGTGTCTTCCGGGAGGGATGGTGGACCCATGGTGGAGGGTAAGGGGAGGTCTGGGGATTCCGGGACGGCTTCGTACGAGTTTGTGCGCGCCATTGTCATGCGTGTGCGCTCCATGAGGGAGAGAGACATTCGTGGTTGTGGCTTTTTGACGGGGGAGGGCGTTGCTTCGCCGATGGAGTTTATGATTTGGTCGGCTAGGGCTTCTTCGGCGTCAAGGACTGGTGGGTCGAAGGTAGGGATTGACGGTTGAGATGAATAGCTGGACGACACTGCCGGTACGGGTTCAGGCGATGCTTCTTGCTGTGTCTCCTCTGTAGTTTCGGAGATAAGTGTCTCGTCAATTGGGTCAGAAGTAGGCGGTATAGATCTAGATACAGGTGAGGCCTCGTGTGGTGTTCCAACTGAAGACTCAACAGTATCTGAAGTGGGTGCTGTGCTGGGAATCAAAGTTGCATCCGAGTCGATTGGTGTAACAACCACTGGAACTTGTCGTGATGGCCGGGGGAGGACTGGGACATTATCAAAAGAGTGCTGTCTCGATTGTAATTGAGGTTTAGGAGGCACGGCAGAGCTCGTTGGTGATGCTGGAAACGATTCAGGGAGTGCAGGCTTCTTACTTCGGTTTGGCACAGGTGGAGGGGCCTTTTTCGGCGAGACACGCCTTCGCGGTATAATGGTAGAGATGGGATTTGCTTTGACTTTGGATGCATTTTCAAGTTCATCCTCCATCTCGGACAAGATGTCCCGATATCTTGTTCGCATAGCCGGCCGCTTGCTCTTGACATCGATCGTTTCCTTCAAGGAGGGCAGCTGATACTGCGAGTGATCCTTGAACTTGAACTCCTTGATAGCCGTTCCAGCTTTGCCATTTACCGAAGCACTCTTTTCTGTTCCTTCTCCCCGTAGCTCTTCGTGGAAGTTCTTCCATGTCTGCAATCTCTTTTGCTGTTCTTGCACCCGTGACTGCAGATTCTCCAGTAGCCCAGCCTCAGCCGCGACATCCTCCAATTTGCTGCCCTTCTCCACCATATGCCAGACTTTGTCGAAGCGACCATTGAGGAAAGCATCTTCTGCGTGGACACCGTCGCCGTGAAGCATGACATGCAGCCATTTCTGGTTGCCAATCCAATTGTCCTTGAGTTGCTTCTTGACTGCCTCTGCCTCCTTCGGGGGTACCGCCGGCCTCTTTGCTCGAGGCGTTTCCTTGCACTTGTGTATGCGACTATTGATGTCTACGGCCTTGTTATCCAGCAAATTTTGGAATTCCATATATCTCCTCCTCTTTTCCTCTTTTTGCCTCAGCACATTTTGCAGAGCTGCCTTGTGCGCAATTGCCAGTGGAAGCAACGAGCGTTGTTGGTCTGCCGACAGCATGGGCGCAGTCGCTAGCCTCCGTGCAACTGCCACATCCTCAAGGCCTTGCTCCCTCGCTGCGATGACCTTTTTAAGAACTGCATTGGAGAATATAGCAATGATCTCGTAGAACTTTTCGCCCTTGCACTCATCCAACATAGTCTTTCTAAGAACCGACTCCCTGCCCAGCAGCCCATTTTTCTTCAATTCGTTCAAGCATCGGTAGAGGGCGGCGCGGAGGTTTAGCGATTGGAGGGGTTCGAGTGGGGGAAAGAAGGGTTGAAGTTTCTAAGGGTACATTAGAGACAGCATAAGTCTACCACCGTATCAACGTACCTGGGCTGTTTCGTTTGGATCCCAAATCTCGAACAAGCGGAACAAGGCCCACTCGGTTCCACCGATTCTCTGTCTCTGGTCCGCATTCTTGCCCGAGAAAGTCTGGACCGTGATACCGGGCCAGTCTTGGCGCAAGTCAAAGTCGAGCAGTCGCAGGTTGGTCACGAAGATCTTGATATCAGACACTGATATGGAATTTACTGGCTGAGGCTTAGTGACTGTCTTGACCGACATGGTGCGCGAATGTCCACTGCTCGTTGCCGTCGTGGCTGTAGAAGTGGTCGAGGTAGGGCGTGACATGGCTGCTGCCCCCGAGTATCATGCATCCGCGCTTCAGCCCGGTGAGCGACCCTTGCGAACGGCGATGGATGCGTGGTGTTGCGGTGTGACGGACCCTTGTAATGTTTGCCAAGCCGGGTGCTACCCACCATGCCGCCCGCGCTTGCTGTTCGTGGTTTGACCTTTAGGACTTTGTCCCACTTCACTACGCCGCGGCCAGAACATTCACGCTAAACAAACATCACATTCACCCTTTAAAGACACACTCTCTCACCTAGAGCACTCGATTCCACTTTCTCTTACACATTGCCGACAAATCAGACAAAAATCATGACAGTCGACGAAGCAACACAAACAAACGGCAACTATGAGGCAAAGGACGCGCAGCAGAGCACCTGGACAGTTGAGACTGGTATGTCATGAACGCAAAGCAATGGCTCGTCCGTATGCGATAATCTCTCTTATCCCCCACTTTCAACCCTCAAAACACGTCTAACGTGCACATAGTCCTCTCTGAGATAACACCCCGCTACGCGGAAAACACCGACTCGCCCGTCCCCTTCTTCCACCTCCTCGAGCGCCTAAAGACGACCAAGCGTGCAGGATGGCACCGATTCGGCATTGAGGGCGAATCAATCTCCGACCACATGTATCGCATGAGCATCCTCACCATGATGGCCCCCAAATCGATTTCCGAACATCTCGACATACTCAAGTGCTGTCGCATGGCTCTTATCCACGACATGGCCGAGTCTCTGGTCGGAGACATCACACCAGTAGATGACGTGAGCAAGCCGGAGAAGAGCAGGAGGGAAGCCGACACCATGGACTACATCTGCACGAACTTGCTGGGTAAGTTCAACGGCGGTCTGAATGGCAAGGAGGTGCGGGAAATTTGGCAGGAATACGAGGACAGCGAAACGAAAGAATCAAAATTCGTCCACGACATCGACAAGGTCGAACTTCTAGTCCAGATGTTGGAGTATGAGCGGCAATACAAGTGTGAGAAGGATCTGGGCGAGTTCACTTGGGTCGCGGAGAAGGTAGTAAGCGATGAGGTCAATGGCTGGGTAAAGCAGATATTCCGCGAACGACAACAAATGTGGAAGGATGCTGGCAAGGTGCCAACATGGAAAGGCAACACCGAGCCCAAGGACTAGTCATGACTGTCTTGTAATCGCGTCTTCCGGGCTTGCTCACAGACATGTTTACATACTTCAATGTGCATACTTAGAACGATGGCCACCATTTGATATTCATTCGGCCCAACCCTGCTCAAGGACTAGACAAACTAACCAATCTCCTCTTCTTCACCTCCCGCGTCGGCGTCGCCACATGCCCCGCTGGCTTAAGCAACCCCAAATCCCCCATATAATCCACAGGAGTACTCGGCCCATTCAAATTCCCGCTCCGCTCCGCCGGTCTCGCATACTCGCCCTTTCTGATATTCTTCCCGGACCGCCGTCCATGCCAGTAACAAAGGCCAGAACTCGGTCCCTTGTACTTTTCGTGTAACGGACACAGCGGGGAATTAGGCAAATGTTCAGGAACCAGCCACTCGAACTTCCGACGCTCTTCTGCTTCTTGCTGGGCGAGGAGTGTCAACGTGCGTTCGTCGGGTGTTTCGACCGAGAGCTGGTTGTGCAGTTTGTACCAGCCGTCGTGGCCGAGCATGGGGCTTGAGGCAGCTAACGAGGGACTTGCAGGCGGTTTCACACCTAGATATCCGGCATCGCCTCTTATGAGGTCTGGGGTACCGTTTGTGTCAAAGTCTGTGGGTGTGGACACGAAGTCGCTGCGTGGGCCTTCTGGCCCTTCCTCCTCCTCTTCGTCGTCGAAGTTGTCGAGGTCGTGCGATAGGCTCATCAGCAGGGCGTCAGAGTCCCAGTAGCCTCCCCGACTGGATTTGGGTTTGTGGCGTGTGCTTGGACCCCCGGGGCCTTGGACATCGAAGAAGAAGTCTGCTAGTTTCCCCCTGACTTCACCGTTTGCGTCGAAGAGGGGAGGTGTGGGGACACGGCTTAAGCCTGGTGGAACAAAACTAGGCGGGGCGTCCATGTATGCTAAAGAGGTCGGTGGAGGTCTTTGTTTGCCACCTGGAGCGCGGTGAGAGGCAGGGGTAGTTGGTTTGGGACTTTCCATGCCGGTCTGGTCGGATATGCGGTTCGCGCGTTTGAAGGGATTAATGGAAAACCGGCGACCGAAGATTTCAGACGCGGGAGAAGGAGGAGCGTCTTCACTAGATGCCTTGCTTTTCCACGCCCATCGGCGAGACCTCGTCGTAGCCTGTGATATTTTTTGTAGCTCTGCCTTCGTATGGGTCTGTCGTTCTTGGTATACGTGCTCCTCTGCCGGGGTCGTCGCACTACTGGCGCTGGCGCTCGCACTCGCACTCGTACCGCTGTGACCACTCAAGAGACTACGCGTTCTCTTGGATTTTGGAAGAGAGATGTAACATCGATCTCGTACTTTGGCAGGTGGCCTCTCGAACCTGGGCGTTTGTAACGAGACAAGCGCATCACTACCTGGTAGGAGACACAGACCGTCGTCACGAGCGTGGGCTTCCTCAATAATGGGCGCGGACTTGGCTATTGGCAATGGTTCCCATGTTGGTTGCTTGTTGCGGACCCAAGGCGTTTTGGGACTCCTTTGGCGTGGGGCACCGAGGCTTCCTACCAAGTCCGCTGGCGAGCGTCCACGAGGAGGAAGGTCTGGCATCTCGGTGGGCATCGAGAGATCCAATTGCACTTTTCTGCGATCTCGTAGTCCGCCTTTCGCCGATGGTGAAGGTATGTTCTTAGGCTTGCTGGATTTGTTGATGGATTCTGACTGTGCTTCATGTATAACGGGTGGTCTCCAAGACTTATCGTGCGATTCTTTTGAGGTTGCAGTCGGTAATGGGGCAAATGATAGCACGCGATCCTTCTTTTGTAACTTGACTGAAACGGATTCTTTCGAGTCTCGTCTAGGTTGGACCTGCTTGCTCTCTAGAGGGTGCAGTATCATATCCGGCACATGTCGTACAATACCCTTTGCAAACGCCGCGATGGATGACCTTCTGTTATCGAGCGTGTATGATTCACTGGTATTGGTGGAGAAGGAGTCGGTCATATGAATAGAAGTGGAAGCACGCGATTCCATGCTGTCGACATGCTGTAGCTTGATGTTCTGTAGATGATCAGCATCCACAATAGTGGCTCTGCGTATGATCTCCTCTAGCGGCGGAGGTGTGTCCGGAAGCTCCTGCCCCATTGTCACCAGGTTAGGATTATACCTCCCATGGCCTTCAAAGTTCGATTGCTGGCCCCAGACGAAGCCTTCCCGCCTGTTCGCATGTCTCGGCGTAAGTCCGTCATCCTGACTTGATGATTCGACCGCAATGAGATGATCGGCGTGTTCCTGAAGTGAGGTGTAATTTCTGGCGAGTTTTCCGAGGTCGTGTGCAGAGGGTGTGTGTACGTCTGATGTATCTAGGGGAATACCAGAGTGGGGCGCGGCGGCAGCGTCAGTTGCGTGGACCCTCGACAACGGTGCCGACAACATGTGCGAACTGGCGGTGACTACCACGACTCAGATGTGACGCGTCGGCGTCCGCTTATTGAACATCAATCAGCGGTTTTGTCGGATTGTATCTATAGGTATATCGCAAATGGGTTGGCGGAAGAATAGGTCATGTGCGAAGATAGGAAACATGTTGCTGTTGTGGTCGTGGAAGTAATCGAAGCTTGTATCTTCCATCTCCAAATCGGGAAGGAGAGGTGGACGACAAGACACCCCAACGGGGAAGCGACCAATGACGCCGAAGATGTGCATATCCAACTTCCCAACCAGGACTTTAGAGCCGTAAACAAGACTCCGCCAACACCCTCCTATGCAAGCCTATACAGATATCAATCCAACCCACAATTCAGTCCATGCGCACCGGGTATCCAAGCCATGCCTCATAAAACATTATACAAACGCCGCTAGCGATCCGACCCAGATGTCGCTTGCACCACACTGGTACCATCAACAAACCGTGTGCGGAAAATACGGTTCGCGTTTTGGAACATGCCGTCCTTTAGACTAACGACGATGAATTGCGAACCCTTGAATCTCGTCTTGAAGAGGCGACCAATATTTTGGGTGTGCGACAAATCTAGCGCGGCGTCGACCTCATCCAGGATGTACATGGGCGCGGGCTTGAACTGCAGTAAAGCCATGATGAGGGATAGAGCGATGAGAGATCTTTAGCATGTTAGTGGAGCTCATTGCTTCAGAGAGACTGGTGCATACCGTTGTCCACCACTGAGTTCTGTCAAGGACTGCTTCCACACCTTGCCCAGCATGACCTTGACTTCCAAACCGTCGGAAATCGTCTTGCCTTCTGGCGGGTCAAGCTTCGCAAAACTTCCAGGCAACAGCTCGTTGAAAATCTGACCGAAATCACGGTTCACGATCGTCCAAGTCTTGTGTAGCGCCTCCTTCTTATACTCGTCCAACTTCAGAATAGTCTCCTCGATCTTCGACTTGTCGCGAATAACGGTGGACATGTTCTTCTTGAGACTTGCTTCCTTCTTCTCAACATTATCGATCATCGCCATTACCTTGGGGTTGATCTTGTTTTTCTTCTGCTGGAAGTGCTCTTCCAGTGACTTCCGCCTCGTCTTGGCGTCCGCCATGTTCACGCCGTTGAAGTCGTATACGGTTCCAGCCCGCCCAAATAGCTCAGAGTCGCTGGCGATGAAGTCGTACTCCTTCTCAAGAGACTTGACGTGGCTCGCCGCACCCTCTTGCTCCTTGCCGAACCTCTCAATTTCGTGGCCTAGCTTCTGTTGCTCTAGACCACTTTCTGTAATTGACGAGTTCTTCGATCTGATGGCATCTTCCAGCGAACGCAGCTCTTCGTCGAAGCCAGTTAGCTTTGCTTGTTCGTCGCTTAGCTGGGCTTGCGCCACATCGTGTGCATCCTGCAGCCGTTAGTATTGAGGGTGACGTTACTGTGAGAAGCTTACCTTGACCCGTGTTTGCTCTGCCAACAGTTCATTGATTTCTTCTTGTTGCGACTTCAGCGTAGTCTGAACTTCTTCGAGCTGTTCTTGTGCAGCCGCAAGGTCGCTTCCGCACTGCTCAGACTCAACCATAGCTTCACGCATCTCGGATTGCAGAGGCTTGATAGATGCGTTGTTCTTCGTCAAAGCCTTCTTCAGCTTCTCGAGTGATGACTGAAGTTCCGCCAGTTTACTGTCTTTGTTGTTGCTGAATTCGCTCATGTCACGTTCGATGCGTTTGGCGTCCTTGTTCGCTTCGTCTTGTCGTGTTTTCGCGGCCTTGACGTCTTCCTTCAGCTGCGCAATAGTTTGCTTCATCTCCTCTACAGCTTGGATAATCTACAAAGTCTTTAGCATTTGTCGACATTAAAAGAGAAGCATGACAACATACTGATGAAGAAGAGTTGCCACTGATTTGCTCTTCGGTAAGCTTGATCTCGTGCCTCTTGAGGTCAAGCTCCTGCTTTGATTTGCGTGCTGCGTCCAGCTTTTTCTTCTCCTTGGCCATTGTGTCCTGCAATGACTGGAGCTGATTCTCTTGCGAGCGCAACTCTGTCGTAATCTCATTGAGCTTCTGTAGCGTGATGAGCACCCCGCTAGATTGGGGTGCACTACCACCAGACAAGACACCCGCAGGATCATATGTATCACCTTGCAAGGTGACACTCTTCATGCGCACTGCTGGATCGAATGTCACGCGCTTAGCGGTCTCAGCGTCTTCACAGACGAGAGTTGAGCCGAAGACATACTCCATAGCCGCGTTGACCTCATGCTCGTAGCCGATCAGTGAAAGAGCTAACTCAACCTTTCCAGGAGCAATCTTTTGGGCAGCTCCGATCTTTTCTGCTGAGGCCTTGAACGCGGCAATCTTGTTCAACGGGATGATGGTGACCCGCTTCTTCAGTCTTCCATTCTCCAGCAACTGCTTGCCAGTAACAGCTGAGTCGACTACGACATTGTACAAGCGGCCTCCTGCACAGATCTCAAGAGCTGTACCTGCGCGAGTGTGCTCCTTCTCGAGAGTGAATAGCTGGGCAACCAGACCTTTCACGCGGGATCTATCAAAGTTGGGCGTCGGATCGCTGTAGCTGAAGTCGATGTTCGCGACCTGTCGCCTCATCCCGTCGGCTTGTTGTCTGAGTTCCCGTATACGAGCCTGCAAGTGTGACTCTTGCTGGTACATGTCCGCTTCTTGACCTTCATTGTAGCCTAGCTTTGCCAAGTCTGCCTCCAGCTTCTTGGCCTGTGACTTCAACGCTTCGAGATCCTTGAGTAGGCCGGAGTTTTGCTCTTTTGCCTTCTTCGCCTTCGGCTCATCCTCCTTGATTTGCTTTTCAAGATGTGATATCCTAAGTTTGCTCTGCTCCTGTTCGGTGGCGGCTGCACTTGCGCGGTTTCGGGCGTCCTGCAGTTGACCTTGGTAACCACCTTCTTGGCCTTCTTTCGACGCTACACCGGTTTGTAGTGTCTGAAGAAGTTCTTCCTTCTTCTCCACCTCTTCTGTTTGCTTTGCCAATTCAGCGTGAGCAGTCTGGTATTTCTCTTGTAGTTTCTCGTACGTCTTCTTCTTCTCCTGGAGTAGCTTCTCCAGTTCCTTTACGCTCTTCACAATGCCCTTCTCACGGTCAGCCTCCTCCTCCATATTGGTCTTCTTGAGGTCTAGCACAGTCGTCAGACGGACGATCTCGTGCGAATGCGTCTTGACCTCCTCTTCGAGTGCTTGGAACTTGCCACCCTTACGAAGTTCCTTTTCCCGGGTCGCCTTGGTCTGTTTGATATCTTCCTGGAGATTCTCAATCTCCTTCTTCATGCGCACAGAAGACTCTTCAAGGTCCCTTGCCCTCTGCTTCTTCGCCTCGAGATCCTCTGCGGATTGTTGTAGCCTCTGGTTGTACCGTATGTAGTCGTATGCAACCACTAGTTTGGTGAGGCGCTCTAGTTCGCTTTGCGTTTGCTGGAACTCCAAGAATGCACGCTTCTCAGTCCGCAATTTCTCGAGCTTTGGGTCGATTTCGTCTCGTAGCAGCTCCGTAATCTCCTGCACCTTCATCTCCTTCTTCGCCATGGTTTTGTAGGCCTTGTCTCGCCTGTCCTCAAACATGCGCGTGCCCGCAGCTTCTTCAAGCATAGCCAGAATCTCCTTGGCCTTCATGTTCAGCACCTGCATAACCTTTCCCTGAGCGATCATGAAATTGGGATTGTTGATGTTGAGCTGCACAGACTGGAACAGATTCTGTATGCTCTGTTGCTGCGCACGATGTCCATTGATGAGATATTTGCTCGCTCCGCCTAGCACAATCTGCCTCGTTACCGATATCTGCGCATGCTCCTCGAAGCCGACCGGGCTCTTCGTCTTGTCGCGGTTGTCGAATACGATGGTTACGCTCGCTTTCGTGACGCCCGCTTGACCACGCTTGTAGATGAGATCCTGTAATCTGTTAATACACGGTCAATGCCAGTCGACGCCTTAACCTACCTGCAAGTTCTGCGCTCGTACAACACTCAAGTTGTTGATTCCAAGCACGAAACATATTGAATCGAGAATGTTCGACTTTCCGGATCCGTTGAGTCCCGTGATTGAGTTGAAGCTCTCATCCCTATTCCATTTGAGCCGTGTTTCTCTGTTTGAGTGGTGGGTAAACATACCAGCCGGAGATGACCGTACGCACAGCGTACGACTTGTAGCCCTAGAAACACATTAGAAGCTGTCGCATCCCTCTAGATTAGATACGTACATCTATCACCAATTCTATAATCCTCATGGTGGCTGCATATGCTGTTGTCGTTGCTGTGTTTGTTGTGTTCCGCGGTCGTAAACCAGGGTTCCCCCAAAATGGCGATAGCGCCTCTTACGACGCGCTAGCCCCTCATTCACGTGCCTGCGCGATACACTCCAGATGTCATTGCCCGGACCACGCCTTCATGCGATCACAGCTAGACGGTTATTCCCCTGTTCTAGCTATGTAATTGGCTAATTGATGTCTCTACATGGTGTTTATGCCACTCTTTGGATACTACAAGAGCTCACGTATTCTGATAAGAAGGGTATGTACCACATACATCACAATGATCAAGAGTCAATGGAGTGTTACTGGCGGTCAAGCCCACAGTATCATGTGTATTCAAGGAAATGCGAAATTTCGCCAATTATCAAGTGCTGTCATCTCTCATGAAGGCAAACCCGGTCCTGTCACCGAGCCCGCCCCAGGCAATGCTTCGGCTCAGCTTCCTCAGCTTCGCTTACTTCAGTACACGCAGTCTTGGAACGAGTCCTCTTTCCAGCCTCTTCAGAGGTTTCGTGTATGTCTTTTGAATCAAAACTCTCCTTCCCCTTCAAGTCGTACCCGCCTTCGCTGGCCGTATCGCGTGGGAGCGGATCAGTCTTTGGTGCGCCCCCCAGCTCCATTATGTTATCACTATCACCTTGATTGTCGGATAATCTAAAGTTGAATATCCGAGATCCTCGTGATGCGAACTTGCCTGGTCGGGTCGTGGTGGCGGTGCGATCCTCATAGTACGAGGTGAACCGACCGGTGCCGTACTGTGGGAACAGGTATCGGAAAAGGCACTTTGTAGCGGGCGCGCATGCCGTCATGATATGCACAGCAGGTTCGGCAATGCTGATGGCAATACCAATGTCCCATGTGCGGTCCTTGTTCGTGGGCGCAAAGCGATAGTAGTAGACTATGAACCGGCCAATTGAAACGCCAGTCGCAATCCATCCCAAGCTCATGACACCCACAACAAGGATCTTTGTGCGCCGGTGCATTTGGAGGTTCCACACCATGATGGAAGGAATCGGGATGATGATGAGGTCCATGAAGATGGACAGAGCACACGAACTGAGTACGAACGTGCGAGTGTCGATGCATGTTCCACCCCGTATAACTTCTCCATTAGCACCAACCTTATCCATGGCCGGTCGGGACCAGGCATACGACGCCGGGCTGCATTGGAAGAGATTGGCGATAGTTGCTCCGACCGAATAGAAGATGTTGAGCCAAAAGACGGCATGTATAGGGTATCTGATACGCCGACGAGTGTCCTTCATCCGGAACAGGAACATGATAATAGAGGCTCTGATCAACCCCATGACTAGATATTGTCACCGTAGGTCAGCGATTGTTGCAAGCGGTCCATGGGAAAACACGTACGAGGGTGATACATCATCTGCACTGCGAAGTTCCATCTTATGGCAACGAGTTGCGATGGGATGGACTTCTTAGGCAAGTCGTAGATGTGATAGCCAGTGCCACTTAGTAGCACATATACCCATGTTGCTACAGTGTCTGCTATGAATATCACAGATGCGAGGATGATAATGTGGTCGTCCCAGCAAAAGTTGCGTCCCAGGTACCGTGACCAGAGCCTGAGGAAAACAGTAAAGGACGCGACGACTGTGAAGACACAGATGATCGCAAGACACTCATGCTGCCGACTTTCGACCATTGTCCCCACGGCCTTCGCCGTGGACATTCGGTGATGGAAAGCGACGGTGTCTGTCGATGCCGTCGGGTGAGTTACACCGTAGTAGAGAGAGCTGGTCTGTTCAGTGGCCGCGGAACCGGGAGTGAAGGCGAAATGATGATCGTGGGTCCACGACGATAGAGTATCCGAGACTCGACCTGGGAGTGACGGCGTGAATCGTTGACGATCTGGGGTATGTGGCAAAGGATATCAATGTGACTGGAAAAAGAACAAATGAAAGTAAACTGGACTCTTCTAGAGACCTTGAAGCCTCTTACGCTGAATCGTTGTTGTCTGAGCACGCGCAAGGAGCCGTCCGTATGCACCCTTGAAAGCAAATAGCTTGGTGGCCAAGAAGGACGTAATCATATACATCTCGCCGGCGAGGCGGACAACGAAACCAGTCCAACTAGAGCTCTAGACTGCTCATGTCCCCAGGATGAAAACCTGCAAGGCACCAGGGACAACATACTAAATCAAGGTCATGTCCGCCCTCCATTATGCAGGCCGTGCCCGGGACCGCGGTGGGGGAGCTCCGTCTGTGTGATCATCTTTTAAATTGCCATAAGGAGTACTAGACTGTCTCAAGCCATTGAAAGAAGCTCCTTCACGGTCCGAATGTGGGTTGACAACTCGAGTAAGTTTCTCAACACGGGCCATGCATGCCGAGATGATGCCTATTGGCTGGTGGAAGTTCTGGATGACGGACGGGAGGGAAGGCATGGGTCATTGGGCTGCTGTTTCGAAACATTATCTTTGCGAGTCAAGTTCTTGGGCTGCGCAAGGTTGATGCAAGAAACCATGTGGACCACAGGAAAGTGGCGTTGGGCTCTGGGCTCTGGAAGGCTGTCGTGAGGCTTTCGGCTCTCAGCAACAATGCCGTGATGCTAAGAATATTGTCCGGACCGCGTGCGTGGGCAGCGGCAGCGCAAGTCAATCCGGGGTGCGGGATTGGACGGCGGGATAATCAACAGCAGTTTTTGGTTGGCTGTGGTGTGATCAGATGTTTGTTTTTCCGCGAAGACGCTTGAGGCACGAGAATATCCGTGGTAGATTCGCTTGGCAGGTTCCCGTTGGGGTCGCCGATCCCAACTCTTTCGCTGACCCCCGACCGCGCTACCCCTCGAACCCGCACTACCACAGACTACCGCGAACTACCGTAAGCCAGGGTTGCAAATGGCTCTGGACCACGGCATTGCCGCGTCGACGGATGAAACCCTAGCACCATCAATCTCTTCTCCTCATGCGATTTAGAAATGCTCCTGAAGATGGACCATCGCGCACTGTCGATTGCCGACTGCCTGTCCCTTGTATGGTATAGTTTGGTGCTCAGTGAATGCTTGTCGCAATTGCCGCCCTCTATCATAGAACCAATCTGGTGGGGTCTTTCGGGTGGATACAACATTCGTTAACGCAATCCCATGTTCACGATCCTAGCTGGTTCAGCTTATATGATACATTTCTGTACAAGATCAGCAGTCACATTCAGGGCAACAGCATTAGCCTATAACCTGCCAAGAACGGTATTTTAAACGTTTCCTGATGTACCGAGTCATTTAGTGAGATGAGTACTATGTCAATCCCTTCGTTTCTCGTCTCACAGCGCAACGGTCCGTAGTACGTACGCCATCACCCGCAGACTTCAAGGGACAGGTAAGTAGCGAAACTTTGTTGTGAGACAAGAAACGTTTCTGACAGGTATACAGATCTGCAACCGGTGAACCAGACGATCAAGTACCAGAAGACGGTCACTCGGGCTTACTCTGAATCGTTGATCGAATCGACGACCTTGTTATTATGGCATCCATGACCTTATGGCTCACAGCGTTGGCTGCAGCCTCAACGACAGCATCGCCCCTGTTGTCAGCTAAACTTAATACTTGCGTCTTCGACGCAGATGTCGACTTACAAGGCGTCACTCCCGCAGTCAGGTCACTTTTCCTGCCCGGCTCAGTCGCCACACCACACAACTCGACATCGAGATGCAAAGTGTACCCGGACGACCCACAATGGCCATCCGACGAAGCCTGGTCCAAACTTAACGAACTGACTGGCGACCGCGTTCTCAACGCGCCTACTCCTCTGGCTGCGGTTTGCTACCCTGGCGCCGACTATGATGGTGCAAAGTGCTCAGAATACACTCTGGCAGCATGGCAAAGGAGTTATCTTCACATGGTCGACCCCATCGAGATGATGTCTCCAGTCGCACAAGGCATGACCTGCACACCACCGATGCTCTTCGACTCGCACGGGTGCACTCGCGGTGGATACCCAATGTATGTCGTCAATGCCACGGAGCCCAAGCACGTCCAGCTTGCTGTGAACTTTGCAAGGAACACTGGCGTTAGACTCGTCATCAAGAACACTGGCCATGACTTTTTGGGCAAGAGCGGCGGCAAAGACGCCCTTAGCATCTGGACGCACAACATGAAGGATATTGAATACATCGAGAATTATGTCGACGAGAAGCTCAACTACTCCGGTCCTGCCTTCAAGAACGGTGTCGGTGTTCAAGCCTTTGAGATCTACAAGGCTGCCGCTGAGAAGGGCAGAGTCGTCGTTGGTGGCGAAGGCGAGACAGTCGGAGTCATGGGTGGCTACATCCAGGGTGGAGGTCACTCGCCTCTGACTGGACTCTATGGTACTGGCGCTGACAGTGTTCTGTCCATGGAAGTCGTCAGGGCTGATGGCGAGTTCGTCGTCGCCAACTCCACCTCCAACACCGATCTTTTCTGGGCTCTTCGCGGTGGAGGTGGCAGCACATTCGGTGTCGTCACCTCTGTCACTGTCAAGGCGCACCCTGACTTGGAGGTTACCACCTCTCGATTCGGATTCTCATCCGTGGACACTGGCAACGAGACCTTTTGGGCTGCGATGCGCGCCTATGTCGACTCCTGGATCGACAACGCGGACGCAGGCACATACACATACTGGACCCTGATTCCCAAGAACGGCACTTTCGCCTTCGCCTTTTCTCCCTTCTTCGCACCAGGCAAGTCTGAAGCGGAGGCCACTGCTCTCCTGCAGCCTTTCCTCACCAAGCTCACCGACCTGGGCATTAAGTTCGATCCCAACATCACCCACTTTGACAACTTCTACGATGCATGGAAAGCTTCCTTCCCACTCGAACTAGTCCAGAAGGTCAACTACGCAACTGGATCGCGTCTCTTCCCCCGCGCGAACTTCGAGACGGCTGAGAAGCGTCAGGAGGTGTACGAACACATCCGTGCGTCGAGCGAGAACAACCGCGTGCAAGTGCACTTCAACATGCAGGCCAAAGACCCCTTCAACACAGACAACGCCGTCAACTCGCACTGGCGTCCCATGATCTCGCTCAGCATGCAGTCCGTGCGCTGGCCAACCAACAGCACCGCCGAAGAGGCCATGAAGATCCGCAGAGACTTCCAGGCAGGTGACATGCAGGCCTGGAGAGACATTAGCCCCGGTGCTGGATCCTACCTCGCCGAGGCCGACCGTCTCGAGCCAAACTTTGGCGACGCCTTCTACGGTACCAAGTACCCTAAGCTCCTTGAATTGAAGGCTAAGCTCGACCCGTATGATGTCTTCTTTGCCTCTACCGGTGTGGGTTCCGAGAGGTGGAAGGTGGAGAGTGTGGATGGAATGCCCAATGAGAATGGAAAGCTGTGCCGTGTGTAAGGGCTGTCATGAATGTATATAGCCTTGATTTTTACTTTCACTATTATTCTCTTCTTCGGGTACATACCTCTTCGACTGAGACTCAGCTCGTACCCACTTGTATACGAGAACTCTATTCCAGGGCCAACTCTAGCCCTTACTCCACAATCACAAACCCTTTTGCCGTTCAGCTGAAACTTCTGCCACTGCATCATTAGCTCAACGTTCTCCAGTAGTGCTTGAAGATCGACCCGCCGTCAGTTGGGCATCGCTCGCTCCAGACTGCAAAATGGGAAGGTCGTCTCGCGCGTTACTAGCGTAACGTGCAAATCCACAAGTGCCGAGGCGGATACTCAGCCGCTCGAAGGATTGCTTGGCAGAGGAAGCCGAAGGTTCGGTCCATGTAGCACATGGCGCGCACCCAACCAGGTCAAGACAGGCTAGGCCATCCCCATGATGCAAAGATAACAGTGGGTAAGCCTCGTGGTTGTTCTTCTCGAAGCGTAGACTAGAGACTTTGGGGTATACGTAGCGATTAGGTTTGGCTTATCTTTTTTTTTCTTCCTGTAACAATGTGGGTATACACTGGCTGAAGGATTTGAGGTTGGTGATGTTGCAGTATGGAGGGGTAGGCGAGAAGCGTGTGAAGATATTTCACAGCCCGCGTGGAAGGAGGTCAGGATAGCATTTTAAATCGGGTAAGAGTGATGCAATGACCTTGGCAATGCCTCTTGCCCGGGTGACTATGACGAGTTTCTTGTTTCAGATCTCCACCGCAGCTCTTGCCATTATGTTACGGGCGCAACGAGCTTTCAGCTGATTCATCTTGTATGTTTGATTTGTCATTGCAAGAAACCACACGACAAGCTAGGCAACATTGACATGATCACATGGTCAACAGAAAACGTTGCCTCCATGACAAATCCCTCATGAAAAGCCTGAGGTCTTAGACTCCCTTTCCTTTCAATCTCACTGGAAGGGAGGACTATCATGTTTTCACCAGAGTGGACTGAGAGGCGTAGCCTGAGTCGAACTCAGCGTAGACTTTGGTCTCATGAGGGCGGGTTTCGGGGTCTGTACGTAGTTCCCCAATCTCAAGGGCCCCCCTATGGGCTTCAGTGATTGTTGGAACACACAGAACGGCGCATTCCTCAACTCAATGCCTGTCTCAGCTGGTGGTATGGCTGTACCGCTACATTTCTGAGCTGTAAGCATGACACCAGTGGACGTGATACTTTGTATGGAGAAGGTGAGGGTGATCTCGCTGCTGCTAATATTTCGACGTGAGAGCCTATGCACTAGGGTATCCACCTCCTCTGTGTCGCAGATTTGGATTGGTGTTGAATCTGCTGTCGCAATTCTACCCAAGTATTGTACAAGTCAGTAAACCGACAAGAACCTGTCTGTATCATTTTCAGTATCATGATGACGATAGGCAAGGACATAATCATACGAGACACTGATATGACGAATTTTGTATTAAAAGATGACTAATGTCTGTTAAGTTGGCAGTAATGTCAGACAAACTTCTGCTCATCAAGACTGCGAAAGAGATTATTGGTATCACTTCCCAAATGAGGTTTATTAGCAAAGTAGCTTGTACACCAACAGAGATTACTCACGAACGCCTTCTCTATAGTCCCAAACGTTTTGCTGCTCTATCCAAACATTCATTTCACTCCGGTTCCGGTGTTTCAATCCACTCAATAACCTCCCTTGCCATCTCTGTAAAAGGCAGAGGTGCATAAGGGACCTTGATTCTTCCGTTGAGCACAACTTTGAGAAAGTTCTTGGTGTAGAATTGACTCTTGAGGACTGAACGTTCGACATGCTTCATCGCTGTGTGAGCAACCAGGATAATACACATAGCCTTATCGGTACGGGAGACATGTTTGGCATTGTCGTCGATCTTTCTGTTGCGAAATAACTCGGTCGCTAGCATCTCACATCGTTTTAGAGTAAGTACGTCCACGGCGACTCCGATGTTGATCATGTGCTGCACTATAAGAAAGTACGTCTTTGAGAGGTCTGCACTCTCGACACGAATCTCATCTCTACCATCGAGAGCCCTGAAAAGATGCTGTGGCTCGATAACCACGCCATAGCCCTGGAAGAGATCGATCAAGGTTCGGTAGCCGTGTTGAGCTGCCAGCATTGACAACTCCAAATAAAGGCTCTCAAAACCTGGAGTGTCATCGAGAATGTTTTGTACGAGTCTGGTCTGTCCGGCTGTGCAAGCTGAAACCAACACTGTCTTGACGTTCTCCTCATGTTTGGCACGGGTATCCTTCGAGGCGCTCTCTTCCAGCCATGGCATGACATATCTGGCATTTCCAATGGGTACAGCCCTAAGTGCTATCATCCTATCGAGTCCCTCTCTAGAATATTCGGGCGCTTCTTGAGTGCGTTCACGCAAGGTGAGAAGAAACTCCCGGAGCAAGCACACAGACGCGCCAGCGTTGACATCCACTGCAGATTCAATGGCTTGCTTGATAGGTGTGAGGGTTATCCAAGTACTCTTTCCTTTCTTATTCAGACGCGTCTTTGCCGCTTCCATGATTTCAAATAGCGCTCCGATTTGATTGTTGACAGCTGCAAGTTTGATAGGGCATCCTAGATGAGTGAGTGTTTTCCAAAGACCTACTCCATTCTCGAGAAGAGTGTGAACAGCATCGCGGTGGCCGACAGCGGCTGCAGCTGCGAGTATGTCGCCGTTTAGAAAGTCCCCGGATGCTTCGTGATCATATTTGCGGAAATCCTGATCGGGACTGGGGGGCCACATACAACGTCCCTTGCGTTTATTCATACTTTTATAAAGCAAGTAGTTGGCGGCAGAGTCCCCGGCGAAGCTGATGCCTCGGCAAAGATCCTTTAGATATTTTTCGCGAAAAGCAACGTTTGAAGCATTGGTTTGTCCATCCGCAGATAATAACAATCTATCGACAAGGTCGTCTGTCGACCGTAAACTATTAGTGAAGTTTATTCTATATAGTACGGGCCATAGTTGGAGGAGCGGCCCGCATTCTAACATATTCAAATGAAGCTCCTTTCACTTACGAATGAGTCTGATGTAGTGTGCGTTCATACCACGATTGGTCTTGCAATGATTGAGGAGGAGTTTGTAAGAGTACCTGTCGAGGAAGCTCCGTGGCCCGTCCTGCCATGGGATTGATGGCTGTGCATGAGCGTCGGTATAGTGGTAAACTGAGGCAGGGGTCTCTGCAAGTAGTGCATGGTCGATGTGACGATGAAATACCCCTTCAGCGTATTAGACATGGAAAAAATACATTCTCCCAGCATGACTTGAGAGATGTTGTAGCCATTTGCTTTATTTTTCAAGAAAGCTTGGGGAAATAGTGGTTCTGACTTACGACACACAACCCGGGCACGGAATACCTCAGGTAGAGGGGTAATCGCAACGTACTCATCCAAAACTCGATCAAAGAGTTCTTGTGGAAAGTCGAACAGGAACGCCATTATGAATGTGGGTCGGTTCGCTTAGGTTATTAAAATGATTCTGATATGTACAGCTGCATTGGATGAAAGTCGTGGAGATTGAAAAAGAGGCGAGGATTTTAGGAGAGCCGCGGTGGTTGGGTCTTCGGTGTTATCGCGGAGTAATCGGAATGCACGTCTCCAAGGATGAAACACGCCCTGTGTGAGCCGCAAAAGTACAGAACGACTGAATGTACAGAATCTTTGTCTTTGTCCGTTGCCAGTTGGAGGTGGGAACGATTGATTGTCATGTGGGGCACTAGCTTGATTGCGGGGGACTTCGGCACTAGTCTAAAACCAGCGGTACTGCCAGTGTTCTTGCCATAGACACGTTGGCTGCAACCCATATCGCTTTTCTCCATGCATCTACAAACGTCTTCTTTGGAAATAGGCAAAATGCCCCTACGCAAATACACATCAGTATTCCATGCTCTGCAAGATCTTCCTAAACCCCTTGTCTACGCCTAGCAATCGCGCATCATCTCGCAGAATATTGCGCAAGAAGCTTCTTATCCATACTAAACCTCCTAATAACGAAGCTAAAGGCCAAAGCGCTTGCCGAAACAGCCGTAAGCATAACAAAAACCGACTCAAAGCCTGTCTTGTATGACTCCAGAATCGTGCTCTTCCGCGAGGAATCCAGCATGGTACGCAAGATCAAAACATAGCTTTCAGATTCATGCGCAATGCTCGTGGGTAACCGCAGCTCTGAAAGCTTGTCAGACATGGAGTTTGAGAAGATTGTTCCTGCAAGCTCGGAGAGTGTCAGCGACTTTAATAGAAGAAACAGATGTGGGTAGAGCTTACAGCAACACCGAGGGGCATGCCTAGACTTCGGAGGAAGCCATACATGCTCGCTGTCATTGCCGCGTCTTCAGCCCTCGACATGGCTTGTGTTCCGACGTTGAGGCTTGTGAGCGCCATACCCATGCCGAGACCGAAGACAGCACGAAGCACGGAAGTGACGACTGGTGTGGGCTTCTTGTTGAATAGTAGCTGCAGAATGCATGCGAGGGTCGTAATTGTCCAGCCGCTCCATATCGCCCATCGAAAGCGACCGATGCGCGATGTCACGATGGATACAACGATAGCGCCAGGCACTGTGAATAGTACAGCGGGTAATACGTTAACGCCTGCTTGAGTAGGAGAACTTCCTCGGACACTCATATCGTGAAACGGCCAGTAATATAAGACGGTAAAGAGCTGGTGTGGTCAGTGGAACTCTGGGACATGTCTCAAGGCGCAACTTACAAGCAAGCCGTTGATCATAGCGCCGTAAAAGGCTGCGATGGCACTCCAGTTGCCGAAGATGGACATTGGTAGCAGCGTGTGTTCTTGCTTATATATCTCCCAGCGGAAGAAAACGACCAAGCCGGAGAGCCCTACAACGATCAGAGAGAGGGTCACTGCTGATCGCCACGCATACAAGACCCCGCCTGAGGAGATACCAACTAGAAAACTAGTCATACTTCCGATGAAAAGACCTGCACCAATCCAGTCCATCCGTCTAAGCTTCTGCAAGAATGTAAGCTTCTCCACCGCATCAAGGCGCACGACCAAGGCCGCGACAACGAAGCCAGCCCCACAGAATGGATAGTTGATGTGAAAGCAATACCGCCACGAAACATGATCAACCAACAAGCCCCCAACCACAGGGCCGATGATACTTCCCAAACTCCATGCGCCCAGAACCATGGCGAAGTACTTTGGACGCAACCTCAAAAGTACGATATCACAAAAAATGACCTGAGTAAGCGTTATAATCCCTCCTCCTCCAATCCCTTGGATACACCGTCCAGTGAGCAGTACGGTGAAGTCCTTTGCAGCCGAACAAATCACCGTCCCTGCGTTCAAACCTCCAGTTAGTAGACTGTCTCCTTCCAAAACGACATAATCCGCATACATACCAAAGGTGAAAAACGTCAGTCAAAGAACAAGCATCTGCTGTCTCCCAAAAAGCGCCGATAACGACGCAATAACCGGTTGAAATATCGCCGAAGTGAGCAGATACGGCGTTGCAGCCCAAAATGTATCAACAGAAGAGCCGTGCAACTCGTGTGCGATCACCTGTACATTGCATTAGCCCAACCCCCTGTTCTGGAGCGAAAAGTCAGCTTGCAACTTACAGGCAACACCGTGACTAAAATTGTTGCATCCAGCGCTATCATTAATGATATGAAACTTAATCTGAGCATAATTAACAGCTCCTTCTTCTGCGGCTTCCATTCTAGTAGGGATTCAACGTCGGGCTTTGACTCCACATTGCATTCGGTGTTGATGTCGAATTTTAGTTTCGCAGAGAGATCTGACGTTGTAGAGAAGTTTGATAGGGCGTAAGTGTGCCAGTTGGTGTCATGGATTGACGTAAGGTTGGCAGAAGGGCGGGGCATAGTGGGTGGTGTTGTAATGAGTGTGGATGGTAGACGGCAGATGATAGACGTAGTTTTAAGTAAGAGGCATTATGGGCATCACAGTACAACAGTGATCTGTCACGTATTCACAGATTTGGGAACAATGAGGCACATTCGGCTGATGGGCACTAGCTTGATAAAGAAAACAGATTGGAATTACAAATGGTCTAGCCTGATTTTACACTAATTCCTGATTGTTTAGCTACCGAATCGCTGGTATAAGCAAAAATGAAGGGGAAAGTAAAGTAGACTTGGTTGTTGCATAGTCTCGCCTACATGCCTCAAGATCCCATGAAAAAATGGACAAAGGATGAACGCCGACTTCGAGATCAACACCCGAAGCCAACAATGGATTTCCCTCTCTTCTCAAATATCCTAGAGCCATGCAACAATGATGTATCCTTTTTCAATGCTTTGTATCCGCCAGCCATGCTTGGGCCTACTCCTCGGCTTCTTCTCCAACTGACCGTCCTCTTGCCTCATATCATCATCTTCAGCCTGTTGCGAGCCCAGACTGGGATAACCATCGTAAGGCGTATGTCTCTCCAAATCACTATGCTTATGTCCAAACACCCCTGTAGCAAGTCCAGTCTAGGATATCCATCTCAAAAGTGCTACTGAACACAGACACCTCCTCACCTGTCTCGTTGACAAGCTTCATCACCATGTAAATGTAAGCCTCCATAGTCAAATGCTCAAAGTATCCCTCCAAGCGCGTGTACTCCTCCTCGGTAACCAGATGCCCTGGTGTGGCACCCTCAATCACAACAGTGAGAAGCCACTTGAAAGTCCCATTCTTGTTCACCACAAACTTGATCTCTGAGATGACTCCGCTCTTGACGTCTTCGAGCAACACATCAGGTACACTCTCTGCATACTCGAGAACTCGGAGCAGGCGGTCCATAGCGTAGGGAATGGTGGATTGGCGGAGGAGGTGGAATCGGTACTCGTGAATGTGGGCATTCGTATACCAAGCCGGTGTTGGGTTGCGGGCCATGATGAGAAAGAGATGGCGCATGTCGACAACAAGGCCCCCCAAGACATCTTGGGCAGAGACCCAGATGAGAATGGTGGGTGGAGCAGAGACTTGCATGACGGCGTTGGTGTTGGGTTCCGAGTACCATGTGGATAGGAGTGAAGATAGATCGCGGAGCTCCACGGAAATTCGAATATCCCCTACGGCCATGTACAAGGGCTGCAACTCGCGACGGACTTGGCGGCAGACTTGCAAAAGAGCAAGGGCACCACGGGGTGCTCGATGGATCCCGAAGATGTTACGTTGCCGCGCGAGCGTGACTTGAGTTGTATGATCTTTTGAGGTTGGCTCATTTCGATTCTCTAAGGCGTATTCGTAGATGCGATTCCGGACTTCAGCCGGAAGTTCCATAAACAGGAATGGCTTCTTCCGGATGTGCTTGTGTACGAACTTCTTAACATCCTTCATGGTGTTTCGAAAGGGGGCCATTGCCTTTGAGGTCTTCGTCTCTTGGTGACATGATGGCATATCTCTTGGTTGAGTTGGTAGATCTCGATGAGTTGGTTGAGTTGGTTGAGTTGAGGGAGATGGTTGCGGTTGCTCCCGTGGCACTGGTGGTGTAGTCAGTTAGGGGGGATTTTCAAATTTATGGAGGCCAGTCTTCGGTCTATCCGTATCGATCGAAGGCCGCGGCGGGGAGTTTGGCGAGTTTGGCTGCAATGCATTTACAGTGTTGACGTCAATTCACTGTTCGGTTATATTTCACTCACTGTTCGCATATAAGGAACATCAGTGAAAACTTCTGACAGGTACTCAATACTAAGCTACAGCACTCAATTTACAGACCTATACTAGACCGAAAGTCCTTGACACAGGAACAGAACACGATTGGGCAACCAGAAAACAGACTCCGACTTGTACGATGCATTTGTGCGATGTTTCCACTAGTACGTCCGGGTCCAGAGGTCTAGAACCTCTTGGGCATCGGGCTGATGGCTGCTGAATATCCTATCACCATATCAATTCAATCTTCTCTCCCTTGACCTTGCTGTTGAACCATTCGTAGATCTCAACTTGGCTCTGAACTGCCTTCGCACCATCCAATGCTTCCCTCCGCGCTACTCTCTCGGTGGCGAACTGCAACTCCATAGAAGCCAGGTTCCTGGCAATGCACGCACGGCTACCAGCGCCAAACGCAAACCAGTATTTGGACATTACTTCGGTAGTATTTAGCCATCTCTCAGGAATAAAGCTTTCGGGCTCAGGGAAGACGGTGGGATTGAAATGCAATTCATATGCGGAACAGCCGACAATAGCCCCAGCGGGGAAGTAAACATCCTTGAAGGTCCATCCTCCTGTAGGGACAACGTGAGGTAGGCGAGTGGGGTTGGCCATGCTGATACGAAGACCCTCCTTGACGACCGCATTGAGGTAGGGTAAAGCCTGCACGTCCAGTGCATCAGCTTCAAGAGTATCGTTGCCATTGACCTCCTCTTTCAGTCTCTGGTACTTCTCGGGATGTAAAGCTAGGTAGCGCATGATGGTTGCCAAATTCATACCCGTTGAGTCCGTTCCTGCAAAGATGAGATCCTTGCATTGCGCCTTGACCTCCGAGTCACTGAGTCCCGCAGCTAGAAGACGTCCCGGATACGTGGTTGACTTGGGTGTCGTGTTGGCAACCAGGTTCGCTACAAACTTATCAACCAGTGACATGCTATCGTCTGTCGCTCGATCAGATGCCCACTTTGTGGCTGCCCATTCTAGCCACACAAAAGCGGTGTTGGGTAGGTAGAAGAACCGTCCAACAGCGACGAATGCGTCCACAAATGCACTGACACTAAGCACTGGACCACGTTCACTGACTCCGTCGTAGTTTTCTCGAAACAGATGTGTAGAGACAGCATCTACGGCCAAGCTTCGCGTCAGGTTCAGTACATTCACTGGTCGTCTTGTCAAAGCTTCTTGCTGTAGGCGATCCACCATACGATCAACACAGCCCCAAATTGCAGCCTCATTCTCCCTTAGAGACTTCGTAGAGAACAGTGGTACCACAGCCTTCGCTCTTGGACTACGGTAGTCTCCATCTGTAGTCGAGAAGATGGTTTTGTGCCCGTCAATGTCGAAGTTGGCATAGCATACCGCCTTTGGGAAACCTCCTTTTGATACATAAATTGTGTGTATAGCATCAGCATCGCTTATGTCGACCTCCTGAGGTGATACCCGGACGAATGGACCATATTGCTGGTGTAGCTCGTGGATGGTACTGGCCTCATTGCCAATGTAGGCATGCCAATGCAGCCAAAGAGATGTAAGCTTTGGAAGGAAGGGACCAGGGATGTGTGAGAGCGGATGGAAGTAAACGCGGTATACCGAACGAATTAACAGAAGCAACAGAGGTGCAAGGATGAAGTTCAGGACGGGGTGAGCGGCGATGACACCAGAAACAAGGTCTTGTAACGCCATGGAGGATGTTGACTGCTACATTATGCCAGTGTCACATATTTATATGAGCTGAGATGATTGAGTCACATCAGCATTAGTGGGGTGCTAATCGAACGCGATAACGATAAGCACGTCAATGAGTGTTGTGTGAAGGAGGACCGCATGCAGACTAACCCAATCGGAGAAACGTCGGCATCCTTCCCCAAAAGTGCTCGCATTGTCGCGACTTACAGCTGCAACAGCCATCACCAAGCCAGCCGTCCACCAAACTCACCAGCTCCGTTACCTCTCACACGCGCACCACGCGCCCACACGCCGCCAAAATGGCCGCAGCAGATGTCGAAGTCGCAGACGCGCTCTACAACCTCCGTCTGAGCATCAAGGCCAGCGCATCACCCATCCTCACCACAAGCGCCGACACAGTTTCCGACCTCGCCCAAGCCACACATGTGTCATTTAACACGGATTCAGGCGACCACAGAACGTTTGCGCTTAGTACGCCCACAAGATTTGCGCCCGATGGCAAGCCGGTCGACTTGCGCAGCTGCTACTTTGCCTGGCTGAACAAAGACGCGAGTGTCACGGATTACTTTGCCGCTGTACAGACACTCAATGAGGAGCTACCGAGTGGAGCAGGCGGCAGCGTACAGAACCTCACGTTTGCGCAGAAGATTGAGCTCATTGCCTGGCTGAGTGGGGAGACGGAGAGCAGTGATAGTATCGCAGCTATAGAGGGCAGCGCACTGAGTGCAGCAGCGGGCGATGCCGCCGCCATTGCAGGCGGAAAAGGTGTCCCTGTTGATGGAGGACGGGGCATCAAGGTCGGCGCTGCAGGAAAGATGGTAGATGCGCGGTTACTGCAAATCTACGACGGAGAGAGAAAGATGGGCGACCACAACAGCGTGCTAAGAGGCACAAAGAACGTCGTACGTATCCTACGCTATACCCTAAACAACGTTGAAATCACACCACTAACAAACACCAGGACTTCTCCCCCTACCGTAAGATCGCCAGCACATTCCTCCGCACCCGCCCCGACGCCAAACTTCCCGCGCCCCAACCCGCCCTCGTCGCAAACCTTCAAAAGCGCCCGCAGAAACGGCTTCAACCCATTATCCTGCTATCCCCCTCGGCCTCCTCCCTCCTCCGTACCTCAAACGCAAAGACATTCCTTTCAGACGGCGTCTTCGTCCCCCCAAACACGACGGATTCCTCGTCAACTTCCGCCTCAGCAAACATGATACAGATCCAGCGTCTCCTCCCATCCATCTCCTCACAGCCCCTGACCTTTATTCTCGTCGACTCAACCTCGAGCTTTAAGCCGACGTATTGGTCGCGCGTGGTCGCTATCTTCACCACCGGTCAGCTCTGGCAGTTCAAGAGTTACAAGTACACGCAGCCTGCTGAGCTCTTCGCAAACTACCCTGGTATCTTCGTGGGCTGGAGCTCAGAGGAGCCACCGGAGACAGTCAAGCAATTGGGTAGGGGTGTGTTGCCCGTTGGCGTGGACAAGTGGACCGGAAGTGAAAAGGGACGATGGAGGGATCGCGAGGTTGTGGAGAGGATCTGGGGAAGGATCGAAGAGGGTATGCGCAAGGGGGGCTGGACAAGGGATGGACCGGGACTTGCTGGTCAGCAGATCAGATAGGCGAGGCGGTTCGAGCGTGTGTATTCATATTATCGGATTCTTAGGATTACATGGGTCGGCGTTGGGAGGGTATGCACAGGCGACATGCATGCTGTAAGTTAGTATACCTTGAGAAAAGCTAGCAGCATATCAGGGTTCTTATCACGTGTCCATATCTACAAGTAGAGAGACATAATATACCATTTAAAGCATTCTCAGAACATTCAAACTTTCTTTCATTATACGTGAATTTTTTGTTCCCAATCCTAATCCAAGAGTCATCCGCTCTGAAGATCTCCAAATAAATCAACAAGACAAATGGCATCTACCACTCCAACGGCTCCTTGATCTCCTCTCCCCGGTTCGTCTTGGGCACGGGCTGCGCCTGTATCTTAACCGGACCCCGTCCATGCCTCTTCAAGTAACCACTGCCATCCAGCCAAGGCCAAACCGCCGTACGCTTCTGCTCATGCTTCTCAATCTTCTCGACATTCGCCATGGTAAGACCGATATCGTCAAGTCCATTGACAAGGCAGTGTTTCCTGAACTCCTCGACGTCAAACTTGGCCAGCTCGGTGCCATCAGCGGACCGGATGATCTGGTTGGGGAGGTCGACTTCGATTTCCTTTCCAGCAAGCGCTTCGTCGGCAACGCGTTGCAGAGTAGCTGCGTCGGTGATGCGGATGGGCAACATACCGTTCTTGAATGTGTTGTTGAAGAAGATGTCGCCAAAGGAGGGGGCGATGATGCACTTGATGCCAAAGTCGAGGAGGGCCCAAGGCGCGTGTTCACGACTTGAACCGCAGCCAAAGTTTGGTCCTGTGCAGACTAGAATCTTGGAGTTGCGGTAGGGTTCCTTGTTTAGAACGAACGAGGGGTCCTCCTTGTCGGTGCCGGCTTCGTACCGCCAGGCGTGGAAAAGGGCCGAGCCGAGACCGGAGCGTTTGATGGTCTTGAGGAACTGCTTGGGAATGATGGCGTCAGTGTCGATGTTTGCAATGTCCATCGGTGCGGCGTATCCACGGAGGGTCTCAAACTTGGGCATGCCAGCAGAGGCCCCTCCTGTGCTGCTAGTGTTTGAGGCAGTGTGCTGTGGTGCGGAGCTTGGAAGGTCCATAATCTTCTCCATCTCCTCATCACTGCTAGGTGCCTCGACCTGCGCATCTACCTCGATCTTTGGGGATCCCTTGGTCTGCCCTGGAGTTTGCGGTGCGAGTTTTCGTACGTCGGCCAAGTTTCCAACGATAGCAGCAGCGGCAGCCATGGCAGGCGACATCAGATGGGTTCGGCCACCAGCACCTTGTCGACCTTCAAAGTTACGGTTTGAAGTTGACGCGCATCGCTCGCCAGGAGAAAGGATATCGGGGTTCATTCCCAGGCACATGGAGCATCCAGCTTCTCTCCATTCAAAACCGGCCTCAGTGAAGATCTTGTCAAGACCTTCAGCTTCCGCCTGCCTCTTCACAAGGCCAGATCCAGGTACAATCATGGCACGTTTGATGTTGGAGGCGACCTTCTTGCCTTCTACGATTGACGCAGCAGATCGCAGATCCTCAATACGAGCGTTCGTACACGATCCAATAAAGATCTTGTCTAATGGAATCTCCTGCATCGGTGTGCCAGCAGTCAGGCCCATGTACTTGAGTGCGCGCTCACACGCCGATTTCTTGACTTCATCTTCGAAGTCGTCAGGTCCGGGTACTACGCCGGTGATTGGGATGACATCTTGAGGTGAAGTGCCCCATGAGACTGTTGGCGCAATGTCCTTTGCGTCAATCAAGACCTCGATGTCGTACTCGGCACCCTCGTCCGATTTCAGACCCAGCCAGTAGCTGCATGCCTTCTTCCACTCCGGGCTGTCGGGCTTTGGCGCAAGCGGCTTTCCCTTGAGGTAGTCGATTGTGATTTGGTCGGGCGCGATCATACCGGCTCTTGCGCCACCCTCGATAGACATGTTGCATATCGACATGCGCGCCTCCATGCTCAAGCCGCGGATAGCCGAACCGCAGAATTCGATGACTGCACCAGTACCTCCAGCAGTGCCGATCTTGCCAATGACGTGTAGGATGATGTCCTTGCTGCCAACACCAGGTCCTAGTTCGCCATCAACCTGAACCTTCATGTTCTTACTCCGTTGAGTGATGATTGTCTGTGTGGCAAGGACGTGCTCGACCTCACTCGTTCCGATACCGAATGCGAGAGCACCAAAGGCTCCGTGTGTCGAAGTGTGACTGTCACCGCATACTACGGTCGTTCCGGGCAGCGTAAAGCCCTGTTCGGGCCCGATAATGTGCACGATACCTTGCCTCTTGTCGTCAAGACCAAAGTATGTAAGGTCAAAGGCCTTGACGTTCTCTTCGAGGGTCATGCATTGTAACCGGGAGTCGGTCTCTTCGATGAAATTCTCGGTTGTGGTGAGATTTTTCCGTGATGCGGTGGGGATGTTCTGTTGTTGTTAGGAAACTGGAATCATCCGACCAGCAGGAACATACGTGATCTACGGTGGCGAGAGTGCAGTCTGGTCTTCGTACTCTGCGGCCAGCATTGCGGAGGCCTTCAAATGCTTGCTATGATTTATTGTCAGTGTTGAAGTATGGTGGGGACTGCGAGGTTTGCCTACCGGTGATGTCACTTCATGGACAAGATGTCTGTCTGCACATATATTAACATATTGAACAAAGATCGCATATTGCAGACCATACCAATGTAGAGAAGAATAGTGCCATCTTCCTTCTCTTCGACAATATGGTCTTCGAAGACCTTGTCGTACAGGGTCTGGGGAGGTTTCACAGCAGACGGCATGATGCAAGATGTTGTTGTTGTACAAGATTCTCCACACAAAGACAGTGATATGGGAGAGAGTAGAAATACGGGCCGGTCGGAAGGAGCAGATGGCAGGTTATATGAGGTACATGTGGAATGGCTGTTCGCCTTCGAACGAGGCACAAAAAGAAAGCCGATGTTCGGAGTCAGCAGCGAGAGGGGCACAGCCGCCAATCACGGCGCGAGTGATGACCGGTTGCTTCGGCTACCACCGCTGTCGGGGCTCAGTCGTCTACAAATCCAAGCCTGGACTAACTTACAGTCGCTGATACGTAGCTCATGTTACAGCGGTATATCATGCAGGTAAGCTTGTTGCGCGTCTCGTACAGCGCCAATTGTAAGACGGCGTAGGCAGTTTCCGCTCACCGATGACGACGCGCCCGTGTTAGGGTTGCCAGGTTGCTGCTGCCCCGCATTCTGTAAGCCCCGCCCATGGCCGCCGCGGACCACCGTCTGCAGTCAGCGACTTCACCTATGCTCCGATTCGCCGTCTCTACGTGCATCGCGATAGACCAAGGCCGCCATATTGGTAGTCGGTATCATGTCGGACTATGTTGCCGCCTTACTCCGGACACCTGTTCGCCAAAGCAACAACAGTACATTGCTGTCGATCAAATCCTACTGTACTATACACTTTCTAGTCTACAGGGTAAAGCGCCGCGATATTGAGAACTGTCCACGCACTACAGATTATCTGCCGTGAAGATGAGCAACGCCATGCGATGCCGAACAAACAAACCAACAAGTCCGACCGCGAACTGGAAGGCCGATAAGCCCATAGTCAACCGATCTTCCCGCATCGGTCCAAACCAAACCAGCCACAAGTTGATTAGCGTAAAGTTGCTTGATGAGACAACTTTTCCCTTCTTGTCAGTCTCAACGTGCAGCATCCGAAGCCGGTGAAGCACCTTGAGAGTCTCCGCTATCGGTCGTCGTAGCGGTTTGGTGAATTCCACGCGCGACGGCTCTAGCAATCCTGTCCGTGCATTGAAATGCGGAAGCCGATGTCGGGGGCAGGGCACGATGTGAAAGATCTGAGGTGCCGAGTAGACAAAGTTGAACGCTTGCGGTATGAGAAGCAACATCAGCGTTTTACTGAAATGTCCAAGAATAGCGACGACTGCAAAAACCATGCCTGCAAAATAGCAATACGTGTCGCCAACAAAGACCTTTGCTGGATACCAGTTGTGCATTAGGAGCGCCGTGGAGACACCAATGAACGGTAGTAAGAAGTAAAGTGAGAACAGATGTGAGTCGGTTGCCGGGTGTGGGTAAGGCGTAAAGGGAGAGAGGTAAAGGACGTCGTTGCCAGCAATCAGAACTGCAATGACTATCGACTGAGCTACTTCAATGCCGTTGACGCCTGCCAGGATGTTGATGCCGTTGGAAGAAAATATGGACAAGAGTGCCATGTAGACGTAATAAAGCCAGCCTGAACTATTGTCAGCACGTTTTCAGATATACAGACTGTGGACAGGGCTACATACCGAGATCGAAAAGCTCTCCTAGGTAAGGCCGCAGTGGCAGTGGGACGACCATCTGAGTCACGCCAAAGTCGACAAAGTATACCGCAAGCATGGGTATCACGGCAAAGGCTGGGATGAGCACCTTGTGTCGCCATCTGATGTCGAAGATGTCATCGCCAATACCAAGTAGGACGATGGCTTGAAGAGACAGAATAGCAGACAGGTACGATGCAAGCTTATTGTGGGGAAACCTGTGCAGTAGCCGTCCAGTCTCGATCAATTGCATCTCTTTGATGGAATCCCGATTGCCTCCCCCTGAGGTTGCGATAACAATATCCTTGTAGAATGGCCATGGAATAAAGGAGACAACAACGAAGAGATAGACCATAGCGCACACAGCCCCCATGGTTTCCGGGCTGTCCTTATCAGTGTTGGCTGTAATAACCTGGGACACGTTGGCACTCACATTTCAGTCTGCTTGAGCTTGCACAGGTCCTTCCCCTTGAAACCCCTTTTCATAAACGCATCTCCAAGCCAACGTATCAGGGCATAGCAGCATGTGAATGCTAGCCCGCTGAAGGCTATCGACGCAATGAGCGGTTCACCATCACCGTGCAGCGTGTTGGCCAGCACACCAATACAGGCGAGTGAGAGCGATGAAAGTGTAAGTGACTCGCCCGAAGATAGTGCGCTCGTCATGATGATCGGTGATGTTTTCAAAGTCAAGGTGACGGCGGATCTTGGCACGTGGCTGCTCGTAGGTCGTTTGCTGTCGCGACAATATCCACAGCAACGATATCACCACAGCCGCTTGTCCTTCTCTTCTCTCTTCTTTACACGACCGAATCGACCACCTTTTCGCCTCGCTGCTTGCCGCCGAACTTGCCTTTGAATCCGAGCTGAATCTTGCGTGACGCTTCGAAAGAAGACTGAAGCTAACCGCAACAGACAGTCAAGACAGGTTATTCCGGTAACCTGGGAGCCGGGCCTTTGGGCACTCGGAAAAGAAGGACGTGCAGAACTGCCGTCGCGGTGTTGGTGAGTAGGACTTCTTGCAAGGTGTTGTTTTGGCCTGGTCCGCACGGCTTCTTCCTGCTCCTGCTAACCCGAAACGATAGAACCGCTCACGCTGGCCTGCTTCAACATGGCAAACAACTCGCAGCCCGGCCGCTCAGCGAAGCCAGACCCGTTCCTGGCAGAGCTGAATGCCGTGAACAATCACTTGGCTACGCCGGGCTTTCTCCAGCGTTTGACGCCGTCGCAATTGCCCTCTGCAGCTGTTAGCGACTCGTCGTCGCTCAGCCCCACCCGAGAGGAAGCACGGTCTCGGCGTCCTCGCCCATCGCATCTCAACCTGGCCGTCGCCTTTGAGAGTGAGAATGAGATTGAGCACGTCGACTTGATCTCGCCGCTGATTCAGGAGCCCTGTGCCGACGGTAACCCCGGCAGCGTTGAGCAGCACATTGCCGACCACCTCGAAGTAGCCTTTGTGTGCGCACACCGTGCCTACGCCACCATGGCCGCAGAGCGCAGCTTCTCGACGTTTGCGCATGGCCACCAGGACCTCGTGCTCGCCGTCGACTTCAACTACTTTGGCAACCGCATGGTCACGGCGAGTTCGGATCATCGCCTCAAGGTCTGGGACAAGAAGGACGACGCATGGACCCTAGTCGAGAGCTGGAAGGCACACGATGCCGAGATTGTGGATGTAAGTTATCTAATCATCAGCCGCAAAGCCTCCTTTCGGTTGCTGACATGGCTTTTGCCACCTTGTGTCCTGTCGCTAATCTGGTGCTAGGTCAAGTGGAACGGCCCCTTCATGGGCGAGGTTGTCGGCAGTATTGGCGAAGACGGCCGCTGCAAGCTCTGGCAAGAGGACGTGACCGAAGTCGCCATGTCTGGTAACCGCTTCAAGTTGCTTTACAATCTTGCATCACTTACCAATGCCCCCTTTATGTCTCTGGACTTCAAGAATATCATGCAGGAGACCTGGCTTGCACTCATCACCCGTGACGGCTACCTGACTGTCTATGAGCCTCAAGATCAGACCAACCTTCATGAGTGGACCATCCTGGCTGAGCGTTGGGTGTCTGAGAACAACCCTCCCGAGCGTCAAGAAGAGGTAGGCTTCAAGGTCGTCTTCCACAAGGAGAAGCTGCCATGCTGGACCGCCATCACGGCTGGCTTGGACCGCAAGTCACTTTCGCTCGCTGTTGCTGCCATGAAGGACGTCCTAGTCTTCCGCACCGACAAGGCTAAGCGCTTCTTCCAAGTTGCGAAGCTCGAGGGTGCGCGCGGTATCATTCGGGACTTGGCTTGGGCAAACGGCTCCATGCGCGGCTATGATATCCTGGCCACAGCTAGCAAAGATGGAGCTATTCGCATCTACGAACTTCACACCAAGAACGACGAGAAGACCCAAGCATCTGGAGCAGCCTCATCTTCTGTTATCCAGGCCGTTCCTCCGCGCCAAGTTCCCCGACAGAACGCGCCATCTGGCATAGGAGCTGGTCTGGCTGGTGTTTCCAAGGCACCCGACGCGCCCCTTGAGTACGGCCAACACCCCGGTCGTATCGAGCAGGTGCCTACATTGACAGATGAACTTACCAACCACCATGGAGCGGTTTGGCGGGTCACATTCTCACAGATGGGTATGTCATTACACAATACATGATGAGTGAAAACAGCTAACACCGCCATAGGAGATCTTCTTGTATCAACCGGAGACGATGCTAGCATTCGTACCTGGAAGAAGGCTGCTGACGGTCACTGGTTGGAGTACGCCCAGATTGAGACCGCTCAGGAGGACTAACGAGCCACACTGCTACTGCTAACGCAGCCATATTCGGGCTTCGGTGACGTTTGATGGCTACGGGGACTTGATATTTATGGCGTTTATGGACAGATGAGCTAGCGAAGGCCTTCCGGGTTGACTATGAACACCCTGCCATCGCTGGCACCCATCGGATATGGCTTCTGTCACGGGTATAGATCTTTTTTCTGGGTTCATTGGCGTTCAAGCATACGGGACGACGACATACGATATACGACATACGACGCACAGCTTCGGCTTTTTCACGCCGCATCCAAGTCTTCTCCTTTTTTTTTTTAGATACCCACGGCTTTCCACTGCGGATTCATCAGCCACATCATGGTGGGAATCCAGATACTTCTGCATTCTGCATATCACAGATATCCAAATAAAATCAGTATAGAAACCTTGGTGTTGCGCACTCGCGTGTCGCGTCATGCCACATTCCTCAACTTCAGCCTCTGCTAATCCAGCCACAGCGCATTCCGACCTACCTCCGACGTCTGCTTCTTTGATTAACTTGCTGAGCACTCGCTACAGTCGTCTTATCGTTTTTCAATTTTTTTTTGGTATTTGCAATGCTTTTCCGTCGAAATAAGCCATTACAGGTCGCTCTAGTGCCTCCACCTACCAATAGTCCTGCACACCCGCTTCCGTGTATACCAGATACGCACAGTCAGCCAGCAAGGATACTTGAGGAAATCTTGGGGCTAGCACCTATTGCTCCTAAACCTCCCACTCATAGGTCTATCGGTCTGACATCGAGCCATCCTTCCTCCAGCCCAACTCGAGCTGGGCATACGCCGGGAAAGACTGTTAAAAGGGAAGCAAGCAGCAAGAAGACAGGCCGTGCCACTATTCGTACAGATGCGACAGAAACACACGCAGAATTCGAAAGTGATGCCTTTGCTGTGCATATGCCGACTACCCGTCTACTGGTCATCGATCAGCCCACATCACCAGCCAAGCGATCATACACTGCACAAATCGAAGCTTACCGCACGTATAAGGAGAAGGCGAGACAGATCCGAGAGCGTAACAATATCCAAGGCGTAGTACTACCCCACAAGATCGCGTCTTACGACTACAGTGGCAAGGAGAGAATAGGAAAGGTTACAACATCCATGGAAGCGAACGAACCACTTGCTAGCTCTCCCAGGCCTGCAGGTTCGTTTCCTATAAGCCCGTCACTACCGCAGAATAGCTGGGACTGGCCCTCCAAAAGGCATGGAATCTATGTCGAAATTGCTCGCATGGCAGATGGGTCCAATATGCCACAAATACCGCGCAAGCCTATCGTTGCTCATAGCAACATCTCACCTAACACAACGCGCTACCGAAGCCGCGCAGACTCGGAAGCAGGAGCGAGTAGCTCCACGGCATCACCAACACGGCGACCGATTCCTGTGAAAGTGCGCGTTATGCCCAAACTAGCCGTGCCGCAAGAGGAGCGCATACAGACAGAGAGTGTACCAAGCTTGTACAATCGGCCATCCGCTACCATACCTTCACGCCAAACATCGCGATTCTCAAGCCCAGTGAAATCAATGCCGAACTTTACACGCCGAAACTCCGTGGACGGCGACTCCATCTTTGGGTATACGCGTAAAAAGGATCTCACCAGCACAATCGGCGGCCCTCGTGCTCCAACTATAGCACAACTGGAAATCAAAGAGAAATCAGTGAAGCATATCACAAAGCCAACTCTCACATCTCGCTTTCCATGGCTCCGCACTACAGGACCACGCATTGCCAAACCGAGCACATCACTCGTGGTCTTTCACTCGGCGACAGTCCCGAAACCAGCGAGGACGGAATCAACATACATCGACCCTTTTGTAAAACTGGACGTTGTAACACCACCGGCACACACCACGTCGCTATTGAAATCACCAGCAGAGCCTGCTCGCCTCATCTCAACGCCCCGGAAACTCCGGGTACAACCTACAAAAGCTCAGGATACACATCTATCAACGGGTTTTATGCAGCTCAGACAGTTCGGTATAATAGTACTGAGAATCGCGCTCTATCTTTATGCTGTCATAGCCGCGTGGTTTATCCTTGATGCCGTGAGAGAGGCTGTTCTTACTGTTGGTGTGCCGTCTCGAGTTTTGCTCTGCGTTGGCGGTTGGATTTGCACTGTGATGGCTTGTATAGATAATACTGTGGTGAATTTATGGGAGAGATGGGGGTTCAAGGTTGCGTAGGTGATGGCGTGGTGGTAGCGTTGGGAGGTGTCGACAGGGGTGGATTCGTGTAGGGATGGTTCGGGGATGGTTCGGGTGTGTGAGATTTAATGTAAGACGATTAGCAGGCCTTCGGCGATTATTACTATGAGATATACGCGGAAATATGTAGTATTAATCAAAATTTATGTCGGCAATTGCGTCGTGAGTCTGGCTGGGTACCGTTCCCCCAAAATCATCCGCGAACCGAGAATTTCACCGCAGACCCCTCCCACATCAAAATCGCTACCCCACTCCCATCCTCAACGCTCCTACCCCTCTGCCCACAAAGCCCTCGCCCCCCACTGTGTTTTACTCTCCGATATATTTCTATTAACCCTAAATTTCTCCATCAAATTACAAGCCCAGGTTTCCTGGACCACTCCGCTTGGTGTAGTTGGTGTACGTTCTATTCCCTCTACCACACTCACAACAACATCAGTCTAACATTCATCTAGTTATCACGTTCGACTGTAATAGCAATTGTTATCGAAAGGTCCCTAGTTCGATTCTGGGAGCGGAGAACAGCTACAATCTTTTTTTGTTTTCTCGCTCGCTGTGCATGAGGCATAATGGGGGGAATATATTTTTTTTGCGAATGGGGGAAGTATGTGGGCACGGCACTGAATTAGTCTAGGCTTTCACGGTAAGAGTAAGAGGAGTGGCATTTTTTGCTAAAGCTTTCGCTGTAAATAAATAATTTAGTGGGGTCGATAGTGGGGTCGAGAAGGGACATGCAGATTGGTATGCTGCTAGGGACTTTGTTGGTCTAGCGTGTGCACATTGATATGTAGACGTGGCCTTTTGACATACAGATCCGACTTGAGTTTTTTAACCAGGAGCATTACATGTTCATGGCATGATTCTGTTACTGTTGAGTGTGCCAGCTGAGTATATATAATGCATAGCTGGTAAAATATTTCATCCAATCAGGCTTCGTGGCGCAATGGTAGCGCGTCAGATTCCAGTACCCACCACTGGAGCTTCCTGAAGGTTAGGCGTTCAAATCGCCTCGAGGTCATCTTTCAGATATTTCTTTTTGTTTCATCAGCAGAATAAGACATATTTTTGCCATTGTGGGTGGGCTGTGCTCGTTGGATCCCAGTTTTTGGAGAGAAGAGGGGTTAGTTACTCCACCCAGCGGACCGTAGAATCTAGACCATAATTTTTATGGAGTCAAATTCATTGTTCGGAATACTGTGTATTTACTGGCACTGGCACTATCCAAAAGATCCGAAAACTACTGCCTTTCCAGATGAATTGTCCTCCTGCAACATGGACTGCTCAAGCATTAGTAGGAGATGTGACGTTCGAATGAGAACCTCTACATCCTGGTTAGCGGCAATGATTTAACATGGAAAGTAGTTAGCTTACCATCATATTCAATCTCATAGGTAACGGGCATGTCCTCGTCTGTGCTGATGAGGATTGGCGCGTCCCTACGAAGTTTCCTCTCCCTGACATTGAAACGTATACCGCTATTCTTCCTCGGACTGACCCACAGAATACGTGAATCCTCCAGGTCCGCCTTCTCTTCTGCTACTTCTCTAACAACTTCCTTGCCCTTGCCTACCTCTTCAACAACTTCATTAGGAACATCTGTGTTGACCGTAGCACCTCTCGCTGCTGTTTCCCTCAACCAATCTCTCCACACCCTCAGCACGCTCTCCTCAATATTCACAAAGTTTGTAAAAAAGTTGTGAACACCAATCTTGACGAGATTCGTCTGCGCAACCAACTGCGTAAACAACTCATGTGCCTCTAGACCTAGGGTCTGCTTGACTGATTCGCCTTCATACCGTTCCTGTACTGCTCCTGGAAAGGTGCGACTGCCAGGTACATCTCCCGGACGAGGCTTTACTCTCTTCTTGCCTGGTTCTAGTTCTCGTCTGTGTGGGCGGAACCGCGAGTACATGTTGTACATTTCGCCTAGTCTTCCAACATCCGTCTTGTTGGGGTCGTATTCATCGTATCGTACCAAGCCATCGGTTCCCCGGTAGGTGCAGAAGTAGGGCGGCTCAGTGAGCTTCGCCGAGGGGTGGAAGCATTCGAGAAGCACAGAGTGGTCGTGCAGTTCTGCAGCTGCAACGAGGCGGTTGTGTAGAATGCGTAGGATAAGCGTGTATATGCGATGCGATATTGTGGTCAAGGGCAGTAGTTCGGGTGTTGGTATAGGCGTGAAGAGGTGCAAGAGCAACTGTTGCAGTTAGTGAGATTCATTGAAGATGATAGTGTAGAGTCCCATACCTCGTTCGGGAGCCTGTAGAGATAGCATTCACTCATTGCGATTGATGTGATTGTACTAGGATAACAACTGTTCTTTTGCAGTATGACAGGCGTCAAGAACGGGACAATGGATCCGTCTCATACGGTGAACCGGAGATAAGATACCGTCATCGCGATGCTAGGCTAGCTTTGGTGGGCCGAGGCGCGTCTCGATTCGGTTAGAGCATCAACACGACGCGCTTTCCCTTTCGAGCCCAAAGTCTCACCTTCCATCTCTCACTCCATAGGGCCGCATCTCCACACCCAACATCGACGGACCAAAAGGGCGTTGATCGCCCGCCGTCATCATGTCGAATTTGTCAAAATTCGTGATCGATCGCAACCAAACAGCCAGTCCACACAATGGCCAATCCAAAGTCAAGGTTGACCGGCGTGCCGCTGCTGCAAACGCGAAGATTCCGATGAAAAATGGGCTTCCATTGATTCAGCCGAAAGCCAGTTCTAACTTATCAGCCCGTGGCTATGGAAATGCTCAGAATAGCTCGGCAACGTTGCAACAACCCCAGCGTTGGCAAGCCGATCAAAAGCATGCTCAGCATCGTGATGCATACGACACTGATGCAGCGAGCATTGATACCACGATCGATACCTCTGCCGTCAAGATAGAAGAAGTTCAGAATGTGGAGCAAGAAGATCAGCCACATGGCCAGGTTAATGACTATGCTGAGGATGAAGAAGAGGAGGGTGAGGAAACAGGAGACGATGAGCAGGGGACTGACGAGCAAGGAGATGAATACTCTGAAGATTACCATGATTTTTCGCGAGAAGAAGAAGAATTCATAGCCCGAAACCGACTTGAGGGTATTCCTCGTGAGGAGCAAGTTCACTTCTTGCAACAGGCACATAATGGGGGTTACTTGCTGACAGTCAAGGGTGATTCATACCCCCCAACATCAGATGGTGCAACTTCAGAATGGGAAGGCGGACAAGGCGCGCCTGTCGACTTTCACAATGACGTTCTACGCTCTTCTCCGCCCCGACGCCCCAATATCAACAATCAATCCACACGTATGATTACGCCGCAGCAACAGCAAGAGTCAAATATGGCAGCCCCCTCTCATGCTTTGATTACGCCACAACCTATATTTAAGGCGGGAGCACATCTACGCGAGCAGTCGCGCTCTACTCCACCAGTTGTGCAATACGGAGGACCTGGCTACCAACATCATACCGCTGTCCCACCAACTAGCCAATTGCCTACTTATAGTCAGGCCAATGTCAACGTTCCTTCTGAGCCACCGCTACACTCGAACCCTCGCTCAAACACTCATGCACAGGCCAGCAGATCTCAGCAAAGTGCCTTGCGACAGTCCTCCGGCCCTTCTCGGGCCCAGGTCCAGGTCCAGTTTTCCAACATCCCGGTTGCACAGCTTCCACCCCTCGGGTACCAACCTTTTGCGCCCGTCAAGCTGGAGCCAGTGATCCAGCAGCCACGTCTTGATGAAGTGCCAGTTGAGGATGTTCAGACTCCAGATTGCGACTACGACTTTGAGGTTCTTACTAAAATGAAGTATGACGATCTGAAAAATGAGAACTTCGACACTGATCCACGTGCGCGGCCCCGTGTGCTTGCTGAGGAGGAAAACCAAAAGGATCTTTCTGCTCGCTTGAAATTTGTACAGAGGACTCTAGATGTCGGTCAACAAGCTGAATTCTTCAACTCGTTGCCTTCTAGAGAATGGGAGGAGGCTGGTGATTGGTTTCTTGACCAGTTCCAGAGCATCATCCAACGCACAAGGCAGGCAAGGCAGAAGAAGCGCAAGCTTGCACAAGAGTTCGAAACGGAAGTGGAAAAGCGGCACGAGCATGTGTCGAAGAAGCAGCACCAAGTGCAGCAAGCGATGGACAGGATGAAAGCGCAAGGTGAGGGCCTCGTGCCTAGGAGTCCGAGACCTTCCAAGAGTCCGAGAGCCAAGAGAAGCTAAGAGACGGGATGGACGAGCTCGTGAAGCGTACCTGTTGCTGATGTGAGATTTCGGTACCCATGCAACTTTACGCGATTATCAGGTCACATTTCCGTACCTGCCGTCCCGAGTGGGCGACGTAGAGATGTTTTAAAAGTTCTTTCCGTATGCAGTATACCCTATTTGCGAACACATGTACTTTTGTAGCTTTCAATTTCCAAGTCTCTTTTCTGCAGACATAACACCGCTTTCTTCTCATCCTTATCAGCACCAGCACCAGCATCAAAAGCTGTCTTTCTCCACATCCCGTTATAACCGTCTCGTATTACATTGTCGATCTTCCCCGGGATGATATCACTGAGTCATGTAGGTTCCGGCGCATTCCCGATACAACATACGATCTAGATTGACATGGGTGTAGATCAGACACTGACTTCGCTTCGAAATAAGTCGGGGGACATGACCGATGTCACATCGCCAAACATGCGATGGCGGACAAAGTCTATCTAATAACACCTGATACGGAAAGAGTACGTACCTTATCCGCAGGGATTACGCACGTGGAATACGAATAAAATCGTATTGCGCACACGGTGTTTGTCCTCGTATGCGAGATGGCCATCTTCAAATATTACGAACACCAAACCCTGTTTTCATGCATCGCGATACATACATGTCACCCTCAACGCGCACCATGATGTATTCCAAGAAAGCCTATGGCTAGAGCTGCAAACGCAATATCTCTATCTTAACAGAGCTATGCGACGTCGAATCTCACTCCGCCGTTATGCAGTGACAGTCGCGGAGTCATCTCCGGCCCGGTCCTAAAGAAGCAATGTACTGGGATGAGGACCCACATGCATGGGGAAAGAAGGGATGGATCTATGGTGGGAAATTCCCAACCAACATAGGCGGGATGGATCTACCATTGAGTAGGCCAATCGCTCTACAGACCAACAAATGTGTGGTCCTTTTGGTGAAGTCTAAGCTGAGTCAGCCGAGAAAGGTAACCATGAACGGCTGTATATAGTTTCGCGGAATACTGAAACCTGGGGCGGACTCCAGGGTTCTACGTCTGATGTTGTAGATGAAGTTAGATTGTCAGCACTGGGCGAGACATCTAGAGCGGGTGGGCCAGTATCCTCGTCACAACCTCATGAGACACTGTTGGTCAATAAGATCTCGCAGAGCTTTCCCCAAGGGGATTTATCTGAACTAGTGAGGACGGCAGTTGATGCACTGCCATGCTGTAGACCGTCTTTTTTGTGTATATAAACGTAGTCAAGCCCACACCACCTGACCATCATCACACCACATCAAACACTCTTCCACAAAACACATCTACTTTTCATCACCATGCAGTTTCCCAGCTTCGCCCTCGCTATCCTGACCCTCGCTGCCTCAGCAGTCGCTCACCCACAAGCGGTAGCGCAACCCGAAGCCGCTGAACTCGAGCAGCGACAAGCAAGCTGTGCCCCGCAAGGTTCCAAGGGCTATTGCATTGCCCACATGTAAGAATCCCCCGCCCTCCATCTAAAAACAAGTAAAAGACGTCACTTACTCACATATTACCTACAGCCGGTATGTGGACAACAGGGGCAGCACCGTTGCGAATGCGGACCAAAACATCAACTTCGATAAAGGCGGTCCGATTACACTTTATGGTCCACAAGCACCGAACAAAGCCTGCCAGATCACGTTTCTGCGCAACTGCTCTGGTTGCACCGCTTGGGCTGTTCAGACGAGAACTGCGGAGTGCGGTGTTTTGAGCATTTCCTTCTCAACTCCTCAGTAAATGAGTCAGTGGGATTTCGGGGCCAACTTGGGTCGCTTGAAAACGAGATAGCTCTAGTTAATGGGAAAAATTCAAGGTTTCGTAGCGCTATAATGTCTTTCAACAAGGCATAATTCTACCTATCTCTCCAAGGCGTTATCGTCTCTTGTGATGCTTTTGTGAGTGAAGTCTATGAGCAGAGGGTTTTGTTCAGCCAATCTAGGAATCTGAATACCCATATGACTGAAGTCCTATTGAATCTCAGTCGACAAAAACTAGATCAAGTGCTTTTTCAGATGACAGAGACGTCGAAGCCTCGCCAAGATTTGCATTCGCCAACTCTAGACGGGTCGAGGAGAGGAATGGATAGCATCGTGAGTCATACGATACCCGGAATGGAATTTTCCTGGCGAGTATGTCCAGTGCACCCGGGTGTCATAAAATACTTGACATACTAGTTTATAAGGGCCACTGTAGTCGCCAGACACGCCTATTAGATGCGTACCCACTGTTAAGTATTTTATGACACCAAGGTGAGTGTACTCTCCTCCCTACTACCGGTACTGCCGATCCGTGGCCCTCCAGGGCTGCATGTGCAGGAATCAGTGTCCTGTCTTTCCACTTAGGTCCTCCAGTTGGAATACGCTATGTCTAATGTAGCTTAGCGCCGTCGCGCACATTTATAGAACTCGGAATCAGGCCTTCCACGATTCCGAGGCTCTCTCTTGCGCATACGTCGCCATCTGAAAACCTCATAACAGCGCTCAACCATGCTCCATATACATACACATGCGAAGGGGTGCAAAATTCCACAAAATCAAGCACAGCTTGGAAACTGACATCACCAAGCGCGACTGGCTGCCTGCAGGGCAGATTGGTTGATCCGACAAATAGAGAAGCTTACAGCGAGTGGTGTATTGGTAAGCTGTAGGGATGAGGAAGACGGAGCATTCGGAAAAGGCTGTTCAGGCATCCAAAATCGGATACTTCAGCTGCCCACTTCCAGCTTCGCCCATCTCGGATCCCGACGGATGATTGATTGAATTGTCAGCGTGACTTCATGGCATTCATAAACCCACGTTTGCAGTTTCTGCATTCCAAGGCCACAGAACCCCACATATTCGCATCGTGATTACTCTTCCTGACGGCTTAATTCTTTCTTCAAACCAAACGTCCTTGGCCTTTCCAATACCACATCTCGCGCTCCAGCACCAACTACCACATCACCACCCAATATGCCTTTTGAAACAGCACGGAACTGGTCATCTTACCACGTAATACCGCAATCCGCCGACGTCGCCTTGAATCCGCTAGAATCCTACTTTTTCGTCACGGATTTCCTAATCATCGGATGCAGTATCCTCTACACACTCTGCTATATGTTCTACACCATTCGAACCTACTCAGACCGGTACATAGCCAGGACCGTGCAATTTCTCAGTGCAACCATGGCATACGAGATATAATATGCATACATCTGCACCAGTACCACATTCCAACGTATCTGCTTCTTTGTCTGGTTTCTCTTCGATATCACGTTCGTTACGGTGGCGCTCAAGTCTGCGTATGCGCCGAGAGAGAGGGGGAGGACGGTGGTCAAGTTGCTGTGGCAGGTACCGGCTTGGATGCTGTTCCTCTGTTATGTCGGGATGAATTGGCCAGATGAGAGAGAGCAAAGACGGCATTCTTCACAGGGCTATGTCTTGAGTTGCCGATTGGATGGGGGCAGGTTTGGTATCTGCTTCAGCGACAAGATACGAAAGGGCAGTCGCTTGAGATTTGGTAAGCAATATATGAAGTGATGCTGCTTTCGCACCAGAGAACTGTCAGGGCTGACAAAAGATAGGATCACGAGATACCTTGGCTGTATCACGGCATTCTTGGTGTTCATCTGGCGGTACTACAATGTGCCAGAGAACTGGTCCTATGTGGGGAACTGTTGGAGCGTTGGTGGTATGATAGTCACACTGTTACCGGAGACTGTGTATCCTTTTGTGTATGTTTGGGCGCATCGGAAGGAGAGGGAGAAGCAAAAGACTGCCTGAAGGCCAAGATGAGCCTGTGGAAGGATACTGCTTGATGACCAGTTAAGAGCTGCAGCCCCCTATTCGTTGTACGTATACTCAATCCTACTAATTGACGGTGGGAGGTCTGCGAACTCGCTGCCAAGCAGACAGTCTCACGATGTCGGAAAGCCGGCTCTGTCTGTCATGGCGTGACTTGTACCATGACACCACGCGAAACCCAAGACGGACGATCGGCTCACAAGAAACTCAGCCAAGTAGGTAGGTGTTGCGAAACGCGTGTGGCGTCAACAGAGAAACAAGGTGAGTGCAGAAGGTTGTCTGACCCCTTTCAGGACCTCACAGCGAGATTTCATTTCGAAGCCGAGTAGAATGCGTCGTTGTGGGCTGGAGAAGATGAAGCACACAAAACAAACAATGCTGAGTGCGACGCACACGTATTTGAGTTTTAATCCTCAGCAGGGCATCCTTGCATGACTTTGCACAAGCATTCCTGCCGCCCATCTAGGCCGTTCATGGCGTCTTTCACAAGATTGCAGCCACGACACAGAGCGGCCAGAGGTCTGTGCACAGCAAATCTGACGCCTACTGACGCATTGCCGATCTTCAGCCACACCAATGGTTCCATCGCATCTCCAAGGAGCAGCAACTAGTGACGCGATACATCATCTGCTAGCCTGCCCAAAGTTTGTATCGTCTTCACCTACCTCTCTCCTTACCGTCGCATCCATCGTCTATCGGCAGAATCTACTGTCGTCGTCGTCGCAATGGGTGAAGCTCAGGACTATTACAATGGCGGCGCGCCTCCCGCCCCACCGCAGCAGCCTCAGGGCGCATATCAGGGACAGGCATACGGACAACAACCTCCCCAATACGGCCAGAACTATGCGCCCCCGCTGCCAATGCAGCAGCAACATGGCTACCAGCAGAATGATTATGGCGAGCACAAACAAAGCTTCGAACAGACATTCAAGCTCGACAAGCCCAAGTACAATGATTGGTGGGCTGGGCTGTTGTTCATTGCCGTTTTCCTAGGCTACGTAGCCGTGAGCGTGATATCGATTCGGGGATATTGTGAGTGTTTCAACTTCAGTGCTGAATGGTGTTGGAGATGACGCTAATTCTTCAATTCAGCGCGAACAAACAGCGGAGGCATATACGGCGGCAACACGAATCAGTTTGCCCTCAATTCGAACACCATCATCCTATTCGCTTTCGTGCTTGGAATGGCCATTGTCTTCAGCTACGCCTACATGTGGGTTGCGCGAAAGTTCACCAAACAATTCATCTGGATTACCGGCATCCTCAACATCGTCTTTGGCTTCGTAACGGCGATTTATATGCTTTCAAGGAAATACTGGTCTGGAGGCATTGTTTTCCTGATATTCAGCATATTCTACGTTATCTGCTTCATTAGCTGGATTCCCAGGATTCCCTTCAGCGTCCTCATGCTGCAGACTGCCATTGACGTATCGAAGAAGTACGGACATACCTATGTTGTGTCGTTGATCGGTGGACTCCTCGCTGCGGCACTCGGCGCGTGGTACTCTGTTACTCTGGTCTCCATTTACGTGCAGTATACGCCAAACGGGGCCAACTCCAACTGTAGAAATGGAGTCGGCGATTGTGGTAACGGCAAGGTCATTGGACTACTTGTTTTCGTAACATTTGCCATGTACTGGATCTCAGAGTAAGTACTTGCATCGAATCTTGACTTCCAACTACTAACAATCCAAAAGGTGGCTCAAAAACACCATTCACACGACCATTTCCGGGGTGTACGGCTCGTGGTACTTCAACCCGAATGCCATGCCCAAGGGCGCAACTCGCGGTGCCTTCAAGCGCTCTGTGACATACAGCTTTGGCAGCATCAGTCTCGGAAGCTTGCTTGTCGCCATCATTCAGTTCCTGCGTCAAATTTGCTCCGCTGCTCAGCGTAATGCGGCTGGCGACGGCAACTTGATCGGTTCAATCCTGTTCTGCGTATTGGGATGCTTCATCGGCATCTTGGAGTGGGCTGTCGAGTTCATCAACAGATATGCCTTCAGCTACATTGCGCTCTACGGAAAGAGCTACGTTGCTGCCGCCAAGGATACGTGGAAGTATGTTGAGTTTACCAACATTTTGAGACGGATGCTGACGTTTGCAGGATGATGAAGGATCGCGGTATCGATGCGCTAGTTAACGAGTGTTTGATCGGCCCAGTTCTTTCTATGGGGGCTACGTTCATCGCCTATGCCTGCGCATTGCTGGCCTACCTTTACCTCATCTTTACCTCACCGGCATACAATACAAATGGCGGCTACACACCCGTCGTTGTGGCCTTTGCTTTCTTGATTGGCCTGCAAATCTGTAAGTCATCTGCAAACAACACGAGAATTGTACTAATCGTCTCTAGGCAACATCTTCACTACTCCTCTGGCGAGTGGTATTGATACCATCTTCGTTGCCATGGCATGGGATCCTGAGGTTCTCATGCGGGAGCACCCTGATCTTTACCACCGAATGGTTGCCGTGTACCCACAGGTCCAACAATCGATTCACGCATAGAAAAGAGGCATGCGCGATTTCTAGATGTTGACAATGCTTTTCTTGGTCGGAGCTTTTCTAAAACTTTTTAATCACGAGATACCACGTCAATCGATCGCGATCTGTTACAACCCAATTTTTCACGATGCACATTCCCATGGCGGGGCTCTTCCACCGATGGAGCTGGCTTGGCACAAACTAAAGACGGGAGAAGGTACCGATGACTCCACTCAAGCCTGGAGCTATGACGTATGACGTATCCAGCCCCGTAGACACCAGAAAGTGCCATCGGAGGCTGAGCACGTTGTTGGGAAGTGCATGATGCTTAGCCACGTCCACGGCCGAGAAGACACCGCGCTGCGATGTCTACATGACGAGAGGGGGGTTAGTTGAGTACAACGAATGAGCGATTAATGTATTTGCTTTTTCTAGCCTTGGGTCTCTTGGGTTGCCAGCGATATAGCGATAGCTGTAATACGGGGATTGCCTATGCAACGACAATTGCGATTGCCCTTACACATGTCGTTGTATGTGCCTGCCTCTGTTTAACGTTAGCGACTACCAATCGGGTTCCTCAACAACGTCACCGGGTTGCGGGGTCTATCCTAGGCCAGCTGCCAGCTTACCCGTCGTACCCCCAACATAAACACCTCGTCCCCTCTCTCACTTTGATACTACTGCACCTTCAATCAACCCTACTGCACACCGCCCTCACATAGAAGCTTCTGGCCAGGTAAGTCATGCCCCAATTACATGGCTGTCTCTCACTGCAGCCCAAATCACCCCGCCCCCGCCATACAAATACCCCACCAGCGCGCTTCCCCTTTCAAAACAAACACCGTTCTTCTCACCTTCATCCTCCACTTTCAAGTCTAAACAGACTCAATTAACACCACTTCTCCAGCTCAACCTCCCACTTACTACCACATACCAACCACACATCATGCCCTACGAGAAGAAGGCAGTCCACTTCGGCGGTGGTAACATCGGCCGTGGCTTCGTCGCCGAGTTCCTCCACAACTCTGGCTACGAGGTCGTCTTCGTCGATGTCATGGACAGCATCATCGAGTCTCTCCAAAAGACTTCCACATACAAAGTTACCGAGATCGGTGATGACGGCGAGCGCGAGTTCACCATCGACCACTACCGTGCCATCAACTCCAAGAACGAGATGGACAAGGTCATCGAGGAGATTGCTACTGCCGATGTTGTCACCTGCGCTGTCGGTCCCAACATCCTCAAGTTTGTTGCTGAGCCCGTCGCCAAGGCCATTGAGGCCCGCAAGCTCGACTACCCCATCGCTGTCATCGCCTGTGAGAACGCCATCAATGCCACAACTACATGGAGGGGTTTCATCGAGAGCAAGCTGAGTGAAGAGACCAAGAAGAACATCGACAGCAAGGCTCGCTTCGCCAACTCGGCTATTGACCGGATTGTCCCACAGCAGCCTCCCAACGCCGGTCTCAACGTTGTCATCGAGAAGTTCCACGAGTGGTGTGTTGAGCAGAAGCCCTTTGAGAACGGCGGTAAGAAGCCTGATGTCAAGGGTATCCACTACGTCGACGACCTTGAGCCATACATTGAGCGCAAGCTCTTCACTGTCAACACCTCACACGCTACTGCTGCCTACTACGGCCACCAGAACAAGATCGCCTACATCCACGAGGTTCTTCAAGATAAGAAGCTCCACGACATCGTGCGTGATGCTGTCAAGGAGACTGCCAACCTGATCGTCAAGAAGCACGGCGTTAGCACTCAAGAGCAGAGCGACTATGTTGAGCAGATCATCAAGCGTATCTCCAACCCTGTCCTCAAGGACAACGTCGAGCGTGTCGGTCGTGCTCCTCTTCGCAAGCTTTCTCGCAAGGAGCGCTTCATCGGTCCCGCTGCTCAGCTGGCTGAGAGGGGAGAGTCATACCAAACCCTCCTCGGCGCCGTCGAGCAGGCTTACCGCTTCCAGAACGTCGAGGGCGATGAGGAGTCTGTCGAGCTCGCCAAGATCCTCAAGGAGCACTCGCCCGAAGAGGTGGTCACCAAGGTCAACGGTATCGAGAAGGGCCATGCTCTCTTCGATCCTCTTGTCGCTATCGTCAAGAAGGTTCAGGGTAGCTGAATGTCCGACAGTAGACTGTAAGTACGAGTCACTGTGGTGGAAGGTGATGCCGGAGTATGGCAATGAGTATGATGAGCATAACATGAGAAGACCAAAGCACCTTGAGTGATGGCTTCATTTAGCGGACCTACAAAACTCGGGCATTGATGGGATGGAATTCCAGATAACGAGCACGAGAAACTAGTCATGAATATATACCCCTTCAGTTGATGTCTTGTCGTCCTGTGAACTTGTTGCTTGTTCTTGATGAAGTTTTGCCTGATTTGTCCTAGTATTTGTTGCTTGTTCGTGATAAATGTTTGCCTGATGTATCCTGGTGATGGTTGCTCAGATGTCTTGACTGTTCGTTATACATGTGGAAAAAAGAACAACGAAATATTTGTAGCTACACCACAACATATCAAGACAAGGCAGGAACGATACTCGAAAGAAAAAAAAGCTGAATAGCCGGTAACCCAACCAACCCTATAGAAAACGCCACGCAATGCTATCTCTAAACCAAGCCAAACCAAATAAACACCAGTACTTTCACCCTCAAGGCTCAAAGCTCTTCCGCCTCCCTCTCCACACCCCACCTCGGCCTCTCCCATGCCCCACCCTTCCCCTTCTCCAACCGAAACCCCACCTCAGTCCTCCTATCATCCGTCAACCGCCCCCACTCGAGCAACAACCGGAACATGTAAACTTCCATGTCCTCCTTCCTCAGCACCTTTTCCGTCCACACCTTGCCGTCCCTGGCAATCTTCTCCGCGGCTTTAATCTGGCCGTCCATCATGCGCTTGTTCCGCTCCTCGACGCCGTAGCCGCCAAAGTAGGCGAGGCTGGAGAAGACGTCGTGCAGGCGGAGGTCGACGGGGACAAAGTGTTTCCAGGCTGTGAGACGGCCTTCGTACCATTCGCGGAAGAGGGCGGCTTTGAAGACGACAGAGTTTGATTGGAGGAAGGGGATGAAGCGGGTGGAGAAGCCGGCGCCGTCCGTGTCCATGAGGTAGCGGTAGTGCCAGTGTTTGCGGAACTCAATGGGGTCGCCGAAGCCAAACTCGCGTGTTTGATCGGGGCAGTCTTGGCCTGCGCAGCGGGCGATGGGGCCGATGAGACGGATGTCAATCTTGGTCTCGAGGTACCGCTTGATGTCAGCCGTCCGCTTCATCATGTACTCGAATTGACCGCTGTGGTTCGGTTTTGCGAGGAGAATGGGCTGGCGGGAGGTTTCGTTGTTTACGAGGTGCACCAGTCGCTGGCGCAGCATACCTCTCCAGGTTCCATGTGTAGTCACGCCCTCTGTAGTTGTGCCACGCCAGAACAGTACATCTGTTTTTTCTTGGAAGGGGGCATCTGGATACTTCTCATCGAACCCGTATTTGGTCTTATCAGCATAGTTCCAAGGCGATGGGTACCGGATGTCAATGTACCCAGGGGCACGGCTCTGGCTGAAGACCGGAACGATGTCATGGGTGCCCATGAGACTTGATGGACTGAGATGCATGCCATGGAGGTTTGCAATGTCGGGCTGATGGCAAGGGTCTGATGACAATGTCCAATTTGCTACAAAAGCGCCAATGGAGTGAGCCTGAGTACAAGTATGGCAGAATGTCTTGGTATTCCAGTGACGCTCCTTGCGAGCTCTGGAGTTGGGCGAACATGCAACAGAGCCATACGTTTCGTATGACGACTTGATTCGAGCGTCTTCAAAGAAATGTGGGTCTGTCCTGACGCGGTCGATATCCAGCCACTTCTTTGCACGATCAGCGCTGAATTCCTTGGCAGGGCGGGCCGGCTCTGGCGTAGGGTAGGGCTGCGGATGATCTAGCGCATCCTGTAAGCGCTCGTAGGGTACCGCTACACGACTCTCGTCGTGCAGGTTGAAGGCTAGATCCATATCCGGAAGATGTTCGGCAAACTGCTGAATCATGGTCGTTGCGGTATCCATCATCCACTGATGTGTGTCAGGTACGTGACCAAGGGCTTCAGCTTTTCCGTCTCTTATACGGACACCCCTATCCCCTCATGTGTAGCTACACGGTCGCCGTACGCAACCGCAGATCATCGGGATTGAACGAAGAGAAGGGCGCAAGGTCTTGCTCAATGTTATCGTAATCGTCAATCACTATGGAATTCCGACCAACAGCAAAATGGTACCATCTGTCAAAATTAGGCGGCGGGTCGCGTTTATAGCGCTGCTGGTAGTGTATTACAGCCTCTGCAAGAGACTTGCTGCGATGCGCTTGCGACGCCCACTGGTCATGTTCCACTGACGCGACGTTGATTAGACTAGTGATTGGATGTTCCCGCACGGGGCCTTGTCGACGATATACAATGACACCAATGGAGAAGGCGATGAGGAGTGCGATGAATGCTGCGGACTGGTTCCTGCCCAGTCGGACTGGCACGGTAGTTCGGATCCGGGATTCTATGTTGGTATCCGTAACCAGGTGGATGATGAGAGCAATGGTAAGCAAGGTTAAACACAAGACAAGGCCCACGGTGGACTTTGGCGGAAATGAGTAGGACACGCCGGTCCCTAGCGCTCGAAGCACGCCGATGTATGCAGAAGAAAATGCAACAATGAGCACCGCGCTCATAACTCCGTATAACCGGGCCTGATGGTCAGCAAGATGCCAGGACGTATGGGGACTCAGACATACCGATTTTAGGAAACATAACGTCATAAAGGGTATCATCAACGATAAACGCAAAAGACCAAGGAGATACTCGGAAGAAAACGAGAGCATCCATTCGCGATGCTCGGGCATTGCAGGGTAGATGACAATGCCTGCGACAAGAAGGACTAATGACGATGCCTGTTGATTGTTAGTATGACGTTTGTGTTCAAGGGGGTGTTGGGACGCACGGTAAGTGTCAGGCCAACCAGCATATGGTTCGAGGTGCCGTCCTGGAGCTGGATAGTCCAGTCGTCGGGCTCAGAGATGCCATCGTCGACTAGGCGGTAGAGGACATGGACAATGACACAGTCTAGCAGGAAGCTGACCAGCTGTAGGGAAGGAATGGTGGTTGCCGACGCGTTTGCGATGGGGCAGATGTACGTCGAGCGGAGGGCGCTGGACTTGACGAGGACGAGGAAGCTGCTGATGGACAGCAAAAGGGAAGGGACGATGTAGCGGGTGGAGCCGTTGAAGATGAAGCTGTAAACGCGATCGAGTTGGGCGCGCGAGCGGCTGTCATTGCTCCAAGCGGGGTACTGACGCTGACTGGGGTGTCGGATACTGTGGTAGAGAGCGGTTACGAGAGGGAGGAAAGCCTATAATGGTCAGCCATGTTCACACAGCGAAGACATGGTGCGCACCAATGCAGAGGGCCCGCTGCACTCGACATGTTTCATGACGCGGTAGAAGATGGCGATGCGACCGCATATTGCGAACAGGAGCACCGTCAACAGGGCGCCGACAGCGCGGACACTCCAGGCTCGTCGTCGCCCTGGCTGGCCGGTCTCGGTCCATATCTCTTCGGCCGGGAGTCTATTTGGGACATTGTTCAGTGCGATGGCGATATACCTCGTCGGCGGTGGCGGCGGCGGCGGGTGTGGAGTGCGGGAGGGCCAGGCTTCAATTGCGATGAGGGCAAGGCCGGTGAGAAACAACACAATGCCGACCGTGTGCAGCGGCTTATCAAAGGCGAAGGAGTAGTCGATGGGAGTCGGGGTGCTCAGGTACCCAGATGCTAAAGCGAGGCCGCTATAGACATGTTAGCTAACGTTACTTACTGCACTCGCACTCGCACTCGCACTCATGCGCTTGTCACGGGCGTGCTTACCACGGGAAGAGGAGGGCCTTCCTGTCCATGACCACCGCATTCTTCGTGATGGTGAGCTACAACTGCGAAGCGTGGCAGCAATCGCGGCGAGAGACTCTCAACATGACGTGGTTTCGTGTGTGAAGCAATGTGACATGTACTCAGGCCTGCCTGGTCTCGTATGTTAAGTCAGCCAGGCACGCCCGGCTGCTCGGCACCTGTCGCACGCATCACCAGAAGGCTGTGCTAGACACCGCACTCCTATAACGGGACCGTGAGATGCCCGTGCTCCGACTCCCGGCCTTGTTTATTTTCTTCACCAGCTCTTGTTTACTACCCGTACCTATATCTACGGACTTTTCAACATGTGACCGTGTTTCCTTCACCTGCATCTTGCAGCAATCGTCGTGCCGGGAGGGTCGCGTCGCAGATCAGGGCCCTCAGCAACCCCGTCTTCAGGGACCGGCCAGCTTACATGGCACGATACCAACACGACGGTCAGCACGGCAGATACCGAAGGTTCCACGCCCGTTGTCGAGACGTGCCGAACTTGACATGGTGGCTGCTCGTACCCAAAATAGCCTCACATAGACATGGACATGAAGTTTGATGGAGATGGAGATTGTCAACGGCTAGCGTTGACGCACGCCCAGCTTGCGAATGGCGGGGTGCAGCTGCCAGTGGTACCGAATCTGCATGCGCCTGGGTGACACAGAATACTCGACGCGCTAGTATACAAAGTCTACTCAGACACACTGTCAAGTATTTTACACCATGTACTTCAAATTCACTTCCTCGTCAAGATTTAATGTCTATCATTATCTACACAGCTACATGTTACCATCTACATCTCCGCCGGCATAATTGACAACTACCTAGAGCCCCCCGACGCGTCCTACATCTTTCGGCCTACATCTACTGCCTCTGAATGTGCCGGCGAGTCATCCTTGCCAACGATGCCGGCCTCTTTGCTCTCAACCTGGTTCTCCGGATCAGCTGCATGAGCGTTGGTGATGCCAATCTCAGTCTCCGAGAAAGTGTCTGCCACGTTCCTGTAGGCCGGCACGAAGTTGACGCAGATGGTGTATGTCGCAGCAGCAACGAAAAATGCCAGTGGTACCGTCATAGCCGTCGCCGTGGGCGCGTATCCGTCAAGCGGCCTGGGTTTTCCGAGTGAATCACTTGCAGCAAAGAGAAGAGGTGGCACCACAGCACCGCCAGCAACACCTCCCACGATGAATCCTGATCCACGCTTTGAGTATTTGCCCAGACCGCGCATGCCGAGCGCCACGATTGTCGGGAAGATGATACTCTCGAAGAAGAGTACAATGTAGAGCATGCTCATACCAGTGTTGCCTCGCTCCGTAATTGCGGGGATGATGAAGATGATACAACCTGCCATGTACACAAGGAAGACCCATCGCGGCTTGACAAACTTCATGAGCGCACTTCCGATGAAACGGCCCAAAGTGAAGCAGCCCTGCGCACCCGCGAGGAACCGCGATGCTGTAGAGTTTGACGTTATCCTGCCCCCTACCACACGTGTTTCGGTAACATAGTTGATGAAAGCGCCAGCAATCGCAACCTGGGCTCCGGTGTAGCAGAACTGAGCAAATGTTGCGTGAAACAGGCGGTATTGCTTGCTGAAAGGCTTCTGATCAGTAGCTCCATGCGCACTTTCAGCCTGGAAGGCCATGTCGGCATCTGTCTCGATTGTCAGCACTGACCTAAGCCCAGCATTGAGCCGGCTTACCAGTAATCTCGGGAATTTCGGTGAAATAGTAAACAATGGCAAGAAGGAAGACGAATGACGCGATTCCGAGGTACGTCCATTGTACGTTTTCCAATGCTTTCTGATCAGTTCCTACATTGTTGAAGAAGACGTAGGAAGCCAAAACGGGCGCTACTACCGTTCCGACACCGTTAAAGGCTTGCGCAATGTTGATTCGGATCTCAGAGTACTTGGGCGGACCGCAAACTAATTCCATCAGTCTTGGGTTGCTAAATTCAACAGAGCAAATGATAACGCACCTGCAAGGTATGGGTTCGCGGCCGTCTCAAGGGAACCGAGACCGTTACCAATAACAAAGGTAGCTGCACAGAACCCTCCAAACGAACGGTATACAAGGCACGGCCACGCAAGCAAAGCGCCAATGCCGTAAAGAGTGAGGCCCCAGATGAATGTGGCTTTGTATCCCCAGTTGCGCAACAGCCAGTTTGCGTGCCCAAGTGATGCAAGCGGATATGCGCCAAAATATGCGGCTTGTAAACCAGAGGAACGAGAGCGTGTGACGCCCAAAGTGACCTGGAAGTGCTTGTTCAACGTGTCGATGAGGCCGTACGAGAAGCCCTACGTGCCAATTAGTCAGTTCCTCTCACAATGCAAAACGATCACGTCGCATACCCAGAGAAAGAACAAGATGGTAACGAGACAAAGCGGGATAGATGGGACTCGCGTAACGTGAGCTCCGCAGCCCGTGTCCTCTGATCATCGCGACTGCGTAGTGTAGGCCTCTTGAGGAACCCCATGGTGTACCTCTAAACAAGATATCGATACGAAAAGCCGATAACAACGATAGTCAATGCCCGTCACGTAGCAGACCAGACGGAAAGTCGCAACTCAGCACAACACAAAACACGCGCACAAGTTCGGGCAGGCGGCGCCTCGATTATAAAGGGCAACGCTCACAATGGGCGATAGTGAAAAAGGTAACCACCCCTCCCCCTCCAGCCCCAAGAAGTAAGCGGCAGGTTTATCGGGGGGGCCTACGCAGCATGCCCCCATGTGCACGGTAACGAACCAGGTTGGACCTCAGCGGACGGTTCCTGCTACTCGAGCATGTCTGCCGTTGCGGGCCAAGCCCAGTCTTGCCCGGTTGTAGAAGTCGGGGTTTGGAGAAGCTGGGGTAGCGTGCGGAACAGCTAGCCCAAACGGGTGCTAGCGCGTTATCACGTTGGTGGAGTTTTTTTAGGGCCAGGTGATGAGTGTTCCTCGGCAGAGTGGTTGTTGCATGTTACCAGGACCGGATCGGGTAATGATTGTCACTTTTGTCGCGTCATGTTCGGGCTGTGTCGATCGTGGAATATTATCGAAGCATTGCGTGCATGCGAGGTGGAAGGTGTGTCGATTGGAGTTTATGACGAGCATCGGCTGATTTGTTTGTGGTAAGCCGGGACGGAAGATATTAGGCGGTAAGACAACAGGATATGTTTGTTGGTCGGAGAGAACAACGGCCGTGTTACAATATCCTTCTGTAAGCCTTCTATGGCCATGGGCATACCCTGTAGCAATCCTCGTATCAATTGCCTAAACTTCGGTTTGCGGTTGTTCACATGAAGGTTCAGGTTGTTACTTGTACTATCGTACCATTCTCTAACCCTTGTTCTTAAATTCCAAGCCACTTTCCTTCCTCACAACTCCATACACGCTAGGAATGTCACCCCGGTCTCCAAGCTCACTCTTCACACCGTCCAGTCTCTTCTGTGCCAATCCAAGCATCTTCATACTCTCCTTGGCGCCATTGCTCTCTGCAAGCGACATGGCATGTCGAGCATCCTTCCTCGCAAGATCAACATGGAACAAGGGCTCCTCGCGCTTATAGTAGTCGCCATCCAGCATACGCTGAGAGTAAGCTGTATAAGGACCTGGGAACATGGTGGAGATGAAGGTGTGAAGGTTATCGACTCCCAGCCCAGACTTCTCTGCCAAAACATGGCCTTCAGAGAGCTGAGAGACCATGTTTAGGATAAAGGTGTTGCCAATTACTTTCATGAGGGTGGCATTTCCAGCGGGCTGGCCCGAGTAGTCGATGTTTGCTCGGCCCATGACGCCGGTTGTGTATGGAACGACTCTGTCGCATGAAGCCTTTTGTCCTGCCGTCACACAGACAAGCTGCCCGTTGTCGGCCATGGCTGGGGCGCCAAATACTGTAATCATGTTAGTGATGGTCGAGATATCCACTACCCTATGAGAGCTTGACGTACCAGGCATGCCCACGAATCCAGCACCTTTATCTGTGATTCGCTTATCCAGTGCATTGGTTGTATCCGGATGCACAGTTGAGCAGTCCACAATCAGCTTGCCATTCACATCTTCCTGGAGCATTGCATCAACGGCCGAGTTGACGGCAGCGTCGTCACCGAGACACATGAAGATGATACCGGCCGCCTTGACAGCATCATTGACAGTGTCGACAACTTTGGTTTTGGAAGTGCCGAGCTTGGAGGAGAGATCTTCGGCCCGGGACTTTGTGCGGTTGTAGATGATGAGAGGCTTATCAAGTTGGCCCTTCTCTACCAAATTCTATATTTTAAGTCAACCATCTGATCGATTGGTCCAAGGCTGCTCCATACTTTGCACATGCCCTGTTACAGTCAGCATTATGGTTGACCTGATGATGGGGCGTACTGGCCCTGCCCATGTTGCCGAGGCCAATCCAAGCGAGTTGTGGAGCCATCTTGTCGTGTTCAGAATGCTTCGTATCTGCTTTGGAAGTACACGATGCCAAGTACAACGATTTATACAACCTCGATACTGGTTCCAAACTTACTCAGCACCGTCGTCATAGTGGTGTAGCCCCGGGGATGAGGCGGGCCGATGTCGGTTGCCAATGACGTTCAGACGAAAGTTTCCCTCTTACCATGTGCGGGCAGAAATTCCCCACCGCAAATCGCACAGTCAGAGCTGCTCCGAGCTCAACAATGCTTGTTCTTGTGCGGTTTCTGGAGGCTGCACGGTGACATGAAGAATGTTTATCTGGACCAAAGCCCCCGCGAGGGGCTTGGGGAAGGCTTCCAAGATCGTGCGTGCGACAATTTAGTCCATATTGGCTGGTGCTGATAGCCGATAGCTCCCCAAACGCGATGACACACAGAAGGTCTTCGAGACGACTCACCACAAGCAATTCCACACGGCCACTACCTCCGTCCGCCGATCCTCAAGTTCAGCGAAAGAGCGACAGCGCGCTGAACGCCAGCAACTGACGCGCCTGCTGAAGGAGTCACCGGGCAAGCGCGACGCGCGCAATTTCCTCAAGCAATTCGATGTCCCCAAGAAGAGCAAGGCGAGCATCACGGCAAAGGCCAAGGAGCTCGTGAGCGAGAATATACACAATGATTTGGCTTCGCTGCGAACGGGTGTGAACCTGGGTGATCTATACAAACCGACCGTCTTTACAAGAGAACCTCTACCAGAGGAGTCGTATGATGCTGAAAAGGATGAGCCAGTGCATCTGGCCCTGGTCAAGCTTCGCCAACCGCAGAAGCTGACTGATCGTACATTGGGAGATATCGCATTGACTCTGAGTCAAATGGCACGGCTTGGACTCAGTACTGCCGTGGTACTAGACTGTGACGAGGACACGAGCACGCACAGTATCGAAGTCAAGCCGGAATATGGAAACATGGTTAGAGAACAGGCTCTGCGTCTAGTGGCAGCTCTGGAGGACTACAACGAACCGGGATCTCTGCTGGTTGAGGACGTTTTGGGATATTCCCCATTGGACAACGACATGCCCAGTACAAACCAGGTGCGCGGGGGCGTTGAGGTGCAGCACACCTACCTGCTCTTCCCGCCCATCGACGACGGCGTCATCCCGGTCATCGCACCTTTCGCATACGACGAGAACCTCAAGAAGGTCAGAGTTCAGGCAGACGACGTTCTTCTTGCACTTGTTCGCGAGTTCGCAGGCCTTGGGCATTCCAATGGCATGGAGTCACCCCGCGGCTCATTGCACAAGACAAAGCGCGTCGTTGAAAGGCCTCTTTTGGACCGCATCATCATCCTCGATCCGCTGGGTGGCATACCGTCTGAGAACAGGGCTGATGGCGCACATGTTTTTGTCAATCTAGAAGCCGAGTATCGCGACATCAAGAAAGAGCTGCAGCAACTTTCGTCAAAGACCTCAAATGGTGCTGGTAGCCCAACATCGCTTTCCACAGGCAATCCGTTGTCAAAATTTGTTGAGCAGGAGGTGGTGTCATTGCCAGGTGTACAATCAGAAAACCTGGCTTCTTCTGCTCCTGTGCGTCACCTGAAGAACCTTGATGTTCTAGAGCGAGGCTTGAAATTGCTTCCTCCTTCATCGTCGGGTCTGATTTTGACACCAATGGAGGCTGCGACGAAAGCCATACCGGATGATGCGCGAACCACACCTTCCAAGAACCCCCTGCTACACAATTTACTGACCGACAAGCCCATGACATCTTCCTCGTTGCCAACGTCGCCCACATCTCGCTTCCTGGGCTCTGCAGCACCCAACCCCGCTACGTTCCTCAAAAAAGGCATACCCCTAACCATGATACCCGATCCGCGTGTACATGGACCGTGGCAGCCGCCCTCTGCATCGAATCCAAGCATTGAGCTAGCAGATGATCCACGCATAAATTTTCCCAAGCTTGTCGACCTCATCGACGACTCGTTCCAGCGGAAGCTTCACCCCAAGAACTATCTCGACCGTATCCATGGGCGCGTCGCTGGTATCATCATAGCAGGCGACTACGAAGGCGGCGCAATCTGCACATGGGAAACTCCGAAATCGCTTCAAGGAGCCACCCCCCCTTCCGTCTTGACTCCCGACTCACCTTACTGGATCCCTTACCTAGATAAGTTTGCTGTTCTCACCTCCTCACAAGGCTCGGGTGGTGTTTCTGATATCGTCTGGGCTGCGCTGACTAGAACCTGCTTCCCCGATGGCGTAGTCTGGAGGAGTCGGACGAGTAATCCGGTCAACAAGTGGTATCAAGAGAGGAGTATGGGCATGTGGAAGCTACCGGGAGATCAGTGGACAATGTTTTGGACTACTGAAGGCATTGTGGGGGGTTGGGAACAGGGCAAGTGGGGGGATGTTGATGATGCGAAGAAGCGAGATATGAAGAGGTGGGATGCGTGTATTGATGTTTGTAGTGGCATTGAACCGAGTTGGGCGGATGGGATACAACGAGATGATTAGGATTTTCTGGCATGTGAAAGTCTCGGTTCGACCATTGATGGAATTCCTACCACATTCATGAGGCACATACATTTCCTGACAATATCACAAAATTATGACTACCTCTTGGGTGTTATAAAATACTGGACATACCAGTATACAAAACCACTGTAGTCGCCAGACACGTCTATTGGGTGCTTATCACACTGCCTCAATGGCCCGCACAACCGCTCACGACACCCCCTGTCTACAACGACAGCAAATTCCACAGCGCCAAACTACCAGCAACAACCGGAGTCACCAACCTCAGCCTATTCCAGTTCGCCCACTTCCTCGCCACCTCCTCAGCCTCACCCAACTCCTTCTCCGAGCTCCTCTCCGCCAGCGCCTCCAGCTTATCATTCAACGGCTGCATATTCAGCGCCGAATGCAAAATCGTCGTCAAGTGCAGCGCAGCCGCCACACCAAATAGCTTCCAGTCGCTGCGCGCAAGCATACCCTCGCGGTACACGGCATAGCCCGCGTAGGAGTAGCCTAGGAATCCCAGCGTGGAAATGGGTCGGAAGAATTGGTTGCCGACGGTCCAGCAGAGGGGCCATTGACGGCCGAGGAGGCGGGCGCGGTCTTTGTGGTCGGGAGAGCCTGGTGGGGGGAAGGAGACGAGGAGGGCGGGGACCGTCATGTAGGATTGTGTTATGGCATTTCCTGTGGGTTTGGTGTTAATCGTTGGAGAGGTGAGGGATGGCTTGGGATGGCTTACCAGCGAGGATAAAGGAGAATGTTATGCAGGTTCCTGCTACACTCTTTACGATGATGTTGTCCGACATATTGGCGTGTAGATGTGTTTTCGTATGCTGCCAGCTAAAAGGTGATGTGTTCTTGTGTGTGTGTGTTGTGTGAAGTAGCAACGAAGGAAGTCAAGAGCACAAAACCAGCCCTCACAACCGAAACCCAGGATTAATCTTCTCCCACACCATAACTACATGGAAAAAATAACAACAACAACAACAACACCCGAAAGGTGTTTCGGCTTCTGGCTCCACTGCATGATGTGCGCGACATGCAGCAAGTGGGGTCCAAAGCATAACTCCCGCCATAGTGTTTGGTCTGCCTTGCCGCGGCTGTATTTCGGTTCCCCACGTCCACGGTCCGTCGTCGCCCCTTTCCTGCCCTTGTCCTTGTCCCTCTGCCCGCAACTCCCGAAAGCGGCTGCGGCATGCAGGATACCGATATTTTGCAAGGGGGATTACATCATGATGGGGTTAGTGAATGTGTTTCGGGGGCAGGGGGGGTTTGCGGTGGTGAAAGTTTGTTGCGGTTCTGCGAGGCTGGCCCCTGAGAGTCGGTGTGATGGTGGCTGGAGATGGGAGATGCTGTTGTAGATGCTTGGAGTTTCTACTTGGGGGAGGGGGTGTCAAGTGGCTGAAGGTGAAGGATGAGCTCATGCTCTATTGCTTCGAAGCTGTCTGTCAAACCACGATCTTACGACAGTGAGGTGGGGTCAGTATGCTACACCTTTGGCCTTCTCTCATCTCTACATATCCAGAGGCAATTGAGGCATAGCGGGTCGGTGGTGGATGCTTTTGAGATCTCGCGTCTGTCATCATCTCGTGGGTTCGTGACATCTTCATCCCCCGGGTCAGGCAGGAGCGAACCAGGCATGCTGGGGATCATCTCACATTTGCAGAAGGACATGCGAGGGCATCCCAACACAGCGCACATTGATATCATCAAGGACAGGATAGGAATACATTTATTGGAACCCCGCTGGATCCTTCGAACAACAGTCTAATATCCGGCACTAGACGTTAACCCCGCCGTGAGCGTTCATGCTTCTACGACTTGATAGATTGATCCTTCCATCCACTCCTCTCTGCCAGCCATGTTTCGAAATCGCACAGCTTTGGCTCTTCCTCCTTCAGCTTGTTGATATCTGCTCCATAGCCTTCCGCCGCAAACCAGGTGATCATGACGTTCACCTCTGTGACAGCCCACTTGAGCGCTGAACCAAACATGCCGTAGGTTGCTGGTAGCGGGCTGCCGATAACCCGCTCGAAGCATCCGCTCATCTCATCCATTGTAAGCTCATCCCCGGCGAGACCCTCGGCGCGTGCGTTCCATTCTTCGTGGTCCCTGAATGCTCGTGCACCAAAGAGGCCAATGTCTTCTACCGACACCCATTGGAGTGGCTTGCCCTGCAGTGTATCCCGGAGTGCAGCGAGGAAGACCTTGGTCGGGAACCCAGGCGCGAGGTTATCCATGAAAGCGACTGGCCGCAGGATAGTCCAGCCCAGGTTCTCTCCGTTCTTGCCAGCCTTCTCGAGTAGGTGCTGCTCGATCTCGTGCTTACTCCGGAAATGCGGGATTGGTGTACCGTTCTCAAAGCTGCGTTCGTTGCCGCCGCGGTCGACGCTAGAGTACACAAAGTGCTTGACGCCTTCCTCAAGCGACTTGTCGATCAGGGCCTTGCCTTGTACGACTTCGCTCTCGTGGGTTACATCCTTGCCGAGAGACACTTGAACAGAGTAGACGCCCCAGATCTGCTCTTCTTGACCGGCTTCCTTGAGTATGGACTTGGCAGCTGTAAAGAGTGCAGCACAGTCGTCTAGGTTCCCCTGCACCAGCTTGACGTCGGGGTGACGCTCCACGATCTTCTTGGCGGAACCGGAGTTGGCATCACGAGTGAGTGCCAGGAGGGTGTATTGGGAACTCGAAGGATGCGAAGCAAGCTGGTCGAGTACCGCACCGCCTTGCTTACCAGTCGCGCCAGTGACCAGAATAGCTTGTGTAGTGGCCATGGTAAGGTTGTTTGGTTCCAGTTGAAGAGTCGGCAAAGTCTGGATGAGCTTGGATGAGCTTGGACAAGCTTGGATGGTAAGAATGTGGTAGAGAGAACCTTGGAAACGTGTAACCGTGGAAATTGGAAGCAACTACAACCGAAGTGAGGAAGTTTCGATATAATGCACCAACTTTACTCAAACGCGTCGCACAAAGCCTAGGACATCCGGCCCCGCATACACGTCAGTCATCATCGTTGCTTCTGCAAAACGGAGTTCCACTCTTCTGATCGCATACCTAGCCTAAGTTGTGGACATTGTGGCGTCCGGGCGAATGAGTAATTCCCTTGAGGTTTCACAGTACGCTGGGTCGGTGAGCGACTCCCCGACATGGCGGTGATTATGCAGGTGCGTTGTGGCCAGGACTGCTCAACAACGTTGGAAACACGACATGGACCAAAGTTTCGCCGGCGTAGCGATTGCAAACTGCAATGCCACACGGTTCCATAGATCGTCATTGCTTGTCGGAGAGATCCGCGGCCTCGACGATCGACCGGGTAGATACTGTAGTGGGACGCCAGATCGATCTTACCCGCTACCGACAACCAGTAAAACAAGACAGAAACCTCCACGCAGTAGGACGAAGCTGCTTGCAAGCAAAGTTTGGACTACGCAGAACCCCGAATCCGATATTACACCTGCATAATCAAATCGTTGTCGTTGTCCACAGCATGGCACAAATCCGCTTCACGCTATTCAGGTTCTGACTCGTAGCCTGCATGCTCGTGGGAATCACAGACCTAACTTCACTTGTCAAGGTGTTGGTCTCACGGCAGGCAAAACACCGTGACATGTGAAGAGCTTCCACGAGCACGTACTCAGGTATTTCAGCGCGCATTCGCTTTCGGAATGTTTCCAAGGCTTTACCAAGACCACGCACCCAAGAGACCTCAACGCCATCACGTAGGCGCTGAGTATCTTCGTACCACCACATAGACACGTTGAACTCGACTAACTCACAGTAGAACAGAGGAGTTGGCGAGGCTAGCAATGCATTCTCCTACGAATACAAACATTGTGGTTGTACATGGGGAAGATGAAACGCGGGACCGATATCAGAACTGAAACAGGCTGCCTATATTTGACTGCCGGGACCACGACAGTGCTGATGTTGACTGTCGTGTTCTTCAAGATAGGTAAAGATAGAAAGAGGACCAGAGGAACACAGGTGTGCCTTGACGGCGCAGAATGACGGCGCTATCAGGAGAACATGCAGCTGGTGATGGCAGAGGTCCACGTCTTCAGCCTTGAATTGTCACATGGACAATGGTTTTGCTGTTTCGAATTCCTTTTTCCTCGACCATGTACATGTCGCACAATTCAGTTTAGTTGGATATGCATGGAAGTCGACGGTAGAAGATATCCCATCACGTGCATCCTGTTTCCTGCTCAAGCGTACAGTAGACGCGATTAGCTCCAACCCACATGTCTAAGACATGCATTCCAAGACCACTCTATCATGCTGTACTCGCAAGAAAAAGCCCAAGTGCCATAACAACAGCCACCACCCTGCACCCCACCCCATCACAACATCATCTTTCTACACCAAACCAACAATCAATAAAATTCCAAGCAAAGTACACTGCCCCCAAATACCCGTAACAGTACCACCCGCCCCTAGGCCCTGCAGCAGCCACACTAACGCGCGTGCATCACATCCGCGTCATAGACTTTGCCGCTCCTTCCCACACCCGACGGCACAGCACGCAACGCAACTTTCTCAAAATAAATCCCCCCCCCCCAACCCGTTGCTTCTTGATTCCCCGTTGTTCCGATGGAGAGCCGTGGTTATGTGGATACGCCGACCGGTGCTAGTCGGGCCCGATATCGTTTTGTTTTGTTTAGCAACGATAGCGGACGGGGCGGATGGGGAGGTGTGCACTGCGTGCGGCACCGGGTGGCATGGCCTGGCCGTTTTGCCGTTGACTGACAAGTTTGAGGTGCCAGTGCAGTGCATGATGAGGGGGGGGAGTTTGCCCGTTGATCCGATGGAGGACGGGTGAGGGAGGGAAAGTTTTTTTCCGTCATGGATAGGGTTTTGTGGTCTACATTGTTGTTGTTGAGATTTGAGAGTTGTGGCAGAGTTTGGCAAAAAGCAATATGGGAAACACGGTTAGAGCGATAACGCTGTAAAACAAGCAGGAAGAGACAACAACAACTCTGCTTTGCGCCAGATTCTTGTGCTGGTTCTGGTCGAATGTGCGGTACTACTGAGGATATCAGGGCGTATCTTCAAACATGTCTGTTGTACCAAATAGGTAGGCACGTCCTGAAGCTGTCTAGCGCCTCGTTTTCCGAGATATCTAGCTCTTGTCAGCGCATCTGCTTACCCCTCTTCATCAGCACACCATCTTTTTCTTAACAAAGGCCGCCCTCGATCTGACTGTGTTGTCAATGCATGGCAGACGAAGATGTAGAAATCGCCGAGTCTGCAATTGCTGGGCGTTGGGCGGCGCAGATTGCCGAGCCAACGGGCACTCCCGCACAAGCGCCTCCTTTTGCATGAGGTGTTCTGAGATGTACGCCTAGCGTGAGGTAAACTCTCCACTGCTCAGGAGTGTGGTCTGGTTCTGCTCAGTACCATAGAAGGAAGTACATTCACGTATAGCAAACTGCATGCTGCGTATGAACCGGATAAGACCTTGTGCATGAATGCTTGTAAGAATATTGATCTTTCATTCATCCATCCTCTATCTTCTAATCCTTCTTCCACCTCGAGCTCCGTGCACAATATTGGCCCAAAGCTTAATCCCAATCACCAGCGCCAAGCTCAATTGGCTTGCCCGCCCTCATGTCGTCCATAATCTTCTCAATGCTCCATGGCTCGTACTTGTATCCCTTGGGGTAGTTTGGCTCAAACTTGTCCTCATCCTTCATGTCGATGCCCTCCTTGATACTCTGAGCGCTCTTCTCGTAGTTCTCGTACACATACGCTTCAGGGTCGTGAGACCATACCCACGCTGGAAGCTTAGGCGCAGCGCGGCGCGGGTCGATCTTGACCTTGTCCCAGTCGGTATCTTGGAGGAGCTCTGCGTTCGAGAAACCGAGCTTCTGCGCGCATGAATTGCGGATGAAACTATTGTGTGCTTGTTAGTAGTGTGCTGCAAATTTGGAAACAAGCAACTATGCCTACCGGAATCGAATGTGCACGCGAACGGACTGGGGGATGTTCTCCTTGCCGCCGACCTGCAGACAGGAAGCTATTGAAATGGCATCCTCAATTGCTTGTGTTGCGCCATTGCCGGATGCAGGGAGGTAGGAGTGTGCGGCGTCGCCGATTTGGATGACACGAGCGCCGGGAGACGTCCAGCTAGGCTGAGGGTTGCGCCATAGGAGCTCGAAATTGACAATGGTGTTTGGTGGTGTGGTCTCTACGAGCTTCTTGAAGATCGGAGCCCACTTGTGCTTTTCCATGCCAGGCATCGTGTCCATACCATCAAGTACTTCCTGTTTGTCGATTGTGTTGCTCCAGCTCTCCTTTTCTGTGCCAGTCACATCGTGGTTCATAATCCAGACCATGACATCCTCGCGAGACAAGGTAAGCGCGTATGTAGACGGACTGTAGGGGATCAGTATATTGCGCGCATCACAACATTCAAGTTTCTTACCCCAGCCATGTCCTCACAATTGGCTCGTTTCCTGGCATCATCTTGAAGAACTCCTTGACCTCAGGGTCCTTCTCCATGGCCTCTCTGGGGAACGCAGCACGCCACATGGCCCTGCCCGAGGGTCGTGCGCGCACCTGTCCGCCAACCAACTTTTGACTCTTTGAACCGACACCATCGGCAGCAATCACAACATCGGCCTCGTAGCGCTTGCCATCGTCGGTAGTGCAGCCACCCTTGCCCGTCTCTTCGTCCTCAAAGTAGTCAACGACCCTGCGGTTGAATTCCACAGAAACACCAAGGTTTTCAACCGCATTGACAAACATCTTGTAGACGAGCGGGCGCATCTGGAACTCGCCAGGCGGGGTGTCAGGGTCCAGTCCCTGCGCTCGCAGACGGTCCGCGACCTTCTTGGGCCCGATAACTACCTCTCCCGAGTGCTTGAATGTCTCAATCCAAGCATTGTGGAGGGATATCTTCTTGTATTCCTTTAGCAGCTCGGGCCAATGCTTCAGGAAGCGGGTTGCGCTAAGGCCCATGAAGTACATGTCACCTAGACACGTGATGAGCTATGCACAACATTTGAAGCACGTATAACAATGGACGTGGTGCTTACCCGCGGTGTTGATGTCCGCATTTCTTTCCAAGACGCGGACATTGTGGCCTTTGCGCGTGCATTCGAGCGCGGCAACAAGCCCAGCCAAGCCAGTACCAACGATAAGGACGTCGATGCCAGTGCTGGGATAAGACCCTACAGGCTTGGACTCCATGGTGGAGTCGCGAGAGGTAAGTGCGTGAGGCATGATTGCAGACTAGTTCGTGCAGTGGAACTGATGGATGTGCGTTGTGAAAACTAACATCGACAGAAAGCTCGTCTGCTCTTTCTACATCTTAAGGGTCGCGATAGTTGCATTCTCCGTTGGGGGACCAGTGAGGGTTGCCGAAGGCCCTCCGACATCCGACAAGCCGAGCTGTCTCAAAGTTGTACTTTTGCCCTCGCACACTCTCATGCAAGCTGCAATGATGCGTAAACTTGGCGGCGGATTGTCAGGAACATGGCTTCTTCGGGCGCTGGGCTGATGTCCATGACGATGGAAGGTTGAGTGCGCTAGCGAATCCTCCCTGGCAGGTGCGCCCGTGCGCCACGCTATGGTTCCCCACAAACTCCGGACGGCCAAGGCCTGCAAGCTAAGCAAGGCTCATGCGGGATCGAATACAAGGCTGCACTGTACGACTGCTGTACAGGTAGTGCTGAGGTCTTCGTAGCTATAGCCTAGATCATATCCTGCCCCACGTGGGCAATACATCAGCAATGTACGATGCTGTGTCACGTCGCTAATTCAACCTCATATTTCTTATGACGCTTAGACTCGATCTGAATGGGTTTGATGGAAAAGTCATGGCGATCAGGCTGGCCAAGCTGACTGCCTTGCTTGTAATAGACTGCAGGGCCATCAGCAGCAAGGCATATCAGCCTCAGGACTGCAGTTTCTTCGTCTCGCCAAGGTAGTCGGGAGTATTGATGACGATTAGGAGTTTCTGTGACACTCGTGCCGAGAACTACGAAGCCTATACCGGTACAGAACGTCGACGGCGCATCGATTTCTCCGGTCACCGACTAGGATGTTTCTTGCTATCATCGATACTTGCCGGTTTGAATCAACGTGTGTGGCATGGACCACAATAGGAACATGTCCGCAGTGAGGATTGGCCCCTGCATTCAGGGAGTGCTGATCTGTTACGCACATCCTCGTGTGTCAGAAGCTAATCCATGACGATCTCTATGCTGATTTGGCCCACCATCCCAATTTAGTCCAACTCGAACCCCCAACGGGCCTTCATGTCGGCGGCCGCGAGCACCGACACCTTCTCTCTTCCACGGAGACGGGTATCAGCCTTCGAGATCTACAAGGGTGTTGATTGAGATGGCGTTTGCAAACTATGGGTTGACAGATTTCGAGTGACGGCCATTGGGCGAGCATGCTACCCGTCACACCAGATGAACCTTGGACACGTCAACCCCGGGCAAAGGAGGAATCAGCCGCTTACCGCATCTCCCTGCTAATCTGCAAGCGGTACACCATCTGTTTAACCGTGCGTCGGCGATGCTCACTTAGTTGCCGATGCGTGTAGTATGCGGACGATGGTGCAATGGGGCCAACAGTAGTAAGTGTCTATATGCCCATAAAACGACCACTGGGGAGCCGGCTAGGTGTAGTGTTCCTGGAAGCTGTGGTGTGATATCTAGCTGCCTCCCCACGTCCATTACCTGATCGTTACCTTGTGTGCCACTGAATACTCAGTCGAGATCCTTGGCAGCAGTCTTTCGACACCGACCATCTCTGGCCTGGATCTTTCGACACTCCTACCGGTTGTCGTATTGTCAAGATGCATTCATTCACCGCTTATGCGCTCGGAGTCGCATTCCTAGGCCTTGTCGTATACGCAGCAACCGAGGCCTTCACCAAGTACGACAAGCGATACAATGTCCAGAACATGCCTGGGCCAAGGCTGGTGCCGTGGATTGGACGTATCCACGACCTTCCCATCGATTTCATGTGGCTGAAGTTCCAGGAATGGGCCGACACTTATGGACCCATCTATCGAACGAAGATGCTGGGCGCCAACTTTGTTATCATTTCGGATGAGAAGATCGCCGAAGATATGCTCGTCAAGAAGGCCAAGCTTTACTCCGACCGTCCTGAGATCAAGTCTTTATTTGATGCGAAGAGCACATACGGATCTATGGAGTACCTTCCCCTCATGGGAAAGAACCGTAAGTTAATGCTTTTAACTGCATTGGAATGTCGCTGACCATGGCAGAATACTGGGCTCGTCAGCGCAAATTTACACATTCTTATCTTACCGGCGCCACTAATGTACGCTACAATGGTATCATGGAATTCGAGGCCAAGCGATGGATGGCCAGGCTGCTTGAAAACCCCGATGACTTTTGCTTCTCGCTTGAGGACATGTGCTCCAAGGTCATGTGCCAATTGACATGGGCCGATCACTCGCTCAGTCTTCCTCTTACTCCCAGCGCATGGGGTCTCCTTACTCAGATGTCTCCCGCTGGACCTATCACCAATGTATTGACCCCTCTCTGGGATTGGGTGCCAGAAGCAGTGAACCCATGGAAAATCAGGGAGCGCAAGCGCCACGACGAACAACAAGCTTTCTTCATGAACTGCCTGCAAAACACCAAGAAGAAAATGGCCAACGGCAAGCAGCAACCCTGTTTCACCAAGAACTACCTGGAGACGGCGGAAAAGACAAGCATTTCGGGCGACTATGAGGCGTCTTGTGTTATTGGCATGATGGCACTTGTCGGTATTTTCACCGTCACGGGTCCTATTTACTACTTCTTGATCAGCATGGTTCATCACCCGGAATGGCAGGTCAAGTGTCAAGAGGAGATTGACCGTGTCTGTGGAGACAAGCCTCCTGCCGTTGCCGACCTACCCAACCTTCCGATTCTGCGCGCTTGCATCAAGGAGACAATGCGGTGGAAGCCTACTGTTCCAACTGGTAAGTACACGTGCCGAGGTTGAAAGGCACTTTTGCTAACAGCAATACAGGTGTTGCACATGAGGCTGAAGCCGACGACTGGTTCCAGGGTTTCTTCATTCCCAAGGGCACTCGTATCCTTCCTCTCGACTATGCATTTCTCCGTAACCCCGTAAAGTACCCTCAGCCTGAGGAGTTTCATCCCGAGCGCTGGTTGGAAGCTGGCTGGCCGACATTTCAGGAGCCTTTAACCAAATACCCGGACATCGTTGGCATGACTTCTTTCGGCTGGGGCCAGCGTCAATGTCTGGGCATGTCCATCACTCGCGATGAGACTGTGACCGGCTGTGGTGCCCTGATGTGGCTTTTCAACCTCAGGCGAAAGATCGACCCCGTGTCAGGCAAGGAAATTGAGGTGCCACTGAACAAGTCCAACTCACTGCTCATCATCAAGCCAGATCCCTGGGAGATGGCTTTCCACCCGCGCAGCGAGAGCCGCAAGCAGCAAGCGCTTGCGCTCTGGAAGGAGGCCGAGGACAAGGAGAAGGAGGAGCGTTCCGATTTTTTGAGGGATTCAGCGGTGAAGAGGGGGCTTGTACAGCCATAGGGTGCGAGATGTGGGTTCGGGATATCCTAGAGCATGGCCCCCAGGCTCGGCGTTTTGAGCGTGTCTTTCCCAGTTTTCTCTTCATGTATCTCTTTTGCCGTCGGGCCTTTTGTTAGTGATAATCGTATGGATCAGCCTTGGACCGAATGTGTTTTCCGCCTACTGTGATGTGCAGCGGTTAGTGCGCTCCATACAGGCCCCGAAGAATACCGACTACAGTATGCGAGGGCAGCAACGGATTCTTATGGTCGCCAGTTGGAGGTGACACAAGTGAGGCTGCTCGTGTTCGCAATGAGGAGCCGGGCAGGTGGCGTCGTCTAGACTGTTCGCAGTCTAGCTACAGCCTCTTCTCAGCCATCAAAGTCACCCCTCACTGGCGACTCGACGCGACCGCGTTCGCAGATGTTAGCATTAGAGCCTCACCGCAAGATTCCGAGACCATGACCAGACGGTGTTCGCGGCGACGATCCCTTACGTCTGCCCTGGCATGCGGGTGCGTAATGGCGCAATTTCCCCTCCATTGCCCCTCCAAAAGTGGCCCGGGCGCGACCCTTTGCAGCTTTTGCAGCTTTCCCCTTCACTTCGGGCCAAGATCTGGACAGTCGGGAGCAGGACGGGCATGGACAGCCTCGATGGCGAAGCGCCCAATGACAAGTCAGGCCCCACACTTGTGTTGGACCTGTCATTGCTCTACGGGAAGAGCTATGGTGGCTATAAAAGGTGGCTAAGCAAATGCCCCTCTATCGCTCTCCATCTTTTAAACCTGCCCCTCACTCTTCTCTCAACACAACACTCAATCACCACACACCCATACACACACCCATAAATACACCCCGAACACAACTTCATCAAAATGTCCAACCCCAGGGTCTTTTTCGACATCACCATTGGCGGCGCCCCTGCCGGCCGCATCGTCATGGAGCTCTTTGCCGACGTTGTCCCCAAGGTGAGTACCCCGCCATCAGAGTCTGCGTTATGCTTCATGCCGCCATTTACTTTGCAACCCTGTGTTCGCGTAGACAATGGCTAACAAGCATCAATAGACCGCCGAGAACTTCCGCGCTCTCTGCACTGGCGAGAAGGGCACCGGCTCTTCAGGCAAGCCTCTCCACTACAAGGGCTCTTCCTTCCACCGCGTCATCCCCCAGTTCATGCTTCAGGGTGGCGACTTCACCCGCGGCAACGTACGTTGATACCATATCTCTTGCCAAGAAGACGAAAACAATTGGCTGACATATTACAGGGCACCGGTGGTGAGAGCATCTACGGCGAGAAGTTCGCCGACGAGAACTTCCAACTGAAGCACACTGGACCCGGTATCCTCTCCATGGCTAACGCCGGAGCTAGTATGTTTAGACCATTCCACCGACGTCACTGGCGATCGCAAGCTAACTCATGTTCTTAGACACCAACGGCTCCCAGTTCTTCATCTGCACCGTCAAGACCGCTTGGTTGGACGGCAAGCACGTCGTCTTCGGCCAGGTCAAGGAGGGTCTTGACGTTGTCCAGGCTGTCGAGAAGGTCGGATCCGGCAGCGGCTCCACCAGCAAGCCTGTTGTCATTGCCGACTGCGGTCAGTTGTAAATACTCGTCGCAGCTGAGAGTGTCGGTTCCGAGCAACGTGAACTGGTCAACCAAAACAATGATTCATGTCAGAAAAAACAGCTTGGAAGGTTGTGGAAACACGACTGGTGATTCCGTAGTGATATGACTGGGAAATGAGAAGCAGTGCGCACCCATATGACCTTGAGTGATAGTCTTGCAACTGTGATGTTGAATCTTCCAGCCCTGCGTATTCTAATGATCTGAATAAAGAAATACATGTTCTGAATCTGACGTCATTTCATATCTGTCGATTCAATCTACATGCGCAATCCGGAGTAGAGACCGTCATGGGACAGCATGAGGTATATTTGTAGACTGATGGTCGATATACGAATCTCCAAAACTCTATAGTAGACTGCGACGAGCATTGTGAAAGCCGTATACAACACTATCAATTGCTGGTGCATGAAAGTATGGCATCTATTGACAGTAGAACCAGTACAGCAACTGCCATGTTACTGTAGGAACTGACCTAGCTACCGATCAAATCATGTGAATACGCGTGTGAACCGTGCGTACATACATATGTATGCAAGAAGCACTACCCATTTGCTTTTTGATATTCCCAGCAAGAGCTGACATCCTTGTTGTTCCCAGGAAATCGTCTAGAGGTGTAAAGAAGGAAATATGTAGGGTTCCACTATGCTGGACTTAATACTTTTAAACGACTATGTAGGCGACAGTCTACCCGTTTGGTACGCCAAGGATGAGTAATTTGGTATGGTGGAGGAGAAAGTTAGTCAAAAGGACGTTGAGATGGTGTTGGTTGTGTTGTAGTGGGTGGGTGTAGTAGACGAGTGCAACGCTCAGGACACGTATCAGACGAAAGTAACAGAACGTAGTGACCTGGTCTTTTTCCGAGGATACAGAATTAGATATGTAGAAGCAATGTGAAACTACCATGTAGAAAGAAAAAAAACAAGTGATGAGAGCCTGTTGCCAGGCATCGAGATCCCTGATCTATCATACATACAATGTAGAAAAGAGACATTCACATGACCCACCCATCGGTAAGACAACCTACCGTACCAAACCCGTTTGGGTCATATCATGGTATGTGGCCACAGACAAGGTCTCAGCTCCACCCCCACCCGAGGATTATCGGTTAATATCGTAGCTTGTAGTTGGGTGAGGGCTAGATCTGAAGATGAACCGAAATCGAAACTGGGAAATAGCATTTCCTAGACTTGGATCGTCATGCGGTGGATGGAGATGTACAGATCTCGATGGGACGGCTCATGGATGTGCAGTGTGCAAAACGTCGATCTGGTTCCGCCATATACGCATACGTGGAGAAAGTAGGTGGGGTATCCCTCAGCCGTGGTAAGCCTAGAGTATGCGGTAGTCTGTGATAAGCGCCAATGGGCGTGGGGTTGGGGTTGTAAACAGCATGACTCTGGTATTGATCGTAGCATCGAGATGAACTCCTCCGCATTTTGACCAATAACGGTATCGATGTGTACAACTCGCGCCTTCTATGCAGTCGTCTTGTGCATAATGACCTGCTGTGGGGGAGGGGGGGGGGGTTTAGGCTGCAGTTCTAGGTCTACAGTCCTCGGAGGCGAAGCTTGAACAGCCTGTTCGCAGCTTCCCCAAGAGGAGTCCTCCAAGATTCTCGCGTGCAATTCATGGTTGCCTAGGTCGCTAGCTTGTTCAGGCTGCGGATAGCATTGCCACGCTGTCGTATATCGCCCTCGAGACGAAGTGTGGGGAGGGCTCGTGTAGGTATGTATGAGTCCTGCGAGTGGAGTAACAAGGGACGTCCCTACGTGGCTGAGATGGGTACCGTGCGCAGACTCATCGTCGCCAACTGTTTGGTCATTGTGCAGCAATCAGTGCCTTACCAGACACATAGCACTGAGTAGAGAATGGGCGCCGGAAACCGTTGACATGGATGAAGGGTAGAATGTCGCGATGCGCAACTCTTTGCAACCACACGGTCACACCGATTAATGTGGGATATGGCCAGAGCTGGTGTGACTCTGCCGGGTCTGACGGCTGGATAAGGCTATGCTGTGTCGTGGCTACCATGCCCGACTTCCACGTACTTGACGCTGATTGGTTCGATAATTTCTGATGAAGCAATATCCTCTTTCTGGAACCTGATGCAGACTCTAGTAAAGTGACGCACCAAAGTAATCCACGCATGGATGCTGCAAGCAGAGATTTTACCGCGGTGATGTAGTAGTCACGTGCGGCAGCGTCTTCAACATGCAATGTTTGGAGCGTTCTGTCTAACGCGCATGACGAATGCATGGATCTAGCAGTGTCTTCGCAATCGCTCGTGTCTGCGACGGTCAGTGCCTGGCAAACAAACGGCTGGAGGAGCTAGCGGGCGGACTGCCAGAGGCTGGTCCTTGACGACGCACCTGTGCAGCCTTACCGCAAGCTCCCGAGGACGAGGGCTTGAATATCGATTTAGCATACGACCCGACGATGATGGTACTGGAGACGTGCAGGTCCTACCGTTGCAGCTCGTACTACTAGACGTGACATATGACGTGTGGGAGCATTGGAGCATGGCACAAAAGCAACGTCTTTCCCATAGTCTTCCCACTATCTGCTGACAGCCGGGATAGGCCGTATAGCAACGGAGTTGATATTGAGCTCCGGACCATGCACGTGGGACGATCACTCTTCACCGAGGAGCGTCCCGTTGGCGCCCGGGTCCGACTTTCTCGTACGAAAGCCATGGGATGCTGGGCAGAGTCTGCGCCCGCTTTTGCGCCCGGCTTCATGGCGGGGCTACACTTGTGGCCTCAGTCCCGCAGTCCCGCACAAGTCGCGAGACGAAGCCAGCTGCCGAACGGCGCTGTGAGGACTGTCAGTGAGGGTTGAGCGAGGCGGCCGTGTGTTGGTCGTTGGCCGTCTAGGGCGGGCGATTGGCAGTCAAGCGCCAGTCATCTGTACAGACCCTGGCGGAGACAAATCATGTGGCCCGGGGTTTGGAGTGGAGGTGTAGGCCAGGGCGTGTCATTTGCTGGATGAGGTCAGGGCTATTCGTGTGCAGGCATGTTTGGTGAGCGGCGATCGCGCTTGCGAGGCATCATCGGCGTCGAGACCTGCCACAGCCCCGCGAGACAAGACTTCGTTCTTTGCACTCTCCAGGCAGCCCATTCCCAATATCCCACACGCTATATGCGCTTGCACAGCTGCACTTTGTATTAATCCCCATCGGCCCTTGCGTCCGCCTTGTGCCTCGTCACCTTTCCGCGACTTGTCTCAGACTGCTGCGCCGCCCACTCTACCCCGGCCTCACCTTCTACTTATACACTTGCTTTTGCGTTGCATGGCATTCTATAACCTATAGCCGCCCACTTATCGCCTTCTGCATTTCCACAAAGTACTCTTTTTAATATCATTGTCATCGTCACAGCCCATCATGGCTCCATCTTCAAACTGGCGCCAGTACCAATCCAGCAATAGCACCACTTCGGGTCGCAGCGAGCGCTCGTGCGACACTGCGCCAACAGAGTATAGCGACCGCAGACCATCGTTGGCCCAGAGCGAAACATGTCACGCCCGCATGCAGATGCGAAATCGAGAAAGGGATTATTTTGCGCCCCACGATGACTCCGACCGCTATCGGCAGCTGCCGCCCCGCATATCGGTCGACACGTATGCCTCGACGTCCGAGGAGGACGTCGCTGATGATGTCGACGATGTGCCCGACTACCATGTCCCAATATACCACCACGAGCCGCTGCCATGCGATGCCATTCCGACCACACCCCGCGACTTCGCCGAGCTCTTCCCCACGTCAAAACGCATATCAATACGACACGACGACTCGACCATTGATGGGAACATGAATCTCAGAGTAGACACGCAGGTGGAAGAAAGAGGGCATCGAAAACAGAGCTACACGCTCTTCCACCTCCGCATGCAGGATCTGCGCACCCGCCAGTTCTCTCTGCGTCGGTACTGCAGAGAGTCCGGGCGCGAGGTTTGCCACTCAATGCGCAAGTACCAGAAGCCGGCCACGGAAATGCGGCCAGTCCTGCAGCGCGCAAGCACAGCCCTCGCTAGTCTGGTTAAGCCCGACTCCCGCCCTTCTACATCGGCGGGTCTAAAGCGGGCGGACTCTGGCTACGACTCCTTCCATGGCAGTGCAATCGACGATAGCGAAGAGCCATTGGAAGCACGTCCCAAGGCCGTGGGCTACTCAAAGGGCCGTGCGCTGATACCAACAAATACCATCAAGCTTGAGTTCTCAAACTACGCACATCTCGATGTAAAGCGCCGTGGCGCCAAGTCGTACAAGAAGTATGCCTTTGAATACTGGGGTAACGACTATTCCTGGAAGCGTATCATTAAGAAGGAGGGCCGCGACCAACAGGAGTCCGTATCCTACTACCTCGTCCGCGACGACGACGATAAGGAGCCTCTGGCCCACATCTGTCCCGTAAAACTGACGCCGAACGAAGCGCGCGAGGAGGCTGCGCGGGGTGGCTGGGTGCCACCGTGCTATATGCGCATCACTGACGAGAAGATCTTGACTTCCGACTCCGACATCTCCGAGTAAGTAGTACACGTCAACGCGGCAGCCTGCATCAATCAGCTGATCATGTGAATAGTGTTGTTGTGGCGACAGGCCTCATAGCCCTCGCAGATGACTGCATCAAGCGACACTTCCACTCCAAGCAGAGTACGCAGATCCACATCCCTCTTCTGCGAAATTCGTCTTTCAAGATGGCCAATCTGGAATACATTGGCCCAAGACGACTCATCGATGAAATGTTCAATCGAAAACATCAAGATGGCCTCGTGTCGAAGAGGCGTCCTTCACCCGCCGTGCGACGTGTCTCGACATCGGTCTAGTTTTTTCCTTGTTTAGATCTTGTTCGAATATTGAGCATGTTGCTTTGGCACCCACTCCATTCACAGTCACAGCACGTTCTCGTACACTGTACGACCGAGCTGTCAGAACTGTTTGTTGGGACGCGGGTCCGTAGGCACCCGCTACCCCTTGTATCGTATCGTTGGTTGTCATCTTCCTTATTGTTCTTTGACGTTCGTCATGAGCAGGGCCTCATGAACTGCAACGTGCATGGCGTTGCTTGGTTGCTGCATTTGTTGAGCTCTTACTACGCAGTCTCTCGGAGCTGGGCATCCCAGCAGGACTCTTGGTGCATTTATTGCCATCTTCGATTCTGGTTCACCATGATCACTTGTTCATGATTGGATTTTAGTACACGCTACGATACCACTATTTTTGGAACGATTAATGACCAGAGCTTCGCATGCTCTTCTACAATTTGGCCTCCACCTTCCATGCGTGAGATGATTTTGGTGTTAACGTTGACGCGTGGAACTGCTACACACAAGGTCTTGGTGCCAAAGCTGTGCGAGTCACTCGACCTCCGATCATTTGACCACACATCCGTCGGCTCGATGTTTGCTTACGCGGCCGGGCCTGGAAGGCAACTGAACTCTACATTTTTGTGTCCGTCATGCCATTCAAATAGATCTGACAGGTGTCACAGCCGCCCCCATCGTGAGGCTGGTGAGAAAAGAATGCGCACCCAGCAACGTGGAAGTTACATCTTACGACAGCAAGAGGTGAATTTGCCATGGTCCATGCACCAACGCTTGTCAAGATACGTTGAGCTTCTGACAGGTCCTACCATGTCATTGTTTCGAAGTTCGTTGATGCGTCGTATAACACGAGCACAGAAATCCCGCTTTGCTGGATATCCCATTAGTATCAAGGCTACGCGAAGTAGGATAAAGCATAATAAAGCCGGATATATTTGGGTGGTGCTAATTTGACAGTCGGCATTGTTGTCAGGGTACTACCGAATGACTAGGAAGACACAGTACAAACTGGTGGAGGCAGGTACCCGCATTTCGTCACTGCCATGTGACTTGCTCTCGCCAAGACACCAAATGCAATTCACTCTAGCTTTTCAATCTGCCGTCGCTAAGCAGCACGGTTAGAGCAAGCGCCCTCCGCTTCCCGATCCAACGGCTGCCTCCCAGCTTACAACTTGTTTAAAATCTTTTCTGGTATCATGGTATCCCTGTGTCAATGCGAAGGACAAACAGGGGTTTCCAGAACACTACTGCAACATGTGCTGGCGCCAGTAATGATTTGCACTCATGGATTTACGCAATAAACTCGTCAGGTAGGGGTTTAGAGCATTATCATGAGGCAGCCACGGTTCTCGGTTGCATATACTGCATGCGGTCCTTCCCGTTGCAGACCTTGGTGAGCCCCCATGCCAGTTCTTACTGCGAGCTGCTGCCGACCAACCTTTTCCAACTCTCCGTACGGCTGCACTCCGCTTGAACCATCTCAGTCTTCCCGGCGGCCCGCCATGGATGGCGCTTGGTCGAACCAACAGTTTGGGTCGCACAGAACACCATTATCATTGGCTACGGAAATGGGCATTGTCAAAGCGGGTTGTGGCAGAAATTTGTCAGTTGGGAAAGATTATGAGCATGACACGGAGTCTTGCATACCTTCGTTACTCACTGCCACCATCATCTGCCCTTCTGTCTCAAAGTGAGGCTCTTCTCAAGATCTAGTATCTATAAGTACCTTTTCTTATCAAGACATTTCCAGAATCATCGTCACGCAATCCCCTTTTTCTCTACCATCGGGCCTTGTTCAAATCCTATACAACCCATCCCAATTGGCTTTACCTCTCTCGCCCTGCTTAAACACAGACATATTTACCATGACTAATCAAGATTCTTGGTCACAACGTCTTCGAGGTCTGTTCTTGCTTGTTCTTAAACACAAGTAAACTTTGCTGATACTTGAATAAGAACATTGCCTCGTGCGAGGTCTACAGGAGCCTCAGTATCAGGATCTCTCTGATCGCCGCGGTAAGCCAGCCCCTTGCCAAGCCTTCAGTCCATATCTGATAGCTAACTTTGGCACAGGAGGGAGAACAGCCTGGGCTACCGTGGTCACCGTCAATGGAATGAATTTCCAGGCGCGTTTCTGGTATGACGGCAACTATCTTCACCAAGCCAAGGAGGATTGCTCTGAAATTGCGCTACGGGCGCTGACTGGATTCACGAATTCGACCCAGGCGCCACCCCCGGCAAGCCACTATCGAACAATCGGGAATCATCGAGACCAGGGTGTGGCCTCTGGGTAGAAATTTAGTGAGCTCAATCTGACATGGGTGACTTGTCATGTTGGCGTGGAAGGATGTAGCGGCTAAGTCATTTTATCGTATCACTGCCTAGTTATAACGAATCTCTCTTTGGAATGAAGATGGTAGTTTTTTTCCTCCCGTTGTGTTCCAATGTCGTCGCTTCTTGGGTTGCTCAACTGTGGTACACTAACCCTTAGCGCAACTGCCAGAACGAAGTCCATAGCAGCTTCCCCCACCGTGATCTTCTTCCCGCACACCACACGCGACGAAATGATTCCCTTGGCTCGTATATCAGCGCCTACGGGTCTTGCGTCAATGAAACGCTCCTGTCGCCTAGTCACCATGCTGCGCGGTGCTACGATGTCATCCTTCAGCACTTTGGTGGACATCCTACTGCACATCTACGAAATGAAACTTTCTCGCAGCTTGGATGAAGCCAGCCGATACTTCTACAGGTACTAATGGAGAGACACAGGCGCCCGGCACCCTCTCCCCGCACGCGAGTCTGTACATCATGCGTTAGCTTCACTGCCGCCCCACGTGCACCGGCTTACGAACACACCATGCTTTCATAGAGCCCGGTATCCAGTGTCCGAGGAGCTTGCCTTCATGTAGGAGGTATACGAGCAGTCTCTACCAGGTAGGTGTCATATGCGGAAACATGGCTCGTGTTGTTCCCTCAATGGCTCTGCAGTGCGGCTCTACAATGTATCTCCGAAAGGGACCATGTGGAGCCACACGAAGAGTTCATGACAAGTTGACACACACCCAAGATTCGCTAACCCACGCTTGCGGCCATGAACCAATGCATCGGGCGTTGGGCTCGAAAACACATACGATCAGGCGCTCACGCACGCAGGGTTGCATCTGTCATTGAAGGAGCTGCTTAGACTCGTCGCATATGCATCCCATGTATTCGGCATGCTCGTGGCACCTTTAATGTGGGATCAAAGGAGCCAGGGTGGAAGACTCTGCCACGCTCTCGGAGGACATTCGTCCACGAAAAACGATAGCCTGCGCATGTACGCATCCCGGATAGAAAGCTTTTGGATTGCCGAACCCTCCAGGCGCCTACATCTTTATTGCAAGCCAGGGTATAGACAAACGAGGCTGCTTACCCACGACAGGCTCACTGCATGAAGGAAACAGAGGTTGGTGGCATACGTTTCATTGAACACCAAGACCACACATCTCGGATTCCGACAAACATCCGCGGAGTACGCCGCGAAAGACGTGTGCCGCGGGAATGGTGAGAGACGCCACAGTGTTTTCACGGAAAGTGACTTCGCATTGGCGCCTGTTGTCATTAGCTGCATACTGAACTACTTCGGCGTGAGTTAAAGCCAGTGAGAATGAAATATTCAGGGGCGATGCAGCAACCACTCTATCAAGGCATGACAATCATTCATACTGGAGTCCAAATAGTTCTAAGAAGGATCAGACCTCCTTTAAGAAAAAGCTGGAACTCCACTGATGGGTGTCAGCCACTTCCAAACATCGCTTAGTGTCAATATGATTCCAAGCTTACTGGCGCGCACACGATCGCAAGATAGGCCGAGCTAATCGGCAGTCATGCTTGACATCGCAAGCCAGGCGGCAACAGCTTCAGTTGAACGTCAAATCGGAGACATCATATGCAGACACTTATTGACGCATACTAAGTTCTGGACCCAGGTCTCAAGGCTTGGAATGCCTGCGCGCAATACCTACCTTCACTCCCTGCAACAGTCTCAATGCAGATCGCGCCGTTGCTCCCCGGACCCCCCGGCCTAGTTGTGTGGAAAGCATACTCTCCCCCACTCACTTCTCTCTGCCTACCTACACTCCCGCCGCGAGATTACAGATCACGTCGCATTTCACTCTCGTTTGAACGACTAGCCCACTCTGTCGACGCCTCCACGATCACACGTTCTCGCCGGCAACCACAACGATCCGCTTCGAACGCATAGTCGTTCGCTACTCCACCGTTTACCTTGCAGCATCGACTTGTGACTCCCAACACATATCAGCTAGTGGCGATAGATGGCTCGGGGCTCCAGCAATAGGTCTCACAACCTTTTCTGAGCTGAAACGTCATACACCAGACCCATTGGACTGCCTATAATGAACATTGCCTTGATGAGGAAGCACCTCCAACCCATCGATGGAACCAGAGGCATTCATCAGTACTATCACGCTTCGGCTGCAGGGGCTGCAGATCAATTGGATGCTAAAGCGCAGTAACCCCAAGTACGCCGAACTGTAGCCGTTGAAGATAAGCTGGAGGCATGCTTCTACCAGGGTTGTTCCTCAACACTCAAGTTCAGTTGTTGACAGTACTAGCTATATCACCACATTCCACCATCCCCATATCGACGAGCTCCCATCGAATCCGACAGTAAATGACGAATACAGTCTAGCTCTGATATCCTCGAAGCGAGAACCAGAGCGTATGGGAGGGCAATATACACGGCGCCAGAAAGCAAGCCACACAGATGATGGGAGGCTTTCCATCATGCATGTGCAGCTTATCCGTTCCGTTCCACAAACCTGAACGTTGGGTTGTATACATGACGCTCCTGTATGTACTCGGTCACCTTCTGCACTGGGGTGGCACAGCTGCGAAGTACATACCTCATATGGACGGCCGCGGAAAAAGGAATTGTTCGCCCCTCCTGAGCATTTGGACGATATGATTTGCCCCCTGAGAAGGTTCACCGACCCAAAGGGCCTGATCTGTTATACGGGGCATACGTGCACGAATTTTCACAGAACCACATATCCAATATTGCTAGCACGAGCGATAAGATGACTACGGTACTGCTGTGTGATCATGAGTAGCATGTCACACTACACACAACAAGGAAGATGGCAGCTGAGAGAGGTCTTACTCCTGCTGAGTCGGGCCTTCAACCACAAGCAGACGGAACTCCGAGGGTGGATCATGAATCTTCACTATAGCGCAAAGATCCCTCGGCAAGTGCGGCAAGATTATGATTACTGAGAACAGCTCAAACGGGCGACTACCAACTAAGAGCAAATGGTCCGCACCATCTGAAGGTACCATACCTGTGGGTTCGCACAGACGGTCAAAAGTTGCATAGGAGATGGGAGGTTTTGTGGATCTCGTTCGCAGCAGCAGTGTAGGATGAAGGATGCGTATCCATAGCAGGCACGCGACTGAGGACCCAGCACTGGACGCATGACATTGCATGATAGGATAGTCGTCAGCGACTTCTTTGGGAGCGCAGCATTGTGTCCAATGAATGTCAGGCCACGTGAGTGTCGGACCGACCCGAATCCCGTATCGGCGCGCCTTCCGCTGACTAGGGCAAGCTTGTAGGGGGGATTGAGTTTGAGAAGAAACTCTTCACTCCATCGTCTCATCATGTCCTGCCCCCCGTAGAACTCACTGTTTGCGTGATTAACAATACAGGAATGGAGACCACATGAATGACGTGACTGTCGGCTAACTGCTGCCGACTGGCTCCTGCTACAATTTCTGCCGTGACGTTGCGCATGCGTATGCTGATGCGCTACTACGACGCACGGCTTCCCGATGGGCTCCAATGAGCTTGCGCTCACCACGTCTCATGACTTGAGTCCGAGGAAGCCGAGAGCTCCATTTTCGGTGTCGCAGAGCTGGAGTACAGCTTCACGCCCGGCGGACTCTGCTATCGTCGTTACCTTCACTGCACGCCCTCTTCGAGCAAGCACCCTGACAGCTACTTACTGTTCTACTCAGCAACAAACCATGTTGACAGTATAGATTGTATGCTCCCATGCCCATGGAGGCGTTGCGTTCCCTTCCCCCATCAGCCGTCACAAAACCACAACCACCATCATGTCGTTCGTTCAGATTTGGTCCGCAGGAAGAGCGACCCAGATTTCATTTGGCACGAGTCTCGGATGCTCTATACAACAAGCCAACTGAGTTCTTCTCAGTGTCAATCCTTCACCATCGCCTTAGCCTGTCTCGAACAGGCGCCATGGATGATATTGAGCATGCGGGTACCGCTCCTTTCAGACACGGGAGTTGACAAGACCAAGGGCGCGCCTTGGGACGAACGATACCGCCGAATGGATGCGTGTTCACCTGACGGACTAGACGCAAACCACCTGCCGTCCTACCACCTTTCGCGCGATCTAGACGTAGTGACGCCATGGTACACTGTGGAAATACAACAACACCACCGCAAAGTGCGTCGCGATAAACTACCCTTTACTCCACAGATCACCTATAGCGGACATCTTCAAATTGTACCCCGGTTATGGGCATGCGCTGGCAGTGTTCGATACCGATATGGCCAATTCCACAGGAACACGTCACAACATTACGATAACAGAGACACAGACAAAAGCACTTGCTAAGCCCTTCGAGCTTGACGATCGATGATAACGGCTAGTTGTCGGCGGAATCAGTTGGCTACAGGAGATGCTGAGACATTCCAGATAGGTCGCTGAACACAGCTATCGGCCACTTTATCGTGATTCGACCCCTTTTCTCTATCGCGAGTATGCGCTTTATATCATCGATACACAGAGATTCGCCGCGGCCTCGGGATGGTCGACAAGATACGGAGGTCTACGGTTCAAGCTCTTCGCACACATCTGCGTTGTCGTCGTACTACGGTTGCACTACGGGCCGGGCGGGAAGTTACCTATCCTCGTGCTATACGTCGGAAGCGCGCCAGCTCCCGCCTTACACCCGCATCGGAACTAGCAACGGTTGTTTGGGATCCGCCCCACCAAGACGGTTACTGGCTTCCCTCCAGCAACATGAGCGTTACCTGCTATTCAATGCGTATGCAGGATATAATGGCTTGCACTACCAGCAGCAACAGCGTCATTTGCGAGAGTATGTTTTTGGCACGGCCCGATTAACAAGAAATAGTCCATGGGCGCATTCACGAACTTCAACATCAACATGAAGCCGCCACCCTGCGCCTCTCTACTCTATAAACCTTATACGCCACAGCGGCGGGTTTCGTCGACGCCACACTGCATGATGCGTCCGCCCCCACACAAACCAAACCCCGACGTCTGCACGTCTCGAGACGCGTTCGTTTAGACACTCGTTCGGTCACGATTACGCGTTCCCTACCGCTCCTCCGCTCCAACGAACCCGTAGCTTCAACGATTCCACATAGCGTCCATGACACTGCGCTTCTGGTAGGCCAACAACACGGTTGCCGAGGTAACGGACGACACAGTGAAGATGTGAATCGTAATTCTGCGTCAAGCTTCTCGTGCTGGAGAAGGGAGCTAAGGCATAGGAGGCTGTAGACAATGAGGTGCGCGCTGTAGGTATGGGGGTGTGGAAGACATAGAGTTTGTTGATGCGGGGGGGTCGAGAGAAGTTACGGGAAACGGACTAGACTACTCAGATGGAACGCCTGAACATGGGTGCCGCTGTAGTATGTTGCGGTTGTATAAAAGTGATATGGGATATATGCACAATTCTGCTCTTAGATATGCGGAATACAGCTTACTTTCTAGCACTCTGCTCAATTCCGCCAAGGAGACAAGTGACATACAACTCCATATCATTCGTGTAAGACGTTGAGGTCTTCGTATATCTATAAACGTGTTGACCCATCATTCCTCAGAACGTAGTCTATCAAAGCACCACCACCAAAAACTCCATTACCAATGCCCCAACCATCTTTTTCATCCTTTCGTCCTCATCTAATGAGCCTCACCATTGCCATTCACACTCCCCTGCCTAACCATCCAAGTAAGCAAATCAACCTTTGTAACGACACCTACAGCCCTCGTCTCGCCATCCACCCTCTCCGTAACCACAGCCGCACTATTCCACTCAAAGAACTTGTTCAAATCACTCAGACTAGTCTCCTTTGTGATTTCCACAAACTCGCGACGACCTTTATGACCCGCCTTTTGCGTATTCTTTGCATTGTCGCCGTCAAGCGACAAGCGACCCAGGTCCTTGACAACCTCGTTCAGCTTGCGGAAATCAAACATGACGGTTTCGACGGCCGATTTGGGCGTTGCGCGACCCGCGGCAATGTACGATAGGAGGTTGCCGAGGGTGACGAGGCCGACGAGTTTAGCTTTTCCCGCCGCAGAGTATGTGCTCACGGGGAGCTGGTCGAAGCCCTTTTCCCGCATGGTTTCTATGGCTTCGCTGCAGGGGGAGTGGGCGGGGATGGTGGTGACGGGTTTGAGGCGGAGGGAGGCGATTGTGGCGCTGTGGAAGGGGTCGGTTTTCTTGCTTGTCGAAAGGCGGCGGAGGGAGGCGGCGGGTGTGTGCGGGGGGGTGGGAGGGAGGAGGTCGTTTGCTGCGAGCCAGTCGTCGTCGGCGAACTGTGGGGATGTTTAGTTTTATGGAAGATGGGCATAGGAGTGAATGTGAGGGGACGTACCTTGCTGAGATAGCTCCTGATGCTGTCGGGGAGTATGACTACTACGACGTCGTCCTCGGTGAGGTTCATGTCCTTTGCAGCTTCGACCATGGCTGCCATTGCGCTGCCAGACGAACCACCGCATAGGATGCCTTCCTCGGAGATCAATCTGCGCGCATACAGGAAGGACGTCCGGTCTTCTGTCTTGTACCACTTGTCTACAATCTTCTGGTCCAAGACATCAGGAATGAAGTCGTATCCAATGCCCTCGACCTTGTAGCCCTCATTCACGCGTTCATCGTTCAGGCTTGGAGGAAGAGCGAGGATACTGCCATGAGGATCTGCCGCCACAATCTTGACATCCTGCTTGTGTTTTCTCAGACCACGCGCAAGCCCTGTAATAGTACCGCCGGTACCTGCACCAGCCACAAGACAGGTAATCTTGCCCTCGGTCTGTGTCCAGATCTCCTCGGCCGTGCCGTACTCGTGCGCGAGCGGGTTATCAGGGTTGGAGTACTGGTCCAGGATATGCGCATTGGGGATCTCCTTGACCAGGCGCCTGGCAACGCCAATGTGGCTCTCGGGACTATCCCACGCCGCACTCGTCGGCGTTCGGATAATCTCTGCCCCAAGCGCCTTGAGAACCGCCACCTTCTCCGGGCTCATCTTCTCGGGCAACGTGATGATTGTCCTGTAGCCCTTGACCGCGCCGATCAGCGCAAGCCCGATACCCGTGTTGCCGGATGTGGGCTCGATGAGTGTGTCACCGGGCTTTATGCGGCCAGACCTCTCGGCTTCCTCGATCATGCGCAGCGCGATACGGTCTTTGACACTGCCGCCGGCATTGAAGGCTTCGACCTTTGCGTACACGGTGGCGCGGATACCGAGAGACTGAGGGATCTTGTTCAGGCGGACGAGCGGCGTGTTGCCGATTTGCTGGGTAATGCTGTCCATGACGACGGGCGGGATAGCGGGGCGAGTTTTGGTCGACATTATCGCGGTTTGTGGTGTTGAGAATCGTGGGAGCGACAGTCTTGAGTACGTCTATAAGTATATGTGGAGTATAGAGGAGAAGAAATTGACGCGGAAAAATAAAAGGCAAGTATCCACACGTCAAAGGCGAGAAAAATGTCACTCACGATAGCGTGGACGTAATAAACTCCCAAGGTTGTCGCAAAGGGACGGCAATTCAATTAGCCCGCCACTACCCGCCGCTAGTTCGGCCGATGATCTCCACCGCTAACGCAGCCTTGCACGGCTAGCCGAATCCGGCGTCACATCAGCCCACCGAATCCGCCCTTACAACTCTATTACTGTGGCAAGGGCCTTTGGCGGGTCACCTGGCGTGGATATACGTGTTTTTGAACCTACAGAGTAAATCTAGAAGACCCTTCGCAAGAGACGGCCAAAGTCACTATCATCCTAACGAGGGGCAATACGATCACGTCACCCATGCGTTTGGATTGGCGTCCTGCTGACGTGATTGAGATGAAAATCACATCACTGGAAGTCTTCTTCGCACTGGAACGTTTCTGGGATATCAGACGTCTCCTAGAAATTTGAGCAAATGAGCTGATCGACTGCCTACTTGTTCATATCAAGATGTCGTCACTCCGAGACGGGAATAATTTTGAAACGAGTGTATTGGGTTAGACTATCTAGGAAACTAAATCAACACAGGACACAAGACCAAACGGAAGAAAACAATCACAGAATGCAAACGAGATGGTACTGAGAAGAGGGTAGGGAAGAAAAACAATGCGCAAGAGTAATGAAGCAACGAGATACCGGGGGATGGTTAGATTGATTGTATGCGTCCAAGCACACACCTAGACGAAGCAAAGCTTCATTCTATGCACATTCGCATGATCCAACAGATTGTAGTCGAACAGAGGAGGCCTAGTCTCGTCGGTCTGCCAGAATATTAGTATCTCGAAACCTGACAAGCCTTTGACCAACTTACACTCTTGGCAGCCCTCTCTATGAACTCATCGCCCGTTTTCTTAATGGTATTTTCGGTCAAGGCCCAGTCAAAATTCTCCCCACAAATCCTTGCCTGCAATACGCGGTTGATATCGTCGTGTCCGGGGAGTGCGGTGTCGTGATCGAGTTCGAGCATTTCGAGCGGATAGAAATCACCTCGTTGGTCCCGTGCGAGAGGTAGCTCCGGATGGCAGATCTCTGACTTGCCGTCGAGGATGACTGCTCCAAGTCAGTACTGAATCTTATAGTTTAGAAAGACGAAGAAAAGGGAACGAGACTTACATTTGTTGAAGTACTCATAGACGGTGTAATCCTGGACGTTCTTGTTCACGTTAGGAACCCGATGCGGAGGACATAGGTTGCAGATCCTGAAACTACAACCGTTCTCCGGCCGTTCAAATTCATCCTCGCTTCCGGGTCCACTGAAAGGTGGGTTCCCCCCAGGAGGATAGATTCGTCGAACGACTAGACCACGAAAGATGTTCAAGGGTGCCCTCAAGTTGTGTATCGTGAGTTTCACGTCTTTGGCGAGTTCTCCAAAGATATTGAAGAAGAGTTGGTCCAATCTCTGCTTCTTGGCCCAAGGAACAATGTCGAATTTAAGCTCCAGTTTCTTGGAGATGGGGTGGAATGACGGGGAGAAGCGAATTCGAAGGTCAGTCTTGGGAGAGGTGGTGTCATTCTCCGGGCCGTTGGCCAGTAGGCGGATAGGCTTGTAGCTCGATGCTTGTGGTAAGGATGGGAAGAACTCGGCATCGGCGTCGTAGAGCGAGCAAGGTTGCTTGGGATTTGTCGCGCGAGCGCGTAGGAAGTACCTGATGGTCTTCCAGTAGAGGTCTGGCATCGTTTTATCACTGCATTTTATGCCTTCAAAGAGACTACAGTAGATGTATTCTTTCTGTGGCTCGATACCTTTGATCCCTTCGTGGACACGCGTCATGGTCTTGAACACTGAAATGACCCCTTCACCCAGTTCGCGTTTCACCTCTGCAATTTCGGAGATGTAGAAGGGCATAATGAGGAAGTCTTCGTAGGGGCCTCCTCGCGTATCAATGACGATTGAGTCTCGGATTACTTTGCTGGTAACGATGTCTTCGAGCATAAGTTTCAGTGCGTTGTGGCGTACTCTACGACTCATGATTGGATTCATTACTGAAGCCGTTTCGGTCCCTGTCCCGACTCGTTTGATGTAGAATGCAGGAAGACTAGACATCTTGTAAGTCAATTGTCCGATGGAAGTTCTCGTATGTGGTGGGAATGTGAAGGGCCGTTTTGCACCCCTGGCAGTGTCCAATGGACCCTTCTTTGCTATTATCCTGTTCTCAAGGCCTGATTTTAGATCGTCACCAGGCCCATTCATGTAGGAGGTCTGGGGGAAATCGTCAGTTTGAGGTGATGATATAGAGCTCGAAGGAGCAGAGCGGATGTAGGCGGTCACATTCTCCCTTAGTGAGCTATCTTCGTCCCTCTTAACCTCTTTAGCAGGGTCTTGGGTACTCTTCGACTTTTTCATAGTTTCGAAACGGCCGCGTTAGTTCGATCTGCGAGTAAAAGACTAGTCAGAAAAATGGGAATCAAGCAGTGAACCAGGGAGGACTGAACCGGTGTGATGGCCAGCCCTGGGTGTGAATCCGGCCCCTACTTATGTGACTTGCAAATTACGACATCCTGGTTGCCACAAGTCACTCGTTCCTGATATGGTCACGGCCAAGTACCCCGAAGTGTGCTTGCCTCTGCGAAGCTCACCATGACGCACGCAGATGCGCACATGTTGATTGTTAGGAGGTCACCGGCCATGTGTATGTTTGCGGCGACAAGCGGGCTACTGAGTTTCCTCATAACTTGCTACAAGTCGTTGCTAGCAGCATCATCAATGCTGGTGTTGAGTGGTGGCAGAATAGTGACGTCGAAGAAGGGCAGGAGCACTCCTGGTAAATTACATAATCCAAGTTTTTGCGCACGGCCCCTAACCATACGTCGTACGAAACGATACCTTTGAGACTTCTCAACTCCGAGGGCTGTGTGATAACAAGACACATCAGAGATCTAGAAGATGCGTCTCACGGACCGATGGATCAAAACAATCCACTTTCTCGTTCCCATTCGGCATCTCAGTGAGCGTACGGCAAGCTTGGAAGGCAGGAACTACTATGTGTACACCAGAGGTCATCCTCAGTAAAGCGAACGGCCCTACAACTAGAAACAAATCTCAAGTTGTATTCTAATGCAGTGTGAGGCGATGTCCCATGGTTGGTAGCGTATCCATATAGTGATAGCGTTTCTGCCATCGTTATTATTTTCTCAAAACTGGGTATTCGATGCTCCAACGATTATCCGACCACCCGTCTATCAATAACCCTACCCCTATTCAGCCTCACAATTGTTCGGCAATCCACTCCCACCACTTATCCATATCAGCCCCCTCCTTACCAGCAACCACATTACCACCAATCACTTGCACATTCGTCCCACTCTCCCGCATCTGCTCAAAAGTGAAAAAGCCCTCTCCACCCTCACCGAGCCATTCCTTCTCCTCATCTACATCATCCTCTCCGCCACTCAGTGCCGCTCCAGCATCCCTGAGTGCCTTTGCCTTGTTACTCCTGACCTCTGTGATGGTCTTCTCCAGCAGATCCTTCACCAGGTGCGGGGGCAGCGCAGTAAAGAGGTCCATCTTGTTGGCAGCAACGAGGACAGGAATTTCCTTTGGTCCCTTGCTCGAAGTTGCGTTGGTGTAGCGTTTCTGGAGTGAGAGCAGGATGTCGTGGAGATACTCTGCAGCTTCGTTCAAGTTGGTTTCGTTGCTCAATTGGGCCGAATCGACTACGAAGATGATTGCGCGAATGTTCTTCAGGTCGGCGATTTGCGCGGTGGCATAGTGGCGCAGTTTACCATGGCCGGGCGTGTCGATGAGGAGGAAATTGCGAGAACGTTCAAAGGCTGGGTCGCCTGGTGAGCGGTAGTGTGAGGACGCCGGCACGTGTGGGCTGGGCAGGATGGCGGAGACGGTGAGAGGCGTCGTGGATGTGTGGGTTTGGGTTGTGGTATTGCGCTCCGCCTGCATATGTGTTAGAAATATCACATTAAAAACCTCTTGCCCTATGCAGCCATTGAGCCATGCATGGAACGGAAGCGGATCGTACCAATGTTGTAAAGGCAGTCTTTCCGCCACCACTCGGCCCGACAAGCAGGAAGGTGGGTAACTGTGCAGCGGCGGCAGCCTTCTTATACAAGAGCGCATGGACTATTATCGGCAATCCCAGCGCGACAATGATTGTAATGAAGATGATAGTGAGGTTTGGCGAGAAGGCTGCAGTGAGCCAGCTGTCCTGATCATACCACGCCATACCGACTGAGGAGGTCCTTTGAGATTGCGCAGAGTGCGCTGTGTATCTTCCCGATGGACTGGCGACAGGTGGTAAGAGTCGCGTGGCTCTGAAAGCGCCTGGTGTGCAGGGTAACGCGTGTGTGTTTAGCGATGACGTGACATTGTGGTCGGCGAGACTCTCAGCTCCGTCAAAGTTTCGGTGGCCGACCCCTGGGCGGCGCCAGGACCGCGGGGAAGCGGAAAGACCTCACGCTAGTAAACTGGCAAGAGCTTACGGGAACCTCATGCTTTCTGTTTCCATCTCAACTGACTTGTAGGCCATCTTCTGAAGCCACAATTCGTTGCATGGGGAGTCATGAATGATCTATTAAAGTGCGCAAGACGGAGGTGTACGGAAAAGCCCTCACCCCGCGAAAGTACCCTGACTCGCGGAACATCACAATCAGGACTGCGATTACTATGGTAATCGAAAAGGGCCGCCTGCATTCGACAACTATCACAAGCTTTTGGGGACTATATAATCATACAATTGGACAAGGGGCCACCGTAATTAGCCTTTCCGTGCGTCGTTAATCTCCCGTCCCGTCGCTGACCGTGCTACAGTTGCTCGCGAACCTACAGGTCCCCACACTCCAACCGATATTGCATGCCTTTATCCCTGATGACCCGCCGACCTAAAGACCATTTCTGACCATGACCCATTACTCATAAAGCCATAAATTGCTGCCACTGCTCAGCTTACACCGATGAATTCCGAAGGGCATTTGTCGACGCGACCAAACAGAGACAGCATCAAGGAGAAGGGTATGATCGTCGACTTTTTTACCCGCATGCGCCATGCATTATGCATCCGCATCCATGATTCCTAATATGTGCCCATGCCTTAACACCATTTGCACAGCTCTTAATGCAGGAAGGCAACCATCACGAACAAAGAACCGAAAAGAAAAAACGTGAAACTGCAAGAAAAGAAAAAAGACAGTGAGATCGTGCTTCATGTACGTCATACAGGTCATGACAAGATGAGCCGCTAGATGGTGCAGGATTAAACATGTTGTGTGATGATAAAAGGAAAAGATAGCAGAGAGAAAATTGGACCAGCGGGCGACAGACCACATGTCATGGCAGTTCCGGAAGTCCTGCATGACCGGCTCGGGTTCCACGACAACGAATGTTGAGGGTACGCATGCTGAATGCAGTAATCCGCTAGGAATTTCACTGCGACCAACATGCCCAAGACATGCGGTATAGCCTTGTCATGCGTCGTGTACACCCCTTCGCAGCATCCTTGCTTTGTCATGCCGTGTTGATTCGCCTAGTTTTAGTCCGTGCGTCGTTCGTTCAGGATGTGGTGGAAGTGCGGGGGTCTCGCTCGCGTTCGGATTTGCAGGGGATTGGGGTACAGTAACAATAACAAAGCCGCCGCAGAACCAAGAAGCGGTCATGAAGTATTGCTGAAGAAGTTGTGGACAAGTCGAGGATCCTAGTATATGCCAGGAAGGCCAGCCCCGCCGGTTTCAGTCCTGGTCTACGAGAGCTGCATCGTATTGAGCCTGTCAAGAGCGTTCATGCAACAGCGACGCAAACCTCTCCAGCGCTCATTAATACGTGTGTGCATGAATGTCGGGATAGTATCCACGGCTGCTTTCCATGCCTTCAAATCTACCGCAACCGCCCCCTTGCCAGGCAGTAGTAGGGTATTCGTCTTTAATCCTCCGCTCTGGTAACGGTAGGGTACTTTCGAGTTTGGGCGGGGCGTTCTCATAGATGGAAGATGGATAGTAGGAGTAGTCGTGTGGGGCATCCATCATCTTCGTGTCATCGTCTTCGACCATGTGCTGGTCGCCGACAAGACCCTCAACGGGCCCTCCGCTCAGCGAGCTTGCTGAACTGACCGAATGACTGCCGACCGGGCTTGGATCCAAGGAATAGGTGTTACCCCCTCTGTACATGCTGCTACCCATGCCGGTTGCACCGCTACTCGACATGCCGTTGCTGTAACCCGAGTACGACGTCCTACCATTCGAGCCGAGGCCATGATGACCCCCACCACCCAGACCTGAGCCCGGTGCACCTCTTGACGTGCCGGCGTTGTGAGGGCCTTCATTTTGGTAATGACTGGGCGAACGTCCACGGACAACGACGGGATGCGATAGGCGGGCAGCGATTTTGACCCAACGAGGCTGGTCGTCTCGTGAGTTTTGTACATTTGCCCACAGTTCCACGATGAGATGGTAGTACTGTTGTTGGGCGCGACGCTTGCCATTGTTTGCCGTTGCCGACTTGAACTGGATACGCTCAAACGAGTGCTGGTAATTGCTATTGGCATGACTCGCAGGTGAGTACTGTTGCGAGGAGTCGCTCTCGGTTTGTAGGGGAAGCTGAGGCCCTGCTACCGTTGTGGACTGGTGGAAACTGTTCAATCCGTAGCCACTGTGTTCGTGGCCTCTTCCAGGGGGCGTGGGTGCCAACAGCTCCTTCTTCATGGCCAGCTGTGGACCTTTGTCCCGCTTTGGAGTGTGTTGGATCAGCTCGATAGTTTTCCCGGTTGTGCCGTCAACAGCAGCTGCAAGGGACACGGCCATGGACTGTATCTGCTCTGGCTGTTTGCCGTGGCCTTCAAGGTAAAGACGAGCGTTGGGAAGCCAAGGCGAGAGTTGATACGATACGTTTACAGCAAAGTAGTTCCGCCGGTAGCATGTCCACACACGATCGGCAGAGTAAAAGAAGCCTTTTTCGATCTTGGCGTCGATGCTAGGCCTCACCGTTGTGCCTTCGCAGGTGATGGTATAAGAATCTTCCTGGGGGTTGAAAGGAGGCGTTTCAGGGGAGCCGGTGGGGGGTGCATAGCTGGCTGCTTGATAGCCGCCACTGTAAGGGGTGAGAGGCATGGTGGTGGGCAACACACTCCTGGGTGTGTCGGGCTGGGAGTTGTAAGATCTGGGAGACAGGGTGTGCGGATATCTATGCATGCCAGGCGTTCCGGTTGTATAGTTGTCCCTGGAGGGCGCACCCATTGATGGTGACACAGACTGCGCTAGCCCCGGTGATCTACCTGGAGGTAACATTGCCGACGACGGAGCGTCATTTCTATTGTGTAGCTGTCAGCTGTCATGCATACTCGCCGGGTTTTACACGCACGGATGCGCCACAATGGATACATACAGTCGACGAGAGGAAGACATGCCGCCGTACCCACAAGCAGAGTTAAAGTAGCTGTTTGTATTTGTTAAAGAATACTGGTTGGGGAAAGTGCTGGGCACTGTCTGGGGGAATGCCGAGTATGTGTATGCGAGAGCAGACGAGGCGTTTGAGCTTGGCGAGGTAGATATGGAGCCCGAGCCCGAGTCTGAGAGAGCCGCACCGGCCTGGTAGCTGTAGAGGCAAGTCAGCCAAACTCGCAAAGCCAAAGCTATTCGGCCAAAGTGATGCCAACGACAACGATGTGTAACCAAGAAGTAGGGTGGCACGGTATAAGTCGTCAACCAGGCCAGGGGCGGTACAGCATCACCGCTAGGCTTGTCGTGTGATCAATGTGACAGACCAGCCTGTTGGGAAGCCCAGGTGCGCCATGCATCCGGAACGTGTGCGACGACAAGTCTGATTAAGGACATTGACGACGTGTTTGTTTCGGGGTAGGGGACTTTTGCGCTTGGGCAGCACCAGGCGAGAGGCGTCGAGGGATGCAGGTTGGGCCACAGGCCTAGGCAACACCACGGAGGCTGCCATGGCGGGCCGGGAAGAGAAGAACCAATGAGAGCGACGACTTACCCACTGTCGGGACGATGTGTACCGTAACGGCCTGTGATGGAGGGCTGAAGACCGGTCGCGGTATGTGCTAGGACCGTGTCGCGTCGTAGCTGGTCGGATACATACGAGTTATGATGCGCATGCGTATGCGCGCCGATTTGATCGATGCACTCTTGGTCGGAAGAGAAGGGGTTGTCCGATGCCAGAGGCAGCGGTGGTTGCAGCACTGCTTATCCCGCACGTCAGCCAATCAAGCTAAGCCAGACAGTGTGTTGTTGAACAAGACGTGTGACAATAACGGACAAGGTGCACGACTGCGCAAGAGAGAGGAGAGAAAGGCGCGCGTGGGACGTGGTTGTACAAGCGGCACCGCGATCGGGTGGCCAGAGCAGGCGTGCAAAAGCGCACTACAGGATAAGGGAAAATAGCGGGCCCACTGCGTGCTGCAGTAAACAGAGGGGAAGGTGCTGGAGCTGATGCATTGGCTGTGTTGTGGTGCAATATAAAAGTGGATGTAGATGCGCGAGGAATGCTGGGATGTGCAAAGCAGGGCGGAGAAGAGCGCCAGTCTATTGCTGGAGCAAAGGACATTTTGGGAGGTTTGGTCCATCTGCAGCACATGGGCTGCAAATGGCCTCGCATCCGACTTACCTTGATTCATTTTTGCAGCAGAAGCAGCAGCAGTCGATTGCACCGCCGCTTTGCTATGCCTGCTAAAAACGACCGCCCTTGCGAGGATCGAATCTTACGCCGTCTGACGCCTTTGCGCAGCAGTACCGACACGCTGGGTCGACTTCGATGGTGCCGGCAGTGGCGAAAGGATTCGTTGCTGACAACAGATTCTCACGGCCGCCGAACTGCTCTTGTGCCGCCGTTCAAGACGGTGATCAGCCAGATGAGCCGGCGTCTCGCGTGGCGGTTGCAATGTTGGCTGTCCGAGTGCCGGGCCCAGCGTCAAAGGGGTGCCGAAACGGGATGGTGGTGATGGGCTATCGAGCTCGTCTAGCACGCCGTTGTTGGCTCGCTAGAGGGCAATCTGGGGGTTTAGCCGGCACAAGGCGGGATCCTCGATTAGCTGCCGCTGCGCTTCGCTCGGGGGCTGGGGCTCCGTTAATGCTAATGCTCGCACTCGGCCACCTGGGGGGTGTAATGCGGCTGTGGCGAACAGACGGCGTTAGGCCTACCTGGTCTTTTTTACTTCCGGTCGCAGAGCTGCGCCCACGTCAATGTACGTGTCGCGCGGTCGTGGCAGAGGTAGGTGGTCTGGCAGTGCTGGAGTTCGAGGGAAGGTGCGATGCGTCCTAGCTGATGCTAACTTAACCTACGGCGGCTGCGCGACACCTTAAACCCCAGAAACTAAAACGGGCTCGTCTACCGCAGACTATCAGGCCCACTGCTGCGCTTTGCTTCTTCCCGCGCTCTCCCCAGTCCACAGATCTGGACTTGTCGTATCTGGAAGCTGAGCACAGACAGGTACGGATAGCGGCCCCGTCCTTCGCTTGCTCGATTTGCTGCCTACGACGTAGGCGGTGTGGATATGTCTCCGACGTCGCTACGTTGCCATCTGTCAGTCTCGAACAAAAGGTCAAGGACGCAATCCGGGTGGAGCTTACAGGGTTCAGCTGCAGTCTGCCAAATGAAACGATGTGGCGTCGAGTGATATTCGATCGTGGCTGCTTGGGCGAGGATGCTGATCTGTCGTCGGATACTGAGGATCTGTGGGTACGCCGGGCTCGCGGATCTGGTGCTATCGATACGCACGCGCTCCGGGGTGGAAGAGATCAGGTAGGCCGGGAGCAGAGGATGGCAATGCCGGGACTGGGCTCCTACAATAGATGTGAGCCTGGCTCAAGGTGCATAGGGCCGGTATGGTGAAGGGGCCGAAGCATATATGCACGGTGCCCTGTATTGAAATTGACCTCTTACTCTCTCACGGTTGCACAGGACTACCAGGGTCGACGCCCCCGTGATCTGTGAGGCTGGTAGTGTACCGGCTTTTTGAAATCAAGACAATGACTTGGAGAAGACGAGTGAGAATAGTGGGGGGAGGGGTCCAGGGATACGAATAGCTGTCGAATGAGCGGTGCATACAATGGGGCGGGCAGTAGAAGTACACTTGACAGAAGGAAAGACAGAAGCGCTACAGCTCAATCCAGGGTAGAGGCAGACTGGGGGGTCATGACGGACTTGTTGGCCCAAATGAGAAGTGCCTACCAAGTGAGGATAGCCTCGAGGCATGATGAGCATGCTGGATCAAGATTCAGCCCCAAAGCAAATGACCCGTATTGCTCAGACCAGGCCGTTTTCTAGCACCACGGTAGTATTGGCAAGCTGCAGCAGCGAGCCTTTCCCAAACGAGCATGTATATATCTCCGATGTCAGGAAGGGAGCATCTGCCCTGGTGCCCAGGCTCACCTCGATCGAATAGCTGCTGGCTCTGCATTCCTTGCACCGGGAGATGGGCTCTCCACCGCCCGGCCACATGTCGATTGGCTCGCCATCCAGAAGATCACAGTCCCGTGCAGCGATGCAGGAACATTGGGCCATGACACCACTCTCGAATGGGGGGCCGACTCGACACGGCAGATAGTGCCCGGCCTGCTGGGTCGGTCATGTTTCATCTCCATCAGCCGCCCAGAATAACCCATGGAGCGAACAGATGATCAGAGTTTGCTCCATGCCACGCCTACGCTGCATTGGACCATGGGTCAGGACGGCGTCCAGTCAGCACCAGGGCGCGGATACGCCAGCGCCCGACGTGGCTAACAGCGCCACGGCCCGGCTGCCGCTGGCAGACGACAGCTCTTCCCTTCCCGCCCGTGGGCAGTGAAGGCGAGGGAACTAGAGGACAAGAGGGGGTTTAGGCTCGAGGGCCGTTACCTGTCACAGAAACGAGCGCGACGACACTATGAGCCTTTGACGACGTGACTGAGGTCAATGAGGGAAAGCATCTACACACAGGCGCCACCGCCGGCGAGTGATGCGCACATGTTGCATCGCGTCGACGTTTGGGTTAGAGCACTCACAGCGCCATGATCCGGCCTTTGCTCTCGACAAGCACACCGCGACCCGACCGACTGGTCGACTGCGCAATACTCCGAAAGAGGGCAGAGCCAGTCATCGACGACGGCCTCTGTGCAGCACCTCGCCATCTTGTAGGCGGCTAACTATCGCCGCCGCGGCGAACGGCATATGGCCAGGCATATCGAGTCTGTCTACTGTAACGTCCAAGGCAAGTCGGGCGGCTGAACGGTAAGGATGCCAACAAGGCGGTGGGGACGCTGGCGGCCAAAGACGACCTCCCTTGCGCCTTTGACATGGACGCGATAGTCGATGGCCTACGGGGAAGGAGGGATGGGCGTAGCAGGGGGGGGGGGTTTGGGAAGGAGCGCCCGGTGACGTGCAGCTTCCCGCGGATGTTCTCTCCCCCACTGGCGCTGCGCTATGCCTCTCTCGGCCCTAGCGTGTCTTGGCTACGCCCGCCGTGCTCCTAGACGTCCTTTTCAATCAACCACGGCCATGTCGGCACTCAACACCGCGACAGCGTCATCGTCCAGCGTCCCTTGCTGGTCTCAGCGAGAGCCCACGCGCGCAGGGTGACATCTCAGTCCCAGGCCTTACCGCGCTCATGTGTCTTGCACGTTGTGGCCAACCACCGAGCGCCCGGGGCTGACGCGCGACGAGCTATCATTTCTTCGCATTGCATTCCTCACTCACCCCCCAAGTCTGTAGCTCACTTTGATGCTGGTCCAATCGCCCACCCTCAGCCTCTGCACTAGGCGAGCAAGGCCGGCGGGCTGGCCGCAGGAGCTAATATGAGACTGTCCCGAGCCCTCTTCTTCGACTTCCATGCCTGGATAATCATCTGACGCACCCCCCGATGGAGAATGCAGAAGCAGGGCTGCCGCGTAGTTTCCGAGCGCCTCACCGCACTTTGTACGCGGTCCCTGGCGCTCTCGGCACTTGCCATAGCATTTCACTGCACCCATGCACAACAGCCGTTGGACTGTAGATGAAGATGGTGGCTGAGCCGGCTCACGAGATCGCCGCTTGAAGAAGACGTGCAGCTCATGTTGAGGCCACGGAGCACTCGACGCTCCTGCAGGGCGTCTGCTGTCGACACAAGCTGCTGCAGCCTCCCGCAAACCCCGTGACGGCCTTTGTCGGCGTCAGAATATGTCCGTAATCGATAAAATCATGGCGACCTGCAGCCGCCTTGAATGTACCATCGGGAAGATCAGGAACCGCCCCAGACCCCCTCTTTCTTGTCTCAGCCGACTCGAAGTAGTCTGGAGGCTGCATGATCGTCAGGCTGTCGCGACTGCAGTCCGCCGCTTGCTGCGTACGCGGGTTACACAGGGCTGCTTATTTCGGGTCTCCTGATTCAACCGATCCTCAAGAGATTGACGTGATGCCGTGCTTGAGCAGAGCGACCTCTCCCCATGGCGGTACGGCCCGTCAAGTTGAGAACGACTACATACATTTGAACGAGTTACGGTCCCTTGCTAATGGGCTCTCTGAAGCACCGCCGGGTAACTTTCTGGTGGAACTGGTAGCTGAGGTCCAGTTCCCTGGCCATCGGATCGATCGGTGCAAGCCAGTACTCGACTAGAGTTCTGCAACGTTGAATGACGGCGCTGACGGCAAGTTCGTCTAGGCAACTCCGAACTGAGATTCAGTCCAGCAGGACAGATCGAAGCTCAACTATGCTTGTTTGAGTTTTAGTCGTGAAGCCGCTGCCAGCTCATACGCACCTCACTTCGTTTCTTGTCTTCAGCAGCCCATTGTCAGTATCGCGCCCAAGCGAGCGCAGGGTATGCTGGCACAGGCTTAACAAACTCCGGCACTGGTTTGATTCCAAGACTCGTACCGGAGCACATGAGGTTATAGTTGGCTTCAGTTATAGGGCGAGAGCCGGTCTAGATACGCCAACGTCCCATTGTCTGCGGTCCAGAGACTCGCACAACGGACCCAGCATCATTGCTAAACCAGCACGGCGTACGCCGAGGCTACTCGAGTGGCTCATATACAGTACATCGCGTTGTTCGACTGAGCCTTGATTTGCGATAGTCTGAGTTCCATGAGTCCCTAGGCGTGCGCATGTTTCGCAAAGTAGCGATCCGACAGTCACCATGCCTCATCTGCTATGCTTGCCAGCACACGTGGAGCATTACAACCTCCCGTCATTGTATCGACATTATAGTGTGACCAAAGTGTGAATAGTCCTGTCTAAAGTCACTTTGGCGTGGGACTTGGTCTAAGCGGCCTTGTCATGATTTGGTAGCGAGACGTTGGCGTGGTACGGCGCGGCCGATGGCATCTGGTCCAAGATACAACAACAACAATTTGGACATTGCCAATCGGCGCAAGCTCAGTTTCCAGCTAGTCTTGTTACCATCTTCTTTGATGAGGATACTCTGGTTGACGACCCAGCTCTACTGCACCAAGACAATGCGCCGTTGTCATACCCGTTAACCGCGCCAGAAATGGCCCCAACGTATGTTTGCGACGATCTTGCGTCAAAGAAGTCATCAAATCATCTAGGTCTCTAGATCCACCAAACAGTCCCATGAGTCCAAACTCGTCTTGCATGCGTCTAGGCCATGCATACAGCCTTTGAGCGACATATTCGGCCGGTTTCCGAGATGGCCGCGTACGACAAAGCAGCCGTATAACCTGGACGGCCCCAGAGTAGCTCAAGAACGATTGGTCTGTGCGGATGCCGTGGAAGCAAACGACACGGCCATAGAAGAGCGCCGCTATTTTACTTTCCGCATCGGGATATTACCGGTCAAGACCGTTTGCTATGCGAACTGGTCAGCCACACATTTCTTTGTGACTCCATATCTAGCCCAAGCCGTTCTTCTGGCGGGGGTACAGCACGAGCATCGTCACAAGATACGCCTTTCGGCCACGGAAGCGTCAAATTGCTGTAAACCACAATCCGGGGACAGGCAATCGACAACGCCACAGTTCCGCAACATGGAATTGCCGTATTGACTCCACAACGCCGACCCCGCCTCAGACAAGCTCTTGTATTTGCCTGGACAGACTGGCATTAGCAGCCAAGGCTCATATACCTCGAACGTAGCTATCTCCTTTCGTGGCCAGTGCGCATATCACAATCTTGCTGTGTGATTGCTCTGGCGTCCAGTCATCTCTTACAACAACATTCCAACGAGTTATGAAGGATGCTCTGCCCCTGAAAGCTGCAGCTATTTGTGATCTGTGTCAGCTGTACACAACAGCTGACACTAACATGCTCTTGAGGTGAGTCGTCGTAAGCCTCTCCTGCTCTATGCTGGCTGAACCATTAACACTGCGCAGCGTTGGCAAACAACGGGGCTGCAGCGGCTCAAGGGAATTTCCCGCATTTCATCGCATGTTATTTTGAGTTGGGCAGCAAAGCCCACGGTCGTGACAGGACAGCATTAGGCAAGTAATTCCTGACCCCGATTTTCACCCAGCCATCGGCTATGCCGCTGGAAGTGGATTGCTGGAGCCGCTCAACATCCGGACTTGATTTCTGCTCTAGCAACCCTGTACTTGCTGCAATATGGAACTGCCCAGCATATCAGTAGTCACACGCAGATCCGCACTTCGGCGACCCGACCACGGACAAGTCTAGCCACCATGACATCCGCAGGATCTCGTCATACTCGTTCTCGTGTCCGATCAAAGCGACGGCTTCTCCGGCACACTGCCCAGCAACTAAAGCCCGGGTGTCAAACACCAAACATGGCAGGGCCGGCCCAGTCACTAAATTCTTGGAGTGGCAAACTGAACCGACGCAAACTCAGGTACGCAGTCACGATACCCTCAGCATGACTGCATAAAGCCTGTTTTTAGGGGGCCATAGAAGAAGGATTGGAGCATGCGATGCGCGTCTGCTCGTGCTGTGATCAGCTCATCTTCTGCTCTTACAAAGCGCGGGGGACAGGAGGGCAGGGGGGGCGCGCTGAACGCTTGAAACTAGTGTTGAGGCCGCCCACCTAGCTCGATGTCGTGAGCATTACCTGGCGTCTGTCTGGATTCCACAGCAGGCATGCAGGGTCGGGAGAAAATCCGCGTATACGAAGCATAGTTGAAGAACCCCCCAGCCAGCCCAGCCCAACAGCCCCCCTCCCGCCGCCGCTGATGCAAGCCTGAATAGACACATCATTACCGATGATGGAGGATTATTTGCTGCAAGTATAGTGTCATGTCCGTTGTGGAGGTTACCAATGAGGGCAGTCAACGGCTGCGCGCAGCTCGTGCGTTTCTCCGTGGAGCGAGTGGGGTCGAAGGGCGAGGGTTCGGGGTCTTTGGTGCTCCCCTCCCGTTGACCTATTTTCTCAAGGCTTCTCTGATGCTCCCCTAGTTCTGCTTTGAGCAGTAGGTCACGAGGATGGCGTGAGTGAGTAAGAGTAGACAAGGTGCGCTGTGGTCTAAGACTTTGGAGATGTGTTGGGTAGGTCGTCGCCTTTGCTTTTTCATCATGATCAGGAGATGTCACTACTTGCATTCGCCTATCTGGTAGTGTCGCGGAGCTGCCGAACTGTGTTATGTTGGACATGCGCTATAGAGTGGGACTATGTTGCTATGCCGTTGTTCTTCCAAGGCATATGCTTGGTGATGGCTCTCATGTATTGTGAGCTAATCTAACAAGTCAAGCCGGGATTTGACAGGCTGGGGGGTGCTAATTTGCTCCAAGGTAGTGGTCATTTCTGGGCATAAGGCTCAAACTTTGCACATTTTGTCACGAGGAGTGCAATGGGGTGGTATGATCATGACACAGGCGAATGGATCTTCCAGATAGCAAGAAGGATGGTGTGATTTGTGTAAATCCCATGCCCGCTTCCTTTTCTAGGTTTTCTGGATCAGTATTCTGTTGTAGCTTTTCCAACCTTTCCTGATAGACTCTTTAGAAGGCGTCATTGCGCACATCATCATTTTCCTTGAGAAGATTGACATTTTATATCGAATAAAGGCGACTCGAGCGATGGACTGGCTATGATTATGTCTACGGGAAAGCTGCATATGTTATTTGGTAGTGTCCACAGTCAAACATGTGACGTAGGGCACAAATGACGTATCTGGTTAAAAATGAATGCGTAAACAAAGATTCTGCACTAATATCGCTTAGCGTGATCTAAAAGGCCTCCTTCCTCTATGAGTCCCTCACACGCTGTTGCCTTGCTATTGAGCTCCAACTCGCTAGTTCACATCACCACTGTGCACCTTCCTCGACTTCAGGTCGCCAGCTTACACTGACACTGTGTGCCTTCCCTCGACTCTCAAGCGCAAGGCCTACCAAGCCCGCTTAACAGTAAGATGAACCCTCCACACTCAAATCATGTGCTAATGCTTTCAAGGCTCGCCGGTCCTCCTCACATCCTTGACCGCGGTCGTGGCTACCCATGATGGCTGACCTCGCTGGGTCTGACTCGAGCCCAGCCGTGGCCGCAAGTCAGCTTTCAGCGCCTACGAAGGCAGACAATGTCAAGGCACCCCCATTCCTACGTTTGCCGGCAGAACTGCGCAACCGAGTGTATGGATATGTTCTGGATTACCAACACAAGTACAGCAGGTGCAGTCCTTGTTACCGTACTGAACGCCGCTACGAAGTATTCTGGACTGGTCTCAACATGGTCTGCCGACAGTTACGCACCGAGTTCCACCCCCTCGTTTACCAAAATCATGAATTGGCCACGAGCTTTCATGCTCTCGAAAAGTTTCTTGCAGAATTCTTTCTAGGGGGCGAAGCCAATGTGCCAATCTCGTCCATTGTGGTTTTTTTAGTTATGAGGAAGGACATCCTGTCTCCATTCCACCTCTGCTATAGCCATGGGCTAGAAGATATCCAGTGAGGATTATGAGCAATACTGACCTTGACTATAGAAGTCATGGTGCTGTGAGACACTTCATGACGTCCGGTTTGAGAGATTTCATGATTCGGCTCATCAACCTCTCTTCGAGCGACAATCTACTACGCACTTTACCCGAGAATCTCCTCATTTCCCAGGTGATGCTCTTGTACAAGCCATCCTTCTCCGATTCATTTAAGATAGGGTTTTGGCGACTTAAAGTCCAGAAGACCAACGGGGGTGGTGCGCTGAACGCCGGAGATATTCTGGCACTGTGTGCGTTCTGTCGAAAATTGGAAGAAATTCAGCCCCATGGTCCAGAAACCCCCGCGGATGAGGGAAGGTTCCTAGATTTGATCATAAAGGTTGTTGGTGGAGAGGATAAGGTCCTGGACCGACATGTATTGACTGCGAGGAAGCGGTGGTCGATTGCCTAAGTAGATTTTGGTAAAGTTCAGTAAGACAACAGCTGTATGCAGCAAACCATAGGACGGCTCAGTAAGGAGATAGCTGGAGACAGAACAGAGACATTGTGGTCTTAGTTTGGTCTTGATTCGAAAGTAACAGAGTACACGCTGTATGCTTCAAACGCATGTTAGAAGTATCAATACACTCTTTTCTCAACTCTCTGTATCTCACAAACTTGCGGAAACAACATACTCAAGGCTATCGGTTTATTGTAGTATCTTCCAAGTATCCTGACTCTCTATCGTAATCACTGAACCCGTCTCCCTCTACTCCTTCAAAACCCTCTGTCCCAGCACCTACCCAGCCATCCAGACATGCTGTTCCTTGAGATATCCCCCTTCATCCACCACAGTGATATGAATATCCAATATACCCTTATCGAACGGATACTCGCAATAGTTGAGGACATCGTAGTACTCACGCGCCTCAACAAGCATCTCAATCTCTTGGCAAAACGGATCCAATGCGTCTTTCTTGACCGCATCCAGATTGGCACTGCCGTCCAAATGCCGAACTTGGAGATTCCATCCACCTTTCAGGAAACACCATGGCGAAGCGTGCTCCCGTGTATACGCCAGATGTTCTTTGGATAGTATGATGTGCTCGGGAAGCTTACGCAGCGGTGACGCATGGTCGGGTGGCGGTGATGAGACCGAAATAGGATTGTCCGTAGTAGGGTAGGCCTATTGCCCTCTGGTCTATATTGTCCATCACATATCCGATGCATAAATAGGAATGGCTTCTTCTTCGGTGTGATGGGACTTGGATCGGACTCAACGATTTCTACCGTCTTGCTTGGTCGCCGTGGTAGATCTTGTGGGTGCGGTATCAGCTGATGAAGTCCTATAGATGGAGTGGTTGGGGCCGGAGAGTGGTGAATATAAGAGTGAATGCCGGTAGTTATAGTGAGATATAAGTCATTCAGCTTTGAAATATCGCAATTCACCTCTCAATTCATATGCTTGGAGTGTGACACAGTGCTGCTGCCTGGCTAGAAGGTTGGAACCCTACCCAACCTGTTGTCCGCTATTGTCTGGAGGTGACGTGGAAGAGCTCCAAAGCAGGGCTCAGACGCTAAGCGAGATTTCCCCAAGCACTTACATATATCAGCTTGCCGCACTCAAGTTCAAGTCAGCGATCACTACCATCAACTCACTATATCGAAGTCTCGACACCAGCTTCTATCCATCATACAACTCTCGCCAACCAGCAACCATGTCCGCGACCAAACCCGACCCGGACCCAGCTCCGTTTCCTTTCCTTCGACTACCGGCGGAAATACGCAATAGGGTCTATGACTTCGCTACCCAGGAGATGGAGGGGAAGACTGCACGTTTATTCCCCAAGCCGACCCCGGAGCCTAACATTCTTGACAAGGACTTACAGCCCATTGAGTCTATTGGCTTGATGGGTGTGTGTCAGCAGATCCGTAAGGAGTTTCGCCCACTGTTCTGTGGTGCTTGGCATGTTCAGATTGAGATGCCCTCTCTCTTCTCCTTCCTTGCTACCTTCGCACCACTCCACATACCCAATTCGCCAATCGCCGAGATTACTACCAGAACCCGCCATGACCCCCCAAACATGCAAAACTGGGATCTGTGGTCGTTCTCGCAAACGATCAACCGGCTTCCCAATACCGTGTGGAAATTTGGACAGCGGCACAGGGAGAACAGAACACACATCTACGACTGCCGTTGTCGCCACTTCAACCAAGTTCTTACAAAAGTGTCCATACTTGCGAGGGAAGACACGTTTGTCAAGTTGGCCCCGGTTCCCATTCTCAAAATCCGACTCGATCATGTTCGTAAGGCGCGCGGATTTTCTCTTAACAAGTGGCGCATACTGCTCCAGAACGAGGGAGACAAGCTGACATCCGACCAAGAGATGAAAGTCAAGGAACTTTGTCAGGCACTCTCTGACCTGCTACCCCCGAACCGAGCACGCGGCACATATAGATGGGGAGTTCATGATATGAATGAAGTGCTTGCGAGCAGGAACCTTGCCGACGTGCATGTAAAGGTTAACAACTCGAAAGGGCAATTCATGACGAAGTATGTGTGGCAAGGCGAGAGGAATACCATGACGAAGAAGGGAGTGGGTAAGGGCAAGTGAAGCTGCAAACAGGAAGCCGAGGGGTCCGAAGTGGACGGCTGCGGTTGCAGTGCAAGTCAAGACCTTTTGCCCCAGTCACGTATTCAGGCATCGTTTCAGGTTCCGTATAGATGGGAGAAGCTGGATACCCAGTGATTAGATTAATATAACTGCCGGAACAGGGTGTAGAAGACCAAGGATGAATGGGGGAGCGAGCTAAGATGTGGGTTGAGTTAAGGAATGTTCTTACAGGGTTCCAATCGAGAGGAGTTAAGTAACTTCTTGATCAAAAGTTATAGTTACTGAAAAGTTTTCACGCTCATTTGCGATGTGTCAAGCTTTGTGATCCGGCTATGCCGGGCCAGCAATTGTAATCAAGTAAACAAATGCCGGAAGTCGCCGACGTAAGGGTCACGACATGCAACGAACCGAAGTCGGTTCCGTGGTCCAAGGTTGGGGCTGACAGCGATGACATCACGCTAAGACTTGTCCGTCAGCCCCGGCGCGCTATTTTGCGGGGAACACCCATCATCACTCGTTCACTCCACAGTCGCTATGCAGCTACCAGGCGTGTTAACGCTTTCGGTACAGCCGTTGCCGAAGCCGGATTGTAGTTTTGATGCTCTTGGAGAGATTTGTAGCAATGACGATACGCGCCTTGGTCACTATGCGCCACGTACGTGCCGGAAACCGGTGAATGTAGTCGAACAAGGACAGGATTCCTTGTGTGGCGGAGGCGCACGTGCGGTAGTCAAATGGGCGCGAAGTGATAGCCTTGATAAATACCCCGACTCCTCTGCCTTTCCTGGTTGCGAAGGATCGGTCTCGGAATCTCCATCTCCACCACAATGCGCTCGTTGATTGCTGCTCTCCTCGCATGCACGCCATTGGCGAATGCGCTCTTCATTGATGGCAGCGTCATCGCACCTTGCGACTCACCCATCTACTGCTATGGTGACTTGCTTCGTGAGATTGAGCTCGCCAGGCCGTTTGCGGACTCCAAGACGTTTGTTGATCTGTCGGTGACACCCAAAACATGCTTCTACCGTCTCCACTAACTTTACGCAGACCGACAACACGTCCACTAGATGAGGTCCTCGCAGCCTTCGCCAACCTCTCCAGGCCCATCGAGAACAATACAGCGCTAAACGACTTCCTCTCCACTTACTTTGGTCAGGCAGGTTCGGAGTTGGAAGAAGTGCCCACAGATCAGCTCCAGACTCAGCCAGACTTCCTCGATAATGTCAACTCTTCAGTCGTCCAGGATTTCACTCGCCAAGTCATCGATATCTGGCCGGAACTTACGCGCCGCTACGTCGGAGCTGGAAATTGCTCTGGCTGCGTCAACTCCTTTATTCCTGTGAATAGGACTTTCGTTGTGGCTGGTGGACGATTCAGAGAGCCTTATTACTGGGATTCCTTCTGGATCATCGAAGGTCTTCTCCGGACGCAGGGATCATTTACCCAAATCGCTGAGAACATCATTGAAAATTTCCTCGATCTAGTTGAAGACATTGGATTTGTTCCCAACGGGGCCCGACGTTACTACGAGAACCGATCACAGCCCCCGCTGCTCACCCAGATGGTCCGTATCTACGTGGAGTACACCCAGAACTACACCCTGCTGGAACGAGCTCTGCCAATCCTAGAGCAGGAGTATGAATTTTGGGTGAACAACCGTACCGTGACGCTCGAACGTGCGGGTATGAACTACTCTCTGAGCCACTACGCAGTATCGAACACTCAGCCTAGACCGGAGTCTTACTACGAAGACTATGTGACTGCAAACAACGCGACCTACTTCAACGCCGAAGGCAAAGAGTTCAACGCTACACAGCCTCTTACTGAGTCCGAGATGGCCACGCTCTACTCAAATTTAGCGTCAGGTGCTGAGGGTGGTCACGACTACACAGCTCGCTGGCTCGCTAACCCTTCGGATGCCGTCACGGACACGTTCTTTCCCCTTCGCTCACTGAACACCATCGAAATCATTCCAGTTGATCTTAATTCGATCCTGTACCACAACGAGATCATCATTGGCGAGTTCTACCGTCATCAGGGAAACTACAGCGTTGCACGGCAGTGGGCTGAACGTGCTGCAAAGCGTAGCGAAGCCATGACTGCACTGCTTTGGTCGTCTGAGCACTATAGCTACTTTGACTACAACCTTACTTCCAGTAGTCAAAATGTCTACACTCTCGCAGACAACACGAGTACACCTCTTGCACTGCAGGGGGCACCACCTGGTAAGCAGGTCTGGTTCCAGGTCTCGCAATTCTACCCATTTTGGACGGGTGCTGCACCGGATAGCATCAAGAACGACCCCAAAGCGATGCGACGTGTCTACGCGCGTGTAGAGGAGCTCTTGGGCTCGCGTGCCGGTGGTATCGCAGCGACGAATCTCGAGACTGGCCAGCAATGGGACGAGCCGAATGTGTGGCCACCGCTGCAGTACATACTCATGGAGGGCCTGCTCAACACTCCCCTTGAAGTTAGCGAAGAAGACGACGAACAGACAACCCAGGACTATGTATGGACACAAGACCTAGCTCTCCGACTCGCGCAACGCTACCTCGACTCTCTATACTGCACATGGCGCGTCACCGGCGGCGCCACCGAGGAAGTTTCGCAACTCCCTGGTTCCCAGGGCAACGGGACGATCTTCGAGAAGTATGCAGATGAGAGTACGAATGCGGCTGGTGGAGGCGGAGAGTATGAAGTTGTTGAGGGCTTCGGTTGGTCAAATGGTGTGTTGATTTGGGCTGTTGATCAGTTCGGACAGAAGTTGACGACACCGCAATGCGGCAACATCACGGCTGCAAATATCGGAGGCGGCAGTGCCAAGAGGAAGAGGAGCGCGGTGGAGCTGAGTAAGAGAGATGCTCAGTGGATTAAGAAGACAGCTTCTAGCCGGTTGAGGTATTAGATGGTCTGGTGGTAGATGAGTATACTGACTTAATGACATGATCTATTTCAATCAAAAGAAAATGATGCTTCAAACTTCCAACGCCATGCCGTCTCGAATTATTGACCGGGCCACTGCGTACTTGTAGACTTCCTCGTTGACTTTGCTCATTGCAGAGCCCGAACGGTCTGACGAGCTTCCAGAGGCCTTTGGAGCAGTGACATAATACAGACGCTTCTTGATGGAGGATGTTGTTAGATGCCTGCTAGGAGTAGGTGGCTTGAGAATTATGCGGTTCCGGTTCTGAATTCTGGATGTCGAAGTTGGGGTCGGGTTCCGACTGATTAACGTGTTCCACCACCGAGTGCACGGCCCCACCGAATGCACGCAACACCGCTTTTTCCACATTTTTCAATCAATTATATCTCAACCACCATGACAGGTATTGAAGCTGCGCTTGCAGCAATTGAATCGCTAAGCCTTGGAGATGATTTTACATATGCAAATATTGCTGCGAAGTACGATTGTGACCGATCTACGTTATCACGACGACACCGAGGGCTTACACGAGCGCGTGCAACAGCACTTGCAAATGGCCGATTGCTCAACAACACGCAGGAATCTGAGCTTGTAAAATATATACACACACTTGTGAGCCGCGGGCTGCCTCCATCCAAGCCAATGATACGCAATTTTGCGAGCCAGATAGCTCAGAAAGATGTAGGAAAAAACTGGGCTGATCGCTTCGTGGGCCGCCACCAGATCGATCTCATCTCACACTAGGCATCCGGACTCGGTCGCAACCGCTTCAAAGCTGACTCCGCCTTCAAGTACAGGCTATACTTTGAGCCCCTTAAGCGAAAAATCGAGCAATATAATGTAGATCACCGGCATATATACAATATGGATGAGAAGGGCTTCCTGATTGGCGTGCTGTCAAAGATGAAGCGGGTGTTCTCTAAGAGCGCTTTTGAGGAGGGAAAGCTGCGGCACATCATACAGGATGGCAATCGTGAGTGGATCACCACTATAGCTTGCATCTGCGCTGATGGCACGTCGCTGACGCCTGCCCTCATCTATCAGGCTCAATCTGGAGCCATTCAAGATACCTGGTTGCAGGACTTTAACCCAGAACAACACCGTGCTTTCTTCACAAGCTCACCTTCTGGATGGACTAGTCACGATATAGGGCTTGCCTAGCTTAAGCAGGTCTTCGATCGCGAAACAAAGAAGAAGGCACGTACGTCATGGCGGCTGCTCATCCTTGATGGCCATAGATCACACATTTCTATGGAGTTTATTGAGTATTGTCATGCGAATAAGATCTTGCTTATGATCTATCCGCCTCACAGTACTCACACGCTTCAGCCTCTCGACGTTGTTATGTTTGCGCCGCTCGCAGCCGCCTACAAAGCTGAGCTCGCTCGCTTTCTTGATCGCGCCCAAGGTCTTACGAGCATCACTAAAAGAGACTTCTATCGCTTATTTAATGCCGCGTGGCACTCCTCCTTTAACGAGAAGCTTATCTAGAAGTCTTTCGAAGCGACAGGCATCTTACCGTTAGACTCAGGCGTCATCTTAAAGCGGTTCACCACGGTGCAAGCAGATACCTCTAGGCTAAATTCAAGCGGCTCTTCAAGCTCAGTACTAAGCGCAAGCGACTAGCGAAAAATTGAGCGATTGCTGCGGCAAGCAGTGGACGATATCTACGATTAAAACGCTAAGAAGCTTAGCCAAACGATCCACGCGATTTCAGCTAAAAATCAGCTCTTACAACACGAGAACAACAGCCTTCGAGAGGCTCTAACTAATGAGAAGAGGCGTAGGCAGCGTGGCAAAGCTTTGCTGCTTAAGCCACCAGCTGATTATGACGGAGGAGCAGTATTCTGGTCGCCTAATAAGGTAGCAGAGGCACGTGATCGCCAGGAGCAAAAGGACCTTCAAGAACAGGAGTTGCAGCGGCAAAAAAGTGAGGCAATTCAGATTCGTGAGCAGCAGAAGCTTACTAAAGCTTAGCTGCTTGAAGAGCGTCGTTTGAAGCGAGTTGCAGCGAAGGAGGAGCGGGAGCGCTTAGCTGCAAAGAAAGCCCTTCAGCGCGAGGAAGATAAGATAGCGAAGCAGCTTCAGAAACAACTTCAAAACGATATCAAACTATGCCAAAAGGGCAAGAGTCAAAGCCTTAAGCCTACTAACGCTGCTGCGACCGTTGTGGCTGATAGGATTCCTCTTGTTGTTAGTGAAGCTGCATCGACTGCTCCGCAGCTCACCCGACGCGGCCGGCCAATAAGACCACCTAAAAAGCTGCTCATGTGATAAAAAAACTCCCAATATACTCTGTAATGTAATAAAAACCTAACACTAAAAATTCCTGTGAAATTATCTATTGTGGGTGGCTGTATAGGCTGAAGTTTAAGGCGGGCAATTTGTGGTGTTCGTGCATTCGGTGGGGCCGTGCATTCGGTGGTGGAACACGTTAGTCATCCGGAAGCAGGTACGCCTCACAGCTCCGGTACCTGTGACAAGTGACTTCCTTCCGTCTTCTTTCGATCTAATGCTTTCGCTACCTGCAACATCTGCTTGGATCTCAACGTTGAATGGTGATGTTTTCCAATGCACAGAATATTGTTAATTTCACTAATTCAACCCCCAATTAGTCGTTGTCGTCCTCATCTCGCTTCGTTCACCGGCACCACATTTTGCGCATCCGGCCGAAAGGACGCTCACAGCCAGAATAAGAGATGTGCAACAAGGCAGAAGGAAGCAACCCCGATTCGATAGGAGCAGTGTCCCTGGAGCGATCATGAAGATACCAAGCGGACACTCCTTGCAGTACTTACTGCTTGCGGCAGGATCGTTCACACTACTCTGCCTTTGAGACAGGGCAGCAGCCGCGTCAACTGCCAAGTACGCCAGCGCGATGTGCTTCGGAAGAGAGCGGTTGCTGTCAGACCGCGTGGTTGGTGATGTCCAGGAGATCAGTCTGTGCGCTAGCATGGTGCGGAGCCTAACGAGGCGCTCATTATCCCTGGCGGCACTCGAACATTTGTGTTTTCTTTAATTCAGACCTAAGGCACGATGACGGTACAGAAATCTACTTGTCTGGTAGAACGACTTCCCAGGCTCCCCAGCTGTTTCGCCCTTCACAATGTATGGTGTTACGCATGATGTCGGCATTTCCAGTGAATCTAGACCAGTCTTTCCTGCCTGTGCGCTAGGAACATTACTACTATGGCTTTGTTGCAATGCGCCATAGGCGCAATACATCGCGCACTACGCAGGTAGTTGAATGTAGGGGTTTTCTATCATGATCTACCGAAGTTTACATGCCGGCAGCGGAGAACCAATACTATTCGAAATCTTATTTCCGGTTAATCATCTTCCGTTCCGAGGCTGCTCATTGGAGAGCATTTATCGCTACGCCTTGTCCTGTAGATTGAAGATGATATATATTCACCCAGTCTCCCATTGTATGAAAGGCATCCTCGGATCTCACACGCTCATTACTACCACATTTTCACCCTACCTAATCTACCGTTGTCAGAGATCTTAAAGATGAAGTTCGCCTCTCTTGTCGCTTTCGCCGCCCTCGCAGCGGCATCCCCCATTTCTCCAGCTGCTCTTTCTCCCAAGATTGAGGTCAATGTCGCAGACATCGAGGTTGGGGTCGAGGTTGGGGTCGAGGTTGAGCTCCAGACCCGTCAGCTTGGCTTGTTCGAATCAACCAGCAATGACCTTCTGGACGGAAAAGCAACAGCCTGTCCAAAAGTCATCTTCATCTTCGCTCGTGCGAGTGGAGAAGTCGGAAACATGGTACGTTGTGCTCCACTCCAATCTTCACTCCCAACTTAGCTAATACGAAACCAGGGCCTCAGCACCGGTCCCGCTGTCGCCACTACCCTGCGGTCCAAATACGGCGAGGAGAACGTCTGGGTCCAGGGAGTCGGTGGCCCATATACGGCTTATTTATTCGCGACTTCTCTACCAGACGGTACAACCCAAGAATCTATCAATGAAGCCATTGGCCTCTTCCAGCTAGCCAACAAGAAGTGCCCCGGCACGCCCATCGTCGCGGGCGGATACAGGTACCTACAACCCTTTTTGCTCCCTGCATCTTTCATTTCGGGACTAACGTCGTCACAGTCAAGGTACCGCCGTCGTCGCTGGCGCAGTCTCTAGGCTCCCCCGCACCATCCGTAACCAGATCAAGGGCATTGTGCTCTTCGGGTACACGCTAAACCTGCAGAACGGTGGTGCTATCTACAGATATCCTAGTGAAAACTTAAAGGTTTTCTGTGGTGCGTTGGACCTTGTGTGTCAGGGCTATCTTATAGAGTCCGTTGGGCATTTCTTCTATTACCCCGACTCTCTAGGTCCCGCACCAGAGTTTTTGGAGAGCAAGATTGATAGGTACTATACTTAGTGTTGGGTGGGATGACCTTGGTTAGATATTGGAGCAGCAAATATCAAGGATAATACGTAATCATGGGAGCTTTTTGTGAACAGTGAATGAAATGGCTTGTGTAATGCTTCTTCTTCTTCTTCTTCTTCTTTTCCTTGACCATTCCGCCTCAGCCTCAACCTTCTCCTTGGCTTCTTCCTCAGTCAATTCCTCCTTGACCACTTCTCTTCCATCATCCAGCTGGCTTGCCCAAGTGCAACACTTGTCAAACCTCTGTTCGATACCCTCAGTGGGTTTTCCCTTTGTGCCCGCAGTGGGTCTTCCGCAGGGTTGTGTCTGTACCCTTTGTGGGTCTGCCCTCATTTGTACCCAAGCGGGTTTGATTGCGTTGCCTTCAATCAAAGGCAGTGTTGTTTCCTCCTTGTTGTTTATCCAAATCCCCCCTTCTAGAACTTGCATGAGGCGAAAATTTCCACTTCGGCAAGTTTGCTTGATCGGCACGAAGGCTGTCTTGGTGCCTAGTCTTGTTCGCATCGTCACCCTGACAAGGTGGATTGCCTTGAGGTACGGGAGTGCGCTGGTGTGAAGGACCAGGTTGGGTGCGACGACCTAGCTTCTTGGGCATGGGATCGTCGAATTCAGGGAATTCTAGGTACGCCCAAGCTTGGAACCAGTCCGCTAGGTGCTCCTGGAGGAAATTTCCTGTATTCTTCGCGTCCTTTCCGTTAGGGGTTGACAACAAGTACGTTATTTGCTGCAACCCTCATGAAGGTACATCGGTTTGCAAAGGCCGAGTTGGTCATTCTTCCCGGCTCCATACTTCCAGGGGTAAACACAATCCTCACCCCAGCCACCACCAAATCCGAGTGGATGATAGCGCGCAGCGGTGGGATCGAATTCCATCTCGAGAAGACGCTGCAACGAGTTTCTCATCACGGCGAAACGTTGCCTCTTCGTCAGAGGGGCGTTGGAACTTCCCTGTGAATTGGTCGATGCGGCAGCCCGCCCGAGAGGTGTATTGACGACGAGCGGAGCATACCTAGTCATCTCAGGCTTCGGAGCATGGGGTAGGCTCGGGTATTTAGGGTTCTTTCCCTGTCCGACCTTGGGAGTGTCGTCTTTTTCGGTCGTAACACTAGACAGTGTCGGAGAAGAAGGATTCTCTGCCTTGAAATTGGCCGACCGCTTCGCATCTGCCTTTGCCCTGATCCGTTGGCAACGCTGTAACTCATCGTTCGCGGCCTCCATCTCCGCTTTGGCTCGTGCCATTAGGGCCTCCAATTCTTCCACGGTTTTTTCTATTGGCCCACTCGGGTCCTCATCACTATGTGCACTATGCTGTGTGGGCGTACGACCGCGCCGACGTGGGGAGCTGTCAATGCGGTATTCATCCGACTGCGCGGAATGATCTCGCCGGTGATGTTCGTGTCCACGTCGTCGGTTGTCGTTAGACGGGCTGTAACCACGTCGGTTGTGGTCGGGCGGGCTTCTGGAAAGACTGTTAGCTATGGGCATATATAAAGGCGTTTATGAGAAGGCTTATGTTGCGATCCATGGGATGTGGGCGGCCTTGTGGGCTGGTCATTTCGACCGGAAGGTGGGTACCCAGGATGACCAGGTGGATTGCCGTACGCCATGGTCGCAATCTCGAGCTTTGTTAGTACAGAGACACAGCAAATCAACAAATGGGGAACATACCGGGATAGAGATTGATTGTGATGTGGTGTGGAGGAGAGAAAGCAAAAGGTGCGATCCGAAAACGTTTGTGTGCGGGCAACTATGCTAGCGTGAAAGCGCTCTAGGCAACAGTGACGAGAAGACGATGTGACGGGACGGTGAAGGTGAGTATTTACTCAATGGAACTCTTCGCACCGCTCAAAACAAGGATAAGCTGTAGGAGATAGGCAGTATTTCTGTATAGCTTGTCGTAATCATACATCCTATGCTACGTTACACACATTACACATGTTGGGATGTATAGATCTGTAGCCCAGAATATACTCGCAACGTGCGAATAAAACGTAAGCGTGGCGGCTACAATGCCGTGGCATATATAGAAAGTAGAAATGCAGATACAGACAAGGCAGCTACAGAGCAAGAGAGAGCAATGATAACAGCGGCGATGACACATTGAATACGACAAGAGCGGCGACCGGTACACTGAAGCTGGCCATCTACGTCCTGTAAACTTATCAGAACATCAAACAATTCAAACTCTCTGTTGTTACTCATCAAACAGGTGGTACACCTTCGATGATATTTTGCTGTAAAATACAGAAATCCATCCTCTCAGAGATGCATCTCATCCAAATCACAGATCAAACATAGGCTGGCCTGGATCTTATTATCCACCACCCCTCCCAGGTCCTCTCCTAAACTCGTCGGAAGTTTCCTTCATCCGAGCTTTCTCGAGCTCCTGCAACAACTTTGTTGCCTTGTCCAGTTGTTTCCTCGCATCCTCCAACTGATTGTTCGCAACCACTACTGGTGGTGTCTCCTCTGCATCCTCATCCTGTTTGATAAACACGTCCTTGGGAGCTTGGTCCTCATCGGCCAACCCCATGTTCCACCTCAAGTTCTCAGAGGACCTAGCCGGTTCATATGCCCTTCCTTGGAATCCTCCCGATTGGGGATCGCTGCCGAAGCTGATACGCGGTGTTGTATCGAACTTTCCAGGACCTGAATTGTACCCTTGCATGGATTTGTGAGTGTTGTCACTATAATGGCCCACAGGGTATCCACCATCATGGTTTGCGACATATCCACTATTGTACGTTGCAAGACGTCTGCCCTCGTGGGTTGCAGAACGTCCGCCATAGCGGCCTGCCAGGGATCTGTCACACTGTAACCCGACGTTGGATGGCCGATCGGGGCTCGTGTCGTAAGCGTAGGAACCGGTGGGCGCACCACCGCGATCGTAGCCGTATGGAGGCTCAGGTACGTTAGCACCACGACGGTACCCACGGTCGAAGGACTGGTCAGAATCCATCTCATAACGACGGCGAGGCATAGGTGCCTTACTACCGAAATGATCATATTGATTATCATAGGGATCAGGATAGCGCAGATGAGTGCTACGACCGGCTCTTAGCTCTCGGGCCTCGTTCTGGTATCTGCCGCGTTCGGCCCGGAGGTAGGCGACTTCGCTCTTCAGATCCGACACCTGATCTTTTAGACGTTTATGTTCTCGCGCATTCGGCTCGTCGTCTTCGTCGTCGTGTCGACGCTTGCTACTCTTGGGGGGGTTCGGCCGAGGTTCCGGCTTAGGCTTTTCAGAAGTGACCTTCCAGCGATCCGGTATGTACCTCAGGGTGACACCAGCAGGTACCACAATCTCATCGGTGTCCTTTTGGGCATGAGGAAAAGAGGTGAATCTGTGGTCGGTCTGCGCCAAGACTGTTTGCTCTTCTCGAGTCGGTCTGATTTGCACCCCTACCGGGAGATAGGGAGTGTCCTTTCTGTCGGCAACCGATATGTACATCTGGATCGTCTTCTTCCAAAAATTGGCAGTGGCATAGATCCATGGACATTCCTATCATGTGGAGTTAGTACTGTCTCTTTGATGGGAATCTCATGACTTACCCTATCGGGATGGCCGTGTTCTGCGGCACCACCACACCATCCACAGTTGCATCGTTTGGGATGATTCTTCCGCGAAGCTCCACAACGGAAGCAGTGTTCTTTTGCATTCGCTGTCCTCACGTGTCGGTTCATGGAGAACCGGACATGATCGTCCACATTTATACAGACCCGCGGGGGAATGTATCTTTTCGGCTCAAATCTGAGCAGATCTAGCTGCAACTTAGCCTTCTACGTTCAGACCAAATATCTCAGAATCACTTACTCTCGCCTATTTTAGGCATGCGCTCGTAGGCGCTGCTGTCGAGTCCGGGAACCTGATTAACACGAGCCATTCTGCCGCGATTTTAGGTCACGGGGCGTGGGAGCTTGTGTTGAGTAGAGCGAAAGAGTGAGATCAGCCAAGCGAGAAGTGACAGCCCTTGAGCAAACACGCTAGTGCATTAGCTTGTGCACATGGCTCTCTGACTACCAGGGACGTGCAAGGTTGATTGTGCGTGCAGTGGAGCTTTATTGGACGAAGCATTTACACTGACGGATGCAATTCACGCAATGGGCAATAAGCCTTTCCCATAGGAGCCAGCAAGGAGATATGTAAGCCTCGCCTGTCCATCACCTTGAGCATCGCCACATATTAGAAGGTAGTCCATCGTCTGAAGCATTGAGGTCTTGGACAATCTCTTCCAATGTCTTAGTCCTTGACGATCACCGTTGTGTGACTACCTTGGTACTTAGACGAACATAGGGAGGTATCTCTTGACATAAAACATATATTACAGTTGTACCAACATGCTAGAAAGAGGCCCATGATGGTGCAACTGTTTTGTTCATCGGGCCCACCGTATCTGGTCTCTCTGAAGGCAGTGACCCAGGCTAAGAGGAAGACGGGCGCCCTGGAGAATGGAGAACCCAGAAATTCCATTCAATCGGGTAAATAAATGCTGCGCGAACAGCAGGACAAAGTCCGCATTGCTCAGCTTGATGCTGAAGTAGCACATATTGAGGCCGATGCTGCTTCTCCGTAGGCCAAGGCGGCGCAGATGGGAGCCGAGTACGCAGCCATACGTGCTAATATGGAACGAAGAGACCTAGAAGCTTCCACGGGTATCCATTTGCACAGGTGACGCTAGTCTGGAAGGAGCCAAACCGTAGCGCGAGACATCTGTTGCCTGGAATGGCAGGAGCGTGCTGCTCCTCACCCACTCCACCACCCAGCCAATACAACGCAGTTCAAGATAGCGAGGCTCATCGATGCTCTGTGTTATGCCGAACACTTCAAATTGAACCCTTCCTCATCTTAGGATGACGATGAAATCGATGAAGCACATCGCGATGCAAGATCTAAATACGACCTCGCGCGACTCCAAGAACAAGAATTTGAGGACCCCAATGGAATTTGGCAGACTGCGATGGAGAGTGCGCACACTCTCCGCTATGATATGGCGAAGACAGCGGCAATATGTACAAGTGTGCAAGAGGCGACAACACGCAAGCTGTCGGGTGAGCATCACCATGCAGTTTATCGAGATTACCGACTAACACACCCTCAGGGCTGGCAGATGAACAGATTCGCGCGGCGAAAGCGGGATATGCGGATTGCGGGACTACCATCGCTGGACTTCGCGATCGCATCAGACAACTCCACGATGATGTTGAAGAGTGGGAAACCAAGCACACGGAATGTTCGGAGCAAGAGAAAACACTGGATCAAGTTCAGAAGCGGCTCGAAGGACTCCAACAGGAGAGCAATGCTCAGAAGGGAACACTCCAGAGGGAAATTGATGCCCACAGGAGAACCCGAGAAGAACTAGATGAGCGCAACACCCAGACGGAGAAGTTGCAGAAGCTTATCGATGCCCACATGGGAACTATACAACGACTCCAGGAGGAGGCTGTCGCCTACAAGAGCGATATACAGCGCCTCAAAGCGCCGGCTCAGCAAGACGCCGCCTCTATGACACAATCTCAGAGACCGGTTGAACCCGAAAACTCGCCGCTGGAAGAACTTCGAAAGGTCGAAAAAGATATTTCGCATCTATGCACTCATATCAAACTGATCGTCGACGATCTCTCACGCACCGATCCTGATTTAAATGCAAAGTACGAACGCATGTTGAAATTGATAGCGACCAGGACGCATCATGATATCCGAAGATCCATCGGCGATCCGAATCAAAACGCATCGCTGACAGACCTCGTTCGAGAGGCGCTGATCAGCCATGATGTCCTCTACATTACCTGTGGAGGAATAGAGCAGGCGCTTCGGCGAATGGCTGTCAACGTTGAAGAATGGACGAAAGCTGTGGATGAGATCGCGGAAGACGGCAGGGAATGGGAGCAGGACTGCCTGGCAGTTATGGAGAATGCAAAGGGTGAAAATGCGACTGCGGTTGCGCGCCATTCCGACTTGATCAAGAAGCTTGACGCGAAAGACAAAGTCATTGTCCGGCTCCGGGCTATCAGACTTTCCAAAAAGCAAGTTGACTTGGATTACTTGCTTGACTTGCTTGGTTTAAACCAAGCAAGCAAGTCAAGTAAGAGCTGGGCAGCTAAGCAAGCAAGTCAAGTCAAGATACTTTGCTTGCTTGGCTTACTTGGTTTACTTGGTTGTTTTAGCGTTACTGTGATGAGGGTGCTAAAACTGCTGTACGGTAGATGTCGCGATGGTTTTGAAGTGTTGCAGTTGCCTCGGTTGAGTCCCAAACAGGCTAAGCGGCTATCAAATAACGTTAGCCTTAGTCTAGCGCATTGCTCCAATCTCGACGTACGCCTGTCTAGAAGCCTATCGCAATGCAGTATCCCCTATAGCAACGCGTTTTCCAGTGATTTATACTGCCCTGATACCCCCAATATGGCCAAACGTCGCCTACCACAAACTTCTGCTCGGAGCAAACGTACGAAAGTAGCCGCTGCCACCAACAACGTCGCCTCAACTCCTGAGGCTTCACCTGAGCCTGCATCTAAGCCTGCATCTAAGCCTAGACCTCAGCGTCGATCACCTCGCAAAACCCTAGCTGCCGCAAGCCAGGCTAACGCCTCGCCGCCAATACCTACCTTCGAGTTGCAGTTCTTAGAGTCGCAGGCGGAGGCTGAGATTGTCGCGCCCACCGAGGGCAGCCGAGCTGGCACGGTGGCTACAACTGAGGCTGGAGAGGGTGGTCAGGATGAGACAAACAGCGCACTAGTTGAGAACTTTGACGGCATTGACTGGGCACGTTTACCTGATTTTATCAAGCCATTGGCGCGTTCTAAGCGCCCAAAAAGTTGGATCTTTCAGTATGGCTACCGCGTTGTTGAGCGCCATGCTACATCTCGAATCTGGTTTGTGTGCAAGTACTGCCATGTACACAAAACTATCGACGCTGGCCGTGGTGGTTTGTTTAACATTACTCAGGCTACAACCTCAGCAGCCACCCATCTCAGCCAACCAAAGCCTGGCCACAACCTTACGAAAGATGGCCCAAAGTTAGCGCAGAGAGCTCGAGGCCAGCTGTCGTTGCGGCAAGCTTTTGACGCTGGTTTAGACGTACAACAAAACACTGCTAACGCGTTTGGAAACTTCGACGTAGAGGGCTTTCGAACAGCCACTGTCATGTGGCTTGTTAACCGAAACCACCCGCTCAGCGAACTTACGACGCCTGATTTTAGAGAGATGATGAGATTTGCCAACCCAGAGGCAGAGGCAGCGTTGTGGGTAAGTAATACCAGCGTTTCTACCTTTGTGATGAGGTTGTTCCGGTCTATACGACCGCAAGTTATCGACACCCTGTCAGGCTCAGTAAGCAAAATACACGTAAGCTTTGATGGCTGGACAACAAAGGGTGGTAAACGTGGCTTCTTTGGAGTAGTCGCTCACTTTGCCGACGCAGCTGGAATAATACGAGACTTACCAATCGATCTGCCTGAGCTCGCTGGCGCCCACACCGGTGAGGCTATTGCCAAAGCTATCTCGACGACGCTCTCAGCATACGAATAACAAGCGACGATTAGGCTATTTGTACTCGACAACGCTACAACAACGACACTGCGATCGCGCGCTCGCGCGCGAGTACGAATTTGAGTCCGCTCACCGGCGCCTCCGCTGCAGTTGTCACACGCTTAACCTCATCGGCCAGGCTATTATATTTGGCACCAACAAAGACGCCTACGGCAACACTCAAGAGCAGTACAATACCGAGGAGCAGTATATGCGAGAGTGGCGGAAAGATGGCCCTATTGGAGTGCTAGTTGACGTCATCAACTATATCAAAACGCCGCAACAGTACGAGCTTTTTCGTGGCTACCAGCGCCTTGCCAACAACAACCTGCCTGCTGAAGGGCGTCTCAAAGTACTCGAGCCAGTCAAGCCTGTCGTCACTCGCTGGAACTCATACTATGCTGCTTTTGAGCGCGCTACCAAGCTTCAAGCCGCGTATAACTTGTACGCTGAGCATCATATCAATAGGGTTATCCTTGAAGATGCGCACGCTGCGCAGCGGAATAATAAGCGGCCCGACGCCCCAAACTGGATGAGATCAACTGGGCTCCGAGCTGCTGACTGGGCGGTGATTGCAGAGTACCAGGACTGCTTAGAGCCGCTCAAGTACGCCACAAAACGCCTCGAGGGACGCTCTAAGGATGGCAAATACGGCGCAATCTATGAGGTTATACCCGTTTTTGAGTACGTACTCAGCAAGCTTGAGGCCCGGGCGCGCCCGTTCGAGCACGTCGACTTCAACGCTCATGCCGAGGCTCCAGAGGATCACCTCAACGTCAACCTCCGCGCCGCGTGGAGCAAAGCCAACGACTACTACAACAAGCTCGACGACTCGCCCGCTTACTACGCCGCTGTTTGCCTACACCCGTACTACAAGAACTACTGCGATGTGGCGTGGGCAGACAAAGCTGATTGGCTTACTAGTGCCAACGCGTCGTTCCAACAGCTTTGGGCGGCATACAAACCTCAACGAGCACGCCAGCGGTATACAACTGCGCCGAGTAGCAACAACATAGACGAGGCAATTATTGCTATACTTAGCCGCAACAATGACCGAGAGGCTCCACTTGACGAGTTTGAGCGCTGGAAAACACAAGAGCCGCAGTGGACGCAGGAGCAGTACAACGCAGATGGAAATCCTGTCCAATACTGGATACAACTACTGCCGAAATACCCGCATTTAGCGCAGTTTGCAATCGATATCATGACTATCCCAGCATCAAGCAGCGACTGTGAGCGCCTCTTCAGTGAGCTTGGCGACCTTCTTGAACCTAAACGACGTGCTCTGGGCAGTGAGCTACTCGCAGCTCTTCAATTAGTAAGGTCATGGGTGCGAGCTGGTTATAAACCGTACAACTGTAGCGAGGCTAAGCTTTCAGATGAGCAGCTTGTAGGAGATTACAACATACTAGAGTGGAACACTGAGTTTTGGTAATTTGTATGTAGCTTAATCTCTTTGTAGTAGTCAAGTAATCCAAGTACTTGCAAGTAATACAAGCAAGTCAAGCAAGTAAAAAAATCACCCCAAGCAAGTCAAGTAAAGCCTATGTTTGAACCAAGCAAGTCAAGTTTAGAGCGGTGACTTGCTTTACTTGCTTGTTGGAAAGTCTGCGGGCTATGTTGGAAAGCATTCTGGACGAAGATGTGGCAGGGGCATCTGATATATGATTTGTGAGGCTTGCTAAAAGCATTGATTACCAAATAGTTAGGCCAATACAAATGTGCATTTGATGTTTTGTGCCAAGCTTGATAGAACGTGTTCTCACTTTTCACCGTTGAACCGTCCCAATTAGGCTAGCCCCATAACGAAGGTGCTTGCCTCATCTACACGCACTTGCCCTCGATTGCTTCCACACCATCTACACCGTTCTGCTACTCCAAGCCATGACGAAGAGCAGCACCACGTCGGCGCAACCGCTGCATGACAGCGCCAGGTGAGTAACGTCAGTGATTGGTGCAACCGTAGCATTCTAACCATGCCACAGCGATTCTGACGAGCGCCCAAGTAGCCGTGCTGCAATGCCACCGCTACCAAAACCCGCCTCAAAGGCCGTCACAAAAAGGAAATCCGGGCATAACCTGTCGAAATTTGTTGTCAACAACGAGAACTCAGTCATGAGCAGACTTGTCAACAATCAAATCAATCAATCATGAAGCTCGAGATTGGTTTGATTGACAATTTTTTGGCGTCGTGATTGATTTGATTGATTTGATAGCCCCCCAAAAACTGATTGATTGACGATTGATTGACTGATTGATGGTGTATGAGTTATTACCTAATTGGGTTAGACTATTGCCCGATTTGGAGTTTTGAGTGGATTAACCCGGGCAATGTCGACACCAATATTGAGACCAATGTTGAGACCAATGTTGACACCATCAATCATGTCAATCAATCAATCAATCACGACTCTGCAGATTGGTTTGATTGACAATTTTTTGGAGTCGTGATTGATTTGATTGATTTGAGGTTTTTTTGGGCGTCCGAGTGATTGATTGATGGATTGATTGATTGTTGACAAGTCTGGTCATGAGTGAGTATCGCCCGGGGCAAACACCCTTTGATGACAGAGGACCGTTTCCCCAACACGTGGTGAATGTTCTGAAGAAGAGATCCGCACCAAAACGAACTCCGGCTGTATCAAGGTAAGCTCGGCGACATGATCTCACTCTTCCAGTCACTGACTTGAATAGCAGCGTGCCTAGAATTCGACAACAAACACAAGACCTTTTGCTGTCGAATCTCTCGTCACAAGATACTGTTAGAGCGCAGTTAGAGGCACGGTCGCCTCTTGATGACACCGCATCGGTACAGCACACAGACTCTATCATGTCTGATCCAGTGGTTTCGACTAGAGGAAATACACCCAATCGGGTACAACGAGCTCCAACTTCTGATCAGGTCGTCCCGGATGAAGTAGAGACGACCAATCGGGTACAGCAAGCTCTAGATTTGGAACCGCTCGTCGATATGGCTACCGGTAGCCCCTAAGACCAGGCCACCCAGTTGGGAGAATACGTACTCGTATCAAATCAGGAGTCTGAACCCGCTGCAATCCCGACTGGGCACCATTACAGCTTGTATGACGAGCCTACACCCACAGTCGAAGCTATTGCAGAAGCCAAGAGGGGTAAAGCTCGTGCGATAACACCGGCCACTGAGCGTCACTCGTCGCGAGCGGCGAGCCGCCAAGCAAGTCAGTGGCCAGACATCGAGCATGCCGAAATACATGTCAACACCGGGCCGATAGACGCGAATATGCTCGTGGCACTTGATGCGAAGAAAATCTCAGAGGACGGTCTGACGGTGCTAGCTGCACACGCATGGCAAACAGCGAAGGAGTACCACTGGCCCATCACTAAACGCATGAATGAGACGAAATGGCTGATGATCGGCTTGCCTTTTCTTTTAAGCATACCCAAGGAGCTCACCGATGAGCTCTTTGGCGGAAACTTGGCTTCTGCTCTCCTGCAGCATCGCAACGATTACGTTCAGGGGCTTTTCGCCGACGGCAGCACCTGGACAGACAACCACAACACGCGGTTACCTTGCATATACATACGTATGTTGTACGATTCGAAAACAGGTCGGTCTCTTGCGCCGAATGAACTGTTTGCAGTGTTGTACCGGCTTCGTCTGTATGCAAAGGAGCACCTCACAGATGAAGAGATTGATCTTGTCGTAGCCGTGGACGAGCAGCCTGCTTTTGTCCAAGGCAAGCATCGGCACGTCGAGGAGGGAGGGAGACACTTCTTCGGCGGCAAGTTCGCGGATGAACATTCCAACAACCGCGCTCGTCAGTTACTATCGTTTTGTGACTCGTGCCAAGAATGGCTCGATCTCGTCCCACCCATGGACCGAAGCAATCCAATTGGGTTTCCATTCGCCTATGTAGGTTACGCCATGACCTTTTCCAAGAGGATAGTCCAACACAATAGTGAGAACACCAGCGGCTCAAGGTGGTTCATGAACCTTTTTCTGTCAGCTTGCAGTGTAGTTCTGAACGATGGTCACACCCGCTGGGGTTTCTCTTCGCACGTCATTGGCTACTGCAAGAGCGAGGAAGAGGTAGCTGCCGCCGAGGCATTAATGACTGCACTCACTGGCGCATGGTATGAAACAGGCACCGGCTTTGGTATGCACCCGTCTGGAGAGAACGTCTTCAGCGCCGAAGTCCGCACAATGTCATACCGCGAGGGGCAGGAGGTATGGAAGGTATGCCAAAGGTTCCGCGATGAACATACGCCCTATCTGAAGAACGAATCGTTGGAGATTCAGAGGATCGAGGCATACCCCGAAAGATGCAAGCAGCGCCGTGCAGCATTGCGAGCGGAGCGGCCGGACCTGCTTGAAGAGGCGCGCATCATCAAAGAACGTGTGACAGCCGAGAAGAACCGTATTCGTCGGGAGATATCCGGGCATATGACTAGAATTTACGAAGCATACAGCAAGGCACAAGCGGCAGACCCAGATTCAAATGAGCTGGTAGTTCTTCGGAAGAGGCACATGGATTTACATGAGAAAGTGAGGAATCTTGGACCAGTGACCGACATCCCAGCCACTGGTCGGCAGAGTGAACCGCAATGTGGCTCAGATATTGAGTCTATCTTTCCTGGTACAGACCCGGTAGTTCCCAGCATACATCCTATGGGGGAGGCTGTAGCAGGCTCGAGTAGGGGCAATCCCCAGGGAGATAGGTGAACACGATTGTGAAGAAGACTTGGTGGGATTAGTCGCAGCTGCTCCCAATACTAGTTTTTTCTTTTCAATGACATCCTCGTTTGTTTATTCCCGTATGTGACAATAGCTCTCAATACAAAATAAATAGCCCTATTTGCTAGAATTAATCTCTGAAATGAGGCCTCTCGCTGGTATCTTGCCTCTGAAAACGCCATGTGTCACCGGCCGTCGTGCTGCAACCATGTAGTGTAACTTTCCTCGGACTGCTACTCCCACCTTAATTTTCCAGAACAACACCGGACGATGCAACTTTTGAAGTTGATGCGATGACGGCTTGGTAATGGTCTCGAAACATGAGTGAATAATCTGAGTTCAGAAACATACTTGCTGTAGCCTAACAGGAGAAAAAACCGTGTGAGTTCAACAATATGCCGGCTAGTGATAGCGGATGAGATTTTGAGTAATTGCATGCAGATAAGTCGCGTCCCCTGACTCGCATCTCCAAGCATCCATCCACATCCATCATATCGATTACCAACTTCATCGTGACAACCTCCCCCACTACAGACCCAGATATGGTTTCCTAGAATAGCATTAGCCAGCGAAATGCGGAGAAGACGATGCGCATTTGCTCGGGAAGCCCGCTCCAGGGAAACTGCGGGGTTGCGTCTGATCATGCGATTTCCCTTTTACGTGTAACGGACTACCGTAGACAAGCGGCAGTAGTTTGCCCGACGTGCAAATCCCTGCCATCTTGCGCTACCCCAAAACAGGTCAGGTCAGCAAGAGCAATGCAGCTACGTCCAAGTAAGCCGCCCAAGCTTTTTCTTGGGAACCCCCCCCCTCCCCCCCCAAGACCGTACCGGCGTGTTGATCAATTGCTTCGCCTTGCTTCGCCTTGCTGTGTTCTTCTCTCCTCCTACCCAAGCTGGAAAGATGGCGCAACAGCGTGGTGTTGACATGGGCGAGAAGGACCTGGAGAAATACACGGTAAGCACTCGGATCGTCGTTAGACTACACGCAATCTAAACACACAACTGCAGGAGAGCCAGCACGTCAACGCTGTAGAAGATGAAATCGACTCCCCTGCCGTCCGCGCTCTCATCTGGAAGCAAGACCTCCGCATCATTCCCCTCGCTGCAGGAATCTACCTCCTCTGCTTCCTCGACCGCTCAAACATTGGCAATGCCAAGACGCTCAACGCCAATGCGGGTGAATCGCTGCTCCAACAGACGCACATGACGAATTACCAGTACATCATTGCGCTCATGGTGTTTCTTATTGCATACGCCATATTCGAGGTGCCCAGTAACTACTTCCTCAAGAAATTGAAGCCGAGTCGTTGGATTGCGTTCCTCATGTTGGGATGGGGTGCGTGTACCATGGGTCTTGGCGGTGCGCAGAACTACGCTACAGTTACCGCTGTGAGGTTTCTGCTCGGCATGTTTGAAGCGGGGCTGTTTCCTGGTCTGGTTTACTACCTTACGTTTTGGTACCGCGCTCGTGAAAGGAGTATGCGTGTTGCCATCATCTTGGCGAGTGCAACACTAGCGGGTGCATTTGGAGGCGCCATCGCATACGGCGTCGGGCACATGAAGGACGTCCACGGTCTCGCAGCTTGGCGTTGGCTGTTCATTCTCGAGGGGATTCCGTCCTGTGTCTCGTCAGTCGCAGTGTGGTTTTTCCTGCCCGACTATCCAGAAGAGGCATCTTGGTTGTCGACTCCGGAGCGCGAACTGGCTGTGGCACGGCTCGAGAAGGAGGGATCAAAAGCCGATGACCCATCGCTAAACTGGAAGACGGCCAAGGCGACGATTCTCGATGCGCGCTTGTGGGTGCATTATATCATCTACTTTGGCATCTCAGCGCCATTCAGTTCTCTTTCTCTCTTTACTCCGACCATCACTGCGGGACTGGGATACGAAAACCTCCAAGCACAGCTCATGACGGTTCCTCCATATGCTGTTGCGTACGTCGTTTCCATCGTTACTGCTTGGTCTTCAGACTATTTCAATGCCCGCGCATTGCATTCTGCAGTTTTGTCTACCGTGGGCGCCATCGGCTTCCTCGCATCTGCGCTTCTTCCCGCAGAGTCATACCATGCGCGATACGGATGTCTGATTGTTGCCGCTAGCGGAGCATTCTCCTGCATTCCCCCGCTGCTGGGTTGGCTGAGTAGCAACATGCACAGCACTTCTGCTGCGGGCCTCGCCATTGCACTCAATGTCTCTTGGGGCGCTCCAGGCCAGATCTTGGGAGTGTGGATCTACAAGGCGAACGAGAAGAAGGACGGTTACCCAACGGGCCATTGGACAAACTTTGCCATGCTCATCATGGTTGCTGTGGGCTGTGTAGGCTTACGGTTCTATTATCAGTGGCGGAATAAGAGGATGCAGAGACTGGGTGGAGATGCAACGGGCATGGCTAGGGAGTTTAGCTATTGAGATCTGTGTATATGTACGATGCTGTTCTACCGATAGAATCAGGATGGTTATGTTCCAGGAGGGATGGACTGTGCGATTGTGTGATTCTGATTGGTATACAGCTTATGTATACACCTGTTCACTACGCGCCGCACATTTCAAAGTCCGTAGTGAGGCGGCCATCGCGGAGCTTCACCGTCTCTCCTTGACGCTGCTGAAACTCTCTGAAGCACACAAGGCTGGCCAAGCGTAGGAACAGCAGAATGTAAAGCTCACTATGTCGCAATAGGGAATATACCTTGCCACCTCAGGAAAGACAGGTGCTAGCTGGGTGCTAACGCAGGGCGTGACCACATGCATCAGCGGTGGTGACGTACCTAAGCCAGATCCCTGCCGCGTCTGCTTCGCCCCAGCCCCATCAACAGACAGGTCGGACCGCGGCAGGCGGCGCTATCTAGTAGACGCCAGCCTCATCCACCACTACCCAGAGCTCCCCATTCTCCACATCAACCCCAACTTCTTCCCAAACCTCAACATCACGACATCGGAAAATAACCGGGTCGTTTTTAGTTGCGCATAATCTACCTTCCTACAGCTCCTTCTCACGTGCAGCTGTCTTCACCGCCGCCATGCAGCTCACCACCCTCTTCGTCGCTGCGCTCAGCGCCGCTACCGCCACTGCGACACCCTCATGGATGGGAGGCGACCAGGTCGCCATCAAGGCCGAGTACAAGGTGCCCGGCGACAATCCGCTGTACTTCTGCGGCGACCCAGCCGACGACATCTTGAAGATTGAAAAGGTCGACCTAAGCCCCAACCCACCGGTTCCGTATGTTTTCCACGCCTGCGCATATTCTAGGCTGCGTATCTTGTGATGTAGAAGTTAACACGCGCACAGTGGCCAGTCGCTCTCGATCAAGGCAACGGGTGACTTCAAGGAGGAGGTCGGCGAGGGCTTCAAGATGCACCTCCAAGTCAAGTACGGACTCATTACGCTCATCAACCAGAATGCCGACGGGTGCGACACGATCAAGAAGGGCGATCTCGACTGCCCGCTCGAGAAGGGTGAGATGAGCTTGACCAAGGATGTTGATCTGCCCAGGGAGATTCCTCCGGTGCGTACTTGTAACTCTACAGACGACCATTGCAATGCTAACAACACTCCAGGGCACCTACACCGTCCTCGCAGATGTATTTACTGCCGACGGCGACAAGATCACCTGCCTCACTGCCAAGATCGCTTTCCACCGGTAAATTGTCTCTAGCTTCACTTCGACACCGCAACACCCGCCCAACAACAATGGTGTCTGATGTTCAACAACGCAGGGGAGAAACGGAGGACAACAAGGCGAATGGCGGCAGCAAGATCAAATTGGGTCAGCCAAGAGTGCAGATGTCTGGGCCCTTGGCAGGTCTGGTGCAGGAGCGGTTGCGACAGAGGAGAGAGCTTTAAATTGATGGGAGTTGATCATGTTCATGTTCATTCCGCGATACCAGTGCGATGTTGATTTCTGGTGTATGGATATTATTGGACCACGGCTTAATGTAGATACGACGGAAATGCATACTCTAGGGCACTTTGTGATGTGGAGACTTTACTGTGGTGGATATCTTCGCTGTATGTGCTATGTATCCCTGTTAGTCGTCGCAGACGTCTACATGAAGTATGCACAGTGATTCTTAAAGGCCTCGTGCCAGTCATGTACTTGGCATGGCCCACTTCCGCCGTCCTCGCCACTATTCGCAGTCGCTGTCCCCGCTTACTCTCCGAATAACCTCCTCACCCTCTTCAGCACACTGTCCTTCTCGGGGTCGTAGGGATGGTCTTTGGACGGTATCTCGAGCAGTGAGGGAAAGGCAGCCGTGTATGCCTCGACTCGGTGTCGTATCCTCTCGGCAATCTAGCCGTCGTCAGCAACGTCCTCCAACTACCCACAGCGCTCCTCAGCATACATGTTGGTTGATGAGCAGAATGGCGATATCCTTGCGCTCCGTGGTGAACTTGTCAAAGGCAGCTTCAATGACCGCGGTTTCCGTCTTGGCGTCCACGACTAGGAAGTTCTTCTGGCTGTCCGGGGGTTGAGTAACGTGCTGCAACTCTCGTCAGGCGTGTATTCATATTATATCGCATTCCGACGTCTCAATAGCTTACGCCTACGCCCGCGAGCAGCATGCCCGTGCAAGTGTCCTGCCGCCCGTTAGCTTCCTGTAATCACATTCTCATGGCCAGGAGCACTCGGGTAGTGCGCACCTCATCGCCGATGACGGCCAGGAACTGTCTGTCCTTGTACTGGGCTGCCGGTGCTGCCATATTGCGTCGTGTAGGTTGGCGGCTGTCGTCGTGAGGTCGAAGCTCGGTTGAAGCTGGAGCTCCAGGCCGGCCGGGGGGTGCGGCCGTCGTCATGGGCGGGCGCACGCCCTAGTCCGTGTTTGGCCAACTGTTTGTACCCGGCGCTTTCTTCTTTCACCATTTACCTCTTTATCCCCTTCTTTCTGTTACAACACCACCGCGCCATGTCGTGAGATTCACCGTTGTCCATCTTCGCTCCTTTACTTTCTCTATACTAGATCAGTGAAGTCGTACCTCCCTCGGAATAATTGTAATACCCAGAGACATGCCGAAACTCGTGCGCCGCGCGCCTTTGTCGGAGCGCATCAAATCCTACCTCGACCCCTCCGACTGGCTGATCTGGATATCGGAAGAACTCAACAGTTCCGACTGGGACGACTTTGCCTCATCCTACGCTCTCTACATCGGCTTCGGCGCAAACCTGCTCTTTGTCCTCGCACAGGCAAACAGCGGCGCACCCACGACCGACGACGATGACGGCGTCTTCAGCGAGGTTCAGGGCCCGGGCTGGGTAGAGTGGATAATGGGTCTAGTGGTCTTGGTTCTCAGCATCACGAGTGTTGGAAATGCATGGCTGGTATGGGGCAAGAGGAGGTACTATCGCCTTTTCGAGCAGAGCGTCGACATTGCGCCTCAGACGCCGAGTGCAAAGCGCGTTAGGGTTGACTCATCGCCGGCGGGAGCCAGCCCGATGCAGTTTGTGAAGAATTTGGTACAAAACAACGCGACGAGTCGGGCGCATCCAGTTGAAGGCAGGGACGTCTGGGAGGTTGCTGTTTGGGACCCGAATCCCCTTTGTCTGCAGCTGTTCTGTCTCTTCAGTCCGCTGCACGTCGTTCTCTACTACTTCAACCTCCCGGTTGCGCCGCTGGACCCGAGACCGAGCATCAGGGTTACATCGACACTTTTCATCGGAGCAGTGCTGTCGTTGCAGCTTTGGTGGTTGAGAAGCGCATTCACGCGCCAAATCAAGGACAACGCCCTCATCAGCCGACAAGTACTCCACGAATACGACAGCAAATTCGTACACCCATCACTCCGAAAGCAATGCCGAGACGTGGGTATCCAAACCATCTCAAAAGACAGGGGACGGGACTCCAGTGTCGGTGTCAAGGGCAGCAGTCTCCACCTCGCCAGCGAAGTCGTCACATACACACCCACAACCATCATCAGCCGCACCTTCCGCACCAACCCAAACTCCAGCTACGCCTCACAATACGACCCTGACAACGTCGGTCCAGCTCGCTCAACCCAACACACACCCTCGCGCAAAACACGCTACTCGACCTCCTCCACCGCCATGGACGACGACTTCTCCTCCCCCCTCCGAGCCCCCTCACAAACACCAAACCCCTTCCGCCAAGCACCAACCATCCCCGCTGCTTCTTCTTCTTCCACAAACAACGACGGCGGCTACCTCGGTATAAACACGCACGCCGCTTCCCCTTTACGCAAATCCACCGGCAGTTTCCTCACTCGCGATTCCGACCACCGCAGCTCTACCACCACGAGGGGAAGAGATAGTCTCGGCGGCGCGTTTGAACGCAGAGCTAGTCCGAGTAAACGTGACGTTAGCCCCTTGAAGAGGATTAGTGTGGGTAATGCGGAGAGGGAACGTGAGAGGGAGAGGGAGAGGGATAGACCGGTTGGTTTTGGTGGTGGTGGTGGTCAGGCAGATAGATTTGGTAGGAGTACTGGGTATGGGAATTTAGGCGTGGGTAGGAGGGAGAGTGGACGGTTTTGAACGACATGGACTGGAGTGGTTGAGGAGGAGGGTTTTTTTGGTACGACCATGTCCATGTATATATTTTCATGGCGCCTTTTTTTTGGTCTGTTCTCTGATAATACCCACAATATATGCCGCTTGTTTGGCTGGCAACTTTTTTTTTCTTGGGAGTTTATTTGTGCTGGTTGGTTTATGAGTGATGGTGTCGCTGCTCGGTTTACAGTGGTGCTTCTTTTATGACATGTTGGCTCTGTGTATTCTGTACCACTATTCCATCTCATTCCTCTCCTTTTGTACTAGACAATAGAAGGAACTGATATCTGCCTTCTCACCCTCCCTCCTTTCTCCATCAAAGTCCACCAAGTCTTAAAGCAGATCCTTTCATAGTCCAGTTCTGAGGATTAGATATCAAACATGACACATTCACATTCACACAAAAGTAGCCACAGAACCAATATTTTCCAAAACATTCATTCCATATTCACAAAATATCCACAAGTCCCTTCTCCTCAAAGAAATTGAGAAGAAAGGGGTAAAGAAGAAGAAGAAGAAGTAAAGGGGAAGCCAAATCAAGTACTCAACAACCCATTCAGCAGCAACAGCAGTTCATAATCCCATGCTCATTGTCATCCATCCCATGCCCAGCAATCGTAAAAAAAGGGTGGATAAGGGGTTTCCTAGCCATCAACCATCAAATCCAGGAGTATCGTATAATCCCGAGTATTCTGGGACCGTCGCCAGTAGTTTACCAATCCAATCCAACCCGTTTTCGAATCCAGCGCTTAGTCGTACTGCTGGATGAAAGAAAGGAGGGTGCTGACGCGGGAGTAAACACCGGGGTAACCAGGAAGCGCGCAGCCCTGGCCGAAAGAAACGACACCAACAAGAGTCTTGGAAGCATCGACAAGAGGGCCGCCAGAGTCACCCTGGCAAGAGTCCTTGCCGCCGTTGGTAAGACCAGCGCAGACCATGTTGTTGGTGATTGACGAGGAGCCGTAGCTGGAGCGGCAGCTGGTGCGGGAAACGACGGGGACGCTGACCTTGTAGAGGGCGTTGGGGGAGCTGCCACCGGAGCTGAGGGTGCCCCAGCCGGCGACGGTGACGGTGGCACCGGCAGCCGGGTCGGAGCCAGAGGCAGGGAGGCCGACGTAGCCGATGGTGCTGCTGGTGGGGATCGACGAAGACAGCTTCCAGATGGCAATGTCGTAGTCCTGGCTGCTGCTGCGGTAGTTGGGGTTGACGATGACCTGGGAGACACCGACAAGAGTGCCACCGGAGGAGCGGCTCTGTTATATCATGTTAGTCGTCTTCTGATTAAGGGGGAAAGCAGCAAAACTTACCAAGGAACCGGCGCGGACGCGGAGGTTGCTGACGGAGCCGATGACGGAGCTCACGGAGCAGTGAGCAGCAGTGACAACGGTGTTGCCGTTGATGAGCGAACCACCGCAAATGTGGGATCCGCCGACCTGGAGAGAGACAATGTAGGGGAACTCGCCAGAGGCAGCGGTGGAGCCACCAACAATGTCATCATCAGGAGTGTCGGCAGGGAACTCGAAGTTGGGGTCCTGGGGAGTAGGAACAGCAAGAGCGAGCGCAGGGAGCGCGAAAGCGATGATGGTTTGGAAACGCATGATGAAGATGCTGGTTGTTGGTTGTTGAGAGGCGGACCCGACGAGAGACTGTGTGAAGCGATGGGATGAAGAGACAAGCGACTGACTGAGCTGGCTGATGATGATTTAGACGGGAGCACGACTGGATACTTATACACTGCGTGATATTGCTTTCATCCCAATACACTGTACCAACTGACCATTACAACCTTCCCATCGTGTCTTCGAAAAGAGTATACCAAGACCAGATGGACTAGGTGCGTAGTATGTCCTTCCGGATTGGGGCCCCGTACGGCTTGGTACTGCTTGGCAAAGTCTTAACCACTGTCCGTCATGTATCTTTGGCGCCTGCATGGGAGCGACGTACCCCGGCGCCCATGTAGGTACGTTATCTAGGCGGAGCACAAGCTTTCGCCTGATTACCTTGCAGCGAATGCGAAAGAGGAAGCTGATCTAGCTGTGGCTGCCGGTCTGGGTGGAATCCAGCGATTCATCGTCGCCGTCGCTGTCTCCGTGTGCGCTCTCATGTTTCCGATACTTTCCTTTTGGTCTCCTATTATGACGTTTAGACAGCCGGCCAGGGCTTGTGTCAGGACGCCCCCAGCCGTGGTAGTATACCCGTCTCAGGCGCGGCCTTGCCGAGTACAACGAGGCGCGTGGTCGTGGGGTGCACTACGTCTAGCACCACCTCTAGCAGCTACCACGACGCTGTTCCAGAGACAGCAGGAGCTTTGTTTGCTGGCGGTTCCATCCTTGCTTCGTGGCTATAGTAGTGCCGACGGTGAGTCGATTTCTCTTGCTCTTCGCCATTGTGCTGGCGGAGTCGCGCGAACCCCTGCCCCGTTATCGCAGTCCCATCTCCGCCATTAATGCGCCATAGCGAATTGCCACATGCGGTGCACATACCGATGGAAGCGCCGCTGCGGCCTGCGTACTTTGTGGTGTTTCGAGCCATGGCGAAGCCCGACACGAGCTGTCCATATTGCCCTACATGATCGGCAAGGTACCTGATTTGACGGTTGACGAATGGTGCGTGACGGTTGGCCTAGTACGCCGCATAGCCAAAAAGAAAGCAAAAGGACCTGCCGCAACGGATAGGTCCGCGTGTGCTGCGGTCGAAACGCTCGTTTCTTGGCTCCCCAGTGGGTTTTATTGCGTCCATCGGACATGTCGACTTTTAGCTGTCCATTTGCTGCACAGGTCAAGTGCTAGAGGTTGAGTGCCGGCTGTGGGCCAGGAAAGGCAGGAGAGGTTGAGGAAGCTATCGATAGGGCGGAGTATTTACGTCTTGGCACTGGCCTCGTGAGCCGGGGTTACCGAAGGGAGCAGCGATCGGCGCAACGGCGGTCTTTTGCCATATACTTGGATTCTTGTATTAACATGCCGTCCAGAATGAGTCGTGGTTGGGGGAGTCGTGGTTGGAGGAGTCGTTGGTCGGTGGCGGCTGCCCACATGAGTCTGGGAACCTACAGCGTCCTGCGATTACTCACCTCTAGGCAACCACGGCAACCACTCTGCCTTGTTGCACGCACAACAGCACTCTTTCCTCTCCGTTGTCCAAGATTCGTCGTCTATAATAATGGGCATGTGAATGTTGCATGTCAAAAGGAATTTTGGTGAAAGCGTTACGACATAGCTACAGCTACCCCTCATAGCTTAGCAGCTGCCTATATAAACAAAACAAGGCGAGCGAATGTCAACCAGTACAAACAAACACCACAACAACCAACACAACATCCTGTGGACTCTTGCATTCATCTTGATCCTTCTCACATCCATACCCACCGTCACAATGCCAGAAAACATGGACACCATCCCCAAGCCCTTCACCATCGAAATCGCCGGCAAACCCATCACCAAAATAGACGCCATCCCAGAAGGACGTGAGCAAGCAAAGATCGGCTCCGAGCCAGCCGTCTTCGAGCTCAAGGACAAACGCCTCCAGTGTGACGGACACATTCTCGCCCGAGCACTATTAGAAGACCGCAGCCTCGCGCCAAAGCGCGTGTACTGGTACCCGGCAGACACCGACGAAAAAACACAAGACGTTACTGCAACCAAGGATGGCGAAGAATACAGGCTCCACTTTGCCAGTATGTTGTGATGATACTGCCGCGGCGGTTCCATTGTGCCCCTTGTTAACATCCTGCGCAGGCTGCCCTCTTACCACCAACGAGGAAGGCGTGTTTGCGGAAATGCTAGACCGTGAAGATCACAGCAAGGTCGTGCTAAAGATGCATTAAATCGCCATCCATCTACCGTTATGTTCATGGTTGTAAGCTCGGCTGCAGGACTTGATCGGTCGGCATCACGTCATTGCCACCCCCACCCTGCATAGGCGACTTCCAAACCACCTACCTACATAGTACAGTCGAATTGATTATATCCGTCTCACCCGCATAATCTCGCTGCACCCGCTTGCCTATTTTCCGTGGGCCAAGAACTTGACTTGACCAGTTTCGGCATGTCACTACATGTTGTAACAATGTCCCGATGTCGGTAACTACTGGGTAGTACCGTTATGTACCTAGGTAGGTACCTACTCCTTCCTTTGTCACATGCGAAGGTGGCGGCGCATCCGGCAGACGTCCGCGTCCGTGCTCCCGATCCTACCCCACGCGCATATACGGGATGCTTTTAAATTAACCAATAGTGGATGGACAAGGGATGTCCTTGATGCAGGGCTGAACTGACTGAAACATTCTGACTAGTTTCTTGAAATCTCGCCATTCTACTATGCCATCGAAATCTTTCGATGTGGTATCGACTCCACAGCCGCAACCTTGTAGAGAGTAATCCGTGCAATAAGAAACTCGTACGCCGTAAAAGACACGGCCTGGCCTATGTCCACTCGAAGAATCCGCGGCCCAATACCCCTATACAAAGCAGGCAGGCCCTCGTTTGTGACAAGCTGACTAGTCTGGTGGACTATCCTTCGAAAGCTGCTTTCACCAGGCCGAGATGGCGATTTCTGAACCCTTGTTTCTGCAAGAGGAGGGGATGAGTCAGTTTTCATGATTCCAAGACGGGGTTTCCCAGGAGTACCTACTTATAGTATCTATTGGTGCATTGCAGAGTGGCCCAACAGAGCCAGATACCAAGCCGATCAGGGCGGTCTGATACGGGGGTAGAGTTTTCGAGTCTTTCCCTCCTCTCCTCTCTAGTACGAAAGACTTCAAATGACTGTATACAAAGAAGTTGGCTACACCGTCCCGATTAGCTGAATGTAATGGGAGAAGAGCCTTTGAGTATACGAACCTGCTTGGTTTGTCCCCTGCCGTAACAACGTAAGGGAAATTCCAGTCCATAATTTCCTAATCCCCTCATTACGAACGATATCCAGGACGACTTGTATGGCTCGTTGGGGATTCGCAGCACGCTTCTGGGATTGCAGTCGGATCTTCACCATCTCCATGGGTGTTACAACAAGGATAGACTCCGTCACTCCTGCTGCCAGGCCAGCTAAAAAAGAAGAGTTAGTACATAGCCATGGACCAACTGGCACTGTGTCCACATACCCAAAAGCAGCCGTTGGCTAGATTGGCTCCCATCTGGAAGCGCCAGAAGCGATTTATACGTCTCAAAACTAGCGAAGCGTATAGCGATCTTGGGTACAATCCCCAATATAACAGGGCTGAAACCGCGATACAAGCCAAGAAGATTATCCTTCTGGATGATGTTTCTGGCAGTCTGATAGGCGTTGCGGCTTGCTGCCGTCTGCATGTTTACTTTAATCGTGTCTGTAGTAGGTATGTCAGAGATGGATGCGAAGAGGTACCCACGATTGCAACGTGGACAAGTTAGAACGTACCTAGCGGATGGCAGAAAACCCCCTCCATCATGCCTGCACCTGCACCTGCTGGTCTAATCATCAACCGTGTGCTATCTTACGGCTTGAGAACGAGCGTACCGAGAAGGTGCTCATAGCTTCTTCCCCCGTTGGATCCTGTGTTGTACCGTTGGAGGCGTTGTGTTTGGCTCATTGTGGTCTGTGTGTGATCGAGAATGAGAGAACCGCGTATAGTGAGAAGAGTGTAAGTCGAGCCTTGACCACAGGTTGCATATCAGAGACGTGGTCGGAACAAGGGCCCACTGTCTTGATGCTTCTCCCAAATACTTGGTCAAGGAACCGATCGGTACTACCACTGCGTCTATTCCAACCCGACATTATCTCATATTGAGCATCTAGGCAATCATGCTTCTCCGAAAGAGGGACTGTGATGAGATGATAGGTATGTTGTACAGATGAAGCCACGCTGTCTCTTTCACTACTAGGAAACTCATCTGACCGATCGGTTGAGAGTGTCAGGCTGCATCGTTAGTGTCAATAACTGCATCTCTAGCTCTCATAGACACCTAGGTACACACACGCAAGAAGTTGCCGACGGTCGTTCTACATTAATCACCGATCGGGCGTGATACGAGCGAATAGCCGCACCACTATTCGGCCCGTTAGACTATCCAGCCACATTCGAACTTCACTCGACACTACGCAAACCAACTACTCGTATAAATCAGTGTCCATCTGAATGTAATCCCAGCATCATCTTACACAACCACCATCACTACTACACACACACTCCCATCACCACCTACCTCCAGCTTTTTCAAGATGGCCCCAGGACTACTTCTCGACGAATCACCAAACACGACGGCTGAGGCTACCCAGTCTCAGGAATTGGTATCAGTAAAGACAAAGGCCTCCGCGCCCCAAGTCTGGATTCCTCCGCTGTCGATCTCGAGACGGTTATATGTCGGAAACGCCATGGATGGATACAAGTATGCCGACATTGGTCGCTACCTTGGTCGAGAGTACGCAGACGTCCAGATTCGCGACCTTTTGAACGACCCAGACGTCGATGCTAAGCTCCGTGACCTTGCTATCATAAGTGAGTTTCACCATCTGTTATATATTGGCCTGACTAACCATGATGGAAAATCACAGTCAGCGAGCGCGGTGTCTGCGTGTTCCGTAATCAAGACATCACTCCCCAGGAACAAAAAGAGTTCACCAACCGACTCGGTCAACTCACCGGCAAACCCAGCACCTCTGGAATCCATGTTCATCCAATGTATGTTCTTCATGAAGGACTCTGTGAGAGGATATAATCTAACACTGTCAGTAACCACACGCAGCTTGAAGGCGGCAAGGTCGATGCTGAGATGTCCACTATCGCTCGCAACCCAAAGAAGATGCTGTCAAAGCAGACCGGTGTTGATGGCAAGGCCCGTACAAAGAAGCAGTCGGCTGCTGATGGATGGCATCACGACATTGGGTTCGAGGTACGGCCAGCCACCACTTCCTCATTTAGGCAGACACTAACTGCTGCTCAAGAACAACACGTCCGACTACACCTCATTGATCATGAGAGTCGTCCCTGAATATGGAGGTTAGTACCCTATCGCAATACAACGGCCAGGTGTGAACCAGCTACTAACCGAATCCAGGTGATACAGTCTTCGCCAGTGCATACGAAGTCTACGACAGGCTTTCTGCTCCTTACCAGAAGTTCCTGGAGGGCCTAACTTGCACGTTCCGACCCGTGGGTTTCGAAGAAGACCCAGAGGTCGCCCATCTCTACGCTGTCCCCCGTGGATCACCTGTCAACATTGGCCCCAGCCTTACTGCCATTCACCCCATGTTGCGATCGAACCCAGTAACGGGTTGGCGCAGCGTCTTTGGTGTCGGGCACCACGCTCAACGGGTCAACGAACTTACCGAGGCAGAAAGCCAGAAATTGTTGAAATGGTTGTCGGATCTGATCACAGAGAACCATGACCTTCAGGTAAGTCATTCTGCTAGGCAAAGTCCGTTTGTTTCGCCAAGAAAACTCTCACTGACACTGCCACACAGCTGCGCATGAAGTGGGGTGTCAACGACTTGGCGGTATGGGACAACCGGGCTGTTTACCACACAGCCACATATGATTACGACGGCCCTCGATCTGGACACCGCGTTGTTAGTGTGGCCGAGGCACCATACCTGAACATGCATAGTGTCGGACGCGATGAAGCTCTCAACGGAAAGGCATAGGGAATAGTGACGGAATCGGTTGTCCTTGTACTAGATAGAGCTCAAGATAGTGGCTAGCCAGAAATTGGTTTAGCTTTTCCCCAGGTCTTCTCAATGTGAAAGCACGTATACCGGTACGCTGTACTCTTACTACTTGCCCGTCCGTCATAAGACACCATCTGCCGTCCACCGACATATCCGGAGCTACCCAACCTAGACCAAGGCTCCCGAAATATTGACAAGGGCCTCTCGAGGTATCCTGGATCGATATCGCCGACAGGTCAGAGCGGGCATTCAGCAGACGGATGTGGCAGAAAGAGGTCGGAGCAACTTTCTAATATGGCGCACACGAGTGAATTGACCCTCATTGCTACTGTTGGGAGCGCTTGGATCAGGTACGTTCAGGAGTGGAAATGTGTATCGCTGTAAGGATCAGAGAGATCAGAAGGAAAGTCCGGAATATGACTCGGGCCAGTCCGATCCTTGGCGCTGGGCCGGCATCTCGATGTCCGGTCCAGTCACGTGGTCGGCGCCTCAACACCAAACACCCCTTCTCCGCAAGACGCTTACATATCAAGCAGTGCTAGATCAGTCCAATTCAGATGGATTGAGGCTGGAGAGGCTGAAAAAAAGGCTCTGGATACAAAACAAGCCAGTCATTCCACAAGTTCTCAGTTCAAAACTAGCGAGAAAGGACGTGTGTTGATACATGGTCGCTAAGCTCTATAAGTCGGTTTTCGTTCTTCTTCTCCTCTCCCATAATCTATAGTTCTCATAATACATGATTTCATCTAGCAACCCAGAACCATGTCTACATCTATTTTCAAATAACACTCAAACCCACCTCACTATTTTGACGGCACCGTCTCCGTAACTGGTCTCTGTATGACACCTTGCTCTCCCGCTTCCACAGATTCGTCTTTATTTTCACTCTCGCCAGTCTGCACGCTTTCTTGCTTTTCTTCCTTCACCTCCTCCTTCCGTTGCAGTCCCCGGTCCTTGACCAAAAAGCAGCCCAAGAGACACGTACCCATAAAAGGTGCCAGGACGGTAAACACGGTGTGAGAAGCAGTCATATAGCCATCTAGCAGAGCCTCGATATCTGCACCGGGGAGGTTGTTGAAACTGGGTATGCTGTACGAAGACGAAACGAGAGTCCGGAGGTGTGGCGGCAAACTGTTCCGCAGCGAACTCTGCATGACTTGCGCTGAGACTGCAAGACCGACGGCGCCACCAAGGCCTCGCAGGAAGTTCCGGTTTGATATGACAACAGCTCGCTGGGCTTTGGGTGAATGCGCTTGCAGGGCAATAAGGCATGGCTGAAAAACGTTCCCAACGCCGGCACCTAGTATTGCCAAGACAATGCCAATGATACCTGGAGCAGTTGTTCTGCTGAAGAAACACATGGACACAGCCCCCCTATGCTCTTGGTTAGCAAAGTCCAGTCGCTAAACAACCACAGATTCAACTAGCAGGCCAAAAGGCAATGTAGGGCAGAAAATTGGGAGTAAAGGAAAAGGAGAATACTGACAAAGTCCAAAGTGTAAATCCAGACCAGATAACCTCCCCATATCTACCGCTTTTCGATATATAAAGCCCCGAGCCGACGCTGAAGATCATTTGAACTGCAACAAACGGTACCAGGAGAGCAGATGCCCCAACTGGGCTGTACCCCAGAACATTCTGGAAGTAGATTGGCAGATAGTACAGCGCCGCATAATACGCGAACCCAAACAAGAAGTTTTGTGCGAGTATGACGCTAACGGCTGGTGTTTTGAACATGGACACTAAACAGTAGCAAGGTGTTAGCAACCATGTCTCGTGTGTGAATTCCAAGGGCAAACTTGCGAGGCATAACAGGCAGGCGGGATACCTTCCACTCCACAATCAGGAAGGCGACGAATGCAACGGCCGAGATGGCAAGCATTGCAATGACCATGGGAGAGTTCCAGACGAAGTAAGAGCCTCCTCCGGATATGGGAACCAGGAAAAATACAATAGCGATTGAGCCGGTGATGATTCCCCAGTAGTCGATCAACCCTAGTGTCTCCTTGCGTTTCCTTGGCGGCATTGACGACGGTACCAAGAAGAATGATAGTACAGCTGACGCAGCAGCCAAGGGTCCCAGGAGGTAGAAGAAGTTGCGCCAGGAAGATGTTTCTGCAAAAGCGGCAGAGACAAATGGACCTATAATGTTACCCAAGCCAATGCATCCACCGAGTAGACCCTGATAATAGCCACGCTGCTGAAGGGTAACGATGTCGGAAACGATGATCATGGTAAGCGAGTTGATGCCTCCCATGGCAATACCAGCAAGCGCCCGGAAGATGTACAACGAGGGTCCATTCTTAGCAGTCGCACACAAGATGTCGCCTACCGCCAACAGTATAAGTGCCGACAGGTAAACCACCTTGCGGCCAAAGATATCAGAAAGCCGACCGTAGAGGACCTGAAACACGGTATTGCCGACAAACGAAGAAGTACCTGCCCAGGAGATGGTGTCCTGGGCGTTTAGATCTCTTGCCATTGTTGGCAGAATCACCGCGATACCATTCTGATCTGCGTATGTGATCAAAAAGGCAAAAGCCAGGGTCCCGAATACGATGATGAGTCGGGCGCGAGGGAGGAGGTTGGTTTGGTCCACGAGAGTCTTCTCAGCCTGCTTTTGCTGGCTCGAAGACGACATTGTGGACGATGGAGGTACGACAAAAAAGACAAGACAATCTGAACTACAGGCCACAGGAGGTGTTGAGCAGTCGTGTGGCGTTTTAGACGATTCCTAGTTCGCATTTCCGGCTCGGAAAAGCGATGCGAGGCAAGGCAAACTTAGTTTGGTCCGACCTGCTAATTGACCGATCGGTGATTTTTGTCGGCTTTTTCCCCATTTGGACTAATCGGAACAAAGATCTACCGAGCTTTCTTAGTGCGAACAGGCTGTTCTAGGCGATAAGAGGGGCCGTCTTATACTCAAGGTTGTCAGTAATCAATATCTCATCAATATTGTTGTTTGATTTGTTTGATTCGGAGCCAACCAACTAACCAACAGTTAGCCACTGTATTTCTGTCAATCAATCAACCAATCTTGAGAACAAAATGTTGATAGGATTGGTGTTGTTTGATAGTAAGCGAGGGAGGGGGATACCTAGGTGAGGCCTCTGGGATAGCTGCTCAACGACGAATTCTTAGTGTTGGATCTTGCTTACTAAGCCTACTCGCGTGTAAGTTATATGACCTAGGTTCCCACGCGGGAACAAGAAAAACGCCGACTCCGGGAGCTCCGCGCCCCAACTAAATGTTTCCATCCCAACACGCCCCATGCGCACCCCCTATCACTCAACCATCATCCTATACAACCCTAGATATTTTCGCGCATCTTTTTCGCCATGTCAAAGAGTGGGATTTCCAACTTTGACACACCTAAAAAGGCTCGCATTAAGGGTGCAGCTGAGTTCATGGATGCAAAAGGTATACCATACTTACATACTGATCTCTTCGCTTTCAACCACGTCTCTAAGCAACAAGGATGGGCTATATTGAAGGAGAAGGGAGTAGAGCACGATCGGACGCATCATAATGATCCTACAACCGAAGAAAAGCGCGGAAGAAAGCCAAAGTTGAGCCAGAAAGACCTGGAACGTTGCGACAGATTCCTTCAAGATGTCGGATGGGATGGAAGAGTCCTGACGTGGCCACAACTTGCAGAGGAGCTTCAGCTCGACGTTTCTGGCAACACTCTTCGCTCCGTGCTCGGTTCTATGGACTATCACAAGTGTATTGCATGTACAAAAGGCTGGGTTTCAAGGAAGCTTGCGAAGAAGAGAGTTGAACATTCTGAAACGATGCTTGCACTCAAACCTACCGCAGAAGACTGGCGAGACGTACGCTTTTCAGATGAAGTACACTGCCGTGTAGGTCCTCAAGGCAAGCTTCGGATTATCCGGAAGCCTGGGGAGCGTTACTGTAGTGACTGTATTCAAGAGCAGCTGAATCGAGATGATGAACGAACGTGGGAAACCTCGCACATCTGGGGCGCTGTTGGCTACAACTTCAAGTCAAACCTCACGTTTTACTCAAATCCAACCAACCGAAACGGCAAGCTCTCTCTTCATGTGTATCGGGATCAAATCCTGGAGCCTGTGGTGAAGAAATGGGTCCAAAATGATCCCCCCTTTATCCTAGAAGAAGACAACGATTCCGGGCATGGAGGTGGAAGCTCTTCCAACATTGTAGCCACCTGGAAACGCCAGAATAACCTCGATTTCTTCTTCAATTGTTCGAATTCTCCTGATCTTTCACCCATAGAGAACTGCTGGCAAGTGATGAAACAACATCTCAAGAAGTTTCCGCACTGGGATGAGTTCGAAACGAGAGAACTGGCCTCCGAGGGATGGCAGAAAGTATCACAAAGCTTCATCAATGAGCGCATTAATCAGATGCCAGAAAGACTGCAAGCTTGCATTGATATGGAGGGTAGAATGACTGGTTACTGAAGAAAAACGGGATGAAAACACACCCTGAACGCTCTGTTGAGCTACAACCCCAAGAAAAAGTCTGTATACAGCTTTCATATACAATTGCAAAGCTTCAAGCTTCAATTTGAGCCCAAATATGAGAGATTACATGTTGTTTTGGTGGTGCTGTAGTACTAATGGTGGTGCGCCAAGACATTTGCGAGTCGGCGTTTTTCTTGTTCCCGCGTGGTTCCATCCCATCTCTCACTCACTCCAGGCTAGTACGTACGAGGCTTAGCGCCCACAACGCTAGCTGGCAGAGACATAGATCTCAATTCCTGTAGCACAATACACAACACGATTCACACATGTTCTATTCCTAGTGCTACTGACATCAGGCTTATAACATTTAACAACACCTTACTTTCTCGCGGCTCCGGCTTACTTTTAGCCTTATCCATGCCCTCTATACCAGCAAAACGCAAGCCCGAGGCTGCCGAAGAAGCTGATACTCCCTTCAAGCGAGCACAACGTACGCGCAAACCTACGCTCAAAGCGCTGTTGGGTGACGGCAGCCAGCCAACCCAGCCGATAGAGCTGCCAGAAAGTACGCCGGATCCGCCTACAGAGCCGCCTACACAAGTTATCGAGCCGCCCACACGGGCTATTGAACCGCCATGTAAGCCTGTACAACAACCCGAGGAGCGCCCTCGGCGGGCATCACCACTGCCTATTTTGGCTGCCTCACAAGCCTCTCGGCTCACTGATGAGCCAGCCTGGGAGTCGCAGTTAATGTTTGATAAGCCAGAGGACTCTATTGTACAGCCTTTAGCTTTCTCTAGCGCTGCCACTGAGGCTTCGGTGGAGGAGGATAGCGCTGTGAGCGTCGATTTTCGCGACTTTGAGGGCGTCGATTGGTCGCGATTAAAGGGGTTTGTCGCGCCGCTGAGCACTCCACGAGGCAAGGCAAGCTGGATTTTTCAACACGGCTGGCGTGTCTGGAAGGAGGGTACTCACCACCCAGATGAGTTGTACTTTGTGTGCAAGTACTGTCATATTCATAAGCTACCTAATGGTGTACACCGAGTAACGAAGTCAACCACTGCCGCCAACGGGCACCTCCAGCTTGATAAACCTGGTCATCGGCTCAGCAAAGATGGTCCAATCCTAAGCAAACCTCTCCGCAAACATGGACAACAATCACTTCGTCAGGCAGCTCTAAGCGGTGTCAAATTTAGTCTAGAGGCGTACAAGACTATAGGAAACTTCGACGTACAAGAATTTCGGCAGGCAGCTGCGCTCTGGCTGGTCGACAACAACAGACCACTCCGCGAGTTTGAGACGCCGGCTTTTCGTAAGATGATCAGGCTTGCTAATCCTGAGGCAGAGGCGGCGTTATGGAGGTCTCATAACAGCGTGTCAGCGTTCGTGATGAGGTTGTACAGTTGGCTACGGCCTCAGGTGGTGCGCGCGTTGGCTGAAGCCGAGAGCAAGGTACATATAAGCTTCGATGGGTGGACGACAAAAGGCGGCAAACGTGGCTTCTTTTCTGTAGTTGCTCACTACGCCAACAGTAAGGGCGCGATAGTTGACCTACCCATCGCGCTGCCGCAGCTGGTGGGTGCCCACACTGGTGAGGCGATAGCTGACGCTGTAACCAAAATCCTGCAATCCTTCAGCATTAATCGCAGCAAACTCGGCTACTTTGTGCTCGATAACGCTTACAATAACGACACCGCTGTTAACAAACTCGCCGCGATGTACCACTTTTCTGCCTCCGATCGCCGCCTCCGCTGCGCTTGCCACATACTTAACCTTGTTGGCCAAACGATTATGTTCGGGAGGGATGCTGACGCGTATAACAACGCCCTGGAGAACACAAAGATGGAGGATTTTTACATGAAGGAGTGGCGGAAAGAAGGACCGCTTGGCGTGTATCTTGATATTATCAACTACATCAACACGCCGAAGCAGTGGAGTATTTTTGAAGATTGCCAACGCGAGGCAGTTAACAGCATGCCCACAGGCGCCAGCGGCGGCACTCGCGAGCCAATTAAGCCGTGTGTTACACGTTGGAACAGCTATTACGACTGCTTTAAGCGCGGAGTTCAGCTCCAACAAGCTATCAACGCATACGCCACGTACCACATTCGCGAGACTGAACAGGCTGACGAACAGGCAGCTATTAGAGGAAACAAGCTGCCTGATGTGCCGCGGTGGATGAGGTCAGACGGCCTTACGGCGGCTGACTGGGCGGTGATTACTGAGTACATGGCGATACTGCAGCCGCTCAAGTTTGCTACAGATCGCCTCCAAGGCCGCGGCAAGTGTGGCCGTTTTGGCGCACTCTACGAGGTCATCCCAGTATTTGAGAGTGTGATAACTGAGCTGGATGCACGCCTTCGGCCATACGAATCGGTCAACCACGAGCCATCTGAGGCGCCCGAAGATCACATCCCGATCAACCTGCGAGCCGCGAGGCGAAAAGCGAGCAATTACTTTACTAAGATCCTCCAAAGTCCCATTTACTACGCAGCTACGGCACTACATCCACGATATAAAACATACTCTAAGCGCTTCTGGCGCGACAAACCTACACAATTGAGCACCGCGCACGCGAAGTTTCTGCGGGTTTGGGCTGCCTACAAGCCTGCCGCTGCTGCCACAACACCAACCCCTGCGCCAAAACCTACCATGAGCAGCTTTGACGACGCTATCGACGCTATACTAGATGAGGACGGCGAGCATACATTGGAGGTGGAGGATGAGTACGATAGCTGGTTAAAAGAGCCTATGTGGACGTCTGATCAACACAAGGAGGGTCCAACAGCTGTACAGTACTGGTTATCGTTGAAGCCGAAGTATCCACATCTTTCACGATTGGCGATCGACGTGTTGACTATACCCGCCTCCAGCTCTGATTGTGAGCGCGTTTTTGCGGGAACTGGCGATATAATTGAGCCACAAAGGCGGAAAATTGGCGCGCAGTTACTGGCTGCTTTGGTGTGCTTGCAACGGTGGACTCGTGCAGGTTTTACAACACCAAGCACGACAACAGCAGCAAAGCATACTGATGAGGAGCTCACGGAAGAGTTTGCGATAGGAACGTGGGAAGAGCCGCCTGCAGAATTGTCATAGAAACGTCCCTTCAGAACCTTAAGTCTATCAATATTCAATCAATCAACCAACCAAAAATTGGCTCTTCAGTCTCATCAACTCAAACAAACAAACTGTAGCCCTAAGAAATGAGCCAGTCAATCAACATCTATGCCTCAAATGTTGGTTGTTTTGTTTGTTGCCATCTCTGCTTATACTCCATACCTTTTCAATATGCCAGTCCTTCCATGTTGGTTCTCATCTTTACAGGTGCGCCTAGCTAGGGCATACCTTGTAGCAACGGGACGTTTAGAGCGTACGGTACCACTCCATTGCTCTTTTACCCGAGAAATATATTGCAGCGAGATGCCGACGCAACTGTAATATGGGTGAAACGGCACTGTCACCAAGACTGTCTTGGGATACAGCCTACCATCTGGTCAGCTCTCTACTCCATATCCGTGCGTTCAGAACCACAGCTAGTCAGACCTTCCAGGAAACAACAGCGCTTCGTCAGGTTTACCTTCCAAACTGCCAAGAAATTCCGGCAAGTTAACCTTAAGTTCGCCAGAGTCTTAGCCGACGAGCAGAGTCTTGGACGCCGATTCCCCACCACATGAGCCCACCTTCCGCACACCACAAAAGACACAGCCAATACAGCTTACGTGGTTGAAGCTGAGTATGGTATGGCGCATGGATTGACCGCCTCCACGCGATTGAACGCCTGCCCTTCTCCTTGGACTATTCTGGCGATGCGCGCGGGCTGGCTAGCAGTCGTTCCTCCAAGACCCACGTACACCCCACCAGACACGTAACATGCTTTGGCGGGCGTAACCGCAACGGGCCGCCGAAGCGCCCAGAGTCTAGCCGACTAGTGCCCGAAGGATATCTCAACGCCAACGATATGGGACCAACTACTCCAAAAACGATATCGCCTTCTATTCCACTCTGTAGTAGTGCCTATCATAATAGTGCTTATCGTAGTAGTATTCGATCTTCTTCTCGTTACCAGCGGGAAGGTTTTTCAATTGAAATAAGCGCTAGGAGATTTCCGTCTCACTCAGCCCGGCAGACTTAACATCTCTACCGCTGTGATGGGCAAAGATATTCCCTCAAACTACTGTTCCCTGATAGGTGGAAGAAGTAGGATAGCGAGGCGAAATCGGTCAAGCCCTTGCACGTCGGTAAGCGCTACCGGTGATTCCGGTGGCTATGGTTCCTCTTATCAGGTAACTTCTGGGATCTCGGGCGGTCTTGCCTGTCGCAGATCGTCCAAGACCGATTTGTTTGCGGAGGACGTGGCGGTGAGATGGAAGCAAGGCTGGGTCAGGGCTAGTTAGATCTGGGGGTACTAGAACTGATATGAACATGGTGGGCTCCTGTTCTGAATCGATGGAGGGTTTATTGGGCCTAGCGTGATGCGAGACTTTCACAAGGATGCCTTGTTCAGAAGGATGGAGTGTGGATAATAACTGATGCTTGAGTAGCTTTCACAAATAGGGCGATGTGCATTGCCAACAATCCCAGATCCACTTACGCGCGAAGCATGCGCAGAAATTGAAGACGAAAATCCCATCAGAGAGGGGCTGAACTGTATTCTATGGAGACGATGCGTCTCTTCCAAGTCTATCCTTGAGTAGAATAAAGTACTTTTTCAAGTCGCTGCTAAGGTGAGCGACCGGTTCGGGTATCTCGGGTTGGCTTAGTTGAGATTGCTGTGGCCTTGCCGATTGCTCATTCAAAACCTCCATTAATTCAATGCATCGCTGGACTTCAGTTTCGACGGCCATTGCGAGAATTTCGCCTTCTCTCCCCGTGGTGTTGACCTGGAAGCTGCCAAAGTAGACGGGGAGGGTCGGGGGACTGGAGACGGAGACGCAGACTCCGCAACAATCAATCGGATCGGCATGATTGATTCCTATCTAGGTTAAAGGCTGCCTAATGAAGTAATTCTTTAACCTATATAGGAATCAATCATGTCAATCGATTGATTGTTGCGGAGTCTGCGGAGACGTTGAGTGTCCACTCGAGACAGCAGCCCACTCTGTGCAGAAGGAGCAGACATATCCACATCGTGTTCTTCTTGGCACAGGATTGACAACCGAGTGACTTCTCAACAGACGATATTGCTTGCCGAGTAAGGTTTAGTACTTGGTCTAGTGGGACGTCTGCCTGCTGTACATTCAACTCGTACATGCGATGAAGATAGGTAGTTTGGCTCTCGATACAGAAACACGTTTCTGTGTTACCAACACTGCTACTACCGCTCTCTGAGTGCTCGAATTGGAGAGAAGAGGTGGGTGGGAAATTGAAGTTGCCGGGAGGACTCTCAGAATTGAAGCCGTTCACACTTGGAGCGTCGTGTGCTTGGGACCCGAAGCTTGGGAAAAAAGCATTGTTGAGGAATGATCTGCGAGAGGCGAGTTGGTTGGCGCCAGGGAGATGCTCCTGCAGTTCAACAGGTTTGGTTCGAAAAAGTCGGATTGTTGTGGATCCATCTGGTTGCCGAAACATGGTGCTTTAGTCATAGTAAGTATCCATGTCACTCTCAAACCGGATAAGCACACATACTCTGCAGGCTCTCAACTGAACTGGACGTGTTGTAGTCAATGTCCTTGGTAGGCCTCACGGATATTTGGGACGAGCGGCGGGTTTTTCCTTTGGGCTTGCCCAAGGGTAAGCCGGGGCTATACGTGCAGGTAAAGTTCAACCTCTCACACCGTGAGCATTGAGGTTTGGTCCGACAGCACTTGACTTTGGATCGAAAACATTGGTCGCATGATGAGTTGGTCCGGGCTGATTTACGAGAATCCATTTCCATCGATGACAAGGCTGCTGTAGGGGCGTAAATGCGGTAGTAAGCACGCATCGTCTTATATCTTATACTGCCCAGTTGCCCCCTGGAAGTTTTTCTCGCTAAAAGACGCATCTATGCCGAGAAATGGTGCCATATGGGGGTAAATAGAGGTATGCTGGGACTCCAAAAGCATGACTAGCTTATCGGTACGTTGCTCTTGGGAAATTCCATGTCGACAAACAATTCGACGATACCTGTTGTTTACGGCCCTGTATCCCAAGCTGCAATCTTCATTGCGGCGGCTTGGAGCGGCCGCTAGACCATGTCAATTGCCAAGACGCAAGCCTCGACATGAAGGATTCGTGTCCAGTGGGTGGATAGATGAATGACGCCAGGATAGGCCGGGCTATGCAAAGTATCCACGTATGAGGGGAACAACGAGAGTTTTAGGTAGCAACCTGCCCCTGGGAATGAATCACATGCGTCATCCGGGCCGTTCCTTACAACAGGGGTTGCCTGGCCCCGACTGCTGTACACATTTATTACCCAAGTAGTACGGCGAGTTGATGGACGCGCTCGTGATCGTCATTGCATTTTGACTCGGAAGAATTGCCCTGAGTTGTTCTCTGAGTCGTTCCGTATGGTATTGCTGGTCACTGACGGCTGGGTCTGGGCTTTTTATCGGCCCGGCATCAGTCGGCTTTCCATCTTCACATGCACATGACTGCGTTGCCTATTCGCACTTACATTGTAACCTGCAGCAAGCCGGCCTTGTGTTGTAGCCCCAGTCTCTTTCTCAAGTCCCTTAACATAGAGACCTGCCCGCTGCCAGACACGGGTAGCAATCCTCATCGAAATGTCTACTTTTGCGTACAGTTTTTCCCCTAGCATCATTCTTCTGTGGCTAGCTAACCCTCTTCCATAGCAAAGCCACGTTCTCTGCAACCCGCTATGCCGTCTCTCGGCCTTCCTATCCGCCTGCGCTATACGAAAAAGTCCTAGGTTACCATAAAGGACAGCAACGACTATGTGTCGACCTGGGAACCGGCCACGGTTTGATACCCAGATACTTGGCATCCAGCTTCGACCACGTGGTGGGGTTGGATCCTTCTGCTGGCATGGTTGCCGAGGCGAAAGAGCGAAGCAAAAGTTTCACAAACTTGAAGTTCATGCAATCCTCCGCAGAGAAGATGCCAATGATTGCCGATGACTCGGTAGATCTCGTCACTGCTGGACAGGCCGCCCACTGGTTCAACCATACCGATGTGTTCAAGGAGCTCCGCCGAATCCTTCGACCACAGGGTACTTTGGCCTACTGGGGATACAAAGACCATGTACTGGTCAACCGTCCGATCGCGACCAAGGTGCTCAACGACTACGCATATGGAAAGGAGAAGAAGTTTCTCGGTAGTTATTGGGGCCAGCCGGGCCGCTCGATTGTTCAGAATTTGCTTCGGTCTGTGCATCCCCCTCCGTCTGGTTGGGCAGACATTATGCGAATAGAGTACGAGCCCGAAGCTCCTGCAAACTCTCCCACTCCAAACGAGAAGTTGATGTTCAAGCGTATGCGCTTGGGGGAGATGGAGGAGTATATCCGTACCTGGAGTTCGGTGCATTCGTGGCAGCTCGAGCACCCAGACAGGGTGCGAATACGCGATGGTGGGAAAGGCGACGTTGTCGATGAGATGATGGAAACCATGGTCGCATCTGACCCAAGCCTTCAAGTCAATGGCGCTAATTGGCAGGAACTTGATATAGATGTCGAGTGGGGTAGTTACATTCTGCTTGCACGTAGAAACTAGGTGTTAGTCCATAAGCAATATGACTAGTACCTATTTCACGAAGCCCGTATCACTTAGTGCCCACAATGCTCAACAAGAACCCGGTGAACACGTGCTGTACAGCGTCTACCGCGTGACTGAATTCCGCCGACTCAACTCAGAATTTGGTTTGAGCGGGGCCTGCCATGCAGGAACCTGGGTTCAATATCGGCGTATCCATGAGGCCAGAACGCACCGAAGAGAATCATGTCCGCTTATGGGTATCGTGGGGTGCTGCTGTCGTCCTGCTGTATGGCGTGCGTCTCAATGTTATGAGAAGTTTCCGATCGAAGTTATGCGATCGCCAAGGCGCTAGTCCTCAATCGGTTAACGTGTCTGTGCGCGTGATGCCCATAATCGCGTGCCGCACACCCCGCAACATCAACACCAATCCACCCTTACCACTTCAACCACCCATAACTCCACAACCATGAGTTGTATCAACGCTGCGATTGAAGCTATTGAATCGCGTGATCCCGGAGATAAATTTACATACTCTGAGGTTGCGCGCCGCTTTGGTGTTGATCGCTCTACGTTGTCGCGACGCCATCAACAGATCCGGGGCTCAAATGAAGCCAAATCACGTAATCAGCAACTCCTTCACCCACACCAGGAGCTACAGCTTCTAGAGCACATTGACGAGCTTACTGAGGCTGGCTTACCACCGACGAGGACTATGATCCAGAACTTTGCTAGTGCTATAGCCGGAAGGGCTACCTCCCAAAGCTGGGTGACGCGCTTCTTTCACCGTCATCCCGACGCGATTATATCACGTTGGTCAACTGGTTTGGACCGCAATCGCCACCGGGCTGATTCTGTATACAAGTACGAGTCGTACTTTGATCTACTATCTACTAAAATGGCTCAGCACCATATTCGGGCGCAGGATGTATATAATATGGATGAGAAGGGATTCCTTATTGGAGTGACGGGGAGGAGTAAGAGAGTGTTTAGTAAGCAGAAATATGAGACTGGGGGCTTTAAGAAAGTGATACAGGACGGCAACAGAGATTGGATCACTGTTATCGCTGCTATATGTGCTGATGGGAGTACGTTACCGCCCGCGATTATATACGAAGCTACTTCGGGCAACATGTACGCCAGATGGGTTGATGATATCGCAATTGACGATCCAGTCTACGTTACCTCAAGTCCCTCAGGGTGGACCAATGATCAGGTAGGCCTGGCATGGCTCGAACAGGTGTTTGATCGCCATACGAAGGAGAAGGCCGGCAATCACACACGCTTACTCATCCTTGACGGCCATGGGAGTCACGTTACTATGGAGTTTATTGACTATGCGATCGCCCACAATATTATGTTACTCATACTACCCCCCCATAGTACCCATACGCTGCAGCCACTCGATGTGGTAATGTTCAAACCTCTGGCAGCCGCGTACTCACTCAGCTTGCAGCACTACCTCCAGGCGAGCCACGGTCTCTTAGCTGTGAGGAAGGATGACTTCTACCGTCTTTTCAAGCCTGCCTGGGACTCCTCTTTCATTAAGAAGCACGCGTTGAAGGCATTTAAAGCCACTGGGATAGCTCCTATAGATCCCGAAGTAGTACTTAAAAAGTTCCGAAAGTCAACACTAACAGCACCGCCGCCACTAGTGAACGTGAGTAGAGCTACTATCACGAACCTCATTAATCAGGCCTACGATCCGAGCTCTATTGCGGCCAACAACCTCTCAGAAATACTCCTCCGCCTCCAGGCTGCCAAAGAGATCGCCGAGTACGAGAAGGACGCACTGCGCGCGGCGCTACACGTTCACCAGAAGCCCCGCAATCGGCACGAACCTCCCCTAGATCTACAGCAGCGAAAAGCGTTCCATTCAGGGGCAGTTTGGTGGTCGCCGTGCAAGCTTCGAGAGGCCCGCTTCAGGCAGCTAGTGAAGGAGAAGGAGAAGGAGAAAGAGCTACTTGATAAGATAGAGTTGAAAGAGGCAAAGGAGAACAACAGGATCTATCAACTTAAGATCAAAGAGGCAGCGCGGGCGGCGCGTGAGGAGGCAAAGAAGGTGCGGGATGAAGCCAAGGCTGTAAAGGCTGCCGAACTTGACGCCAAACGACGCGATCGCGACGCTGCAAAGGCTATACAACAACCCCAATCGGGCAAGCGTAAGGCTTCAAAGCCCGCTGCAAAGCAACAGCCAAAAAAACGACGCGTGGGTGGTGCTGGCGGTGGCACTCTGGCTGAGGTGGCTGCACCGGCTCCCCCACCAACAACCACCCGACGCGGCCGGGCCGTCAATACTCCGGCAAAATATAGATAGACAAAGTTGTAGAGCTACGTCTATAGATCAATACACCGGAAAATCTCGCGATAATAGTTATTGTACGTGGCTGCACAGCCTCAACTTTGCCGTCGTCGCGATATTGGTGGGGTGTGCGGCACGCGATTATGGGCATCACGCGCACAGACACGTTAACTCACATATCCGACCAGACATCATCAGCAACTCAGCATCACCAAACACCCTTTAGGGTCACTCTAATAAATTAAATTCAACTCAAGATTGCGACTAAATGCTGCACAGCTTGCGCGTTCAAATTGACGCAGCGTACGTACGCTTGGACATCTTGTAACTATGGCTAGCGTTGCGCCTGCCGTGCCCGTGCGTACGCTCAGACCGAGCCCGTGTCCCAATCTTACCCCACGCGCATCTACCGGGCCCTTCTCCATTAAGCAAGTCATGGCAGTGGGTAATACTCAACGACATGGGTAGGAACTGGGTGCATGCATCCGTTCGGCATGGCATGCAGCACTTGCCCATGCAGTCATCATTTAGACGCAGCCGAAAACCCCAGAGATCGAGCCCATGAGGACGAAGGGAAACACGGAAGCTTTTCATACAGATGTTATCAGGTTCTCGAGATTTTACGTGGGAGAACCGGAGGCAGCATGTCTGGCCTCCTCCTTGGGTTAGAGAGAACATTGATTCTTATCTGCAACTGCATCATGTGACACGGGCGAGTACGGACACCAGGTCGAAGACATTGCGATGCTGTTGGTCGTTTTCAAGAACAGAAGCAGCAGCGTCCATATGATGTATGTGGCAGTCTTTTGAAAAAGCAAAGAGACGCAGTGTGAAATGAAAAAGCAGAGAACGTACACAGAGAATCGAGGTTTACACGTGCATCTACAGATGTGTACGGACAGCCTAGCCTGTATCGGGAGTATGACACATGGTAATAGACGTAGTCGCAATTCCTATTTGAAACAAGGCCAGTGTTGGTCGGCATAATAGGACACTCTTGTATACGCGTGATGCTATACCTGGGCTGTAGGAAGTGTATATATAGAGGTTATATTATATCATGTAACTATACTTCATATGAAAGATCCTACTCAGAGTGGAGTCGCCAACAGCCCTGTTTGATGGACCAAGTCACAGGCCAAAAGAACCTTCCTACACCACCTATCCAAATGTGGTCCTCGCATTCCCAAGAGTACAAAACACCACAGTTTCCCATTTCCCATCTCCCCTTCAATACACAACGCCAAGACGAACATCACACCCCAAACCACCCAGTCCCAGACCCTCGATAAACTCATCATGGTCCTTCACAACCCCATAACAACTCTGCTTCCAGCCCGGAAAATGGCTCGCCTTCACCGTGATGCGCACATGCCAGATATACATTGTCATATGATTCACGCCGAGCCGGACCTGAGTGATAACACGTCGCTTGAGCCACAAGATCCACTTTGGTGTTTTATTGTTGAGCACGGCGGAGACGACAAGCATTGCTGCGTTCGGAGGGCCACTCAGGCCACTCCATGCGGTAGGCGTGAGGGTGTAATCGGGAAATCGCAACTGGAACAAGAGCAGTTTGTGTATATCCATCTCCTCCTTTGAGCTGTGGTCGAGATTCAGGCGCAAGGTACCTGCGGGGTTGTAGTAACTCTTGATGCGCTTGCGCACCTCGTCGCTTGCCTGTGAGGCTCGAAGCGGTGTTGGAAAGAAGACTTTGAGATAGTCGTCTAGGACGAAGAGGGGGAAGCGGTGGGTTGATAGCCAGAGAGGACGAAATTCCTTCCGGATGGTGGTGCACACTTGTGTCAGTCCGATGTAGGGTAGAGGCCTTACAGACGGCCGGGGATCCTCTGGCTTTTTACCCCTGGTCTTCTTGGGCTTGAGGTGTGTGAGGGGAAAGGTCCGCTGACTTGTTTCAATCGCGAATTCGTAGATGCGATTACGTAGTTCTGGTTGGGTTAGCATGTTTGAGCCGGGGACATTGGGTTACGCACCTCCTGGTAGGTCCATAAACCTGAATACATGGTTCTGTGCTACGACATCAAGCTCCTCGGCTTCCGGCACTGCATCGCGATGGATCCTGGTCTGTTGAACGTTCCCCCTTCGTTGGCGATGCTGTATTGTCTTCTGGCGCTTTCTGCTAACCGTCGTGGTGTCGACCTTTCGTTTAGTGCCTGCGGTCATCCTGATAGGCTCGATCTTGGTCTTGTCTGCAGCGTCAGCAACAGATACGTCTACGAAGTTGGTTAGAGATTACTCACATTGTATTGGCAAAGTCGACGAGCACTGGTCAGGGTGGTTGAGCAGTGGTTAAGGTTGAGAGATGGAGAGGAAATGCTAAACAGGTGAGGTGCGGTGCGGTGCGTTTGTATGGCACCAACACTAGCCTTGGCGTTGGGTAAAGAAGCGGTACGCATGCGGCTGCTGGTGCCTAACCACACCGACAATAGCAGTCAGGGTCCATTGACAGCCCTGGAGAACAGTGGAAAAGGCACAACGAGCCAATTAGAGAACAGTTTTGGTCCAGAACCACACAGCCAGATAATTACACGCCTATGGCACAAACCACGTCCTGTAGTGAATAGCGATATGCATTGATTTGAACGGCGCTCTAACGAACCCTGATCGTTCCGGGTTATTGTATCCGACATGACGAGCATTCCAGCTTCTCTACATGCTCGCTCCCACAGTCTCTGGCATGTTGATAAGCCAGTTTTCCCAGAATCTGAAGCCGTCGATGCCCTGCTCACGACACAGTGCGCCAGATTCTTCGGCCATCTCCAGCTCTTCAGTTGCGACTCCAACGCTCCAACCAAATCTTTCAGCCGTCTCTTGAGCGGTGACGCCTCGTCCGTACATTTGCCAGTCCCATGTAACTTCGTTGGCTGGCGGCTCTTGATGCAGGATCTTCAACCAGGCCAGGAGACTGGCGATGGTCTTCTCATCCGTGCGGTCGCGACCTTGGACGACTAAAAGGCCACTCTTGAACTGCCGTAAACGTACTGGGAGTTTGAGCGTGTCCCACATTCGAGCTGCCTTTTCAAAATCTGAAGGGCTGACAAGCTCAACGCCCCCTCTTGCGCGGTTAAAGACGGCCCACAAGTCTACAAGTGTCATGATGCCACCCTCTTTTCGTAGTATCCCCCGAGTATCGTCTGTCAACCACTCGGCCAAATTCCTTGAAAGCTCTGATACATATAAGGATTCTGAACCTGATCCAGTGCCCAGCATATCCTTGGTGGTAACCAGACCAAGTGCAGAAGCAGACTGGGATGCCAACGCATTGGCTTCGGAACTATCACTAGTGCCTAGGTTGGCCTGCGACGCAAACTGTTCAGCTAGAGCAATAATCTCCTTTGCTGAAGTCATCAGCGCTTCGAGATCTTCAAATGCACCGCCTATCATAGCCTCATTATTCTGTCTCTGCTCCAGACCGCGCCGCTCCAATCCTGCAATACCGACAACTCGAGGCCGCTCCTCTTCGGCAGACGAACCATCGGGATTTGGGGCGTAGCCGTCCTGAAAACTCCCAGAGGCTGGCCGCGGTTTCGGAATCGGTGGGGCACTTTGCAGCAGCCATTTGCGTTGGATCAGGGCATTCTTCAGACGTTCGTAGAAGATGGGCCCTCCACCCGCACGAAACGACATCTTGATGCATTCGACAGACTCAGACTGCAAAGGTGATGCAAGAGTAGGACCTGGTGACTGGGACCTGCTAGGCTCTTGAAGTATATCCAGACGCCTGTCGGCAGCTGTTGTCAAAGATGCGCCGCATATCTCACAGTGAGCAGAGGAGGGATGGTCTGTAGTGCACCTCGACACGACGACGTTTCCCATTGTTTACAGCGACGGGTGCTCCATTCTTCACATCTTTCGGCGGCGGACCAGGAGCGGGTCGGTTCGAAATGGCTGCTATGGCCGCCTTGACTACATGCACCGTTGGCGGCTTGATTCCGCATGCCAGACATGGTGGTATGGGTGTACGCGATGCCAAGGCAGGATCGAAGTTGGACGGCACCGGGTTCGAAAATGAACATATCGGACACACCCATGTTGCGCTTGCTGGAGGCGGGGGCGCGGGGCTACTATGTCGCGGCGGGGTGGAAGACGAGACGGAAGCGACCTGTGGATTGGAGGGCACCGAGCTACCACGCGACAACTGCTTCAAAGGCTTCGGGTAGAGGGTGATCTTGGGTGAGGACTTGAGGAACCCGGCCTGTACGGTATCAGTCATGGTCTCCATTCGCCTGGAATCCTACATACATAAAAGTCGGCTTTCTCGACATCTTTCAGAAATATAGCAACCGAGTTCTTACGTGGCTCGTTGTGGTCTACATAGCAGACGCGGTGCGAGGTCAGGTAGGACTGGCCATTTTGATACTCGGGTATCTTGAATTTGCTATACACCGGGTCAGTTCACGAGCACGCGATAGCAACACATGCGCATACCCCTCATAGAGCCCGACTTGATCTTGGACAAAAAGCAGCGTCTCCTCCGGCAGGAGCGACGGGCGCAGTGCGGTAGTGAGGTCGAGCTGATGCAAGAACATTCAGACCATCTGGCAGTGAAGAGTGCGAACAGCCATCACTCGGAATGGGGCATCGTGGTCCCATTCCATAGCACCCCGGGCGGCAGTCGTCATGGGCCAGGCGCTAGTCTCGATACGCGCTAGTCACGTGCCAAGGGCGTAGAAGGAACCATGGTAACAAGGAGCCTGGTCCGCCGTCGCTTCACCCTCTCACCCACACGACGACTGTAGATTCCCGCGCGCGCACGTCTGTTGCGACTCACTCCCCTCCAACTGCAATACTCACCCACAGTCTATCTCTGCCTTGCCTGACTATCTGTCACATGTCTTTTCCCTCGGCCACAGTGGCGTGGTCGCGTTCGATGCAACAGCCCGCCTACAACGCAGTCACTCCACGCACCACACTCCAGCCTCAACCTGCACCTGCACCTGTTAGTTCCTACACACTACCGACAGTATCAGCCGGTGCTCACACGCAAATGCAGTCCACTATGGCGCCCGAAGCGCCCAAGAAGAAGGTCGAGTGGCCTCCTGCTGTGCGCGAGTACGTTAGACGTGCCTTCGATCCCAACAACGCGATCCCGGGCATCTCCCTAGAGGACATGCAGGTGCGCCTGAAGGAGACCATCGGCTGGTTTGCCGAGCGTAACTCGCACGATACCGTCGACTGGCCCAACTTCCCCTTGCCTCAGCAGCTTCTCCGTGATGAGCGTAGGAAAGCAGCGGCACTCGGTACACCTGCCCATGGTATCGCCGACAGCGTACACCCCGCATACATGAATGGCTCATCCCAACACACTAACCAAAATTCACCACAATCAAAGAAGCGCAATGCTGCAGATGCGCAAGACGAGCAAGCCCAAGCCATCCCACCCTGGCGTAACACTAACCTAGCCTCCCGTATGACCTATGCCGACGACCACAACGGCAAACGCCAGAAGAAGAATGCTCTCGCCAACGCCTCAAGTAAGTTTGATCAGGCTGAGCTCGACAAGCGACGACAACGCTTTCAGCTCGGCAGCAACGGCACCAAGACGACGCCACCCTGGGGCTCGCCGCGTAAAGACGAAGACGAAATGCCCACCGGACCCGTTGTCGGAACCAACGAGTGCCTCGAAAAGAGCTATTTCCGTTTGACCGCACCTCCCAAGGCGGAGACAGTCCGTCCACTCCACGTCCTCAAGAAGACTTTGGCCATGCTCGTGGAAAAGTGGAAGGCGGATAAGAACTACAACTACATCTGTAATCAGTTCAAGTCCCTCCGCCAGGATCTTACTGTCCAGCACATCAAGAATGCCTTCACGGTCAAGGTGTACGAGATCCATGCGCGGATATCGTTAGAAAAGGGGGATTTGGGTGAGTATAATCAGTGCCAGACGCAGCTGAAGGCATTGTATGCGCAGAACCTGGGCGGCAACCCTGCCGAGTTCAAAGCGTATCGCATTCTTTATTTCGTTTACACGTGCAACAAGACCGACATGAACGACATGTTGGCAGAATTAACCCTCGCAGACAAATCCCACAAGTGGATTAAGCATGCTCTTGACGTTCGATCTTCACTTGCGCTCGGCAACTATCACAAGTTTTTCCGACTTTACCTCGAAGCAGAGAACATGGGCGCTTACCTCATGGACATGTTCGTCGAGCGTGAGCGCCTCAACGCTCTGGCTAATATTTCCAAAGGGCGCGTGAGCCGATTCAGTTATATATAGCTGCTAACACGATGCAGATACGTAAATGTCACTCTCCGTTTCCTCACTGATGAACTCGGCTTCGACAACGATGTAACATGTCGTGAATTCCTCGAATCGCAGGGCGCACAAGGCGTCATAGAAGACAAGGGCGACAAGCAGTATCGCGTCAAGATCCGAGAAGTGGCGCAACTATTCGAGCAGCGTCGTGCAGCGGCATTCAGCAAAGTAGACATTAAAGGCCAAATATGAGTCGACATTCACGCACACGACACGTTTCCCGTTTCCAGCTTCTGAAATATTTCCTTCACCGATTGGAGTGGTTGGTCTACACATTTATGGTACGTCACACATGCCTGAACGGCTGTCTCGAGCAGCGGTTTCCCGGTGTCAGTGAGGTTGTTTTTTTTGAACATTTTTTAGTCGGAAGGCGGGGGCGCCGTTGATGCGTTGGATGCGAGGATGCTTCTGGTCTATTTCTCATGCGTTTGATGTCTCAGATGAGACGTGGACAGTCGGTGCGCACTGGTGGCTGTTTGGTACGTCACGGGCTTGCCAGGAAAAGTGGTTTCAGAAACAAATTGGGGTATATGGAGAGTGGAGGTTATTTCGAAGAGATTACATGCGCGTGTCCCTGTATCCGCGTCGGTACGTCGGAGCAGACGAGTAAGCAGCGGGTCAAGAGGATGGATCACGACAGCGGAGAAGAAGATTCGGGCATTGCCGGCATTGCAAAAGTTGATTGTTCTGGTTGTGGCTTGGATGGACTTGTTTGTGGGTCCCGTCACGAGATGGAGGCGGCGGTGCCGGATAGCCAATCATATGCATGAAGCTTGGCTTGGGGCTGTGATTGGACAGGAAGCAAATGTTCACGGCGGTTGACGCTATAATAGTAAGCCAGACTAGAGGGCGTTTTGAAGTAGTGGTTGAATGCATTGGTTGAAGAAACATTGCTTGGGCGTGGGAACGGCACGGTCAAATGTAGGAAAAGCGGTGATTGTGGCATGGTGTTGTGGACGGGCCAGGGCGGCAAGCATCAACCTGGGCTCACACGAGTGTTTCCCCAAAGTACCGTGCAGGGCATGGCAGGGCAGACGTCAACGGGTATGCGCTCGCATGGCCACGATGGCCGTTCATGCAATGCAAAGAAAAGCCAGCCGACGTTGGCTTTGTCCGCTAGTGTGTGTTTGTGATTGGCTGTGGGGACATAAATGCAGTGCTGAGAGCTGACAGAGGCGAGGAGCGAGTTATGAAGCTGCAGCTAGTCGAGTGGCAGGCTGATGGTGTGGACTGGTGCCGACGCCGCTGCAGCCTTCTTTTGAATCTGACGGGTGCTACCATGGCTATCATGTATCAGTATGCAAGGAGAAAGGCAGACATGATTTGAAATTTGGTCCAACAAAGGTGGCGCCGTCTGGTCGCATGGTCGTTTGTTCGCAATGCCGTGCAAGGTGGCCGCCCAACCATCCGTCACCCGGTCATAGCACGACAGCTCAAAGTGTGCCCAAAGACGGGCGGTTGGCCAAGTAGGGCTGGGATCCCTCGCAGTCTCTCATTTCGTAGCAGCTGTACCTGACGACGACTGCTCGAGTACTTTCAAGGGCCGGGGCACGACTCACGACTCAGCTCCATTGACCATCACCCGCCGCGTAGTCGCCCCCGCAGACGCCGCATTCCCTGTCGCCAGTCATAGTCAATACCTAGCAGTGGCAGCCCGGCAGCCGCCTAAAACATCACAACCGTGTGTGCATACCTCATAACCTCACCCTACTACCGTTGTTCCAACTTCCATTCACTCCCACTTGCACCTCTCACGCCCCGCACCCGCCGCACAAGCCGCATTCACTGCGCAGCGTCGCCCACAATGAAGGTAAGGCTTGCTTTTCCCGTGCCCGCAACAGCGGCGCAAATGCGCCGGTCGAGTCAAGGCCCGCCTGCATACGTGCACGTACTAACCGTCATGCCTAGTTCCGCAGGAGCATCAAGAGCGACAAGGACAACCGCCCGCACCACATCTCCATCCCCCCCAAGGACGCAATCGCCATTGTCCCGCCGAAGAAGGTAAGCACCCGGCCGCTTGTTGTTTATCCCCTTGGGCGCCACGCTAACACCGTCATCTCATTTCAGGTCATAAAAGCCCTATACGATTACAAGCCCACCGACACCAGCCCAAACTCGGTCTACCTCGCCTTCTCCCAGGGCGACTTTTTGCACGTCGTCGGCCGCGAAGACGACAGCGACTGGTACGAAGCCTGCAATCCGCTGCACGGCACCCGTGGACTGGTACCTGTCTCGTACTTTGAGGGTATTGGTAAGACAGTGCGCGACAGTGGTGGCTCTGCGCCGCCCTCCTCCGCAACACAACAACACCAACAACCCCACGACTCGGGCTACCAGGAGCGCATTACTTCTCCCCACCACGCGCCCACGCAACCGTCGGCGCACGACATCATGACGCAGCAAATGCGCATGTCGCGCTCCGCTAAGACGACGGGCGCCATGGTCTACGGCATCGTCATCTACGACTTCAAGGCCGAGCGGCCCGATGAGCTCGAGGCCAAGGAGGGCGAAGCTATCATCGTCATTGCCCAGTCAAATCCAGAGTGGTTCGTCGCAAAGCCCATAACCCGCCTCGGGGGCCCTGGTCTCATTCCAGTGTCCTTTATCGAGATCCGCGACATGACAACGGGTGAGGCTGTTGCTGACACACAAGCCGCTGTCACGGCCGCGGGCGTGCCCAAGGTTGAGGAATGGAAGAAGATGGCGGCAGACTACAAGAACGGCAGCATACCACTTGGCAAGCTCGAGACAAACTCTGGGCAGTCGCTGCAGCAGGGCATGGAGCGCATGAGTGTCAAAAGCCAACCTACGGGCCACGGCAAGGCTGGCTCGGTACGACACGTCAACCCCCGCGCGACGACCCTTGCTGACAGAAAACAGATCTCACACTCGCGCAACGGTTCCATGGCCCAATCACGAGGCCAGTACCGCACATCCGACAACCTTCTTGCGCCCATCAAGGCATGCGTGCCGCGCTACTGCTTTGCCGACGACATCTTTTGGTTCATCATCGAATGCCAAATGGAGGACGGCCGCCACTGGGAGCTGCAGCGCCTATACCAAGATTTCTACGACCTGCAAATACAGCTGATAGCCACCTACCCGGTCGAGGCGGGCACAAGCGGCGCTGGAGAGCGGACACTGCCTTTCATGCCCGGCCCTGTCACCTACGTCACCGACAACATCTCAAACGGCCGCCGCGCAAACCTCGACGAATACATCAAGAACCTGCTGAAGCTGGGACCACACATCACCCAGGGCCACCTCGTCAAGGGCTTCTTCGCGCCACGGCAAGGCGACTACGAAATCGACCCCGACGTCGTCGCTGCGGAAGAATACCGCCTCTCTCAGCAATCGCACCAGTCATCGAATCTTTCCCAAGGCACGAGCAGACAATCCTCGGCCGACCAACTACAAGCCACCACACCCGTCACACCCTTTTCCACTGGCTCAAACTACGGTGGCTCCCACCAGCGCGGCCAATCGACCGCCTCGGCAGCATACTCGACCAACCTCAACCCGCCCCCTATAAACCATGCTCACACATCTGTCTCGACTGCAACTGGAACTAATTCAGCTCTTAAGATCAAAGTCTGGTTCGAGGAAGACAACTGTGTCGTTATCCGCATGCCCCTTTCGCTTAGATTCTCGGACCTCTACAATAAGCTTGTGGAGCGCAGGAAGATGGAGCGCCCCGGCGAGGAAGAGGAGGAGTTGTTCATCGATTACAAGGACGAACAAGAGGGTAAATTCTACCCAATTGAAAACGACGAGGATCTGCAAATTGCGGTTGAGCGGAATCCCAAGCTGACGTTGACTGTCTCCACTCGGCGGTAGTGGTGATTGGGGCCAAAGGTATGACATTTTACTTCTACTAATTGCGTTGCTATATTTTGTTCTCTTCAATGGCGGCCGGAGCACTCTGATGGGTCACGGCAATTGCTTCATGCCCGCTACGGCGCTTTCTTTTCGTGCTTTCGGCGTTGCAAAAGGGTCCAAGGGTCCAGGACTTCCGAGGGCGGATAAGGCGTTTACGGAGTCTCTGGAACGACGACTGCATGATGGAAAACGGTTTCGATATTTTGCTTTGGTTTTCCGTGGATCTGTAACAAGTGCGTCATTACATGGGACAAGGGTGTCGCGTACTCGACCATGTCAGGGTTTTGGATGATACACGACGGGGCGGATCATGGCGGAGTCTTTTTTGATGAGGTGAGGCTCAGGGGCGAGCAGATGTGAGGGAGGGGAGGAGAAACATGGGCAGAATGAGACATCTACCTACACATTTCGCCATTTGACCGTAATCTTGGCATTTGCATGTGCGCACCGTTGATCTACATAATGTGGGGAGCTATGTGCATCTCCGGGGGCTACTACATGGATACTAGACTCCCCGGCATACTACCGCTTGTCACTCAGCCGGCTCTACCCACGCGCATGCCATGCGCCTAGTTTAGAGTCGTCGTTCAGCCGCATATACCCATATCAGACCGTGTTTGGTTGCGCAGAAGAAAGAGTGTGCGAGTGATCGGCCAATGATGACGCGTTGTGGCTGCTCGGGGCGTGTTGCTCCGACGTCGGTGTTTGATGACCGGTCAACCATCTCCACACGCTAAAGTTTTAGATGATATCTGCCCAACGGCCTGCTCAGAATTCCACCACAATCTTCGAGGTCGTGATTCTCGTCACGCCTTGCCAACACATTGTACGAGGAACGCGACGTCGGAACGAACCGCTAGCAAGCCGCCAGCGAACCGCCACCAGAACCACACGCTTTAATCTTCACATGCAACACAGAAAGAGAGAGTTTGTCAGTCATAGGAGGAAGCTGCAATGGGGGAAGAACAAGCCAGCAGTGTGAATGCCGCAGGACATGCACCCGACGCAAAAGTCGCAACCCCCTCCATCGCCATCCCGAAGCCCAAAGTCCCTATTCCCGGGATGCGATCGTCGACAACCTCCAGCTCCACACCACCCCGCGAGTGGAACACGTCGAAACTGGGTCTACGCATTGGCGCGGACGCGCTCTCAGCAGGCGCGGCAGGCACCCTAGTAGCGCCAATCATCACCATGATCGACAGGGGCATCATCGAGAACGCCAGCGGACGCAACACCCTAGGCGACAGTCTACGCAACTCGTTCCTCGAGCTCCTCACAAAGCCCCACCGGTTCCTCGCCAGCAAGCCGTTCGCGCTCATCTTCAGCCTCTACTTTGGCACGTACCTCACGGCCAACACCATCGACACGGCATCTGCGACTGTGCGCCCCGCGCAGTCTCTACAGCAGCAAACCAGCGGCACAAGCAAGTTTTTAGCGACGAGCACGGCGAATCTGGCGCTTTGTCTTTACAAGGATAATCAGTTTACCAGACTCTTTGCTGCACCCGGGAGTACACCGCGACCTGTGCCCATGACGACGTTTGCCCTCTTCACCGTGCGAGACTGCCTTACCATATTCGCGTCCTTTAACCTCCCTCCACTACTCGCCCCGAAAGTTGAACTCCGCATGGGTGAAGAGGCCAAGAAATATGTTTCCGCGCTATCAGTCGCGCAGTTTGCTACACCGGCTGCCGTACAGATATTTTCCACCCCTTTACACCTTGCGGGGTTGGATCTGTATAATCGACCTGGTGCCCACGTTGGTGGAGCAGATGGTAGGGCAGCGAGGATCGTGAGGGATTGGGGGAAGAGTGCCGCGGCGAGGATTTGTAGAATTGTTCCGGCGTTTGGGGTGGGTGGGGTGGTGAATACGAAGGTGAGGAGGGGGTTGATGGGGAGGTTGGAGTAGGTAAGTAATTGAGATTTGCATGGTGGGTGTTTTGGATATCTCGATTTCGAGTTTAAATCTCCTCTCATGATGGTAAGGTTTGGGGGTAAACGGCGTGGCATAAAAATGGCGTTTTAGATTTGGATCTGGCTGGTAGAATATATGGAACCTTTTACTATCGTTGGTACCTCGTCTCTGAATGTAGTCAAGATGCCGTAACCCACCATCAAAAAACTTGCAAATCACAAGATTGCACATCCATGGTTCTTCCTTCCCCTTCGGTTCCAGAGTTACAGTTTGGCCGAGCCCCGTCCCTCCCTCCTTGAAAAGACCTCTTTCCCCCTCTCCTCTGACACAAACTCTCCCCATAACAGCTAAAAATGCCTAAACCAACACACACGAACAAAGATGACAGAGATGGCTTACGCAACACCACCATAACAACACATCTCAGCAGCACACCTCCTCACTTCCCACTTCCCACTTCCCACTCCCACTCCCACTCCCACTCCCACTCCCACTCCCACTCCCACTCCCACTCCCACTCCCACCATTCACCAACATCCAGGACCAACGTAGCTTCTTCTCGCATCAAGCAACCCTAGCTGCCCAGGCCAGTTTCCGCGCTTTAAACCCCGTTCCATGCCACCTCCAAACCAGCTTCCTCCACACCATCCTCCCCTTGCGTACCAGCACCAGCACTCCCTCCTCGCACACTCTCATCCATCAAACGTCTACAAGAAAATATAGACCAGATGAAGAAGATTTTGGCCACACTAGAAAGGGCGTACCGCGAGGAAGGGAAGTAGTATAGTAGTAGGAGGAAATGTGTAGGAAGGTGGAGAGGTTTGGGGAGGGAGGTGAGGAGTAGGGTTGAGGATTAGGTGGGGAGGGGGATGATGGGGATGTGTAGCCCCACTCTACACGGGGGTCCACGGTCCACGAAAGGAGGTAGTTCACGAGGTTCAACGCGACAAACAGGCTTGAATTAGTAGTTTAATTCCTCTTCTCCCCTCTCCTCTCTTCGCTCTCTAAATTAAACTCTCCACCCTCAAAACGTCCCTACCCACCACCTCACGTGTTCACCCTACTCCACTCTAAAATACCTCAAGTTTGTTAACAAAATCATCTCTCAAGTCCACCATACATACATGACTAACTCAACACCAAACATCGTACGATAATGCGTTGTCACCCACGAACAAAACAAAACATAACCACCAGGCCCACAATGACATCATCCCGGCAGCCGCAAACCGCAAAAGTCCAAAACCCCCATCCAGCAGTCTGGACTGGTCGCGGTCCTTCTTCCCATCCACATGCCTCCCTCGCCTTGCCTCGCCCCACCAACGCACGGCCCCTCGCTTGAGGGGAAAAAGGGAAACTAAGCCGGCGTATCGGCAACGTACCTAGTGTACTATATATCCTAGACCTGGTGGCTTAATGGTGTTTGGTATAGATGGTGGAGGGGGGGGTTTTTTTTGGCACGTGTGGGCTTGGCGGTGGGCGTGTAGGATACGAGATGCAGGATGCAGGAGAGGAGAGTGGAGGCACGGTGGTAGGTGGTGTACCGTAGTGTAGGTACGCTGGGCTGGGGGAAGCGAAGGGTTTGGTGTGGGTTTAGGTTGATGTTCGAGATGGGATTGGGGTGCGGTGGGAGACGGTTGTATGAGATTGATTGAATTGCCTGTGCCGTGCGTGGATGAACGGGTGCTTCAAGTGCAAGGTAGGCGACCATCTCACTCACAAAAACACACAGACACACACAAAAACGATGGTTCAAACATTACTTTCATCATCACCTACTATTCACACTCCCCTCAAGCCTTCTCATTCCCCAAAAGCGCGCTCCCACCTCCCCTCGCCTCAGCCAGTAACTGCGTCCCCACAACCTCACCATTACTCTTCCTCTTGAAAACACCACTCACAGAGTACAAGCCCATAAAAGGCTCGTACACGTACTCCTCCTCCCACACCTCCTCGCCCCTAAATATGACCGTCTCGTTGAAGCCGTTGAAGCGCATGTCAGTGCGGTAGTTGCCCACGACTTTGGAGCTAGAAATGGAGCCGTAGTTGTTTAACATTTGCTCGACAATGTCGCCGTTTTGAGCAAGCACACGCTGCTTGTGTGCGTTGCCTTCGAAGTTGCTGGACACGGAGTAGAGGATGTTGTTGCGGAGATCCCATTGGTGGGTGTCGATGCTGCGTTTGCGAGATTGCGCCGTTTGGTTACTTCCTGTGAGGCCACCCGCGACGTCGCCAACGAGGCCGGCGGTGTCGTTTATGATGGATCCGAGACCGTTTCCGAGCTCCGCAATGACGGGGTTGAGGTCGATGCTGTCGAGGACGTCGCTGACCATGGTGACGAGGTTGCCGAGACGGGCTTCCAGGTATACTTTTGCAGTCACGTTTTGGATTGTGAGCTGCACCTTGTCAATCGATACATCGACTCCTGCGTTGAACTGCAGCAACTGGAGGACCTGTGCATCGAGGTTGATCTTGGCCGTCAGATTATCCACGCCTGCGGTTGTTAGCTTACTGTAGACTCCTCCCAATTGTATCAACATACCAACAAAGATCTCGCCAACATGGACCGAAGCGTTGAGGAGAACATCTGGTACTGGGCTCAATGCTGAGATGTTCGACGTGGACGTATTCTCAGTCTCGTAGAGCACGGCAGTTGGGTCCCCGTCGTCCCGCACATTGAGCTTGTAGCCCGTGTAGCCATCAGACGCAGACTGGCAGACGGCAACAAAAGGCAGTGAAAGGAGCGTGAGCGTCGAAAGTATGGACAACATCTTGACTGGTGAACGAGAGACTAGTCGACGTACAGCAGCAAGAAACGAGGAAGGCCACGGCAACTTTAACGAGAACCCGCAGTCCGCCTCAGACACGGCCAAGCGACGGTTAACAATACCTTCGAGTGTCGTGGTTGAGCTAATGGCAAGGATCACAGTGCATGATTTACCCGTTCGCCATGCCGCCCCGCAGAAAACAAGATTAAGGAGATTGCATCCGCAACTGGTTTTTCTCTTCATACCCCAGGATCGTATATGCAAAAATCAAGTTTTCCACATGTTGCACTGCCCACCGTCGCATGTAGTGCATTATGGCCTTGTAGGAACCCCTGTTTACAGCTGCATAGGGGGCTGTAGCCGAGATTACCGTTATGGGCATCCATGCAATACCCGATGTGCATCAAGGTTGGATCCGCTGGATTTGCAACGGGATTTATTTTTGCTTTAAACCTTGCTCTTGCACCGTTTGGTTCGCTTTTAACTTGCAGCTTGCACGCGCTGTCCCACACTCGTTTACTGTCCTGGTCATCACCCATCATGTCGTTCTCTATCCGCCTACTGCTCATCAGCATTGTCCTTCTTTTTGCAACCCTCATTTCTGCGCAGTCTTCAGGTGCGCCTCAGACTCCCCCGCCTACGAGTAGTACCCCGCCGCGGGGAAATGGGACCACGACGAGACCGCCCGAAGTAGCGCCAACGGGATCGTCGCCCCCCGATGTGCTCCTACGCGTTCCTGAACTACACGTCGGCAGAATTGAGTTGATTGTGGAAAAGTAGGATAAAAGCCTCGAATCTGACGAACCGTTGACTAATAATCACAGGCTGCAAGCAGATCTCAACCTTAATGCAAAGGTCGCTGGCCTCGTTCAGATCAATGCCGGTGTAATGGTTGCAGTAGAAAAGGTCAACATCACCATTGCTGATGTGGATGTTGACCTTGAGTTGATTGTGCGTTTGGGCAATTTGGTCCAGATTGTTGAGCGCGTCTTCGACTCTTTGGACCTGAACCCTCTCCTAATCAGCTTGATTGGAAACGCCACCAACTTGGTTGGAGAAGTCATTGGTGCTGTCGACGGTCTTGTAAGTTTGACGTGCGTTACACTGGAGTATGCTGACAGCGAATAGCTTGGATCCATTACGCAAAATGGAAAGACGCTCAACTTTTTGGTCGACAATCTCGGCAACATTGTCCAAGAGGTCGTTGGAGCTGGTGGAGATGCCCTCCAATCCATTGTCGGAAACTACAAGGTAAGTTTCTTCATGTCGTTGTATAACCGTACAGCCACTGACTCGATCAACAGCTCAACATGACTGAAGTCACTGGAAGTGCGAAGCAAATTGGCCAAGGTCTTACTCAGAAGACGTACGAATATGGAGCGCTCGGTGCTCTTGTTAACATTGTCACCAACACTGCTGGCCAAGTCGTCTCAGCAGTTGTCGACAAGAAGAACGGTGGTGGTAGCGGCTCCTCAACCACAGCTTCCGTTTCCGGCACCGGCACCCCAATGCCAGTTACCTTGCCCATCAGCTCGGCCACGAGTACATCATAGGCATAATGAGCCGCTAGTAGCATAATCTAATGCAATTAATGTGGAGATGCGGCACAATGAAGTTTGCAAGTGATGTTGTTGTCGCTGGTCGTGAGGGACCTGTGTGCAAGGGGTAGCAACTGCCGGAGTGAATGCAAGACGATGAAATGACGTCAGCCGCTAATGTCATGACTAAGGCACGCGATTTCAACGCGTCTGGAGAAGCTGGACGGCGACTGTACACTGACCTCGGAAGTTTGTGCAGTTGGCACATCTATGCATTGATGGCACCAGGATCGTCTCTACCGGACACCGCAAGACGAATAACAACACCCTGCCTACCTCAAGTCTGGGTATGAATTATCGACATGCTGAGCTTCCGCCATCGCTAGGCCTAGACGCAACGCTTCTCTGGCTCAACACTCAATCCCGGCGCGAGTGCCCGCACTTTGGCGAGGCACATGACTTCTTCGCCATCTCCTCTGGCTTGCATACACCCCCGAACAAGCTTCATTGATTTACGATGAGGTACCATGGTACACTCTTACAACATCGTTGACGACATGTCAAAACAGCAATTGCTCCTCCCGATTCGGGCAATCGATATCTCTCCGAGCTACCAGATAAGGCTCCGATCAACTAAAGCCTGTACAGATGTTGTCGATTCTTCGCATTCAACTGGCGTCATACAGACTTCAGATACGCATATCATCATGGACCGACACTCAGCTGTCGGCAGCTTAGTTTCAAACGTCTGTGAAGCTGAAGGATCGATGCGTTGTTGCCATGATTCAGGTAGATGAGATGGAGAAGCAGCTATTTTATGCAGGGCACTATTCGGCGTTACCATTCTACCTTAGTCGACCCCGCTCCCCGCTCCATCACGGACCAGTCAGAGTCTGCAACGCGTCTAGGTCGCTCCGGGCCCAGAAAACTCCTTTGGGTTGTGTATACGATAGCGATAGGCACGAGAATTACTTGAAAGAGCCAGCATGCAGAAATCGGTGGGTCACTTTGTTGTCATTACCGGCATGATGAGCACACCATGTCCTCATATATGAGCTTACTCCTGAGCCCTGTCATGAGCATGAGGTCTTTTCAAGCCCTCTGTGAGGGTTCATCGTCATGGAGGCTGGGTCGTCTGCTTCCTTGAGTCATGGCGGACCCAAGGATTCCTTCCGGGGCGTGCCTGACGATTCGTTACAAAAAGTAGCCAAGTATGTTAGCACGATGCCTTGTAGATCCCTGCTAATGCTTCTTCCGCAGTTGGAAAAACAACGCTCAGATTACAGCAGCGCCAGTTGGAGATCTTTCGTCTTTACAGTTGGAACAGCTCATCAAGGATGGCTTCTCCTCAAGACACCTCGACTCCACACATGTACCGGTGTCCACGGCGGCCATGCATTTCGACTTGGAGGGTCCGTTCAGCGAGCCTGAGGAGTATTACAGACCGTTTGTGCCCAAACATAATACAGTTTCGGGACTTGCCGGCGCGATTACATCAGTTCCTACACATCCGACCACATCCACACTTCACTTCCCGACGAATCTAGAGAGCATACCTCTGCCTCGTACGCTCGCTAAATCTCGAAAAAAGCCCTCACCACGAGACTCACCCGCAAAGCGCACAGCCTGGACTAATGACACTGCGGAAGAACACGATTCCATTACCAGCTTACCACACGTCCCAACGCAAGAGCGACGCTCATCACGCACGTCGACAATGTCTTCAATGGTATCTGCCATTTCGTTTCAAGGACTCGGGGCCATCTACATTCAACCATCCAAGGAACTCAACACCATGCAATCAATCAGTAATTTGCGGGCAAAGCTTCAAGACATGACAAGTCTTGGCAAGCCATGGGCAAGGCCAGATTCTCGTAATGGGGTTCACACGGCTAGTAGTAGCCCAAGTTCAATCGCCAACATTTCTCTGCGGTCTCGGGTTCACGAAGCACATACCAGGCTCAACCAGGCTATCAATGTACCGTCACAGCCTACCAACCGTCTCAGCACGCAGGAATGGACTGGACCCAGTGAATGGATCGAGCCCAGCTCCACCGCCCAAGGCCCAAAGGAATGGATCGAAGACTTTCTCAACCGCAAGGAAGAAGCAGACCGTGCAGAGTCTGCATTGCGAATGCAAGAACAAAACAAGGGTATCCTCAGCCGCAGCAAGAGCATCCACAAGCTCAAGTCCAGACTTAACAAGACCAGGCTATTCGACGACAAGACGACGCAAGAACAAAGCCAGACATCAGACCCGGAATTACCTCAACTACCAAGACCACAGCAGCAGCAGCCCAGACGAAACATGTCTCTCCGTCGCTCAATCTCCATTCGCGTCCTCTGCTCCACCACCTCGCTCAAGCCTGATCAACACAAACTCCACAAGTCACCTCGATCGCACAGAGCGGAAACGTGTCCGAATCACCAGTGCGTGAGAATACGTTCGCTTCCCTCACTAGGGCCCGGTACGTCGCCGGTTTCCGACGTATTCTCCGAGGACAGTGACAGTGTCGGTGTCGGTGTCAAGGGTCCTGTCACTAGGATTAGTGAGAGTCTCAGGGAAGGCTTCATGTGTCTTGGGAGGAGGGTGTCGTTTAGGAGGGGAGTTGGTAGGGGGGTGTAGTTGTAGGTGTAGTTATCTCGGTTGAGGGAGGGACTGGTATGCCTAACGTTTGTCACGTAGAAAGGTTAGAGACAATGATGTATGTTCTCCTTTTGTTGTTCTTTTCTTCTTTTTCACGTCCTGCGTCGTTACTTGCTCACAACAGGGAGTGCGGGCGCGCGAGCAAAGCAAATGCACCAGTGGTCATCATCCCTCCCTCTGTCGCCTTGTCACCTAGACCAACATCCCCACCTTACACAAAGACAACAAGCTTCAGCCACCAACCCACCCACCCACTCGCTAGCTAGTAAACCGTTACACTTGCCTCTCCCCTCTCCACTCTCCACTCCCCCACTCCACTCCCCACTTCTTCCCCCGTCCCCGTTCCCGTTTCCGTTCCACATCCCTCGGTCCCAGTCCCGGTCCCGGGAAAAAAGCTACACCCACCCACACGCAACCTAGCCTAACCAACCTAACCTAATCCCCTAGTTAGCGTCTCCACATCCACCTCACAAACAAACAAACAAACACAACACACCTCCACATGTGCAAGTCCCCGCCTAACACACAAGCATGAACCACGGAACCACAGCATACAAATGAACCCCTTCTTTTACACCCATGCCATGCCATACCATGCCCACCTCGCACTTCCCCTTCCCAACAAAAATTCATGCGGGACCCGCAGGTTATAAAATTGGAAATTGGAAATTGGCCGAGAGGGGGTGGGTGGGTGCTGTATAGTATGTATGTACCAAGAGATTGGGCTTGGGCTGGCTGGGGGGTATAAAGTTTGCGGGTTATAAGGTTAGTGGGCTACCCCCCTCTCTCTCTCTTCTCGATGTCGTATTCTGATTTCTGATTTCTGATTTCACAGTTGGTCGACGCTGACGCTGATGCTGACGCTGACGATACGCTCAGCAAAAACAATAACATGACATAACATGACATTAACAGAAAACTTTTTTTTTTCATAACTAACTGACTAGCTGGCTGGCTGGGGTTACAAGGCTCTCAGCTCTCATGCACGCCTTGCACATCCCTCACACACACACACAAACTTTCTAATCTATATCTTTTTTCCTTTTTTCCTCCGAAAACACACACACTGGACAGAAAAACACCTCTCCCATGCATGCATGCATGCAGCATTCCGCGGAGAAACAAGACCAAAACCAAGACCAAGGAAAATAGGAAAATAGGGAACAAAAGGGAGGGGGTGAGAAATTCACGAGAGCGAAATGAAGATATACAGTTGAATTCTTCTTCTTGCTTCAGCTTCTTGCTTCAAGCCCAGATAACGCACATCCCATCCATCCATGCATGCAACACAGAGTACAAATCTGCGCTGTGCCCACCCTAATATCAATCAAGGTTTGCCAGCCGATGGTCCGTCCGTCCGTCCCATAAACACTTTTCTGCTTTCTGCTTTTCTGCCCCTCCTCATGTGTGTGATGTGTGTCGAAATAGCTCTTCTTTCGTAAAGTCAAGTCAAGTCTTCTTCTCCATTGTTGTTGTTGTTGTTGCACCGGGCAAAACCAAAGCAGGTCGTGAGTGAATTTGTGGAATTGTCTAAATGCTTTTTTGTTGTTGATGATGGAGATTTCTCAAAGTCCATCCTAGTAAATTTGCCGCCGCCGCCGTTGATGATTCGTGAAAGAAAGCCTCGCATGCATGCATGTGTCAGATGAGCCGCCATGCAAAAAGTTGGCCAGAAACAAACTCCGATGGAAATGCATGGTCACCTAGCATAACACGGTGTCTGCTAGGCGAATGTAGAAGAAAGGAAATGTAATGCATGCTGATGATTCTAACATGGTTATTGTTGTTGTTGTTGTTGTTGTTGTCATGATGACTCGGTTTTTTTAGACCTTGATGATATATACCGATGATACTTTGTTTGGAGCTGGTTCCCGCAGCTTCCGGTTTGGTGTCGTGGTTGTATAATGATGATTGAAAGTTTTGTGGAGTTGTTGGATTCATTGCTCGTCGAGTGGGGTGAAGAGACGTTTCATGTTCAGGGTAAGGTCGGCAATAGCGTAGTCGTCGGCCACTTGAGTCATGGCACCAATTTCAATGCCTTTTTGCGCAGAGTCGGAAGCAATGTAATGCCTGATATGCTTCAAGAGGCTGAATACGTGGCGGCACCGTGCATCTGCAGGCGCAGCCCAGTCTTCAGGTCGAGATTGCCGAAGGAAAGTCTGTGCTAGGAAGTAGAAGTGGATGCCGTCGCGGCAGAAGCCACGTCGACGTTGGTTGTGGGGAAATTGAATGGCAAGGTCTTCATCCCAGCACTTCTTCCATAGTTGCAAAGCACCGACTGTTGAGCGAAGCTGATTCTGTACTTGTTCGTTGACTCCGTTAGGTGGTGTGGCTGGGCTTCCACCCTGAGACTGAGGCGTGCTTGTACCGCTTGATGTGTTGCGTTGGAGAAGCTGACGTTGGATATTGTAGATTTGGGCGTGGATAGCATGGATGAGAACTGGCAGCTGTTAGAACCCCGTGGGAAGAGGAAAGTGGAAGGGAATGTGAGAGCTTACTGAATTTTCCAAAGACATTAGTAGCCCGCTCAGGGAATTTCCCTGGGCAGGCTCCATTGAGTACACATAATGCTTCAGACAAGGCCAACTGCTTCGCTCGCCTGCTTCCGGACTCGTTGACAGCCTGCGCCGCTACTCCTCTCAAACCCAGAGCATTGGCACAGTCTTCTGAATTCTTCGCCTCCCAAGCTGCATCGTCAGCAGGCAAAGGCACGTTGATATTTTTGGCGTCGAATCTGGGATGGGTGTTGAAGTATATGGTCGAGGAGGCGTCGATCAAGTAAATGTATGCCGTCAACCTAGCCCGCTTCTCATTCTCAATCCAGCTGTTCCAGTTCCAAGAGTCGACTTCGGCGCCTGTTACCGGTCCCGGCTGGTGCAATGCGCTCGCGTTCGGGTTGTCGGGGGGCAGAGGTTGGAAGAGAGCAGCACAACGGGTGACGTTGGCCAGCGCGCGCATTTCATCTCGCACTTGCTGACGCTGCTGTTGTGACCCGTGCCATAAAAATTGAGAGTGAAGCAAAACCAGCGCTTGTATTTCTTCGGTAGTACCAGGCAATTGGTGATCAAGATCAGCCATTTGATGCACCTGTGCCAATTCATACACTCGACTGGATCTCAATACACTCTCCCGAACGCGCTCCATCAGCCACCGGACATCCGACGGACCCATTTTGTCAGAGTAAACAGCACCAAGACAACACATTGCTAGCACAAGCCCAGGGTTGGCGGAAAACGGATCAAATGTTGCAATGTGTATCAGGGGCCAGTGTGAGTGATAGTGTCTGTATTCGTGTAGGAAATCCTTTACGTTGTCTCCCGTTAAGATATTTTTGAGTGCTTCGTGGGCGAAGTCCTCTCCTGATTGATTTGGCAGCACAGACTCATTCGGAAAGCAAAAATTCACCAGCGAACGAGCCAGGTTGTGGAGAGGATCAGACGTGGCAGGTCCAATAAACCAGTTGTCAATCATTGGGGAAGAGTCGACCAAGCCGGGAGCATGCGAGTATAGTCCGAACAAAGTATCATTTGGTGTATCATCTGAGGTCTAAAAGTTCCGGTCAGAACTGGGCGGCTTTTTGAAAGGATGGGCCACCTGCCGTACTGGAATTATTCATATCGCCGTTGAACGATCCGTTCCGCCATAGCGAGCCATCCTGGCCGTTGTTCATGCCGTCCACGTTGGGCAGTGTCGAAACTCCGTACGAGGTTGACTCACCGGCCTCGCTCTTCACCGGCATGCCGTTCTGCGGTGCCATGGAGCCGTTGGAACCATGGTCGTAGCTGTAGTGGGTGCTAGGATCCGACCCGTTGCTGGTAGCTTGGGGTGGTTGTTGCTGCTGACCATAGCCATTGGGGACACCATCCGGACGATAATCGTTGAAGTTCATCCTCGCGCTCTGGAAGTCCATGGCGGAGATGCTCCGGCGATGGGCGCTGTCCTCGACGCCACTGCTAGGGCGCATCAAGCTGTTTGAGCGCGATGTGCGTGCAGACATGCTCTGGTGGTTGAGCGAGGGCAAGTTGTCGCTAAAGCCGTTGCCGCCCATGGCAGGCATCTGCGGTAGGCCCATTGTGTAACCACCGGCATCGGCGTACGACATGTTGTTCGCCCCGATGTGGTTCAGGTACGAGTTTTGCTCGGCGCCACTAGGCTGTCGGTTCTTCTGCAAATGTTGCTGCGCGTGCTGCAGGTGGTTTGCGCCCGTCGGGTTGCCTCGCCTTATGGAGCACTTTTGGAAGTGGCGCTTGAGGATATCACTCCTGCTGAACGTGTCCTTGCACAGATGGCATTGGTACGGTCGCTCACCGGTATCTGGAAAATCTCATTAGCTAGCGCTGACAGCAAGGGCAATGAACTTACGGCGCAGAAGATGGCGCTTCAAATGTTTCAAGTGAAGGTAGGTTTTGTTGCAGTGAGGACACTCGTACTTGCCCTCTGCGTTCTTGGTTGCAGCAGTGGGCGTCTTGCCTGCTGCGGGCGCGGGCCTACCAGGGTGCGTAGGCAGGACTCCGCGGCGGCCTTGCTGACCGACAACGTGCACCGGCTCAGGCTCTTGGTTGGGAAGCACAGGCGTGTGTGTGTACATGGACGCGTGTCCCAATCCCATGCCTGGCGAAGGGCCGAGCTGGTGGGTGTTGGAGTGGGCAGCTGCAGTGGACAGCATGGGCGCCTGTGAGTAGGCCGAAGTCATGGGCAGGTATGAAGGCGTGGGCTGGAGAGGTCGCAGCGGCGGGTGCTGCAGCGGCGGCATCGTGGAGCTGCCATTAGAGGCAGAAGTCACGGGGGTATGCGGCGGCTGGGGAGTGTGAGGGTTGCTGTTGTGGCCGTACATGGGCTGATACTGGCCGGCGCTCTGCAGAGGCGGCAGCGTGGGCAGCTGGTTCTGCTGGCCATTGTACTGCTGGCCTATTGACGGGTAGTTGCCGAGACCAGGCTGGCGAAAGCGGTCGGCGCTGTCCATGATATAGTGGATGGTGGGTCGTCGTGGTTTGGTGTAGTGATGGGGAAGGCGCAACCCAATTGTGGTTCGTAAAGGCAGCATCCCGAGGGAGCTCAGAGCGGAGAAGGTTTAGTAACGGCTGGCTTTGCACACCAAGAGGGCCGTTTGACTGACGTCGGAGTGGGTGAGGGATGGGCAGGTCGGACAGAAGCTTTACAGGTGGATCCGTGTGGGGGACACTGCAATGGAACAGTCGATGCAGATGCAGGATGCGCGTCAGCGGGAGCTCCACGGATGGGTGGAATTCAGGTGCCCACAAATGGGTGAAGAATACAGTGGTGATGGGGGAAGTGTGGCGACGACTTGAATTGAAAAGAGATGAGCCGTGACGATGAGTTTCTCGCGCGCAGCACTAGTAGGTTGCGGCGGTGGTTTGCCTGGCTCGCGCGGCAATTCACGCGAAGGGACAAGGGACTGCTGCAGATCGGCGGCCCACTCACCCTTCAGCCTCAACCGATTGATTGCGGAACGGCCAAGTGGAGAGGTGTGAGCACGAGGCAGGTACGCGGAAGAGACCCACGACGTGAAGTCGGCGAGTGCTTGGGGGGGGGGATAGTTGGGGGAGGGGAAAGAGGAGTGTCGGGGTAGTAAGAGGTGCGGGCGGAAGAAAAAAAATGAGAGTCGTGGTAGTGACGGTCGTCGGCAGGCGATAGCTGATTCCGCGCGCTGCTGTATGCCGGAGCTTGCCGGAGTGCGTTTGTTGGAATAAGTTGAGCAGCAAAGAATATGCAGCGACTTTTGTGGGTAAGACGAGGGGGACGGGGATGTCGGGGAGACGGAAGACGGAAGACGCGCACGAAGTTTTGAACAGGGAGATGTCGCGGCAAGCGCGTCGGTGCTCTCGGGATGGGTCAGTCTGCAGAGGCGTTACAGAATCGGGGTTGAGGTGAGTTTAGTTGGGAGTAGGGTAGGTAGGTACAGGAAGGATGCAGGCGCAGGCGACGACGGGGACGACTAGCGGGCACACACGTGATATGTGATATGATGACTTTTTAATTCCAAAATCTACTACTACTACTACTACTACTACTACTACTACTACTCCTACCACGGTATGCAGCAAAGGCGGCAGCCATGGTGTCTTGTTCGCCAGGCCGTCACCCCTCTGCATTGGAGCGCGTATGCGCCGCCGTTCAGGAAAAACCATTACCAATGACGACAGGCGCTCGTATGCTAACGGGCCAAGGCCCCAATTACATGCGGCTGCACCAGGCCCTGAGTCGTGCGCAGAGGTCCGCCGGTATCGAACCATGCTGGTACGGTCGGTCAGTACGGGTAGACGAGCAGAGTGAAGAGAAGGGTACGGCGGACTCGCACAGTTTCACCCTTAATCGATAAGAGCAAGAGCCTCACTCCTACCTACAGTACCATGTATTCGCCTTCGCTACTGCCGACAAGCTGCAAACACCATGACGGCTTTCTAATTGATTACTCATTACTACATTATTGCTCGTATGCGGGCGGTCCAAGTGACTTGTCAGAGCCCATGTTGTCGGTAAAGGGCAACGAGGGCGAGCCAGTGCCAGCAACAAGCAACTCATCCGAGCTCTCAAGCCGGGACAGCGGCCGAGCTTTTTTTTCTTCAAGTCACTGGCGGCTGTGGCTTGCGGCTTGCTGGCTAGGGCGTTATTTCCGCCGATGAAACTGACCGCGTCCGGTGAGGGCATTCGCTATTTCTGCATGGCCTCGCCCAAGGTTTCCCATGGGCGGCCGATCAAAGCTCAAGAGTGACAGCAGCAGTGGCTGTTTCGGGAGCTGACGCTGGTCGTCCATGGGCGACGGACGACGAGGCCGGGGGTAAGAGGAAAAAGAGAAAAAGTTTGTCGAGCGTGACGTACGTGCGGCCCAGAGCGGACTACGGCGCAGCTGGGATGCCCTTGACCGCACATGCAACGGCGTCCGCTAAATCTTCGGCCCATCACCATGGTCGTGCAGCTGTGCAACCCTCGAATGAAACGTCAAGTCTTGAAACTGGCCTCTTCGAGAAGGCTGCCCTCTCCAGCCTGGCAGGTCGAGGCGCATTGCTTTCAAATCGAAACAGGCCATGCTGCACGACGACACGACCAGAGGGAACAGCAATGCGCGACGTGTCCTTGGCCGCCAACGCCCCCAGCACAATATTGTTGAACCTCTAGCCCGGCCACTCAGCGTGCATATCGTGACTGACGTGACGCAGTTAGCGTTGAAAGCCGCCATGTATAGAAATTTAGCACCTGCTTGATGCCGACGCTGAATGACACTGGAAGCGGCATGCCGTCGCCCCGGCTGACTCGACAGCCGCACAAGACTGCTTGCACAAAAGCCTCGCTTGAAGCCTTCCGATGTTTGACGCTGCAGTCTTGGCAGATAGCAGCCACCCTTTGCGGAAGAAATGGCCGAAGACGACTCGGCATCCACTACTGACGACGATAGTCATGACAAGGGTAACCGACGTCGCTATTTGAAAAGTCGCAACTGCCGTTACGTTAGGGAGTAGGGTAGGGAGTAGGTTAGGAGTGTAAGCTTGAGTGGCCTAGGATGAACCCCACGTGTTGGTAGGGTACCAAACGGCTTCTTTGCCAGCGCCTACTTCTCCTGTCTGTGCTCTCGCAATCGCATCCAGGGCAGCAGTGGTGCTCAGTGCGCAGTGCAAGTGCTTAACCAGCGCAGCCGATGACGGACCTCTCGCACGCCAACTAGGCCCCCTGGGGCGGCGTCGCTGTACACGCAACACTTTTCGCAACATGCAAAGGTCACAATCTCGCTCTCGCGCCTTGCTCTTGCGCTGGCAGCCAGCATTGCCAGCGTGGAAGTCGGAATAAGCTCCAGTCCCACTCGCGGTTGCGCTCCCGCATCTGGGTGTGGATGATACCCGAAGGTGGGCTTCAAAGTGGGCTTCCGCTTGACGAGCTGCCGTGATTCCCAAGGCGGCAAGACCGGCGACACACCAGGCGGGATGGGATATGTCGTGCAGCAGCCATCTGACCCGCCAAAGCGCCCGTGGCTTGCCCAAGAATGCACTGCCTGTGTTTCAACCGACTCTCTCGTGAGGCCGCGCCGCCGAGAAAAGGACCGGTGAGGCGCTGGTCCAGGGCCCCGATGTCGAGATGGATGTGATGGACCGGCCAGCTGGTGCTGCTTTGCCCGGTCCGGAAGTACAGTTCCGACCCTGCTCCATGAGACGTCTCGAACTCGTTGCGAAGAAGCGAGTGAGGCGTCGACCAAGCTCTCCAACTCGTCGCTTAAGCTCTAATTTCCGACCATGCTGGTAAGGAGATGAAGTCAAAGAGACCAGTGTGCCAACAATCAAATCCCTCTGCATGACGAGTCTAGATGCTACACAAGTTGCAAGAACCGTTTCTGCAACAAAAAAACAAAAAAATCAATACTACGTACCAGTACCAACGATAATGCCACGGGACGTTTGCATCCTTGCTTTTCCACACATGCCAGGTACAATTGAAATGCGGAGAACGGGGCTGTTGTCAGATTGCGCCTGCTTTTTGCTGGCTGGTAGCTGGTTCCACAACGCAAACCGTTGGAACTGGCAAGGCACACCGGTCAGCTCCTGGCGTGCTACCAGTTGCCTTGTGCTTGTGCTTTGCCCACCCTAATCGCGCATGCAAGACCCTGAGATGGATGACGCAAGAATTACAAAACTCCTTTTGAGCGGGACTGTCATTTCTTAGCCGCGCATGTTGCCTGTGCCTGCACATTCTAGAAGCAGAACAAGTGTCTTGAAAGCAGTCATGACAAAAAGTGGAGTCGTGTAGAAGCTTCATCCATCACGCCACACGTGTGATTTTGTGTTTGTAGAAATTTCGCGACTGCTGTGGTAAGTAAACGCTGATGCGTCATGTTTTCAGGTGAGGAATGTAGAGCTAGAGCTAGAGCTAGAGCTTTCTAGAAACCTCAGGTATGCCCAGGCAGAAAACCTCCATCAAGACAGATTTGTCAACATCTAAACGCATAAAACGTGGTTGGAAAAGCATATTTATTCGCATGGCTTCAGCATCATCTCGTCTTCTGAAATCAATAAACTTCTCTTGCGCCGCCGGACGTTTTCTACACCGCGAGTACACACACACATCACCACGCGCCTTCCAATCCACACCAACACCAACACCACCCGCGCAATGTCCACCTCCACCTCCACCTCCACCTCCACCGCCAAATCCCCAGCAGAAACCCCCCAACAAAACCCTCCCTCCCCCTCCTCATCACAAACCCCCCTCCCCCTCCCCCCTCTTCCCACAGACCTCGACCCCACCACCATCACCACCACCCTCCCCGTCGGCGGCGACGCCGTCAAACTAGATAAACTAGGCCCCCTCGTCGTCAACAAAGACGGCACACTATCGCGCATTGCGAATTGGGAGCAAATGGCGGATATTGAACGGGCGAATACGCTGAGGATTTTGTGTAAGAGGAATATGCTTAGGAGGGAGGATTTGGAGAGGAAGGGGAGGGCTGGGGAGGGGGGGTAGATGGGAGGGGAGGGTTGAGTAAGGGGGTTGAGTGTGGATTAGTGTGATGAGGAGGAATATCTGATGGGGTGGATTTAGTGATGAGCGTAAAGGGAGATGGATTCATGGATTCGGTCTTTTTCACTGCATTGGGATGGGACATGTTTGCAAACGCTGGACTGGTATTACGGGTCGCATCTATACGTCTCTTGCACGATATTGAAAATGGAATCATGGTATTACGGTATTCTAGTCTTTCCACGATATTGAATCGGAATATGGTTCACGGTATTCAAATCTTTCCATATCGAAAATGGAATATGCTATCACGTTACTTCATGTCACCAATCTACATGTGAATTCTTCATCGGATAATGCAGCTTCTACTATATACAAACATGCTCAACTTTCATCTACGGCTTCTGAGTAGACGTATGTGTCGCACGCTCAAAGTAACTCCATTGGCCCTCTGGTGCTGGCTCCTCCAATGGCTCCCAGCTGTATCATGTTAGTCCAACCCAAATATCGTAACCATGTGACGACTACTTACACCTTGGCTGCAACCATGGCATCCACGAGCTTGTGCTCACCCTCGGCAACCTGGATGACTTCCTCAATCAAACCTGCGCCAAGCCTGTTCTCCAGCTCCGAGATGCTACTCATGTCAGCTTTGTCTCAAAATCAAAAACACACGTCAACGTACGCCTCAGTAGTGTACTTGGGCTCTGGGTCAAACTTGATATCCGCCAAGACGCGCTCGTTGCTGTAGTTGGAGGCACCCTTCATCTTTTTGGCAGAGGGTAATCGCTCCTTTGCTGATCGGATTCCCTCGGGCATGCTCTGCAGTGGCTCTCCATCCCACTCTGCCCGCCTTGATCGAGCATCTACCTCGGCCTCATTGGGCATCATGACCGTTGGTCCGGCCGACGTGTTGACAAATTGGTATCGATCGGGGTCCTCGCTAACTTGCAACGTGATCTTCTCCTGCCATGCGTCCCATCCTACAGGCTTGGTCTGCTCAACGATGGCGAGACGGTGCTTGGTCAGAGCTTCGGTCGACTGGCGGTAGACGGACGATTCGGGAATCTTCTTGAGCTTGTCGAGCGTCGAATTGTAATGGTACAACAGGGTTGAGCGCGGCGACGGGTGGGTGAGAAGGCCTGTGAGACCCGTCGGGGTGCCGGCCTCGAGGTATTGGCCGGGCTTGACGCTGGCGAAGAGGCGTGCAGCTGCCCTCATGATTTCGCAAGTGTGGTGAATGTGGGGTTGGGGCGCAATGGGTGGATTGGTGTGGTGATGCCGTCAAAGATGCGGCTCGCCAAGCTATGTGGAGCCGGACGGCGATCCAGACTAGTCAAGTTTAAGGAACCATCGTATGCACATTCGCGCCACGATAACCCATTCACTCACGAGGTCGCACTCTGACCACTTTGCTGTCAGCGGCCCCCTTTTAATCCCTTCCACCTAGAATACCACCCATCAATTGCGATACTACCCGACGATCAACCCCCAAATTCAAACTAGACACGAGAGATCGCCTACATAGGCACCCCGCCACCTGCGCCGCGATGCGCTCCCTACTGTATAGCCTGCTGTCGCTGGCGACGGTCGCTTCTACATTCGCTGCAGAGACTCCGAGTGCGAAACCCACGGCCAAGAGCGATGGCTGGGACGATAGTGTTCCCGAGACGACATTCAACGGCGAAAAGGTGCCGCCAATGATCGAGTTGACACCCGAGACCTTTGACAAGGAAGTCAGTAAAGGCAACTGGTACGCAAATCTGGGATATATTCATGGAAAAATACTAACCCCGTCCAGGATAGTCGAGTTCTTCTCACCCTATTGCGGACACTGCAAGAAGTTCAAGTCCACCTACCAGACCGCTTACGAATTCTACTACACGTCGACACCCTTCCTATCCAAAGACGAGCCCGAAGGCGATTCGCTAAACTCGTTTACACGCTACTACGACTTCAAGTTTGCCAAGGTTGACTGCGTTGCCTACGCCGACCTCTGCAAAAGGCAAGACATCCAGAACTTCCCGTCCTTGATCTATTACCAAGACGGAAAGAACAAAGAAAAGCAAACAGGCGCCAAGGAGCTCAAGGCACTGAGCAAATGGATTGAGAAGCTTTTGGAAACGCTGCGTCCAGGCACGCGGAAGGAGGGTGGACCCAAGCTTCCAAAGGTTGGCGCCAGTTCAGTCGAGACTGGACCTGAGTCCAAGGAGGCTGTAGAAGAAGAAAAGAAAGAAAAGGCCGAGGAAAAGAAGACGGAGGAGGCAAACAAGGTTGCGAGTGCGGGTGCAAGTGCGAGTGCGAGTAAAAGTGCCTCGCCTGCTTCCTCTTCCACACCCACCAAGGCCGCAACAGCTCCTGCAAAGGTCAAGCCTAGCTCCAACGCGAATCCATCTGGCCTTGTCGAGGTGCTGACGGTGGAGAAATTCGACAAGCTCGTTACAACTACACTCGACCCCTGGTTCGTCAAGTTCTACGCCCCATGGTGCCACCATTGCCAGGCCCTTGCCCCGACCTGGGCGAACCTGGCACGTCAGATGAAGGGGAAGCTCAACATTGGAGAAGTCAACTGCGATGTGGAGAAGAAGCTCTGCAAGGATGCAAAGGTCCGCGGCTACCCCACTATGCTCTTCTTCCAAGGTGGCGAGCGCATCGAGTACGGCGGACTGCGTGGGCTAGGTGACTTGCTTGACTACGCTGAGAAGGCGTCGGCCATTGGTGCTGGTGTGCCTGATGTGAACGCCCAAGAGTTCAAGAAGATGGAGGAGACTGAAGAAGTCATCTTTGTCTACTTCTACGACCACGCGACCACGAGTGAAGACTTCCAGGCGCTGGAGCGACTTCCGCTCAGCTTGGTCGGACACGCTAAGCTAGTCAAGACAAACGACAAGGCCATGTTTGAACGCTTTAAGATCTCTACTTGGCCCCGATTGATGGTCTCAAGGGATGGAAAGCCTACCTACTACCCTCCAATGACGCCATTCGAGATGCGTGACGTCAAGAAGGTCCTCATCTGGATGAAGACGGTGTGGCTGCCGATTGTACCAGAGATGACCTCTTCGAATGCTCGCGAGATCATGGACGGCAAGATGGTCGTTCTGGGTATACTCAACCGAGAGCGCTCAGACGAATTCATCCTCTCCAAGCGCGAGCTGAAGAGCGCCGCCCTCGAGTGGATCGACAAGCAGGAAACGACATACCAACTAGAGCGCCAAGAGCTTCGTGACGCAAAGCAGCTCCGCATCGAGGAAGCCGAGGACAAGGATGACGAGCGTGCGCTAAGAAACGCAAAGACGATTCGCATCAACATGGACGAGATTCCACGTACACAGGTGGCGTTTGCGTGGGTCGATGGAATTTTCTGGGAGCGCTGGATCAGAACCACCTACGGCATCGACGTCAAGGACGGCGAGAGTGTCATCATCAACGATGAAGATGTAAGTATAGCGCAGAATCCACTTGACATTGCTAATAACAAAACTAGAACCGACGTTACTGGGATAAAACAGTCTCCGGTGAGCCCATCCGCCTCAGCCGCGCCGCTATCCTTGAAACCATCAAAATGGTGACTGCCAACCCACCCAAGATCACGCCCAAGTCCACCACTGGCCGCTTCATGGGCACCTTTTTGTCCATCCGCCACTTCATCAACGGCCACCCCTTCATCTCGCTGGGCTTGTTTGTCGGCTTCTTCACCGCTATGACGCTGTTTGGCAAGTCAAGACGCAGGCGACAATTCGGAAGCACAGGTTCGTACTTTCAGCTCGGCGAGAAGGATGGTCTGCTGGGTGGCATGGGTAATGGAGGCTTTGCTGGTGGTGCGAAACATGATTGAAGTTGGCGTCATTGCATACATGGTATGGCGTGCTTTTGCGCTATATCATTGTGGCGTTTTTGGGGTTTGGGTTCGCGGGTTGTGTATCGTATACATTTTTCAGCTCCAACCTGTTCGTGTAGGTGTTTTTTGTCATACTACTACTATACTACATGTGTACTTATCTGTAAATGCATGTCACTGCTGTCGTTTTACTGGTTGTTGGAATTTTTAGTCTCCTACATAACCCACGTGTCTACGCGCGCGGTGGTGCATGTTCCCCACGCGTTGTTCTTGTTGCCCCACTATATACCCCTCCACGTCCTTGCTCTACTTACGTGCGTCACTTCCCAAAGTCAAACTTTTTACTTTTCTGGTAGCGGGTTCTTTCTTGTACTACTACTACTACTACAAACAACGTCCAATCCATTCAGAATCAGGGCTCTTGCGTGCACACGGTTGGGACAAAGGATCCGCGATAGCTACTGCTACGACATCAAGCTTCAAGATTCAGCCGCAAGATTCAGCTCGCATTTCAGCTGCAGATCCAAGACTTCACGCGACGGATTCGAATAACGACAGACGGGTACCTGTTCTCGCCGTCCCTCGTCGCCCTCTCCGCGTCTGTACACGACCCTCGCACCCATAATCCCATCACCACCACCACCACCTACCAACACTCCACTCCACCCCACACCCACCTCCAAAATGACATCCAACATAACCCTCTCAACCCTCCCCTTCATAACCCGCGAAACCCTCGCCTCAAAACTCAAACCCAGCCCCTCCCCTACCCCCCCTAACACCACCACCCCCTCCATCGCCATAATCGACGTCCGAGACTCCGACCACATCGGCGGCCACATAAAGGGTAGCACATGGATCCCCAGCTCAACACTCGAGTATAAAACCCCTGAACTAGTGCGCACACTGAAAGATAAAGATGTTGTTGTTTTTCATTGTGCGTTGAGTCAACAGAGGGGGCCTGGGGCGGCGTTGAGGTATTTGAGGGAGAAGGAGAGGTTGGGTGTGCTTGGGGGGAAGGCTGGGGGAGAGGGAGAGGGGGGGAAGGAGAAAGATGGGGGGCAGAGGGTTTATGTACTCAAAGGTGGGTTTACGGAGTGGCAGGAGAAATATGGGGAGGATGGAGAGTTGACGGAGGGGTATGAGAGGGATGTTTGGGAGTTTGGGTCGTAGGGGGAGGGGGGGTTTTGATGGATGGGTGGGTGAGGGAGGGGAAGATATGAGAGGATGGGGGACACAGGTATTCATTTTCTCATGAAGTGGACAACATGACGCTTTCATAGCGAAAAGATCCCGCGAGTTGCGTTGACTAAGTATACAAGTCCAGAGACACACTTCCATCTTATATACACGAAAAAACGGTAAAAGCAGCTTTTGTTCCACCACGAAAACTCATTTTTACCACATCTCGCATATAACAAGAGGCGGACGGCATGCATCAAGCCTACACATAACCCCCACTCCAATCGAAACAAGTGATTTTTAACCTCCCCGTCTTTCCCACCAAGCGAGAGGTTTAAGACGCTATCCCTCGCGACTCTACGTACCTCTCTCAAGTAAGCAAAACATCATGTTTATCCACTACTCAGACACCTACCTACCAGGAGTCAGGGAGCTCCACGTAGGTAGGTTATTTACATCGATAGTGGTATACCGTAGTGGCAAAAAGACGCGGTCAATGTTTATACACTTACCAACTGTAGATCAACAACACAAATTCTATCGGTGATTATCTTGTACAACGCAACACGCTCCTTTCCACTCGTACACGACGTCGTCGTATCGGTATAAACACATTTCCACACGTTTCACAGAATTTTTATACACGTATGCCTTGATTGAACGAATGATTCATCCTAGTTCGCAGCATTCTACAAGCCTTACGCCCTATTTCCCCTCTTCACCAAACAAATCCTTCTCAACCATCTGTCTACAAATCGGATGATAAAACTCCCTATTCCTCTCAAACGTGGCAACCGCCAGTTGGCGATCCGCCTCATTCAGCAGCCTAAACATTGGTCTTACAAACTTCATTCTTCCAATCTTGCCTAGTAGTTCTGCTGCGGGGGTATACGTTTCTTTCGCCTTGGCCATGAGACCAATGTTGAGGTAGCGCGACAGCACCTCGATGTTCTGCGTAGTGGCGTAGCCGTAGGTAGCGCCGAGCAAGTGGACGTTTTCGGGGGAGAAAGTAGTGGCGAAGGATTGGAGGCGTTCGAGGAAGACGACGGATTGGTTGGAGACCCAGCCGTCGATGTCGGAGGGTTGGGGGGTAAAAGTGCTGGAAGTGCTGGAGACGGAGGAAGCGGCGACGAGAGCTTGCCATTTGTCGGCGAGTTCGTAGCAGCTCTTGACCATGGTTTGGTCAAAGTCTGGTTTAACGGGGTATCCGGGCGCGTAGAAGAGCTTGTCCCAGTCGAACTCCTCAAGCTTCTTCCTGCTGTCTGCGTCGTTGGCGAAGAAATCGATTAGGCAGCTTTTGAAGTCGTACGAGTCTACGCTTTTGAACTTGAACGTGTCAAAGTAGTGGGGGATGAAGGAATCCCACTTGTCCTTGCCAAGGAGTAGCTCGAATTGGTACAAGGCGTGGAAGCCCTTTTCGTAAGGGATCGACGAGAAGGCGTCATCTGGATCCTGGCCCTTGAGGTCGAGCACGAGTTTGGTGTAAGGGTGGTCGGCCCCATAGTTCTCGATGCTTTGTTCGAGCGCTTTCCACCCGATGATGGCGGAGAAGTGGCGATGTGCTTCTCCGTGGATGGCCGCAGCGATCCTACGCTCCAGGTACGTGGTCCATCCCTCGTTGAGCCAGAAATGCTCCCAGCTGGCTGCGCTGACGAGGTTGCCAGACCACGAGTGAGAAAGCTCGTGTGCAATGACATCGACGTTCTGCTTGTCTCCGGAGATGATGGAGGGTGTGGCATAGGTCCAAACAGGGTTCTCCATGCCTCCGTATGGGAAGGATGGGGGTAGAATGAGCACGTTGTATTGTCCCCATTGGTAGGTTGGCGAAACGATGGACTCAAGAGCTTTCATGAATGGTTCAATCTCACCGTCTAGTTCGCGTTGGCATGAGAGAAGTTCTTCAGGGCCGGACCATACCGTGCTGCGAGGACCAATGCTAGCACACGCGAGATCACCACTTGCGATGGCGAAGAGATAGACCGTCATGGGAACCTTTTGCTCAAACGTGTACTTCATCGTTCCACTCTCGCCGTCCTTCTTGGGAGGTTGGTAGTCGCTTGCTCCCGTTGGCAAACCAGAGGCAAGAACGGGTAGTGGTGAGCGCAAAGCGAAGCTAAAGGTCGACTTGACATCTGGAGTATCCTGGCAAGGGAAGACGGATCGCGCATGAATGGCTTGGCACTGAGAGAACATGTACGGGTGCTTTTTGTTAGAAGTCTGAGCAGGCGTCATCCACTGGAGCGCAGTGCATTTGTCGGTGGTTGCGACCTTGATCTCAACATCGATGGTTTTGCCTTTGGCAACGTTGGAAGGGAGTGTAATGGTGAGCGGACTGCCATATGGTTCCACTCTGTCACCCACGGTGAACTGAACGCTTTTTCCATCGATCTCCACCACGGAAATATCCAGAAAGCTGGAGTTGTCAGTAGGACTCATAGCCATGTAGTTCCAAGCACGTACCTAGAATCCAGCACAACCTCCCTAACATCCTCATCCGTCAAAGACTCCAGACTCAACACCACACTCCCAAACAACCGCTTCCCCTTGAAATCAACATCAAAGTCCACGCTCGTATGTCTCGTGACAAAGTTGTGATAATTAGACAACGTATTAGGATCCCTTGGTGTGCGGATCTCAATATTCGGGTCCACCATTGGCCGTGTCACCATGGCGGCGGGGGAGCGATGCATCGTTGCGAAGAACCGACCAGGATGGGAGATTGTTGTTGTTGCAACGGAGTATGTCTTCTGGTGTTGGTGTTGGCGCTGCTGTATTGGAGTAGAAGAGGGGCACGGGGAAGATGTTGGCGTGGTTAGGTATCGAGATCGGAGTGGAGTGGCTTCATATGCCGATCGATGCCGCAGCGGAGCGAGAGTAGACCGCCTGCCTAATCCAAGTGCACATCTGACCAGCATCACTCGACTTTTGCACCTTCTCGGTTTGGATGGCAAAGATGGACGATTCAGGCAAGGACGGTGACGGGACACTACGGCGGGTCTATCTCGCTTGATCTCGTCGAGGCGCACGGTCTTCGGCGATCAGATGAAGAACACTGCTCGTAGTCATCACGGGCATATTTACGCCATGTGAAAGTTGGAGCCTTACGACATTTACGCCAAAGTTACAGGGGTTGATTGATATATAAATCACTGCATTACCCAAATCTATGGATGTTCAGCCCATCTTTTCCGAGAGCTATCAAAATAATGAAGCTACTACAGCTAATATCAACACCTAAGACGCCGCGACGCCAATGCCTCTATTGATTCAATCCTTCTTACTACCATCGCCTTTTCTCGTTCTATCTCTGAGAACAAGATTGAAATCCGGTCTTGCGGATTGATACTGCTGTGTAGATCTGGATACAGAACGCTCCGTAGATGCCATGGTCTCTTCTGCTCTCGACCTGCCCCTGTCTCTCTCATCATCCCCAATTTCGAACGCGTCATCTCGCAGTTCAATCAGGTCATTCAGGTCGCCACCAACCGCACCAAGCACGGGTACAGCGCTGCGTTTCCCCTGCCCTGGTGTTCCGGGTTCGTTTAGAAGTTTCTGCGCCTGTGTACCGACTTTCCTAACCCAGCCTTCTATGGCACCTCCAAGTTCCTGGAAATCCAAGCCAGTGCCGCTGAGTGGGGTGACGGCGCCGGATCCGCCATATTGACTCGACGTTCCTGCGCCTGCATCCAGCAAGCTCGGCGCCCACGGCGTGAAATACTCTTGCCCAGGTGGAGGTGCCATATTGGGCAAGTATTGAGCAAACTTCTTGTTGAGGCTATCCTGCGCAGGTCCTGGACATCTCACGTTCTTCCCCATTGTACCCACGCCTCCTGGGCCATGCAGGCCCCACGCCTGGCCCGACGTGCTCCGTTGACGACTTTGCATTGAGGCAGACGAAAGATTACTCGATGCGCGCGGTCGGACAGACTGCGAAGGAGAGCTTGTGAGTGGATTCGTGGAGGTGGATGAGCGAGGTAGGTCGACGGACGGTCGAGGTGTGGAAGCGTCAGAATAGACAAGGGACTTCCGCCTTGCAGGTGGAAAGAAGCCCAGAGCTCTACGTGGCAGACGGGCAATTTGAGTAGGCTGTGTGTCGTTAGGAAGTAGTACCCAAGAATCATGCTTCCATGGGGCCTCGGCATCTGAAGAAAGGTTGGAGACTGTATCCTGGTCCTTTTTCTTTGGAGTGGTCCAGCCATTCGGAAGACCTTGGGTATCTGAAGACGGGGCCTTGCTGCTTGAACTGTCGCCAAATTCTCCAATTATCAGATCCTCGGCAGGAGCAGCGTCTGGCCCAGGGACCGGCCGACCCTTTACCCCACAAGCATCCACTGGCAAGACTATCTCCTTCTTGATCTGTATGCTATCGTTTGGCCACATGCGGTTTGCTTTGCGTAAAACAGCCTGCTGGCAGTTGTACTTGATACTGAGTCCAGCCAGCGTGTCCTGCGGCCGGACATGGTGGATGTACACTAGTGCATCTCGGTCCTCGTTCTCACCCGGAGGTACGGAAACACTCGTCTGGTCGTCTGAATTTCTCCGCTTTATACGGCCTATGGAATCCGATATCATGTGCTCGTTAGCGGTCAAGAGGTCCTTGCGCTTCATTGCCCGAACCAGGGCCTCCCTTTCCTCATGTGTGCCCGTGCCAACATGCGAGTCTGCCCCTTCCGGGCCCCAGTTCTTTGGCGGCGGTGCGCTTGTAGACGTTCGCCGTCCATGTCCGGGTTTTCTCCTGCGAGTCGTGGCAGAGTCTCCCGTGTCATCATTCGCCAAGACGGTCGCTGCAATGCCCTGGATAGCCGACCACGAATTCCCCCATAGCCCGGACAGTGTCTGCGAAGGCGATTTCGGGGTCCATGTACCTGATGGTCTTTGGAAAGAGGAAAAGGGTGTAGAAGTGACGTTAAGGCGCGAGGAAGAGCCAGCGCCTATGCGTGCGTTTGGAGTAGGAGATGGATTCCGCGAGCCTAGCCTCGATGTGCCCCTACTCGCTCCGCCATCACTACCATCAGTCGCGTAGATGTCGTCTTCCACTGAGATCAGTCGCTTAGTTCGGGGGCGCAGCGTCGAGTTGCTCTTTGAAGTGGACAGCGAGGAGCCATTGGAGGGGTTCATGGCATGCGGAGGCCTGGCGGAGTGGGCAAAGGTGGTGCTGCATGGGCCAAGTGATTGTCGTGGTCGGGAAGCTGCATGACACAGGGTTATGGACACATTGTGTGGGTGTCAGGAGCGAGAGCGGAGGCGTGATGTATGCTAGGATGTCTGAGGGTTCAATAGCTGGGGAAGTACGTAACCCAAGTATGCCGGGCCCCTTCCTTCAAACGAGGCCGTGCACTATGCCGCGCAACCGTCCAACACAAGATGCCAAGTCACTAGACACAATTTTTACTTTGCATTCAGATGAATTATGTACGTAAGTGATTGTCGCTAACCCTCTCACCGCACCGTGACGGCGTGACGACTTCTGCCTCGGATGCGCGACGATAAGGACAGATAACGACTAGCTTGGACATGGTGGGATGACCCCAGGACCGTCTCGAACCTCAACATCTAAAAGCAATTCCCAAATATGTGTACAGATTCCACGCAGATCATGAGTCGTTAGAATACAGATGTAAATCCGAGAGATTCGCAGCCACATTACGCCCGTCATCGAAAAGGACTCGAGCTTGTCGTTGCAGTCACATCTTCAAACTCTAGCTCAAAGGCATCCACTTCTGCAAACTTCTTGCGGATGGCTTCTAGCTTCTCTGAATGCTCAATTGCGGAGACTTCGGTAGTTTCGGCATCACCCTGACCTGCCTTGTCGTTCTCCTTGTCCGACGAGATTCTTCGACTATAGGTTTTGCTTGCCTTTTGCGCGGCTTTGGATGCTGCCTTCTTCCCGCGGGTAGGCTTCTTTGTCGCTTTTGGTGATGCGAGCTTTCCTGCCGCTTGTCGTTGACGAACCCGCCGCTCTGGCATTTGCAGTTCGTCCTCGTCTGAGTCAACTTGTTCAATGTCGTCCGAAGACACGACATCAAACTCATCACGATCCCGATAGCGATTGCGTCGGCGGGGCAGCAGGTCTTTGAGTTGTGCAGTGGATATCTTTTGCTCTGCCTTCTTCTTGGCTCCTCGCTTGGCTTTTGCTGGTGTCTCCGTCTCTTCGGCCTCGGATTCATTGTATCTCACAGGCGTCTTTGACTGCCTTCCTCTTCTGCGTGGTCGCGTCTGTGCTGGAGATGGGAGCTCTGATTCTTCACCTATCGTACTGCTTGACATTGGAGGTGCTAGTGTTTCACTCATGGGCTCCTCGTCTTCCTGAGTTTGCCCTATGATTTGTTCTTGTGACGGTAGTACTTCCGGTAAGCTAGGAGAAGGAGACCTTTCTACTTCAATGTCCCTTTCAGACAGTGGACTGCCCGGTGGTGACGAACGTGGCACCTGGACGACTGCAGGAGACAACTTGCGCTTGGTACCGCGAGAAGCGGAGCTGGAGACATGAGTGCCACTATCATTTCGTGTCTCTTCCTCGGTTCGGTTCTTTCGCACATTGAGTGGTGTCGACTCGGCATGGGGAAGAAAATCGTCAAAGTCAAAGTTATCAGTGTTGTCTAGAGTGTCGTCGTCGTTGTCTTCGACATCCGTCTGCTGTACCATGCGCAATAAGCTTGGCTGGCGGGCTCTTCGCTTGAAATTGGTCAAGGCTAATACCGATCGTTCGTGTGCAGGCGTTGCGCCGACTTTGATGGCAGAAGGCGGGCGTGTACCGTGAGCAGGTGAATTTGAGCCCAGGGAGGAGAATGTCAAGTCGCCGAAGCCACTGTCCTCTTCAGCTTCGACGTCTTGCTGGGGTGGCGCGATCTCGTTTGGTGATGCCTTTTTTGCAGAGCTCCGCGCGCTACCCCTCGTCGATCGGGCCCTTTTCGACGCGCTTGATGCAGGTGTGCGAGTCTCGGTCGGCTGAGCTTGAGCTTCCTCGTTGACTGGCAGCGCACCGGTCATGGTGAGCTCCGCTTCCTCGTGAACCTCCGGTGTCTCCTCCCAGGGCATTCTCCTCCTTGGACCCGTTTGTCGTGACTTTTTAACGAGGCCATCGCTGTCGTCGCTGAAGCTGTTGGCTGTTTCGCTGGCTTTTTTGGTCTGCGCTGGGGTGGGTTTCGCTTGCTGCTTGCGCGCGGGGGGCTTTGCGACACGCGACGCGACTTTGGTTCGCGGTGGACGAGGCATTGTCGCAGGTGTGCGCAGTTGAGTTGATTGAGATGAAATGTGGTATGCGTAGTCGGGGGAAGTAATTTGTGATTGGAGGGAGGCGGGAGGAGCCGTGCGATGGCAGTGGTTATGAAGCGCGTCGATGATGTTGTGACGCACTTTCACTCCCTAGCGGCGATCTAGACGCGCGAATGCTTGGCTCACGTGCTAGCTCCCATCCCAACCTGGACGTGATGGATGTTAATGATACTCTTCTGAATTACGCGTTGTGGCTACAGCCATATGTGCGTGCGGCTATTCTTTTGAACTCGGCGACGGGAGCCTGAAATGCGTCGAGGCCGCATGGGGGAAGGTACGCTCGACTGTCCAAGGCAGCGACGATAGCAGCATCTATAGACCAGCCTGGCAGCCCTCATTCTTAGCAATTCTTTCATATCTCTACATCTCAACACCTTCCAAGTATGACTGCGCCAATTCCATCGTTTGATTATCAGTCATCTCTGGAAGAATACGCGATACCTGCCAAAGAATTCCTTCGCCAACATCCCGAGTACCATGTACTCGCTACCGGCGCAATAGTTTTCAACCAACAGGGAAAACTTCTACTGGTACAGCGCGCGGCAGATGAACGAGCCTTTCCAAACTACTGGGTGAGTAGTCCGGGCAGCTGAAAAGTCAGTTCTAATTTGAAAAAGGAGATACCTGGGGGGAAGGTCGATGACACGGATGAGACGATCCTGCACGCTGCTGTTCGGGAGCTGAAGGAAGAGGCCGGCTTGGAAGCTACTAGGGTGGTAAGGAAGGTCACTCAGTTCACTTTTTCAGATCAGGTGCCTGGCCGGCCAACGACAACATGGCTGAAGCTGGTATTTGAGATGGAGGTGAAGCAGGCTGATGTCGTCCTGGATCCAATTGAGCATCAGAAATTTCTGTTTGCTACCGAGGGCGAGATTGCAAACGACAAGGTGGGAGATGTAAAACTCGCGTACATCAGTCCCGAGAACAAGGTGGTCAAGCTGGAGGCCTTCAAGATGAGGCAGGAGTTATGAAGCATGGTGATTAGAGGCTCGGTAATAGGCAGAACGCAACATCATCTGACGTGGATGATGACAGCAACGTCATAGTCATAATACCAGCGGATGCAAAGGTTGATTATGGAATTACGCGTTGTTTCAAGGCTCGTATTCGATTTCTCACGGCAGAAAAAGCACAGTTGCAGGCTACAGTGACAGTAGGAATGATTGCCTTGCCGTAGCCTCCCGTGCACCCCGGCGCCCGCACTAGTTCGAGCTGTATGTGCCACAAGAACACAACCATTCGCGGACGAATCACAACCTCAACTCTCGACGACCGCGCCGTGTAGAACAGCGACAGTAATGTCGGGCGAACACTCCTTCATGGCAAACGCAGCGCCCACGGCGCCGCCGCCGCTGGCTGCACAACCCAGTATTGGGACTCCGTACGTCTTGTCGCGCGTCGCAAACTAGCACATGCTCATGAAAGACAGCCCGTCGGCTTCGTCGCAGTCGGTTCCCCCTGGACATCCTTCATTCCGACGACAGCGCGCCAGCAGAGCCTGTGAAAGTAAGTGCAACACCCGTTTTGCGCCTCCCCTATTCCCTAGCCGAACGAGAAGAGGGTAGACGTCGCGGTCGGCGGGCTATATGGTTCTACTGACGAGCCTCGGCACCTCGGTCGACCTGAAGAACGAATGCTAACCACCACGTTATCGCAGCATGTCACGCGAGGAAAGTGAGTAATCAACCGCCGAACCGCCGAACAGACCATGGGGACAATGCATAACAGACATGTAGGTTCGATGCGACGCCGCCTCATTAGGCATCCCATGCACCAATTGCACCGCCTTTGGCATCGAGTGCCGCATTCCGCAGCCCAAGCGGAAGAAGACGCAAACGGCAAGAGCAAAGGACGTCGAGAGGTAAGCGCGACTGCGTGCCTGCCCATGTCGGACGGGCCCAAGACTGACAAGAAGCAGCGAACGAGGCGATAGTGACGACCGTTCCCCCGGCAGTGCCTCAGTCGAACCGCGTGAGCGCTCCACTGTATACAATACCGAAGATGGCACTCCCTCCACCACCGTATCACCCGCCTATGCCGCCCAGCAGGCGACTCACAACGGCACCTATGTGCAATTCATGAAACCCAAGTTTGCGCGCGCGCCGATTAAAGAAGCCGGACGAGTCGCCTACCTGGGCGAGTCCTCGAATTTGTCACTGCTTGTACATGATCGCTATGGGACGACCGACGTTGTTCACTACCCACTGCCCGAGAACGTGCGAGGGGCAAAAGCGCGAGTCAATGAGATGGACAACATGGAGATTGAGATTCTGCACCAGCGGGGCGCCTTCCTACTTCCCCCACGCTCCCTGTGCGATGAATTGGTAGAAGCCTACTTCAGATGGGTCGCCCCAGTCGTGCCAGTCATCAACCGGAGCCGTTTCATGCGCCAGTACCGTGACCCGAAGAATCCCCCGTCGCTGCTTCTGCTGCAGGCCATTCTCCTCGCAGGCTCACGTGTCTGCACCAATGCCCAATTGATGGACTCTAGCGGCTCAACTACGCCCGCAGCCATGACCTTTTACAAGCGTGCAAAGGCACTCTATGATGCCAATTTTGAAGATGATCGTGTGACTATAGTACAGGCACTCATCTTGATGGGCTGGTACTGGGAGGGGCCTGAAGATGTTACCAAGAATGTCTTCTACTGGACACGAGTTGCCATTGTCGTGGCCCAAGGCTCGGGCATGCACCGCAGCGTCGAGGGGTCACAGTTGTCACGCTCGGACAAGCGACTGTGGAAGCGAATCTGGTGGACACTGTATAGCCGCGACCGGTCAGTGGCAGTCGCACTCGGCAGACCAGTAGCCATTGATCCCGAGGACTCCGACGTGGAGATGGTATCGGAAGATGACTTCATCGACGACGAGACAGACCACGCTGCCGAATACCCACCGGATCCGGTTCATGTTCAGTTCTTCATCAACTACGTCAAGCTCAGCGAAATCATGGGCTTGGTCCTATCACAACAATACTCGGTGGCGTCAAAACATCGTAGAGCGAACGCTATAGATCTCACTCACAGTGACATGGCTCTCGCAGATTGGCTGCAACACTGCCCTCCAGAAGTGCAGTGGGAGCGAAATCGGCACCACTTCTGGGCTGCCTTGCTACACTCTAATTACTAGTAAGTCACTGCAAGTTTGCTGTCCAACCCAATTTAACCATCTCAGCACCACATTGTGCCTTCTTCATCGAGCGCATATGCCGCCAGCAGGCTCGCCAAAAGCCACTAATTTGGACGGCTTCGGCGAAGAGCATGCCTATCCATCACGGAACATAGCTTACCAAGCGGCCGCCATGATTACCTCGATCATCGAGAATCTCCGAGCCCACGATGAGATACGCTATACCCCAGCCTTCATCGTCTACAGCTTGTTCTCGGCTCTCATTATGCACGTCTACCAAATGAAGTCATCGAACAAGTCCATCGTCTCAGCAACAGAGCAGCGGCTGCAGATCTGCTTGGATGCTCTCAAGGAGGTCTCCAAAGTCTGGCTTGTCGCAAAGATGGTCCACACGCTGTTTGAATCCATTCTTGGCAACAAGCATCTGGAAGAGCGTCTGCAGAAGGCCGCAGGCAGGAATCACAAGAAGAACAAGGTCCCTTCGGTTCCACCGCCACCACCGCCAAAGCCCGCTCAGGAGTCTACTAAGCGGAAGTTTGATGACATGGATTTGGGATTCCCAGTACCCAGTGGACCTCCCGCAGCTCAGGTGTCATACGAGCGCTCTAGGCCGCAGACTCCAGCAGTCACCCCCTCGCGTGATCTACAACCACAGCCCCCTATGCCCCAGATGACGACAGGATCTCCACAAATGAACCGTCAAAACCACGACGCCTTCATGGGGCCTTCTCGGTCAGGAACACGCCCTACAACACCTTTTAACCCATCATACTCGTACCCAGGAACACCGCCAGATCTATTCTTGGTTACTCGCGACACACCCAACATCAGCCAAGAAGTATGGCAGAATTTCCAGCCTGACCAACTCTTCCCAGCCGACACACAGGTCAACTTTCCGCAAATGTCTCCGATGCAAAATCATAGCCTTGTAGACCCCGCTTTAAGCCAGCCCCAGAACATGCCCATGCCCCAGCAGCCATCGCAGCCACCGGCCCCAGGTGGTCAACAGCAGATGCCGGGCCAGCCATCGAACGCAGGTCTGTCGGGAAACTATGAACACAATAACACCCAGGCCTGGCAACAGCAAATGGAGATGATGTCACAGAATCAACAGCAGCATGGTGCGCAGGATGATGCATGGAGTAGCAGTTCCGGTGGCCGGCATAATCCTATCGTGCCTATGAGCTTGAATGTGGATGACTGGTAAGTTCGAAGCTCGTCCCAGCTATCAACCTTCACTAACCATTACAACTAGGTTCAACTTTTTCGGCATCAATGGTGAAGCCGATATGTCGCACTTATTCCAGCAAGGACCTTCCTGATCTCGTGACCGGTTTTTTGCCTTTCGTGTCTCGATTGAGCGCTGTATGAGTGGGAGAATGCATATCGAGCGTTTATCGATCGGAGCATGAAGGGGTGCTGTTGGAATTGTTTTTGGCATTTATGTGGTAGAACCATGGGCGACCTGCTATACTGGGGTAGAATTGGTGTAATAAAAGGTCATGTAGGATTAGTTGGGATATGTCAAAGTTAATTTCAACATACCAAATCAATATGAAAGAAGTGCTGTACAGATAATGGCTATTTGCACCTGTTAGAAACGAAGCTGGGGTTTGCGTTGGCCGGCTTCTGCTCTCAGTCGGTGTAGGTGGGCAGTGAACATACGTCATTGGATTTCAGACCTGGCTTAATATCATGATTACAATTGTAGTCGGATAGGTAATAGCTCAAACCGACTACGACCTAGTGTGGCATGCCCGGAGCAATTGCAAGACAGAAGCTCTATTATCCATGGCTCCTCAATCATGCCGGATGATCCACCAGTTGCTGCTCCCCGCATTGGTTTCTAGGCTCGATTAGCTCTAGCGCCCTTTGCTTTCTGGAACCTCGAACCGCATATACGCGAGACTGATACAACAACATCGCAAGCTCGACGCACTGCAGCCCGACCAAAACCAAACGACGATTCCGTAAACTCGCTCCAGGTTCGTAAATCATATCTCATCACTATCCTTGCAGGTTCGTCTCCCGTCTCTCCACACAATCCTCACAGTAGAGCGGGAATCGCACCACGCCCCATCTTGCGACGTAGCCATTAGCGAGCGCGCCCCGAGACTAGACCAAGGAGATATTCTACAAGTCTTGTGATATTTCCAGGGACTGCATTACTACGCGCCTTCCCAAACAATTGATCAGCATCCTAGCACTCGCTCTGGAGTTCACGAATTGTCTATCGCACAACTTATACTAACGGTCTCTCACTTGTAGGTCAGAGCACACAATCATTACGAAAACCGCCTCGGATATGTTCCAAGCGCAACAAAATTCCAATCGCGGTGCCCCGCTGGGTGCGAATAGGCTACAAAACGGCAAGATGGGTGAGGCTGCTCATGGCGTGCTTTGTAGGATAATTGGCTGACGGCTGTATCTTTAGGAGGTGGATCTCAATGGGGTTTCGGGGGTCCCATGGGCGCGCCAGGCCTGACAAATACCAACGCGCAAGTACGGACAAACGGCAGTAATCCGGCTTCCAGCTTTGCAGCAGCAATGAGTGGTCCTCAGCCGCCGCTGAATCTCGAGTGAGTGAACATACGTGGTGTCGAGGAAGAAATTCAGAAAAGAATCGAGCTGTTGGGCAGGGACTAGGATGGTTCAAGAAAGCAGGGCTAACTTTGGTTGCTACAGAGAGTTCCCTTCTTTATCGGGCGCACCGCAAGTCTCAAACGCCGGTACCGCGCAACAGATGTGGTCGGGTGTGTCTTTACGAGCCTCGCAACAAAACCAGCAGAACACGATCGGACGACCACAAGGCCAAGGACAACAGGGCCAGACTGGACAGGCGGCGAACCAGCAGAATCAGGGGCAGGATGATTCGTCACAGAGTCAGTTTTCTGGAGCTGGGGATGATTACCGATTTGGCGGGCAGGGGGGAGTTGGACAGTTGGGAGGTCTTCAGCCGCAGACGGGCAACATCGAGGAGTTTCCACCATTAGGCGGTGCTGGTGGGGATGTCGCGCCGGATCGGAGAGCGGGGCTGATACAGAATGCCGCGGCGTTTGGGACCAATGGAAATGGTGCCTTTCCTGGACTTGGACAAGCACGGAATGGCCTCTCAAGCCCGACAGACAGCCAACAGGACCGGAATATCAACCCCACTGTAGGTGGCCGGGGACTCCCGGGTGCAGGTAAGCAGATTGAGTATAGCATACGACGTCAGCCGCTTACAAAAGCAGTATCACGGTCCCCTTTTGAGAACATGAGGACTGTCAACGCACAGGAAGTATGTATGCCAGATGACGACGTATCGTACTAGCTGACATTCTCAGGGCAATCAACGAACAGGACAGCAAGGGAACATGTTCTCGCTAGGCCCTCAGCTAGGCATGCGAGGCGGCGGTGATAATATTGCCCCAGGAGCCCAACGGTCTCAGCAAAATCAGTTCGAGCAGACATTCGGAGCAGACCCTCTCGGCTCACCAAGTGCCCAGAACTCCCACAAGAAACTATCCGAAATGACTGACTCGGAACGGTACGGCCTGCCAGGATTATTGGCAATGATTCCTATGGAGAGTCCCGACTATTCCTCGCTTGCCATGGGCCAGGATCTGACGGTCCTAGGCTTGGACCTGAGTCGACCAGAGTAAGTATCGTAACCTCCTCAACATCTCAGGCGCTGACCATGGCCTTAGTAACTCACCTCTACACCCGACCTTTGGTTCACCGTTTGTGGAATCCAACGTGAAGCCTGTAATACCGCCGGATTTTACTTTACCAACAGCGTATACTGTCACCAACGTACCACCACTTCACTCCAAGATGACGAGCTTCTCGCCCGAGACACTTCTTTCCATCTTCTACCAGTATCCTAGAGACATACTGCAAGAGATTGCCGCACAAGAGCTGTACAACCGCGATTGGCGGTGGCATATCAAACTCCAACAGTGGATGATGAAGGATCCAGATCTCCCAGCGCCGGTCCGACTTTCGCCAAAGGACGAGCGTGGTTGGTATCTGTTTTTCGACGTCATGAACTGGAGGAAGGAAAGGGTAAGCAATGTAGTACCCGTGTTGTACTTGTTGTAAGCATGATTGCTAACTCTATTGTAGAGAGAATTCGAGCTCAACTACGATCATTTGGATCAGCGTCACGGTAGCCCGGCAATGACGGGACAGATGTAGAATGTGATTCCCTAGAAGGGTGGCGCTCTGGCAGCTTTAATCAGGTCGGCATGGCCAAATAATAGAGATCCAACGGCCGTTCCTCAGAACGCGCTGCCACAAAGTATGGGTCTTGGACGACCCTAGCGTATCATGGTGCTTTCCAAGGTTATCACCTCGAACATTTTTCCCCGCCACATTTTCTCCGCATGCATGTGCCAGTGTTGTGACGGAGTGGTGAGGCTGTACATGTAAGGTTAAGTGAATGAGCGCGTTGAACAGCTGACCTGAAAGCTCCTTCTCTCACCCGCCAGTGTGACTTCCGCCGCCCTGGCAGCCGCATATTTAAACCTGCTCTCCCTGCGACTCGCTCCTTCCACTCACAACTACATACGTCTCAACAATCCGCGCCTTGACTCCAGCATCACCCACCATCACCCCAGCTTATCTCAGATCGATCGAGACCGTGCAGTCGCAAACTAACAAACAACAGCCATCCACCATGTCGTCGCCTACATTCTTCGACAACGCCAACGAAGTCCGCCTGGCTCTTACAAAGCTCTCCAGTGCCGTCCGCGAGATGAAGCCATCCGGCGCAAAGCCGATCCCCCCAAAGCCCGATTGCTTCAACCTGCTCGCCCGACCCGTCACCAACGGCTGTCGCATCTGCGGCCTCCCAGGCCACCAGAGCACCAACATCAAAAACGCCGCCATGTGCCGCACTGCGCTCATCGCGCTCACCCGCCACTGGGAAGACATGGCCGAGTGCATATCGTTCCTCTACAGCCACTCTGACCGCTTCCACAAGGCCGTGCAAGCCATCGAGCCGACGTACGATATGCGGCTTGATAACGGGGTGGAGAAGTGTGGTGATTTGGAGGTTGTGCTTGTGGATCGCATGACGCGTAATTTTCTAAAGTACGTGGCGCATGTTGGAAGGATTAGGGCAAAGGTTAATGTGGTTTGTGATGGGGAGGAGATTGGCAGGTTTGAGAGGGTGAAGAAGTTGGTAGAGGGCTTTTTGCTGGGTGGGCTGACTTGTAAGTTTGATGTGATGTTGGACTTTTGGACAAGGACTAATGGTGCGTGGTAGTATCTGATCTCTATCAACAGAGTGTTGCAAAAGAGTAAGTCATGAGCTCCTGGAGCTATCGAGGTTGATGGGCGAATGGCTATGATGTTTGGTTTCATGAAAAAGTTAACATGGGCATTTACAGCTTGAGCGAGTGGTCGCTGGTAACTCGATATGGGCCAGGCTCAGAAGATTATGCGAGTTCTCAGTACATCTTTTCTCATCTTAACATGGAATCAAAATTCGGGGTTTTCGCATTTTTCACTAATCTTGTAAACTCCTAGGAACTTATCCTAAAAGGGCGTTGCCTGTGTCTGGATATGCCTCTTACTCAGGTATCGTGAGATACTTGACATACTAGTCTACATCGCCCACTGTAGTCGCTAGACGAGGCCTACTAGGTGCCTAGTCCACACTGTCAAGTATTTTATCACATCCAGGTGCTCTAGTTTGTCGTCCGCTACAGTTTACGCCAGCTTCGGTGCTAGTCGCCCCGAGACGGGCATCCCCACGTTCCACGTTCCTCTCGTCTCGAGTTGCAATGCAACCCCACCGGCATACCCAAAACAGCAATGCCCGACCCCCGCAATCCCGCCATGCTTCTTCCATCATCGACCGTGGCGTTAGTTTAACCCCTCATTCATCCGATTCGACCCTCGGGACCATTCAACTACTTCCACGACATTTAACAATATAAAGCACTGCCGCCAGCTTCGCCCGCCATGCCACAACGCCAACAGCAACCCAAGCACGCCCTCTTCTCCCTCAATCTCGACACCGACGCAGACCACGTGTACCAAAGAGTAGAAGACCACAGCAAAGACGGCGAGGACAGCGTGCGCGTGCTTGAAAGTAAAGGACCGACGCGCGGACATACGGATTTGAGTTATATTACCCGCCCGTTTGAAAAGACTGTGAATCGCGCTGTTAACGAGGTGATTGACGGGACGGGAAAAAAGGTGCATTCTGCCAAAGGTGAACTTTCGTATTCGACGTCTTCTTCTTCGAACAGGAGGAGTGGTGGTGGTACTTTGAGAGACGACGACGACGAGGATAGCGAAGAGGGACGACCAAGATTAAACGTCGTAAGCAAGACTAAACGCCGGAATATCGAACGCAAATACGATACCAGCGAGTTGTAACCCACAAACTCACAAAAAAAATGACATCACCAACGCCCCTCCGCATAGCAATCGGCTGCGATGACGCAGGCGTCTCCTACAAAAACGCCATAAAAGCCGACCTCGAAGCCTCCCCCCTCGTCTCCACCATCACCGACGTCGGCGTCCCCACCAACACAGACAAAACAGCCTACCCCCACATCGCCGTCAACGCCGCCAAACTCGTCACCTCTGGCGCCGCCGACCGCGCCCTCTTAATCTGCGGCACGGGTCTCGGCGTCGCCATTGCCGCGAACAAGGTGCCCGGTGTCCGGGCCGTGACTGCGCATGATAGTTTTTCCGTCGAGCGCGCCGTGCTGAGTAATGATGCGCAGGTGCTTTGTATGGGAGAGCGGGTCGTGGGGATTGAGCTTGCGAGGAGGTTGGTGAGGGAGTGGTTGGGGTATCGGTTTGATACGGCGAGTGCGAGTGCGAAGAAGGTGGATGCTATTATGGAGCATGAACGAGTGAATTTTAAGGGGTTGGAGGCAGATTTGGAGGGCGCCAAGGGGTGTTGAGTGGGTATGTGTGGGTGGTTGAGGGGGGAGGTGTGGAAAGCGGGTGTGGCGTAGTATACATGTATGTCACCGTAAACTTGAATGTCATCGTAAGCTTACTATTACGTGCCTCTATAAACAAGCCTCAACGCCATGTACCCTTTTGTGCCGTCTACTATCTGTGCGTCTAACCAGCGCAGCGCCAGCTTTAGCTAGCGTCTGAACAACCGGTCCGTCTGTATGTTGTTTCCCGGATCATCACGGTTATAGATCTACCAGTGCACTCCCTCTGTCGATGTTAGCGTCGCTCAAGCAGGTAATCTACCAAGTCTACCAAGAAACTACTCACTTGAATCAACGGAGCCAATTGCAGTCGTAACACCATTATAAACCCCTAACCCTTCTTACTCCCCTCCCCTCTTCCCTAAACCTCCCTACATCCATCCCTCCAGAATGAAACCCCCAACCCTCCTCTTCCTAACCACCCACCTACTAGTAGCCACGGCGTCCCCAACAACATCAGACCCATCCCTACCCCCCCGCCAACAATACCCCCCCAACACCGAACGACTCGCCTCCAAAATCCCAAAGCGCGTCGAAGCCAAACGCTGTGCAATCGGCGACCTAACCCAATGCTGGTACCACAAGAAAAACCCCGACGGCACGCAAGTGAGGTGCGTCATGTATGGCGATTACAAGGTGTTTTATCGGAGGGCGGTTTGTCCGGAGAGGAGGGAGGGCGCGATTTGGGATCGTTCGACTTGTATACCTGATTGGTTTGACCAGAGGGTTGGATGGTGAGTTTGGTTCTATCTAAGTGGGGATTGGGGGGATGTTTGGGATTTGACTGGCTAACGTGTGTGTGTGTTTGGGGAGTAGTGATGAGTAGGTGGGCACGATGTGATACTGATTGACTGAGGGTGTGCTGGATAGCCTGGCGTTTTAATCTAAGGGATAGATGTGAGGTGATGGGGGTAGTCACATGACTCTACGCTGAAGGTGGTGTCAGGGCGTTTGTTTCCCTATCTAATAACTTATCCCCGCGTATGTTATCGCATCCATGATTCTAAGAATACGAATACCCATATCTACAGTACGCAGCTTCCAAGCTAATCTGAACACACCGAACATCAACTTTTCCAGGTCAACGAAAGGTCGATATCCATCGATTTTTCATCAAAACAAGACTCAAATGCCTTCTTAAATCTGTTTTCCAGCGTCCTCTTCCGGCTGCAGGCGCTGTGGCAGGCGCGCTGGCCTCTTTTGTCTTTCATCTCCCTGGTGAGCTGAGATGTCTTCAAAATGGCCCGTGCGCTACTCAGATTTTCACGTTCGGTCGAAGGCCACAACCACCGCTAAGACAAGGAGACAGCCTTGACACTCCTTGTTCTTGCAAGATACAGGCATCTGCCAGGCCTAAATACAAAGGCTCTCCATGCGCAGAGCTACGGCACGACCCGACAGAGCACCGGCTCTCCACACCTACAACGACGAGAGCTGCCCGCAGCTCTCTAAAGACCAACGGTCAGAGTCCCCGACCTGACACAACACGCAAATAAGGCAGCCAGCATAGCCTTACATACAAATTGGAGACGGGAAGGACAACTTCTGGCATCGCCTTGCCTTCACACCCACCTCTCCTACACCTCGAAGGCCCTGTCCCTGCTTCATGCAGGGCCATGACACCTACACGACAGAGCACTGGCTCTTGACCGCAAATAAGGCAGCCAGCATGGCCTTACAGATTCGCAACTTTAAGAGATAAAGAAGAAGGACAGGCCTGGCTCTGCCTCCCTACTACACCTATCTCCTTCGACACAGGCATCGCCAAGCCTAGTACAAAGGCTCTCCTCGCGCAGAGCCACGGCTCCGATTCGACAGAGCACCGGCTCTCCACACCCACGTACCTTTTTCTTACTCTCTCTTACGGCACTTAGCTGCCTCAGAACACAAGGGATCCACCCTAATGCCTACTGGCCCCAGAACAAGAGCTCTGCTTCATTGCTCAACACATCCCTGGCCCCACGGCCCAGAACCTAGATAGAGTCTTTTCAACTGGCGGAAATTACCCTACCAGACTGCACACACTGCCAACACCCAAAGAATAGGAGCACCTGAGTACCATACAGGGCGCTACCCGTCTTTCATGCCCCCTGGGAGGCTTTCATAGGACGTTAAACAATACATACATACATACATACAAGCTAATCTGAAGCCTATTTTTATCTATTGTTGCGCATAGGGAAGGTCCAATGTGAAAAAGCTCGGTGGAGCTCTCTCTTTCTCTCGTTAAAAGCAGGTATAGCGTAGATATATACACGTATGTCACCGTAAGCCTACCTACATGCCATCACTCTTACCTTGGCGTTTAATATCCCTGTACGCCATTTACTCACGTAGAAAAATCGTAAATAGCATTATAAACCCCTACCCTCTTCTTACTCCCCCCCTCCCCTCCCTCCCCTCCCTCCCCTCTTCCCACCAAACCCCCCACACCTCCCCCTCCCCACAAAAATGAAACTCCCAATCCTCCTACTCCTCCCTACCACCCACCTCCTAGTATCCGCCTCCCCTACTCGCCACACATCAACAACACATATATCCACCAGAAACGACAACAACGTCAACCCCCCAGCCCAAACGCTGCGCCCTCGGCCAAGTAATCCAATGTTGGTACCAAGGCCTCAACGCCGACGGCTCCCAGACGCGTTGCGTCATAAACGGGAGCTATCAAATTTTCTACCGCAGGGGTACGTGTCCGCCGAATCGGGGGTTTAATGTTCCTTGGGTAAAGTCGACTTGTACGCAGGAGATTAATGATCGAGCGCAATGGTATGTTATATATATATATATGTCGGATCGTGAGTATCGGTAGAGACGTCGGCTGCTTGACACTTCGGCCCGACTTCGGCCCACCTTGCGCAGAGCTTAGGTATACCTTCGTAGCAGCTATGTTCGTAGACAATCAATCAGAACCACCGAACAGAATGCATTCCTAGTTATCGTTATTTCCCTTTACGCACTTAGTGCAAAGCCAACCAACAATATATATATATATTGGAGTGAAACATGTGTGCCTGTAGCTAAGAGAAGATATTGTAGCCGTCTGGATATTCCATAGCTGGCTAGACTACAGGGTAGGATGAGTGGGGATGACACGATAGCCCGAGGCAAAGTGTGGAAAAGCTTGTTGATGCTCATGTAATCCATGATTTTCTCAATCTGGTACACCAGGGATGGTATACGTAGAAGTCACGAGAAAAAAACGTATAAATCAGACTTCTATTTATCATCCATATCTAATCATTCTTTTCCATTTCTTCCGCCACAGTTTCACATCATCTATCAACCCACATAATAACATTAAAAGATATGTATTACATAGTATATACATGACCACCCACAGCTTTACGGGTGCATGATCATCGGAGCGAATCCGATGGTGCCCTTAGGGTCGGTCAGGTTGAAAAGGACATATCTGTTCTCCATAAAAGGAGTACCAAACAGACCAAAGTCAACGCCGCCACCAATGTTTTGAAGACCGCCAAAGCATGTCTTCTTCGCGTGATCAATGGGGGAGAAACGCAGGGACTCGCCGTTGATTTCCTGTCTCGCACCCTTTACCGTAAAAGTGATGTTGGGCAGGATGTGCGTGTTGCAAGGGTACACGAAACCCTGGTTGGCGTCGTCAAAGTGTGCGCCCTTGACGAGCTTCCAGTAACCGGCGACGATATCCGGCTGTGCGAAGACGAGGGTTGTGGCGGTGTCGACGTGGATCTTCATGTCGCGCTTGGTGATGTGGGGGTTGTGGTTGCCGATGCCGAAGCCATCTATCATGCAGGCCCAGTGACCCCAGCCATCGTGAACGGCGTCGACGGTAGCAAAGTCACCCCACGTGTTCTTATAATCGACGAATCCAAAGTCGAACTTGCCGCTCTTGTTGAATCGGAGGGACGAGGAGAAGATGGGCTCGTGGAGCTTTTTCTTGATGGAGTCGAAGAAGGTGGGCTGTGGGTCAGGGTCGATGCCGTTGGCGTCCTCGTAGAAGCCAAGTCCAATGTAGCCGTCTACACCCTTGTCGCCATACCAGTCCTTGGTGGCGTTCGTGGCAGCCGCGAAAACCATGTTGGTTGAGAATGCGCCGAGCGTGACTGAGGCGAATACGTCAGTACATGTCAAGGTTATGAGTAGTCCGGCAGCATCCAACGCCTAACCAGTGACTTTTGCGTTGGTGGGAGGTTAAGAATGTGGTCCACATACCATTGTCAGTGTAGACCAAGCCCTCTACTGGCGAACTGCCACCATTGAAGCCCTGGCCAAACGTGTAACCCTTCTTTTGCTTGGCCGGGTCGACGGTGTAGTATCTATGCCCCTCGAGCTGTTCCTTTGGTTGCAAGTTGGAGAAGAAAAAGCTAGACTTTTGTTAGCTGTAGAGCGACAGATACTGAAAAGGGGTGGTCTTACGTATCAGCGCCCGCGAGGCCTAGAGTCGTTTTAAGTTCCTGGCCACCAACATAGGCCCAAACTGTCTTCTCTTGTTGGTCATTATAGCTTTGATAGAAAGCCACGCTGCCACGGTCCTCGTCGTCTCGAGCTTGCAAAGAAGCGAGCCTCTTTACCTGCCTTTCAGCAGCCGCGACCAGCTTGGGAGACACCTCCATGTTATACCTCCTCCTGACTTTGAGCACCTCAAGTGGTCCGTTCTGCGAATCCACAGATCGTCGAGGGTGCTCGAGCGAGAGGGTGTTGCCGACACCATCAGAATTGGCTGAGCGATCATCTGTGTGATGGAAATGTTAGATGGGGCTCGATGAAGTTTCTCATACTATGCAAGTAAAACTACATAGTACATGGGTCGGCTTACCCAGGGGAAACGGCTTCGCAACTACTGCGCCTGTAAAGGCGAGTACCGCGGTGATTTGAGAAAAGGTCAACATGGCAACGAGAGACTGGATCCGCCTGGTAACAAGAGTCGGGTGATGGTGGTAAGGATTGACAGCAATGAGGAGCCACTCCCCTCTTATACAAACCACATCTTCTTGCCGTTCGTGCTTGGTGTAGTGAGATTTTCTGCGGGGCGAGTGGGGGACGCACGAGCTTCGTGAATGAGTGTCATGGTTACGTGGTTACGGACCGTACATGGTTGGCAAGTAGTTTTGTTTTACTGCGCTCTGATTGGGCGCTGCGACGATTTATGCACATGGCTGCTTATTTCTGGCTCTCTTTTCGTAATCATGCGAACGGGAAGCGTCCGACAAAGGTGTTAGCGGTGTCGCTCCAGGGGATAATCTTTGTGTATTTGCGTTGGGTACGAAGCGGGTGCAGGCGGGGATGAGCTGGCTCGGTGCTTCATTTCGGGCTTGTCATCAAGAGGCGGGCCTTTCCTAGTCTCACCACGCATCTCTCCGGCAGATACTCCGATGTAAATACTGACACAGTGCTGAGTGTACTATCAAACATAGACCAGTGTACAGTATGGTGGCATGCGATGGATGCGGTCGTCTGGAGATACGCGAAGAAACCAGGGGTGCGCAGTTGATGGGACTGACCCAGGGGTACCTTCCCGTCTGGTGGAACTTCTGGAATCTCACTTTCGGCCAATTAGATCTTGCATGTCGCCCGTGCTTTGAACACACTGATGCTGGGGGTTCGCTGACACCAAGCTATAATTAGCAATTTCCATTCTTGCTCAATGGACATGGAATTCACGATGACGCTTGCAGGAACGAATATGGCAATACAGAGTAGGTACAGCGGTGAAGAACTACGGCCAGTAGTTTTGTATTACTATGTCGTTCAACAGATGCATCTCTGACTATCTTACGCACGTGACTCCACACGCTCAACGTTGTTCTGCTTCTCATACTGCGTTGCAACGTCCGTCAAGTTTGGCTTCAATGCGTCCGCTGCCTCCCGCGTGAACTTGCGCGCAGAAACCTTGTGTTCGAACATGAGATCGAGCTCAGAGTATGTGAAGCCCTTTGGTTCGGGAAGGCGGAAGTATCCCCATACGATGAATAGTGATGAGATACCGGCCCAGAAGAAGCCGCCCTTTGCGCCCCAGTTCCAGTCATTCTTGCCTACCATCTTCGGCATAATGGTGTTTGTGACGAAAACGATGGAGTTGTAGGAAGCACGGGAAAGCGCAACGGTCTTGACGCGAAGGCGAGACGAGGGGATCTCGGCTGCGAGTGAGTAGCAAATGGGCCCTAGAGAAAGCTGTTCTGGTCAGTAAAGTGGAGGAATTTTCGTCGCGCAGATTGAACGTACCTGAAAGCAAAAAACCATCAAGATGATCAGAATGCCGCCCGCTAGACTTGCACTCTTATTTGTTGATGGTGCAAGGCCAATAAATCCAACAATCAAGAGAATGATGGTGATTGCAGAAAGACCGGTAAGGTAAATCGGTCGCCGGCCAAACCGTGTCATAATCCACCATGCCATGACACATCCCATCAGACCGAGACAGTCCTGGCCGACGGTAAGGTGGAACGAGTCGTCCTGACTGAGGCCGACGCCCTGCATGAACTGTGTTCCAAAGCCCATGAAAGGAACTCCACATAAACTTTGAGTAATAAATGCCATTGCACTGACTTCGGTGCGGTGTAGGTCACTTCCCCGGAAAAGATGCCAGTAGTTCGTTCCGGAGCCGACTTGCTTCTCGTATTCGTTGGTAACGACCATCATTTCAACGTGTGCATCTAGATCAAACTCGACACCATCTGTAGGGGTGGTAATCTTCCGGATTGCCTCCTTGGCCTCGTTGATACGACCCTTTCGGACTAACCACCATGGGGATTCGGGCGCAAGGAGGGTGGCGGCGATGATGGGAACGGGCCAGATCCACTGGAGTGCAAAGGGTATCCGGTAGCCCCATTGTGTGTTGTTCTTCATCAGCCCAGTAAGGATACCGGTCGATAGTAAACCGCCGATAACCCAGCACATGTTGATCCAGGAAGTCATGTATCCTGTTGTCGTTAGTTATAGTTGGAGCTGTTGAGTACTCGGACGTACCTCTCAGATGCGTAGGACATAGATCCGCAGCATAAGAGATTGCTAGTGTCTGAAAGACACCCCATGGAAGACCCTGGATAATGCCACCTACAAGGAACATTTCCAGTCCAGTCGAGAAGAATGGGATACAGACGGCAGCGGCCATGAAAAGCATGCTGGCGACCATGGTCTTCTTGTATCCAATCCATTCAGTAATGTAGCCGTTGATGATGAGACCGAGAATGCACCCGACCTTTCCGAATGTTAGTACAGAACGCTAGATGACTGGAACTACACACCTGAGTGCCATTGAGTATGATGGTTTGCCACCGCGCTGAAATGATCTTCTGGGCCGTCGGCATCGACTTGATCGCCAAACTTGTTTCGGAAGGGCTGAAAGGCGAAGAATTTGTTCATGAGACTCGTATCGTAACCTTCCATGACCACACACAGCGAGATGACAAAGGAGAAAACAATTGCTTTCCACCAGAACCGCAGAGACTCTCTGACAGACATGTTGTGCTCGTTGCTAATGGCCGCGCTGGTATCGTCGACGACATGGGGGCCAGGCGCTGAAGTGACTCGTTCAGCCACATGGCCTTCGTTCTTCTCCATCGACGCCATAGTGAATCGACTGCGTGAAGTCCAAAGTCCAAGAGTCGATAGCCGGTGGGACTGACTTCTTGGGATAGAAGATGCAGAAGAAGAGGAAATAGTAGGGATCTGTAGACTATATAGATTTCGGCCATGCATATCCAGCTAGCGAGACTACGGCAAGAGTCATGCCCTGACTGAACGGCTAGCCCGAGGGCTTGGGTGCCCAGGAGGCGGTAGTGGCCTGCATGAGGAAAAGTCTGGATCGAATTGCGGGGAAGCACATGGCGGCATGTTCGTGTACAACGCCCATGGGGATATAATGGGGTATTCAAGCGCGCTTAATAGCCTGTCAGAAGGTAGAACGAGGTAGGCCAAGTCGTCTACCAGGGCGTGAGAGACTTTTCCTCCAGTATCCCGCCGCTAACCAAGATATGGACCGTGCACGTGTTTTCCGCTGCGGAGCCGTTGCCTGTTGTGGCTGGGACTTGAGCCGAGGATGCGAGTTACGCTCCTTCCCTCACTGAATTCTCCGTCAATTTCCCGCTTTTCACTGTCAGATGTCTCCAACGTTTCCCGCCCTCTAAGCACTATGCGTAAGCCATCTGCATGTACCGTCTGTCGGCAAGCCTTTCACATATTCAGAAAAAGAAGCGTATACTAACCATATGGCAGAGCCCGCCGTCGCAAGTGCATCTACCCGACAAGCAGGCTCACGACAACATGCGAATACTGCTCAACCCATGGATTGCAGTGTCTGCAAGGCCCCCCAGAAGGCGGCTACTATGCAAGACGGCGCGCTAGGCTCCATGGAGTTGGTGCGTCCCAGCAGACTTCCCCAGGCCAAGCAGTGTCAGCACCAAGTCAGTGTCACCAAGAGCTGCCACCCATGGCTTTGAGGCGAGAACTAGTCGAGCTGTATTTCGAATACATTCACGATCAATTTCATTCCATGTATCACAAAGCATCTTTCATGGACGATGTGGTGAACGATCGGGTGCCTGTCATTGTGCTCTTGGCACTCTTCGCTCTGTCTGCGAGGTTTTCGACTAGCGACGTCTTCAGTGGAACAGACCCAAGGCTACGCGGGGAGGTCTATCGTGAAGCGAGCGAACGACTGTTCAGTATCCGTCATCTTACTCCTACGACAGTTCAGGTATGCCTTTTGCTTGGAGCATACGCAGCTGCCAGTGGCGACACGGACGTTGAAAACATGTACTACAGCACGGCTGGCCGTATGTGTTTGGTTCTGGACCTGCCCAATCGTCCCGTCACCAGCCTAGTGGAGCGCGAGGTAAACATCAGGATGTGGTGGGCCATCTGCATGGTAGACGTCTGGTCGTCTGCAGCCGTTAGGATGCCGCGCATCATGCCTTTTGACTACGCCGTGCCATTTCCAATCGACGAAATACCTTTTTCATCCATGACCACCGATGTGAGATGCGACTTCATTGAAAACCCCTCCTCAGTGGCCTCTCCTCTCCTCGCCGAGATGATCAAACTCAATAGGATATTGTCCAAGATTATCGACTTCAATCGAACCTGCGTATCTGAACATCTTGACGGCATACCCCTTGAGAAAGGCATACGCGAATTGTCCCGCGACCTTGATGTTTGGTTAGAGAATCTTCCACAACGCATGCACGACACGCCGGCAAATTTCGAATACTTTGCCTCACATGGCCTCGGGCGTATGTTCGCAGCTGTTTACCTGGGGTACTACCACTACGGTCAGCTCTTGAACTATCAGTTCCTCTCATCGTCCATCGAAGCACCAGCCGACTCGGCGCGATATGCTGATGCCTGCAAACAACACGCCGCACGGCTTTGTTCCCTTGTCTACCGCTCCCATTCCACCCCTGGCAGCGAAGTTTTGTACTCAGCGGTCTCGCATATCCTAGTGATTGCATCGACCATACAGATCCATACCCTGCTCTTTTCCGGAGACGAAGGCCAGATCAGGATTTCCAAGACGAGACTGGAGCGCAACTTTGAGATGTTACTGCGGTTGCGCACGTATTGGCCAAGTGTAGACGGTGCTATGAGTCGCCTACGGGCATTCCATCAAACCTGTCTCCGAAGTAAGGAGACCAGCTTCGTTCTTGATCGATGGCTATTGCGCTTTCTGGTCCAGTTTGCGCCTCATATGGAGCTTGAACCGAGAGACAACGATCCGGAATACAAGGCATTGCTGGCGCTGAGCAGACAGTCACCGTTGTCATGTCACTCAATTATGTCGTTGTGAATCTGTAACGGTTTGGGCCATGCCAAGACCTATTCTGGTACAAGTTGGGTACTGCTCTCGCTACCACACTTCGTACATCCCACATTCATATATATAGCTGCCCTCCTTCATAGCTACTCCGACAATGCAATCCCCCTCTTCCTCGATCCCACCGTTACAGAATCTCTATCACAGGAACTTGATGACCGGAATGCCGAGCGATCGGACAATGAGTACAAGGTTGATGGCGGGGTGAAGATGTCGCTAGACGTTAGCGGCGGAAAACTTGCCGACTTTTCCCAACTTGCGGTGCCCAGCACTCCACAGTGGGCCCGCCAGACTCGTGGACTTGTCGATTAGTCCGCAACGTGACCGTCATGATATATATGTCAAAGTCTGCTTAAGACGGAGGTGCAGCTTCTTCGTGGATTCAATCCTCGAATCTGAACAATGTCACCCTCACATAGCACCGTCGTCGCGCTAACAACACTCTTGAGTGGCGCAACTGCCATCAGCAATGGCCTTGCTATCACTCCCCCGATGGGCTGGGTGAGCATCTTCTAGTCATCACTTCTACTCGTTTACTGATAACGCAAGAACAATTGGAATGCCTTCGGCTGCGACGTCTCCGAGAATCTACTTCTCACAACCTCGGCACAGATAGTGAGCCTGGGTCTGCGCGATCTAGGATACGACTACGTTGTGCTGGATGACTGCTGGCAAGATCCAAAAGGTCGTGACAAGAAGGGAAAGCTTCAACCAGCCCTAGACAAGTTCCCCAATGGGTTAAACTCCATCTCGGACCATCTCCATAGCCAGAACTTGAAGTTTGGCATGTATAGTAGTGCGGGCGAGATGACGTGCGCGAGATTTGGTAAGGAACCGCTTATTCCACCCTATTGTGGCTTGCTAATATAGAGTAGAGGGCTCACTTGACCACGAGGTCGACGATGCTAAGAGCTTCGCTGGGTGGGGTGTGGATATGTTGAAGTACGACAGCTGCTACCACTTGGGTCGTGTTGGTACACCTTCTGTATCTTTCAACCGCTTCAAAGCAATGTCAGATGCCTTGAAAGCGACGGGACGAAACATTCTGCTCAATCTGTGTAATTGGGGAGAGGATCTAGTCCACACAGTAAGCAAGACCTACTAGTACTTGCTACCCACAAACTAATTTGTAACCCAGTGGGGAATGTCAATTTCCAACTCCTGGCGTATCACAGGAGACATCTACGATTCATTCACACGCCCAGATGATCTCTGCGGCTGCAACAGCGTTTCGCCAGGCGACGTCAACTGCATCGCACCCGGCACACACTGCTCCGTCCTCTTCATCCTGAACAAAGTTGCCCCCTTTGCCGACCGCAGCATCCCCGGTGGATGGAGCGATCTCGATATGCTCGAGGTAGGACAAGGCGGCATGACAGACGAAGAATACAAAGCGCATTTCGCCCTCTGGGCCGCCCTCAAATCGCCCTTGTTCCTCGGAAACGATCTACGCGCCATGCCCGCCTCCGCACTAACCATCATCAACAACCCCGCCATCATTGCACTCAGCCAAGACCCCCACGGACGCAGCGTAACCCGCGTACGACGCGATACAGCGGGCGTAGCAAAAGATAAATGGGGCGTTGGCGAAACGCACGTCTGGGCCGGCCACCTCCACAACGGCGACGAAGCCGTCATCCTGCTCAACGCCGGTGGCGAAGACACGCAAATGAACGTCTCCCTCGCTGAAATCTTCATCCCATATGGATCCGGGGGATCCGCTCCACACGTCAAGTACGACTGGGCCATCCATGATCTCTGGGCCCATCGCATGTTCGACGCCACCGCAGAAGCACTGCTCGCCGCGGCAGACGACGACAGTCAAAGAGCGTCCATCTTGGCGAAAGCTAATTGGTATAATGCGACGGAGGTGCCGTATGCGAAAGGTCTGGCGCAAGGGGATGGGCGATTGTTTGGCGAAAAGATTGGTGTGGTTGGTGCGGGGGGTGTTCTTAAAGCGGACGTGAAGAGTCATGCTGCGAGGGTGTTCCGTTTGAGGAGGATTGCGGAAGAGGGGGATGCGTTTGAGGCGAAGAGCATTTCGAGAGAGGATGGTGTTGACGAGAAGGATGAGTTGTAGAGGCGGCTTGAATGTATTCACGCTCGGTCTCGGGTCTTGGTCATGTGTTTATAAGGAGATAGAATAACGGTAGAATATTCCTTGCCTCCTCTGCATGAGCAGGGATATCTGGTAGGAACCCTTGTGGGCTTTCCAGTCAAAGTTTGGTTAATCAGTTACTTTCCTGTTCTTACTTTAGATCAAACTTTGGAATTCGTAGTCAGGACATCCACTGCGAGATAGTACCTGGCGGAAGTGCTGGATAGACGGGGCAAGGCTGAGGCAATGCACAGACAACGAGATGCTAACGCTTAATACGAAGGTGATCAGGTGCTCGTTATCCAGACACGTGTTGACGTTGAGTACGAAGGTGCTCATCTATCCACGCTGTCGAGCATATACTGTCCAGAGCGACATGTAGTGCATTTGAACGACCGTTCCCCGTAGAGAATGCCGTCTCCATGAGCATACTTGTCAACGAGCGAGCCGGCTCGCTCAGCTCGCTCGGCTTGGACGTTTTGACCAAGCCGAATGAGCTGAGCGCGCAGTGCGCGCTTGCAAGCCGAGCGAGCTTAGGGATAGGCGCTCGCTCAGTCAGCTTGCTTAGCTTGGTTGGATGGAGCGGTTAGAAACTTGGGGCTGAAGGACTTGGTGGAGAGGCAATCTCACGATGATTTTTAGGTGTAGTGCGTAAGTTCGAAACCTAGTTATAACCTAAAATACACTCTTTTTTGCTATATTTCTAGCAAATAAGCTACTAAATTTCCGGCTAACGGCCTAGCAACAATATTCTCCTTCTGCGACACTTCACTTACTACTTATCACCCACCACACTCACCTATACTCCACCAACGCGTCTCTATTTGCAGCTATTATCTACCTCGCCGTTGCTATAATGCTAGCAAAAAGAACACGCGTTAATGCTCTAGAAATCGCGACAACTTCGAAGCGCCCTAGAGTCGCAGCGCGTTATCGCGGGACTGCCAGCTAACCTGTGCTAGTCGATACTTAGCCATTCTCACTATCTCCACCTCCTCCACCGCTGTCGCCGCGTCAAGCTCTCGTCGCCGCGCCACAAGCACCAAATTTTGAAGCGACCCTCCGAGAGTCGCGCGCCGAAGAGACGATTATCCCACCACCTAAGGGCAGCGAGCATGCCACTGTTGCAGCTTTAGGAGCAGCTAGCGAGGCTGTCGACGAGGGTTTCGTATAGGTAGAGGACAAATACGACGGCTTTAATTGGAGTCGCTACCTAAAGCACTGCAAGCCGCCTACATTACTTTCGAACCGAGCAAGCTAGGTATACAGCCATGGCTATCGCATCGCCTTGCGCAGCAACGTCGCAAAAGTTACGTGGATCTGCCACTATTGCTATAAGCACAAGTTCACTACTGTTGGCCGTGGCATACATGACGTCTCGCAGTCTCTATCAGCGCCAGCACGTTATCTCGGAGAAGACAAGAAAGGTTATAGCTTGAAGCCTCTAAGTAAGCGCACTACCGTCGCTCCTTAGAAAGAAACTCTCCTCGAACGCGCCCTTTAGAAGGGCTGCTCTTAGGCTGTTACCAACGAGCTTACTAACTTTAATATACAAGAGTTTAGGCTTGCGGCCGTCACCTAGCTCGTCGAAAATAACCTCCCACTCTCACAATTCGAATTATCGTCTTTTCGCAATATAATACAATTAGCTAGCGTAGAGGCAGAACGAGCCTTGTGGGCATCTTATAACAGCGTCTTACGATACGTTATACGCTTGTACAACTACCTGTTACCAAAGGTTATCGTAAGCCTTTTAGAATTAATGAGCAAAGTCTATATAAGCTTTGACGGATAGACGACAAAAGGTGGCAAGCGTGGTTACTTAGGTATCGTCGCCTACTACGTTGATAGCTCTGGCGAGCTCAGGGACTTGCCTATTGCGCTCCTACAACTAACAGGTGCCCACACTAGCGAGGCTATGGCTAAGGTCGTAATAGCAATATTTAAGCAGTTCGAAATTACTGTGGGCAAGCTCGGTTACTTCGTCCTCAATAACGCACATAACAACAACACTACGATTAACACTCTCGCCTTGCAGATAGGCTTTAGCGCTACTAAGCGTCGCCTTCGCTGCGGTCCTTATACGCTTAATCTTATTAGCTAGATGCTACTCTGGGGTGAGGAGAAAGAGTCCTACGATAATGAGGAGACTAAGCGCGTGAAAGAAGCTGAGAACATAGCTACTTGGCGAGGCGATGGACCATTAGGAGTGCTTCTCGCGGTTATTAACTACATTAAAACACCACAACAGTACGCTCTTTTTAAGAAGTATTAGAAGCTCGCTATTAGGGACTAGCCTGTTAACGCGCCAACAGAACAGCACAAAATCAAGGAGCCTGTTAAGCTAGTTGTTACTCGCTAGAACTCTTACGTTTCGTGTTTTAAGCGCGCTGTTAAGTTGCAATTAGCGGTTAATAGGTACGCCAACTACTATATTTAGAAGATTGAAACTGAAGACGCGTACGCCCGAAGTCGTAACAACAAGCTACCTGCAGCGCCGGATTGGATGAGGTCTGATAGGATCAATGCCCATAACTGGTAGGTGATTGCTGAGTATATTGATGTGCTTAGGCCACTGAAACAAGCTACAAAACGGCTTAAAGGCCGCGGCAAAAGCGGTGCTTTTGGAGCAATCGCTGAGGTTATTCTAGTATTTAAATACTTACTTAGAGTCTATAAGGACCGCTTGTAAAGCTATAAAGACGTCATTCATAATGAGCATACAGAGTCACCTAAAGACCACCTTGCTATCAACCTTCGCGCTGCCCTAGTTAACACAGTCCGCAACAATCAATTAAGTGGGTCCTAGAAGGTTCAGATTGGATTGATTGATTACCGCTTTAAGCCTAGTAGTTACCTATAGGAGTTTAAGCCCTACCTAGATAGGTAAGTGGGTCTAGGAGAGTGACCGGATTGAATTGATTGTTGCGGAGTCTACTAGTTAAAGCCCGCGAGTACTACAATAAGCTCGACCTCTCGCTAGCTTACTATGCTGCTACAATCCTTTATCCTCGCTACAAAAGCTACCTTAACGCAGCGTGGGCGGATAAGCCTAATTAGCTAGAGAGCAGCAACCGCAAGTTTCAACATTTGTGGGCGGAGTACAAAAGCTTACCGAAGCCGCGCTTACGCCCTAAAGTTCGGCACAATAATATAGACGACGCTATTAACAGCTTTATTAAGCTGGTAGGGCTTACGGAGAACGAGGAGGATAAATATAAGGCTTGGAAACGCAGCGAACCGATCGCTAGCGAGGGCGTTGACCCTATAAAATACTAGGTAGGACTCCGCGATCGCTACCCCAGCCTTAGCAAATTTGCTATCGACATGCTATCAATCCCAGGCTCAAGCTGTGAGTGTGAGCGCTTATTCAGCGAGCTGGGTGACCTCCTCGAGCCCCGTCGGCACAGCATTTCTCCGCAACTTCTAGCAGCAATACAGTGCGATCGACGATGGATAAGAGCTGGATTTGGCACTGGTGAGGTGCCTGTAAAGGAGGCTATCAGCGATGAGGAGATGGACGCGAAATACGGTGTACATAAGTGGGATATTAGCTGAGAAACTCAACACCAAGGTTTCTATATAACTTTCCTAATTGGGACTGAGCCCATCAAGCCGAGCGAGCTGACAGCCCTGTTTCAGCCAATCCGAGCGAGCCGAGCGAGCTGCTGGCCTCCGCTCAATTGGCTGAGCAAGCCAATTGGCTGAGCTCGCTCAGCTTGCTCATTGACATCTGTGTCCATGAGTCTACCAATTTGACGTCTGTGCCTTGCGACGACTGCATTCGGTCAAAACCTAGGAAGACTAAATATTGGATTGAACTCAGGAGGCTTGGAATACTTCGGGTACGCTCCGAGTGCGCTGCCCTTTCCAGGCTGAGATCGTGTAATTTGGTCACAGTATATAGTTAATGGAGCATTCGTCACGGCTAGTAGGACATACTGTATGATTTTGGTTGTAGTAATGAATGACTGAGTTTGATAGTGTAGGGATAACAATTGTTTGCTTCAGAACAAGCTTTATGGGTACTCCTCCGTTTGTGTGAATGCGTTGTCTGGATGGATGCTCTTCGGAGACCCTTGATATCATCCCTTTCCCGCTTGCCCTTGGATTACTGCGTGCGCCGCCCCACAGGTTGGCATGTTTGGGGTCGCTCGCCCATGTAACCCGCTACCCAGCTCTCTCAGCATCCGGCTATGCCATCACAAGTGATCACTTGGTTGGCACGTGGGTTAGAATGGCCCCTGAATCTAGTAGGGCAGCGGTCGTCTTGGCTGCAGCACCCAACGGTGCTTAAGCCACTGCCGTAAAAGCACACGGATAGTGCCGAGGCTGAGGCTGCCATGGCAGATAGAACGACTAGACGCATCAACATGGTCTACATAAATTGTTAGTATTATTCAAGTTGTTGGGCGCTTGGAGCATGTCTTCAGAAACTTACTGCGCGGTAGGATAGGTGATGAGGAGTATAGGGTCTTGAGGTTTGGAGACGGCGGGTGCTGAATAGTAGTTGCTTATTTGATGGTAGGTGTGTTGGTGATGTATTTGGATATTAGGAGGAAATCAAGTCCATTATATACTTTTGGGCAAGCCCAAGAAGGGTTTGAGATAGTTTGTTGCCAAGGAGAAGGATGATGAAAAGACCACAAATCGGAATGACCGGTACAAGGTTACGGCAAGCTATTCGGAGCGATAGGAATAATTACTTCAAGGTTAGAAGTGGAGTAAAAAGACATATATGCAATGTACACAGCAGGTAAGATACCTAGCGTCGTGTTCAGAGTAAAGCAACCCAATAGAGTACCTGCTGATGTTCGTATAGTACCTAGACTGGTACCCGTAATGCGGCCCAGGTGATGTTGTCAGCACGGCACATGTGTTCTGGCTCAAACTTAGTCAAAGCTTCTGCCGGAATAACAATGCACGAATGAGCTTTAACTAGGCGCATCCCGCCAGCATCCATAGAGCTTTCAGAGCACGCAACCGCAGTCGCATAACGACAACCTTACAGGCGAGTGAGCTTGTACTCGGAGTGATATAATAGCCATCATGCGCTCTACTTTCACCGCCTGACTATTGTCGAACTTCAGCAGCGCCACAAGTGGAAATTGAGTGATTCTTGCCGGGATACCGAGGCTCACCTCACCGCCTACGTAACGAGCCCCCCTCACCCGGCGTAACGAGTTACTCTACCACGACAACACGCCATCTTCAACACACAATAACCCTGCGATACAAACTTTAATTGGAGACACCCTGATGGAAATGGGCTGGTCGAGATGGAAATCATTGTGTTGTTTTACGAGCGAGCGGTTATCCCGGAAGCAACGTTTTGACAAACTCCAGCAAGGCTTGGATTCCGGTACTGCTAAGCAGTTGCAGCCATGCGCTCGCATGATGCGCTTATTGGAAAAAAGTGTCGGGGCTAGGGGTCACGCAGACGATGCACTCAAGGTATATCTTGAGAATTGATTTAGCAACAGATAATACAATGCTTGTTGAGAATATCTGGGTTCAGTCCAGGTAGAAGGTGCTTGGGGATCACATGATGTGCTGGTGTGGCAGGCACTGCCCGGTGGGCAATAGCACCCACCACAATAGAGTGAGACCTTGATACTGAACCACGATAGTCAATACAATACGTTGCAGCCACCCCGCCTTGTCCCTCCTCCCACTCGGTTATCCATAGTAGTCATACTACTAGAGGGACCTTGTTCCAATAATGCTCAATATTAGGATTGCTACTCGCAGCGCGACAGAAGCTTCAAATCAATACATACAATTTACAACCAATGTTCTTTCCTGGTACCATGGTACAGTCGACCCAAGGCACCCCCCGAAAACTACCGCATCCAAAAGTCCTCAAACGATTACATCGACGCAGCAAATCTGCGATCGAAGAGAACCCCTAGCCCAATATTCTTTCCTGTATCCAGCTTTCACATCGGAAACAGTCTGTAGCCCATCCACCGAGAATTCAGTAGTATACCCTGCAAGTGTCTAGGAACTGCCGTCGGTGACGAAATCGGGGGTACATTTCCTGACCGGCTTGTCTCCAAGGGTATACTGTACGCTTCCGTCGAGTTGGCAGCATTGGCCCTAGAAAGATTAGCGACTTAGAAAAGGCTATGTAGGATTGTGTTGTCTTACCCATAGAACATTGTAGGCACAGCAGAGTTTGTACGGAACGTACTGGGGCCATCCAAGCAAGTTTCGGGCCGCCTTAGGGCAAGTATTGTCGCGGGAAGTGATTGCAGCGCCTTGAACAGCGGTGGTGGCGAGAGCAGCGGACGCGGCGATGAAGAAACGCATCTTGAAGGTTGCAAAGATTTTGTAGTGAAATAGAACGGCAAGAAGGAGTCTGATGCGATGGTTGAGGATGGTAGATGGAGTGAGATATAGGATGTTGTAGGTAGAGAGAAGAGGTAGTGGGAAGGGCAAGGAGCTTTATAGTTCTATCCAATATATGTCTACAGTTATTTCACTCTGTTATCCGGCGTCAAGCTTGATATTAAGATCAGGCATAGCCTGCTATCGATGAAAAACTTCCGTAGAGTGTTTACAAGCATCAAAATTATCTACCTCGGTACCGACCGGGATACAGTATTACAATAACCACTGCACACGACTGCACACGATATGTTATTGTCTAGTAGGTAAGAAACGAGTAATCAAAACACAAAGGCAAGACACTATTCGCGATTAAGTAAGATTCTGCTCTAGAACGCTTACTACAGTAGATCTGTACCCGCTGCTTCGACAGAAACTTACCGAACTGTTCTCCAGCTTTTCCTTTGCACACCCGGTTTGAAGCTATAGCGCGGCTGATATAGCTATACAGTCCTAGAGACGATCGGCTTAATAAGGACCTCGGGAGTCAGTGGTGAATAACGTGCCGAGAATAATACCGAAGCACTCAGCCACTGAAGATTACACAGTACTTATCTGCCGCAATATGTTTGCAAACAGTGCCTGAATCCGGGAATCTTGATTGCAAGTACATGGCTGTGCGGCGCGAGTGATGCCGGCCTTGCTTTCTTTACTTTACGCGCTTTGACTCTATCACGCGTGCCGGATGCTCTACGCTTACAGAATAACGTGTCTGTGCGCGTGATGCCCATAATCGCGTGCCGCACACCCCACCAATATCGCGACGACGGCAAAGTTGAGGCTGTGCAGCCACGTACAATAACTATTATCGCGAGGTTTTCCGGTGTATTGATCTATAGACGTAGCTCTACAACTTTGTCTATCTATATTTTGCCGGAGTATTGACGGCCCGGCCGCGTCGGGTGGTTGTTGGTGGGGGAGCCGGTGCAGCCACCTCAGCCAGAGTGCCACCGCCAGCACCACCCACGCGTCGTTTTTTTGGCTGTTGCTTTGCAGCGGGCTTTGAAGCCTTACGCTTGCCCGATTGGGGTTGTTGTATAGCCTTTGCAGCGTCGCGATCGCGTCGTTTGGCGTCAAGTTCGGCAGCCTTTACAGCCTTGGCTTCATCCCGCACCTTCTTTGCCTCCTCACGCGCCGCCCGCGCTGCCTCTTTGATCTTAAGTTGATAGATCCTGTTGTTCTCCTTTGCCTCTTTCAACTCTATCTTATCAAGTAGCTCTTTCTCCTTCTCCTTCTCCTTCACTAGCTGCCTGAAGCGGGCCTCTCGAAGCTTGCACGGCGACCACCAAACTGCCCCTGAATGGAACGCTTTTCGCTGCTGTAGATCTAGGGGAGGTTCGTGCCGATTGCGGGGCTTCTGGTGAACGTGTAGCGCCGCGCGCAGTGCGTCCTTCTCGTACTCGGCGATCTCTTTGGCAGCCTGGAGGCGGAGGAGTATTTCTGAGAGGTTGTTGGTCGCAATAGAGCTCGGATCGTAGGCCTGATTAATGAGGTTCGTGATAGTAGCTCTACTCACGTTCACTAGTGGCGGCGGTGCTGTTAGTGTTGACTTTCGGAACTTTTTAAGTACTACTTCGGGATCTATAGGAGCTATCCCAGTGGCTTTAAATGCCTTCAACGCGTGCTTCTTAATGAAAGAGGAGTCCCAGGCAGGCTTGAAAAGACGGTAGAAGTCATCCTTCCTCACAGCTAAGAGACCGTGGCTCGCCTGGAGGTAGTGCTGCAAGCTGAGTGAGTACGCGGCTGCCAGAGGTTTGAACATTACCACATCGAGTGGCTGCAGCGTATGGGTACTATGGGGGGGTAGTATGAGTAACATAATATTGTGGGCGATCGCATAGTCAATAAACTCCATAGTAACGTGACTCCCATGGCCGTCAAGGATGAGTAAGCGTGTGTGATTGCCGGCCTTCTCCTTCGTATGGCGATCAAACACCTGTTCGAGCCATGCCAGGCCTACCTGATCATTGGTCCACCCTGAGGGACTTGAGGTAACGTAGACTGGATCGTCAATTGCGATATCATCAACCCATCTGGCGTACATGTTGCCCGAAGTAGCTTCGTATATAATCGCGGGCGGTAACGTACTCCCATCAGCACATATAGCAGCGATAACAGTGATCCAATCTCTGTTGCCGTCCTGTATCACTTTCTTAAAGCCCCCAGTCTCATATTTCTGCTTACTAAACACTCTCTTACTCCTCCCCGTCACTCCAATAAGGAATCCCTTCTCATCCATATTATATACATCCTGCGCCCGAATATGGTGCTGAGCCATTTTAGTAGATAGTAGATCAAAGTACGACTCGTACTTGTATACAGAATCAGCCCGGTGGCGATTGCGGTCCAAACCAGTTGACCAACGTGATATAATCGCGTCGGGATGACGGTGAAAGAAGCGCGTCACCCAGCTTTGGGAGGTAGCCCTTCCGGCTATAGCACTAGCAAAGTTCTGGATCATAGTCCTCGTCGGTGGTAAGCCAGCCTCAGTAAGCTCGTCAATGTGCTCTAGAAGCTGTAGCTCCTGGTGTGGGTGAAGGAGTTGCTGATTACGTGATTTGGCTTCATTTGAGCCCCGGATCTGTTGATGGCGTCGCGACAACGTAGAGCGATCAACACCAAAGCGGCGCGCAACCTCAGAGTATGTAAATTTATCTCCGGGATCACGCGATTCAATAGCTTCAATCGCAGCGTTGATACAACTCATGGTTGTGGAGTTATGGGTGGTTGAAGTGGTAAGGGTGGATTGGTGTTGATGTTGCGGGGTGTGCGGCACGCGATTATGGGCATCACGCGCACAGACACGTTATGGGTGTTTCTCGAAATACCTTGAGCCACCTGGATCTGGTTGGCTTGGTGGCCAAGAACATCAACTCCTATAGTAATTTGTTAGTAAATCGATGCAGCCACGCTTTCTAACACCCACAACGTATTTGAAGTTCATTGTTTGCTGCGATCGCCTCTACTGACTCGCGTTTTTGGTGTTGCAATTTTCTCGAGCCCATCTCATCGCGATGCCAGGCACCGGCCACCGCTTGCAGCCCGCTGTTCTCCAGGCTATCCTCGACCGAATTGCTGCCTGCGAAAGTGATCGAGCCATCTCTAGAGCTACAGGTGCGAGCCGTAACACAGTAGCAAAGCTGAGGTTGAGCTTAGAGTTTTGGGGCGTGCCTTATCCGCCGCGCTGCGTTCGACTTGGGCGGCCATCTATACTCCGGCAAGCTCAGCGCGAAGGCCTTCAGGCATACCTCAATGGCTCACCGGGCGCATACATGGATGAGATGAGGGACTTCTTGTACGACGAGTACGACGTTAGGATAAGCCTTGCGAGCGTTTACCGAGAGCTAGAGAAGATGAGATGGTCTCGCAAGCTTGCAACAAAGCGGGCAAAGGAGCAGAGTGAGCCACTCCGCCGCCTCTATCTTGCCAGGATGGCGCAACACTATAAGGCGGAGCAGATCGTTGCGTTGGACGAGAGCGCCTGCAATGAGCGTACGGGCGACCGCAAGTATGGCTGGTCTCCAATCGGGGAGCCGGTGGAGCTATCACACAGCTTCAGGCGATCAGAACGGTGGTCGCTGCTGCCAGCCATGACGATAGATGGCTACATAAGCTATAAGATCTTTCAAGGCGCGATTACATCTGAGATCCTAGAAGACTTCTTAGAGTTTCAAGTGCTGCCGTTCTGCAATCCTCACCCAGGGCCAGCCTCAGTAATCGTGCTTGATAACGCCTCCATCCATCGATCAGAGCGTGTACGGGTGCTTTGCCAAAGTGCTGGAGTACTCCTTGAGTATCTGCCGCCATACTCACCAGATTTCAACCCCATCGAGAAGAGCTTTAAGCAGCTCAAGGGGTGGATGAAAAGGAATTCAGCGCAAGCGGAGAACTTCATTGACTTTGGGGTCTTTCTTGAGTATGCAGCGCAGCTGGTGTGCTGTAATATTAACTGCAGAAGCTGGTTCCATAGGTGTGGCTATCCCTATTAATTGTGCTTTTAAATGGATGCCACAGTACGTTTCTATAGGTAGATGATACCATACAAATGCGAACGATTACACCTTAATGCGCAACCCACAAAAGCGATTTAATAATTCTAAAAAAATAAGAGCTATTTCTATACATATAGAACTATCTTAGGAAGTTAACCTGTTATAATCGCATAACGTTGTAGTGTTGTACATAGGGCTATCCAAATAGACTATTGTTGCAGCGCATTTGAAACGCCTGAAAAACCTCAACACTATAGCGGGCACGGGCCGCTGTCACCAAAAACGCTCAGGCCACTAAGCTTCAAGCATTCTCGCCATCATCCTCCACAACACTGCTAGACGGTTCAACCACCAATTTCTTGCGCGCAATCTCTTCTCTTTTCTTACAACGTTCGACTCGTCTCCAGTTACGATCTGTGAGACCCTGGTACCCAGCTTGCCATTCTTTTGCAGTGTTTTGTAGCGTGAAAAACCAGCCAGGAGGCTGCTTGAAATGCTGCGTCCACAACTTCAAGATATCACCAGATGGCTGCATCAAGAGGTTGATATCCATAGCTCCGTCAATAACAAGAGTCTTATAAAGCTCGTTAATGTCCTCTCCAACTGTAGGAAATTTTAACTTAAGGTAGTTAAAGAAATTACTAGTATGCTCGTTAATCTCCTGCTCATGATCATATCGGATAGGCGCCCACTGAGATGCACTAGATACCTCAGCTCTTGTTATCGTTGGTGCAGCTGCCTGCAAGTTAGACTCCTGTTGAGGTTGCCTGTTCATCCGCTCAAGCTGTCCAACGATGAGCAGTTTTGTTAAGCTTTTGATATCATCGTCGCCATCTCCAGCCGCCCGCAACTTGCGCGTTTTCTCATGCACCCGCAGGTCCTTTGCTCTCAAAATTGCAAGCCGTACATCATCAGATGGCTCATCGTACG